AGCCTTGACAACTCCCTTTTGTGCTGCATCAGGTTTTCCTTTAGCTCGGTAGGCAGCGATGTCCTTTTCATACTTTTCCTTCAGCTCGGCAGCCTTCTTCTCATAAGGCTGCTTGTCACCTGCTGCAGTATTATTCCACATTTCTCCCAGTTTCTTTGCAACATCACCAGTGGAGAGGCCAGGATGTTCTCCTTTGATTTTTGGGCGATACTCAGAACAGAACAAGAAGAAGGTCGAAGGAGCCCTCTTGGGTGCATTGGGATCCTTGAACTTCTTTTTTGTTTCTTCTTTAGGAGGAATATAGGTTTTCATTTTTCTTTCATAACGGGCCTTGTCCACCTTTGCCATGTCTTCAAATGTTCCTTTCTCTTTAGCAGACATGGTCTTCCACCTCTCTGAGCACTTCTTAGAATACTCTGAGAACTTAACGGAAGCATCTGAGTGCTTCTTCTTGTGCTCCTCTCGGCAAGTTTGCACAAAGAATGCATATGATGACATTTTGCCTCTCGGCTTCTTAGGATCTCCTTTGCCCATGTTTACTTGTTTTCCTCAGTGAGGCACAGAATCGCCCAGTGCCCGTCCGGCTCTCACTTGCTCCGGCGCTGTCTCTATGGAGATCAATGTACTGCAGTGGCTTGACAAATTTCTTATTAGCCTGCTCTCGTCTCACCTAGTTTTTTTTTTTTTTTTTGGTGCCAGGGATTGAACTCAGGACCTTGTGCTTGCGAGGCAGGAGGCGGAACCACTAAGCTAAATCCCCGGCCCTCACCTATTTTAAGAATACTTTGCCCAATCGCTTCTCGGCCTTTTGGCTAAGATCAAGTGAAGAATACTTTGCCCATCTCACCGTCCTCATCAACCTAAGATTCTCATCCACACAGGATTACTGCGGCGACCCTCTCAGTCACCCAATACTCCCTCCAATTATTGCGTGCCACTCTGAGGCCTGACCTCCCAGCCCCCCGTGTACTTTGAAATTACACCAGTCTTTATGGCCTTTCTTTAGCCTTTGGCATCCCCCTTTCTAGGCAGATTGGAGGACTGATCAGCCTTGGATACAATGCAATAAAACTAGAATATTTTAAAAGATGACAAGAGCTGGAAATGTAGCTCAGATATGGAGCATGTGCCGAGCATGCTGGGTTCAATCTCCAGCACTGAAAAAGAAAAGGAAGCTGTATGTACCTGTTATGTCAGCTTAAAACAAAAAAAAAGCAAAATACTACTATTTGTTGCTAAGAGAACACAATTCATCTTGACTCTAATCTAAAGTGTTTTCCTTGAATTGTGAGAAAAGGAAAAAATGGAAACAAAGTCTTTGTAAATAGAGAAGGGAGGAGGGAGTGAAGGGAGTACAGGGAACAGGGAAAAATAAGAACCAAGATGCATCATGTACAGGTAGAAGCACCCAATGATAAATGTAAATGTACTGTATACCTAAAATGTACCAATAAAAGAATTTAAGCCAAAAAAAAAAGTGTTTTCCTTGGATTTCACTATTTATCATCTTTTTGTTTACAAACGTTTTGTTTTTTGATTGGAGTGTAACATGTATAAGGTGTACAAATAATCATTTTGCAGCATTTTGGATTTCCACAAAGCAAACCCAGGACAAGAAATAGAACATCACCGGCACCACACACACACCCATCATACTAAAGAGAAAGGCTTTGTTCAGTGGTTGGGAAAGTCTCCCTGTCTCTTGCCAGATGTAAATCACAAAGTATCTATCCCTGATTGTTACTAGCAGGCATTCTACAATGAAAAGAGGCACCAGCTATAGGATGAACCCAGTATTGGAGTTCACAGTGAAGAGACAGAAAGAACCCGGGCCCCTTTGATGACCCTATTACTCAAATTGTATTAACTGAAACTAAAATGTACTTTTTCCCTGTTATTTACATCTGCTTGGCTTCCAGCCAGAAGTATTCTGTCTGATACCATTAGGTTAAAATCTTGTCATTTTATTTCAACTATTTATGTTAGAACTTACAGTAACATTTTGGTAGCTCTTCAGTTTTGTTCAGAATTTACTGAGCCAGACATTTTATTTAATAACTATTATTAGGGAAATAACAGGATACCATTATTACCTGGTTGAAACTGTTTTAAGCATTTTTACACATATTAACTCATTCCATGTCCTCAGCAATTCCCTAAGAAGTGTTATTGTCTTCATTATATAGTAAGGTTTAACTCCAGTCTATTTTAAGATAGGAAAAACAGAATTCTCCAGGGCTATGCTGTCCATCATAGTAGCCACCTGTGGCCACTGAACACTTGAGATGCGGTGTAAATGTGCTGGTGTGCATACCAGATTTCAAAGGCTTTGTATGAACAAAAGAATATGAAGTATCTCATTAATAAGCGTGCTATACTGATTACCTGTTTAAAATATTTTGGATATACTGTGTTAAAACATGGTGAAAATTAACTTTACTTCTTTTTGACATCTTTATGTGGCTCCTAGAAAAATACTGAATAACACATGTGGCTCATGTTGGTACTAGACAGTGCTACCCTACTGTGGTGGTTCTTACAGTGCAGTACTGGACCAGCAGTAGCTTCACTTAGGGGATTGGCAATGCAAATTTCCACCAAATCAGAAACTCTAAATTAGAAACCTACTGAATAAGAAACTTGAGGCCCCAAATCATAAAACAAGCCCTCCATGTGGGTCTTTTATTTTAATAAAATCTTTATTGGGATATGTCACTTGTTCAAAGTACAGTTTGGTGGTTTTTAGCATGTCCATAGAGTTGTGCAAACATCTAACTGAAAACATTTTCACACACAAAAAGAAATCTCATTCCCATTGTCAGTCACCCCTCAATCCCCACACCATCATCCCCAGCCACAGCCAACAGCTACACTGCCTTCTATCTCTACAGATTTGCCCATTCTAGACAAGTCCTAGGAATGGAATCCTGCAACATGCAGTCTTGTGACTGGCTTCTTGCACTAAGCACCATATTTTCCTTTGTGGCCTCTGATATGCTAAATTCTGAAAATTGCTGCTTTAGGGTAGAAATGGAAATGAAGCAGTCAGTCACAGAGTGCATGAAAAACAAAGGGTATAAAAATAATACCCTGATCATAAGATAGAGAAAAGGAAAGAGACCAGAAGGACATAAAATAGTAAAAGGTGAAAGGCTTTTCATGTGAGAAAATAAGCTACCATTTTTGTTCTTCCAAAGTCTAGGAAGGATGACCCGGAGGTCAAATACAAATATACATTAATTATATTTGTTTGTGCTCTACCTGTGTTATAGCTTTAATCTTTTTAAGCTCCTTATTTTATCCAAGAGATGATAGTTAAAGCCATGATAGTAAGTGACATTACCAAAGTAGGTAGATTACAGCAAGAAAAGGCTAGTACTGAGAACATAATACTGGGAGAATCTTACATTCTAGGGATTTTACATAAGGGTTCACACTCATTTTCCCCCTTAAATCTAGCCATAACCCTGCGGGGAAGTAGTTAGTATTGGTATGTTAACTCAGTTAGTGGTGATCACAGTTAACATTATTAGAGATGTATTAATCGCACATACTCTTGATGTGTGATAGGGCTTTTACCTAAGGCCTTCATCTTAAAAACCAGTTAATTCAGTTATATCATGACAAAAATCAAAAAATCCATATTGAGAATATTCTACAAAGTGTCTAACTACGGTAGTACCCCTTAAAACTGCTAGTCATCTAAAGCAAGGAAGTCTGCAATCTCACAAACTAGCAGAGTTTAAAAAGACATGAGAATCCTGAGGAGCTTTGGAAAAGGCTTTTTAGTCCTTACTAAAGACAAGTGAGGAATAAAAGGTTATTTTCTTTCACTGGACATTGTTGGTCTAGACACAACACTCTGGTGGTGATAGACAACAAAGATCACAAGTATTATTAGTTCAAAGAGAAAAAAATGTTAAAAATTAACAGGATGGGAAAGTTGGAAGGACTCTGAGGTTCTTGAAATCATTGAACTGTCTTTCAACCCATGATAGAATCCAGTGCTTGTTATGTCAGCTAAATTGTTTTTTTCTTATCAACAGCAAGCATTTTTACTGATAAAACTCTCATTTTTTTTTTTTTTTTTGGCGGTACCGGGGATCGAACTCATTCAGGACCTTGCAATTTCGAGGCAGGCGTGGTGCCACTGAGCTGAATCCTGGCCCGATAAAACCCTCTTCAGCTATGTTACCAAGGTTTATAATACTATGATATGGACTGAATGCTTGTGTGCCCTCGGATTCATGTTTAATCCCCAATGTTATAGTATTTGGAAATGGGGCCTTTGGGAGGTAATTAGGTCATAAGCCTGCAGCCTTCCTGAATGGGACTGGTGTTCTTGAAAGAGATCAAAGATCATTTCTCTTGGCCATATGAGGACACAGCCAGAAGGCATCTTCTACATGTTTGGAAGGGGACCTCAACAAACACTGGATTTGCTGTTGCCTTGATCTTAGACTACTCAGCCTCCAAAACTGGGAAAAATAAATTGTGTAAGCCATCCAGTCTATAGTATTTTTGTTAGAGCAGCCTGAACAAAGACATACTTAAGCAGTTGTGCTCAAAATACTGTGAGGGAAACCTCAAGTAATTGCCTTTCAGCCACAGCTCTTAACTCAAACTCCTATCAGGAGTCCCTGCCTCGGCTGTGCCGGCTCTGGGAAACTGACATTCTACACTGCAAGCTGGTTAGCACTCAACATGAAAAACAAGAAAATTTTGTGTGCCCTAGTTTGCCCTTTCTTATCACCATTTCTCAAAAAAGTTTATTTGAAAGTGAATTCTTCTAATCCCTAGCACATTTTATCAATGAATATAGGAATGAATTTAAGGAATAAGGATTATCTTTTGGCACAATTTACTTAGCAAGTAGTAGTTTTCTTTCCCTAGAAATAGTTTAAATTACTAAATTTATGAATCTAACAGACCTCCTATTTGCTATTTCTAATATTTAACATGTGAAGCTCGTCTTAAGTTCCCATGACTCACCCTTTTTTTTTTTTGGTACTGGGGATCGAACTTGGATCCTTGTGCTTGCGGGGCAGGAGCCAGAACTACTAAGCTAAATCCCCAGCCCATGACTCATCTTTTAATAGTTGGTCTTTTTATTCTCTGTACTTTATCTACCACAATCCTTTACTCCCTACTGTCCTCCCACCTTTCCCAGTTCCGTAACCATACCAGCTACCTGCTTTACAGGCTGTTCCTGGTTCAGATCGAACTTGCAAGCCTTTTCAAATCCTTTTCAGTACTAAGGGGAGCCTTTTATAAGAAAGAACTTGCTGGACAGAAGTTTACCAATTAAATAGTCTTAAAATTTATTTTATTTCAGTCTGTTAAGTACTGCTAGTTGCTTAAATTATTCATGTGAATCCATTTCATCCAAAAAGGAAATGTAAAGTGCTTCCAGCAGTGCAAGAGCAACTGGCGTGGCCTATCCAAAGGTCTTCCACTAGAATCTTCAGAAAACCTAAATGTAGTTTAGGTGTTTTTATTCTCTAGGACATGAGATCTTCAAACTCATTTTGATTTTTTGAAAGCCACCAAGTGTCTCAGCTGCTTTCTGGTAATTACGTGATGTTACCAGTGAACATGATTCTTGGAATCATGAAGACCTAGGGAAAAGAAGAGTACTTAAGTAATATAAACATCACTTGTGCAGGGGTGAGTGGGTGTCCCTAGAGCAGCCTTGTGATAGACACCTACACTTCTTCCCTCAACATGGCACTCAAGTCCAAGAGCCAAGGGCACCATGTGTGAACTCTGCAGGTTTTCAAAGCAGGAAACTAGTGTGGGAGGTATGGTGAGGTTTAATTTTGAGGCATACTCTAAATACTAAGATAATGATGAGATCTTGACTACTTGCATTGCCTTCAATTCATTAAAGTTATTTTACAGGTCTAGACTTTCTTTTATATAAGATAGAATATTAAATGACAAACAGTATGCTACAGCCTTGTCTGATGTCTGAGTATCCAGTAAATACTCTACCACTCCTCCTCCTCATTCCCAAATAAATGAAATTAGTTCTTGAACTTGAAAAGTATTTTATAAATAAATAATAGGTTTTCTATCAGTATCCTTGTCAGCATGGTTCTGAACGGCTCTCAAGAGTACCCTCTCTTTTATAAAATAAACACTTGATACTGTTTGAAGTACATATGAAGTTTCATTTTTGTTCAGTGTTCTTTACTTTCCATCCTGAAGTTATTTCTGAGGAATTGAAACCCCAGAAGATATCCACCACAAAAAAAGGTTAATTTTTTTTAAAAAAAGATGATTCAAAGGAAGACTTGAAGAGAGGTAATATTTAAGAGCTAAAAGGCAGCAAATGCAGCTTCTAAAGGGAATTGTTCTAATTATTACCTAAAAAGTAAACTTACACAACTACATTCAAGGTCATAAAATAAAGCACTACTTTAAAACTAGAATGAATAGATGAAAAATACAGCTGAAAAGAGAAAAGGACTTAAGAATGATTTGAATTGGGACACAGTTCCATCAATCCTGGGTGTTTCTGTTCTCTGAGTATCTTGAGTCACATTATTCCATTCTTATTTCCATCCTCACTGACATCTCAAAGAAACATTTTCATAGAACTAAGTAAGAGTTGCTATTTTGTTAGGATTCAAAATTTCAATCCAGTAGCCATCAGGATCTTGAATAAATGCCAGGCCTTTCATTTTACCTGTAAAATGAAATATTTCATTACTGGAAACAGAAAATAAAAACCTTAAAGAGTATTTATAGTTCACTGTAAATTTATATTTTAATGAAATACATTATTTTGGTTACATTTTTAAAAAAAAATCTATACTGTTAACATTGCCCAAATGCTTATTTTTCATATTGACTAAAATGTTATCCTCCACACATAGCTGGAAATCAGGCCCCCTCCTAAAATAAACTGTGGAACTGGCTGCTTCTGTTAGCCAGTATTTGGATCAGGTATTTGCCTCACCTCCATGACACTGTTTCACGCTACCAGTTCAGTATCTCAGAAATTAAAGAAGCTAAACATGATAGCATGTGCCTGTAATCCCAGCTACATGGGAGACTGGAGAAGAGGATCTCCTGAACTCAGGAGTTCAAGGCCAGCCTGTGCAACATAGCAAGACCCCATCTCAAAAAATCAAAAAAACAACAATCAAAATGAGAGGGTGCTCAACAGAGCAGGTAGTGTGGCTTACCCAAACAAGCCAAACACTAGATACCTGAGTCATACAAACCCTTTAAACAGTTGTATAAAGGCGCACGCGCGCGCGCACACACACACACGCACACAAAATGCTCTACCTTTCCCTTAGCCTTCAAAAGCCAGGTACAGTGATGCACACCTGTAATCTTAAGGCTGAGGGAGGCTGAGGGAGGAGGATCACAAGTTCCAAGTCCCGCCTGGGCAACTTAGACCCTGTCTCAAAACAAAAACAAAAAGGGCTGGGAATGTAGCTCAATGGTAGAGCACCACTAGGTTTGATCCCCAGTACCACACAAAAATTTTTAGAAATCAGGCCTTTCTCCATCTAAAAAAAAACAAACCCAATAAAAATGTGTCACTGTCTGTTTTCCTTGAAATATAAATTTGATGTGCATCATCTTCCCTCTTCCCTTTGCTTCCGAAAATACCATACAATCTCAGTCCTCTTCTGATCCCACCAGGCAAGCTAAGTCCTACCAATCAGATTCTGTCTCCCAGGAATTCATAACTAGAATGGAGAGGCTAATAGGTCAGAGTTTGCTTAAATGCGGATACATGACCTGAGAAATTTATTTTGGGGCCAAAATGCTAAATTGATTTGAATCTTATCTCTGGTTCCAGAGAAACACAAATGAGAAAAGGAGGGAAAAGTGAGACGCCTTGGGAGTGATACCTGAGGAAAGGTTGGGTGAGGTGGGATGACTATTTTAATCTGTTCTGTGTGGGAGGTGGTAGTGATTGTTTCTGCTCTCCCAAGTGTCTTGGGGGTCAGTACCTGCCCTTGCCCTTGTAAAGGGCTCAGGTCACTGCTTCAGACGTCCTCAGGAGTAAGTAAGGGTGGTACAGAAAGCTTGTGAGGAACCGGGAAGAACAGGTGGGAACCACCTGATCTCTCCCATCTCTCTTTCCATACATCCAGGGCCAGGGAACGACAATCTCAGAGGTGTCTACTACTCCCCCCCACCTCCCCAAATCAGGGATTGAACTCAGGACCTTGCAGTTGCCAGGCAGAAGCCATGCCACTGAGCTACATCCCTGGCCCTAGAGGTGTCTACTACTAATACTACTTCCTAAGGGACAAAGGGAGAATATCTGACCTGAATCGCTGTTCTGTGAAATGTGAAATGTTTCACACTCATTTCCAGGTGTCCAGGGATCCCAGGCCTTGGCTTATTCTGCCTACCTTTCTGAGATCATTCAGGTTGTAAAGGGCTGGGTTCTGGCCTTCCTCCAATCACACTCATGGGATGAAACAGCTAACAGTTGCAGAAACAGAACACACACACACACACACACACACACACACACACACACACAGGCCAAAATAATAAGAATGTGAAAAGTACAACTATGAGAAGCACCCAAATAATGATTATAGAGTCAACTATAAAATGAAACATTGGAACAATGGACCAAGAATTATTACTACACGTAAAAGTGATGAGCTGTATGAAATGTTACTGATATTAATTAAGAACAGGAAAATGTTAAAGGAACAAGCACAAATCAGGGATGAAAATTATAATAGATTAGGAACACAATAGGTGAGTTAAATGTCAGAACAGATAAGAGTTGGGAAAAAAGAGTAAACAAACATCTCGGCAAGAAGGTAAGGACAAAAAATAATGTAAAAAGCTTCCAGAACAAAGCAGAAGATACTACACATAAATAGTATACATAAAAGAACATGGATCAGACTGACAGCAGATTTTTCAAAACCACTGTGTGCAAAATGACAGTGGAGTAGCATTTTCAAGGCTGAAGGAAAATAAACCTAGGATTTTCAACAAAACTGTCATTCACATATAGGAATGGTACTTGGCATACAAAGGCTCAGGAGTTTTGCCTCGAAAACTTCTTGAAAAGTTTTATTTGAGGTACTTTATATAGACAGAAAAGTTCAGATTATAGTGCAAAAGATATACAGAGAAAGATTATCAAAATATCTTAACATATTTATTGTTATTTATTTATTTATTTATTTTTGGTACTGGGGATTGAACTTGGGACCTTGCGCTTGAGAGGCAGGCGCCGGAACCACTGAGCTAAATCCCCGGCCCCTATTGTTATATTTTTTTAAGCCAAGGCCAAAGAAAAAAGAAATGAGTAACCCTGGAATCTGGGTAATAGTAACATAATGTTGGTAGAGGGGAATAAATTATTTTCTTTCTGGAAAGGTGAGCTGGATATTAAGTATTTTAATTAATGCTTCAAATTAAAATTGAAATAATAAAATACAATATCAGAAAAAGATCTAAGTAAAATAATCACAATATATGTAAATCCAACAAAATCCAGATATATGCTATTCTAAGAGCCATACATAAAACACACGTACACAGGAAGGTTGTAAAAGAATAAAAAAGGAAATGAGGGCCGGGGATTTAGCTCAGTGGTTCTGGCACCTGCCTTGCAAGCGCAAGGTCCCAAGTTCGATCCCCGGCACCCCAAAAAAAAAAAAAAAAAAAGGAAATGCTAGGTAATGTACTATTCATAATTGTAATAATTGATATCAGGTAAAACAGACTTGAAGAAACTTACTTTTGAGTGGCCAGATTTATACTCTGAAACAGAGAAACTGGTGGCCAAGAAGAGACTGATGTAAGGTAAGACTGGGAGAAAGAGCCTGAGTTTTTGATGGCTCTCCAGACCCTGTGTCTAGTCTTCTGTGAAGCACCCTAGCTGTTCTTTCAGTTTCCTAGGATATCCAGATATTCTTATAAGTTTGCTTCTTTCCTTAAGCAGGTTGAAGTAGACTTCCATTATTTACAACTAGACGGGTTTAACTACAACAGTGCCTTCTGTGGGTGCTTATAACACTACTTAACTAAAGAAAGGCATGAACACAGTAAGTAGTAGACTCACCATCATCAGGTTTCTTCACAAATTTGACTCCCAGTTCTTCAAATCTTTTACAAGCACTATGTACATCAGGAACAGCAATTCCAATGTGACCTTAGGTGGCACCCACCCCCAAAAAAAAAACAATAGAGAAAAGGAAGAAATAAGAAGTTCACAAGTGGCTTCTAACACATGTTGCAAAATATAAGGCACTTGAAAATAGACTGATTTAAATAGACTTAAAATCTATAATACAGTCAAGAATAAGTATCAGTATAATGGAATAATTAGTTGTTCTGAATTATACGTTATGTAAAATAAATCAATACTGGCTTATCTATAGTTCACTCTAAACCAGCTGGGCATGGTGGTGCATGCCTGTAATTCTCAGCACTTTAGGAGGCTGAAGAGGAGGATCAAAAGTTTGATCCTGGGCAACTCAGGAGACTGTCTCAAAAAAAAAGAAAGATAAGAAGAAAAGACAGAAAAAAGAGCTGAGGCTATAGCTCAGTATAAAGGCTTTGGATTCAATCAATCCAAACAAACAACAAAAACCAAAAAACAAAACACCAAAATCAAAATAAAACTATACCAACGAAAGAGTAATCATTTGTTCATACATAATAGATATGTTTTTGGCACTGCCTATATAGCAGCCTACTAAAGCCTATAATTCTGTTATCTTGATTTGAGAGATTTCAGAACGAGACAGAAGTATACACTAGCAGAAACAGGGATTACTATTCACATAGTTGGGTTTTTATTAATTAAAAAAAAAATCTACTGGAAATACAATACTGAGACTTAAAAGTAAAATCTTTATGAGAATAAATATGTTTAGACTGAGATTCTGAAATTATACAATCCTAAGTAAGATTTATGGAAAATAAACCATACTTCTACTAAATAGATTATACTTGACAATTAGGCCACGAATGTTCTAGATGTACACATGGAAAAGCACATAAATCCATATACATTTGTATTACATACAAATAGGCAAACATACCAAATCCCCGAGGATCTGAATTACCATTGTGATAACTCTGGGTGTCATCATCTTCAGTGCCCCAGTTGCTACAAAAGGAGGGAAAACATAACTTATAGTTCTGTCCTGTAGAACAAACACTGTGAAAAGAAACCTGTCTTTCAAATCTTACCATGTGCATCCACTACTTTACATACTTGGCTTGACCCCTGCTACTAAAAATATTAAAATTTTCGACTGTAGAAAGGGCAAGCAGGAAATGTATGACTTTAACTAGACTAAAGAGACAGTAAAAGCAGATACCTGGATAAAAGCAATAATCTTAGCAGCAACTACCATTTATTGTGCTCAATACTTCATATTTCATTAAAGCCTCATAACAGCTCCATGGGCTAGATTTAAATACTTCCATTTTAAAGATGAGATGGCCACCTAGAGAGGTGATATAATTTGGTCAGGGTCATAGACCAAGGGTCAGAGCTAAGACCCATGTCTAAGTCTGTCTAGGTCTGTCTGACTACAAAGCTTTGTTTTGCTTTTGTTTTGGGGGGTTTTTTTGGTACCAGGGATCAAACTCAGGACCTTGCCACTGAGCTAAATTCCCAGCCTCCAAAGTGTGTTTTGAATCAGGGGATACACACAAAATCACACATCTGGAAACAAATGCTTTTTTGGTAGCTGTTAAAGAGTGCAGAGAAACAATGTAAAGAAATAAAAAGGCTGCCAGGGATTTCGCTTAGTGGCTCTGCCACCTGCCTCGCAAGCGCAAGGTCCTGAGTTTGATCCCTGGTAACCTCCCCCCCCAAAAAACCGAAAAAGGAATCCAGCCATGGTGACACATGCCTGCAATCCCAGCACTCTTGAGGAACTGAGGCAGGAGGATCACAAATGTGAGCCTAGCACGGGCAACTTAGCAAGACCCTGTCTCAAAACAAAAATATAAAATAAGGATCGGGGATACAGCTCAGTGTGAAGGTCCTGGGTTCAATCCCTAATACCACAAGAAATAGATATAAATAAAAAGTAAATTTTTAAAAAGGCAATGCTTATTTCTACATTTTTTCATGTTGAAAGGATAAAAATGCCTTAAAATCCAAATGTTAATTACAAAATGGTTTGATGATTTTTTAAAGTATTAAGAAAAAAATAAAAACCCAGACCAAAACAAAATGAAAAAAACCTTAATCCAGAATTTATAAAAACTTATACTCACTGTGTCAACTCAAGGGTAGCTTTTCTGGAGAATACCCATGCTACTTTTTCATTTTTATCTTTGGGGATATCATTTTTATCCTCGTAAGCCAAGAAATAGAGTGAAAATTTCATAGTAGGAAAATCTAATTTTTGGAGTAGCCTGAAATTTAAAAAATGACAAGCCTAAATCATTAACAGGAAAAGCTGATTCATAATAAAATTAACATACCTTAATATTTAAGTTGTATGAATAAAAGTTATATATAGTAAAGCTATTTTAACAGGAAAACCAAGAGAAACATCAATGAAAATCTCATTTTAAAATGCCTATTCATCTGTAGATATCAGTAAAAGCAGACTTGTAATTTATTAGTTCTTCAAATGTAATGAAATTTAACCAAATTACAGTACGTAGGGCCGAGGATTTAGCTCAGTGGTACCTGTGCCTGGCTCGCAAGTGCAAGGTCCCAAGTTCTATCCCCGGTGCCAAAAACAAACAAACAAACAAAATTACAGTACTTGTTTATAAACACAAAAAAGGATCAACAATAAAGAATTTTAGTTTTACAGAATTATATTATCCTGTTCTTTCAGATATATTCCACTCAGTTAAATACTGTACATGCATTTACTGAGTTCTTACTATGCCAAAACTTCTAGGAAAGGAAACTGAGGGTAGACAGTAAGAGAGAAGAAAGGATAGGTTAATATCTCAGAAGATGTAAATGTCAACAATAAAGTGGCTGGAGATTTAGCTCAGTGGTTTCGCTGCCTGCTGCACAAGCGCAAGGACCCGAGTTCAATCCCCGGAACCACCAAAAAACAAACAAACAAAAAAACAATAAAATGGCTAATGGTATCAAATATAGCAGAAAGGCGAAACAGGATTAACACATTCCCACTGGCTTGAACCATTGGTGGTACAAGCATGACTGTCCCATTAGACAGCTTGTACCACTGGTGGTACAAACAGATCTAATCATTCTTTTTTTTTTTTCCTTTGGTACCGGGGATTGAACTCGGGTCCTTGCGCTTGTGAGGCAGGCGACGGAACCACTGGGCTAAATCCCCGGCCCCAGATCTAATCATTCTTATTGGTCTTTTTACTAATAAAATTAATATACAGTCTTAAATGGACCGAATCTAGCTGGTTGCTTAAATCTGAATACTGTCCAAACATAAATATAAGAAATATTCGTACCAATAATAATATTGTACAACAAATTTGTTTATTTTATCAAATTAAAGGAAATTTATTTATATTTGTGAATAGTTTATCAATAATTCCCTAAATTTTAACATGGAACTCTTACAAGTACCCCATTACTGGTGTATATAATATGTATTTACAACTGTTATATCACAAATTAGCTGTATCATAATTTTTATACCATTTCAATGCTTTCCTTACAGATGTTTAGGAGACATCTGCTCTCCTAAATCAATGCCTTTCTTTGCATTCTTATAATTAAAGACCCCCTGAGAAGCAAGTGGTACAAGCCACTGGATGGGACAGTCATCCATGTACCACTGGGGATTCAAGGCAGCAGAAATGATTGAATCTAAATCAGAGCCTCCTGGCAAGGAAACACACAAATTATGGGCCTGTTTTGAATGTGTTAAGATCAGAAAAGGTCATGAGCTATGGAAAGGTCCTATGAGAGCCAAGTCAACAATGGGACTGGGAAGACAGAAGGGGGATGAGAAATGAGACAGCACCAAGTGAGGTTTGTCCGTACAAACCTCGGTGACAATGGGAGGACTGGTAAAGGAGCAGAGGGCAAGAGGCATTCTAGAGGACTTAAGCTTGTTTATAGGTTGAAAGGAAAGAGTAGGAAAGGAGAGACTTGATATGAAAAAGTGAATGAACCACTAATCTTGAGGTTTAAAAAAAGACAACTGAAGGTATAGCTTATAAAGTTTAAAGAGTTCAGACCTTGTAAGGAATAAGGTACAATGAGAATCCATAAAATACCATTCTCTTTGGATTACAGAAGATTAAGTGCTCAAAGATGACCTTGTTAATAATTAACAAGAAAAAATAATTAGTTGAGGCTTAGCAAAAGGAAAGTTTCTAGAGCTCTGCTCCAAATCTTTTATTTAATTATCATGGCTTACAATAAAGCTTGCCCACTGACATCACAAATCTGATTTACTCCAACATGTTTATAATAAAGTACCAAATACCCTACACAGTCCAAGTATGAAAAACTATCTCAGCACCCTACTAAAGCAGATTGTATAAGCCTTACTGACCAATCAGGGGAATTAAAGCAAATGAACCTGTTGCAACTGGTTTTTCTCAGTGGAGCAAATCTTCCAGGCTATTGGCAAGTTGCAAGCTATTTCAGGGTTCTTTAAAAAACAAGGTGAGCACTGGAGTCCATCAGACCTGGATTCAAATTCCTGCTCTGCCATGTGCCAACTGTAGGCTTTGGGATCAGTCACTTCATCTTTTTAAGATTTTGTTTCTTTGCCTGTAAAATGGAGATATTAGCTGCCTCAAAGGCCTACCGTGGAGACCGAATGAGGGAACGTGAGAAGTGTCTGGCAAAGAGGAGGTGTCCAATACATCTGTTTTCATTCTGTCCCTTAAATATGTCATAAATATTTTATATATATATATATATATGTTTTTGTTTTGGTACCAGGGATTGAACTCGGGACCTTGCGCTTGTGAGGCAGGCGGTGGAACCACTGAGCTAAACCCCAGGCCCTTATATTATATATATGTAAAACTACTTTTTCTTCAAAGAATCATAAGAAATGGTTAACAGCAGTTATCTTTAGGTTGGGGTAAGGGAACAAAATCATCACTTTGCCTTTTGTATTTTTCTGAACTGGTCAAATTTTCTAAACAGACATATACAGTATTAGTTAACTTGTTCTCTCAATGTCAGTGGAGAGTATCTAGATAGTAAATGAAAAATAATTTATTTTATATAGACACATATATTATCAAAAGCAAACCAAAACTCATGTTATTTAGGGAAATGAACCAAGAAAAATAAAACTGTCAATTGTACTTCAATAAAGATGGAGAAAAAAAGAAAAAGAAACATAAATGTGTTTTGAAGATTATAAGATCAATAGCTGTTTAGCAAAAGAGGACGCAGCCTATAAACAAATGAAATAGAGGGCCAGTTTTAGGTAAACTCATTCCCTTTCTGAGTACTTTGTCCTTACATTTACATTTTCTGATGTAAATAAGAGGCTAGGACAGGTGGTAGCACATGCCTGCAATCCCAATACTCTAGGAGGCTGAGCCAGGGCAATTTAGAGACTTAGCAAGACCCTGTCTCAAATAAAAAGAATCAAAAATGGATGGGAATGTATCTTAGTGCGAAAGCTCTGGGTTCAATCCCCAGTACTGAAGAAAACAAACAAACAACCCATCCAAGAAGCTAAAATTGGTCAGAATATCAAAAAAGGTTTGAACATATTAAGGATTTAGCTAGCAGCTCTCAAGGAGAAGAAAATATGAAGAAAATGCATCTGAGCCTGGTCAAAATAAAGGAACATACCCTAAGGCCTATCTAGTTAGGACTTCTTGGAGATTCCTGGCCAAAATAAAGATTTGTTTCCTTTGAAACAAACTTTAAGTGGTCTGGAAACAATCCCTTTATTTGTAAAGCTATAGATTTAAAATGAGGTGCTAATATATATTTTACTTACGTCATTCCAAGAACTCTAGTATAAAAATCCAACGACTTCTTAGGATCCTTAACTCGCAGCATAGTCTGCTGCAACAGAAAATCCTAAATACAAACAGCATATATTAAATACCTTCAACTTTTGCCACTTCTTGGCATTATTGATTGTTCTTAAGGACATACAAATAGTCCACCATTATAACACAATATCAAGGGGAAAAACAAAAAACTGGTACTTACAGCCTACGATAAAAACCAGCATGCCTATCACCTATAACGTATAGCTCTCTGCCAGTGTTTTCTAGTTGGAGGCCCCTGTGTGAGGCAGCTCAAAACTTGCCAACAATGGTGGTACACTCCTGTAATCTGAGCACTCAGGAGGCTGAGGCAGGAGGATGGCTGCAAGATGGAGGCTAGCCTAGGGTACATAGTGAGTTCAAGGTGCACCCTTCGATAGCTCAGCTGGTAGAGCAGAGGACTGGAGACCTGACAGATATCTGTGGAAATAGTGAGTTCAAGGCCAGCCTGAACTACATAGTGAGATCTTGTGTCAAATACACACACACACACACACACACACACACACACGCACACGAATACCAGGAATGACCCTCAACCAGTGGTAGATAAAAAAAAAATCAGGCTTTCTTGCTCCTTGGTGAGACAGTTCTGAAGCACCTTCTACATAGTTCCTCACAGGTTTCCCAGCAAGACTGAACTCCAGTTGCCCACAATGATAATAACAAGTTTGACCACAATAACAGCTGTTGAATGAATGCATAAATGCCCTTCTTGAAATATTTACTGGTAACCATGTAAATTAGCAAGGAGTTACTCAAAAGATTCTATTTTTTTACCCCTAAAAGTTAAATTACCATCTCTTAACAGCTTTGAGAAACCCTTCAATTTCTACATCAGGAAACAGAAGGTTTGAAGGACAAAAGGGTAGAGAATATATAAATTCAGAGAGTTAAGATTATTATCAGTGTTGCTTAGGGGTACAGAATCCCTATGATGTATTCTTACCTATAAGTACTAATACTCCCACTCTATAGATGAGAAGCTGACACTGAGTGATTAAATTAATTCTCCAATTCTAAATTCAGGCCACAGAAGGTACCTTTAACCATAGGTAGCTTCTAGTTATGAGCCTTAACCTCATCAGTCCTCAACAGTTTTACTGTTATACCCATAGACTTGACAAAACAGGCCTGAAAATTCAACCACTCCTTTTGCAGCTGCATAGCTACCATTCCCCTGTAACTCACATCATACGAACACAAAAACTTTATTCATTCTGCATCATTAGGAAATGATATTCTTCTATTTTACTAATTTTAAAACATTAAATTCTCATTTAAAACAAAACTAGCTTAAAAACTACTGTATCTTAGCCAAGTGTGGTGGAACACACCTGTCATCCTAGCATTTGGAACACTAAGACAGAAGGACTGAGTTCGAGGCCAGCTGGGGCTACATGGAAGGTTGAAGTCTGGCCTCCACTACACAGTGAGACCCTGTCTCAGAAGAGAAACAAAAAATAAAAACCAAAAAACTCTACTATATCTTATAATCACATATAAGGCAGTTGGCTCTGAGGTTCCACGTTTTCAGAATATTTAAATTGCTTTTCCCAGCCTAGGATGCTCTCCTAATGGTCTGTGTTAATAAGCATGTGAGAAAGAAATGCAGCTCTTGATAAATGTGCACTGGCCTTGCACTCCGAGCTATGGTTTGGTTTTCCCCTGTGGAACGTAGTCACAAAAACACCTAGAAAGTCATTCTGTGACTGCAATGAGTTGAAACCAAAAATTTTTTTAAATTAAAAAAAAAATTTTTATAAAGCAACAAGATTTCTTCCATGTAATTGCCTGTCTGAGCTCAGATTAAAACCAGCCACACAGAACACTCCAAAAATGGCAGTCATGTGCCTCTTTCAGCTAATGTGGGTGACTGTCCCTTCCCTGTCAGTTAGTGCTTGCTCAGGGATGCCAACTCCAGACAAAATCTGTGGGCTCGTTGAGCCAGACCATGGCATTTCAAAGACTACCTGGCAGATCTCATGGGGCTAAGCTGCCCTCTCCACACTAGACTTGGTGCTCAGCCAATGTCTGCAGGGAGTTGTAGATAAGAACTAAATTTTAAAGATATCCTTGATTATTCTACCAAACATTAACTTAGGTGCTGCTAGGAGGGACTTTACTGATGGAATTAAGGTTACTAACCTTAAAAATACAGTACTATGATTCTCTGTACTACAACAGTCAGCTATCCCTCGGGCCCTTGTCCTTCTTCCTTCCTCTTTTCTCTATTCCCTATTCTCCCCATCTCTCTCCAACTCTGCCTGGCTGGCTCCTCCTTATTTGACAAAACTCAACAGTCATCAACACTGAAAGTTTTCTTGGACACCATTCCCTACCACTCTGATGGGACAGGGGCTTGCTCCATTAAAAAAAAAAAAGCTATCTATCTGTCTATCTATCTATCTGTCTGTCTATCTATCTATCTCTCTGTCTATCTATCTATTTCTGGGTTGTCTTTATGTCCCCTTTACAGACTCAGGCCAAGAGCCCTGCTAAAGTCACTGTACCAATGAAGTGAGGATTCAAATGTAGATCTTCAGACTTCGTTATGCCCTGTGCTTAGACCACATTTAGACACTACCTTTGAAAACCTCTTACCTCCTCTGTGTTCCCAGAATACTTTATAATCTCAACACTTCATTAATCCCAGGTCCACCTTATTTACAGTTGGTGTACGTTTGGCGAAGGGACCTTTATCCCAGTACCCTCCCAAAATTCCTACCATGATTTTTGCATAGAGAGGTCAATCAACATCAATGAATCAATCAATTCATTGAAAAAAATTTTTTTCCAATTCATGGCAAAGTCCAAAACTACTGCTTGAATCAGTACCCAAAAGCAGACAGGGTGGAAGCTGGATGTATGGGTCACCCCCTGGGCAAAACAGCCAACATCTCTTGTCTAAATCTCCTTGTTTGGAAAATGCTCTGAGGGCTAACTTAAGCAATGTCCTTAAAACACCAAGTCAGGGCCTGGCACCCTTAATATGTACCACTTAATATTACCTATTCCATTTTAAGTCTCCACATGGTACTGACAAGGGTCAAAAATTATTGATCTTAAAAAAATTATTTCAAATCATCAAGAGAAACTTAATGTTGAATGTAAATTAAGGTGCAAGGAAGTTTATCTACAATATCAGCACTCTGGGAGGCTGAGGTAGGAAGATATCAAGTTCAAGTCCACGCCAGGCAACTTATCAAAACTCTGCCTGAAAATTTAAAAAAGGAGCTGGGGCTCAGTGTAAAGGTTCTTCACACTTCACACTTCAATTTCCAGTACTAAGGTAGGAGGGAAAAGCCACACAAGGAAGTGTATTTAATGTATTTTTAAAGGTCCCCCCTGGAATCTCTGTGTGTGAAGACTGAATTCAAGGCCAAATGCATGCTTTCTACCACTAAGCTACTACCCCAGGCCCTGTAATCTTTTTTTGTTTCAAATAGCCCAGTACATAAAATCCCTAGTTATCTGGGAAATTAATTTCCACTGAATGATTCTATTTATAGTATATAAAATAACTACTCATATATAACTGAGAAGAGTAGCTAGAGCTACAAAATGCTTCAAAATCCTGGACCATTCTCCACTACCTACTATACAAAATCTAACTTTCATTGATGTGACATTCAAGATTCTCTTCATGATTTGTCTCCAACCTACCATGTTAGCATTGCTTTTCCTTACTCCCTTCCTTTTGTAGTCGTGTTGTTCCTAACATTGTTTCTAAGCTTTAGCAACTAGATGTCAGACTCTGCCCTGAAGGCACAGAACAAGGCGAGATCAAAGTTACCGACCATCTATCTGCCTCTTTTTGGTAGAGGTCTGCATTAAGTCCAAAGTCAATCTTCTGGGAATTTGCAAAGAAATAAGTACAAACTTGTGCACTGATGACTACACAGGAATAAACTCTGATGATGACACAGCAATAAACACCGGCCTCATTTTGACAAGGCAACAGGCAACACAACTGAGTACACTGACTCAATATAGTTGTGTTAAGCAAGCGAAAGCCTGCATATTCAACAGGTCACTGCACTTCCTGGCTCACAACTACTAAAACGACAGGGTTGGAGAGGGAATTTGTAAGATTCTCTTCAGGTCTAAACTCCACGATGTGTCACCCAGGGGCCACCACGCTCCACCAACGCATAAGTGTGGTTGCAAGCAACACCCAAAGCCAAGCAAAGGAGCGATCGCAGTAGTCTGGAGGAGCTGAGCTGTTGGCAGGGCCACTACGAAAAAGGGTCGCGGCTAGGAGGGCCCAGCATAGTTAGGGACCTCTGAACCTAGGAGTGGGAGTTCTGAAACTGCTCTCCTTGTCGGCCAAAGCGATTGAGCTGGGGAACACGAGGACCAATGACAAGGAACTTGACCATGGTTTACCCTGGCTTCCAGACACCTCCCCAAATAAAACAAGTGAACAGAACTTGGGCCACAGTCTGTTTGAAACAATATGAAGAACATTCTTCACAGGTCCCCACAGGTGCCTCCATTATCCTTTCCAATCCACTCCCGTCCGCCTAACGCCGGCCGGCCTGCAGCGATGGCCAGTCGGGGTTCGAAATCGCCCCGCCAGCCCAGGCTGAGCCCCAGGATCTGCTCCCTCCGGAGGCCACGCGGGTGGACGCCCCATGCCCACCTTGGTGCTGGGATCTGAGTCCGAGCAGCAACTGAGTGCGACCTCGTCAGTGAGGCCGCCAGACGCAGGCTGAGGTTCGGCCATGGCCACTGCAAGTTATTAGCGACGTTGGAACGGGGATTAGGCTGTACTCTCGCAATGAACGCTCCCCTGTGCTGCTTCCACTAGAGACAGCGAGATGGCGCCACGGGGCGGGCCGCAACTGATTTCAAGCCAATCGCTGTGCGGAGAGCAGCTGGCTCGCTGATAATTGGGTCCCTCTGGATCAGCGCCGCCGAGTAAAGACTACAATTCCCAAGGTCCCTTGAGAATAAAGGAGGTCCGGTTTCAAAAAAATCTGGCCAGTGATAAGGTCGGTTTCTCCGTTGCTCAATGACCTAATTTTGTTTCTGCTTAACTGTTAAAATTCAGTAACTACCCATATTTCAGGATGGGAGTATGTGAGAAAATTGGAATCTGATGGAAAATGACAATCGGGAGTTATTCTTTTTAAATTATAAATATCCAAAGCTTGTTTTCTCAGTTTGAGAAGTCCAGAATAGGCTTTTTAAAACCCTCTGGTTTAGTAGAATACCTAGGTTCAAGTTTTGCTTCCACTCAATATTAGCTCTAGTATCTTGGAATAATTATTGATTCCCTTTGAGCCTTCATACAGTATTTGGTGAGAAATAAAATTTAAGTCATGGTTTTGTACTGGCACTGCAAAGTGAAACTTTTAAAGTTAGATTTTTTTTTTTCCTTCTAGAGATAAACAACTCCAAACTTCTTCAGGCTGAGCACATAGCTAATAACTGCCTCCTGGGCCGGGGATTTAGCTCAGTGGTTCCGTCGCTTGCCTCACAAGCTCAAGGACCCGAGTTCGATCCCCGGTACCAAAAAACAAACAAAAATAACTGCCTCCTCTCCTCAGCCCAAAAGAAGTGACTGAATATGCAGATGCCACCAGCATAAGGAGGGGAACCTGGTTTCCTTTCCATAAGAAAGAGGAGAATGGGTTGAAGATGCCTGGAATTGATAAACCAAGCCTGGAGATCTGCATTGTCTCTCTGTGCCCTCCCCCCTTTCCTTACTATACAAGACCCTTGCCTGTCTGCACTTGGTGAGTTGGTGATTTGAGGCAAATGAGCCTTTCCATCTCCTGGAAGCTAAGTTTGAATGAGTCCTTTTTTCCCTTTTCACAAAAATATATGGCCTCCTGTTTCGCCGCCTGCTGCGCAAGCGCAAGGACCCGAGTTTGATCCACAAAAAAAAAAAAAAAAAAAAAAAAAGCCTCCTTTGATTTGGTCGGCAGCGAGCCTATGAACCTAAGGGTATGAACCTAAGTGGTCTTGATTATGTGGGAGCCCAAAATATGGCATCGCAAATATATAGTAACTAAGACAGAATGATGGGGATAGTGACAGAGAACAGTAAATGGAAAATTTGGTAGACAGTTCTAAAATGACCCAGCGATCCCCACCTGCTGGTACTCAGGCTTTTGTGTAATCCACTCTACTAGGGTATTATATTAGTCAGCTTTTCTGTTGCTGGGACAAAACTCCTGAGATATACAACTTAAAGGAGGAAAACATTTATTTTGGTTCCTGGTTTCAGAGGTTTCAACCCATGGTTGATTAACTCCAAGGCAGAAACATCCTTTTGGAAGGGCATAGTAAAGGCCACCTCCTGCCCCCAACTCATTGCAGGAAAGAAAGAGAGCAAAGGAAGAGCCAGAGAGGAAGGGCCTATGGACCGGATATAATATCTAGTCTCTGCTTTTGTCTTCACATGCATTGTTCCCAATAATTCTGTGTCTGTACTCTTCCTCCTCTTTGTATTATAGAGATACAAGTCATAGAATTTAGGGTCTACCCTAGATTGCAGTGGTCTCTTCTTGAGATCCTTAACTTAATTGCGTATATTAAGACTATTTCCAAGTAAGATCACGTTCATAAATACTGGAAGGTAAGACTTGGATATATTTGGGGGTTTTTTTCTTGTTTTGTTAGTAAAAGTCAAGTTTAGAAAAATCTACTCAGTATATTTAAAATACTTTTATGACTAAAATTATTTTCCTTAATGGACATCCATTTTATTAGTCATCTAGATTCCCATTGAGTTTTTTGCATTGGCTTTTGTTTTAATAGAATGAACAATTAAACAGAATATAAGTGTGCTGTTATAGCCCCAAACTGATGATCCTAGAACAGTGGTGGTGAACCTATGGTATGTGTGCTGCAGCAGGAACACAGGGCCCTCTCTGCACTGAAATTGCTCCAGCAGCAAAGCATCGGATGCTGGGTTTAATTGCAGCGTTGGCACTTTGCCATAAATAAGTTTTGGGTTGCAGTTTGAGCACTAGGTCTCTAAAAGGTTTACCATCACTGTCCTAGAAAAAAAGTTTGAAGGAATAAGCTGTGGATAGTTAATATTTATGTATACTTTACTTGAAAGCTGACTACTTCAATTGCTATATGATAACCATGTTAAGACAATTAGAGCATAATGTTATGGCTTGTGTCTAGATGTCCCCCCAAAGCCTCATGCAGTCATAGGTGGGACTTTTCAGAGGTGGTTGGATCTAGGGCATCTGATACTGGGATGAAGGGTGTGATGCTGTAATTAAGGATGTGTGATTACTAAATTAGTCCACTGATTGGTTTAGCATAGTTCTGGGTATGCATAATGAGAAGGCTCACTCTGGGTGTTGTTGACACCACCCAAAAGGCTGGTAGCTGGGATGGGATAAAAGGGATAAAAGGAAGAGGCAGGGCCAGGGATTTAGCTCAGTGGCATAGCACCTGCCTGGCAAGAGTGAGGTCCTGAGTTCAGTCCCTGGTTTAAAAAAAAAAAAAGAGGAAGAGGCAGGCTGCCGCTGCTTCTGTTTGCTACTGCTTGCTGCTTTGCTGTCTCCTGTCTGCTTGCCATGGACTATTTCTCCTCTGTGATGCCCCTCTGCTGTGCCACCTGCCTCAGAGCCAGCCGACTATTGACTGAAACCTCTACAAAATGTGAGCTGAAATAAACCTTTCCTCCTTTAACTTTGGGTGTCAAATATGTTGTCTCAGCAACAAGAAAAGTAACTAAGACACATAATAAATATTGATAATCTGTACACTTTAATTGCACATTCCCTACATCTAGACTTTCCCAGTTGGTAGTTTTGACATTTTTATTTCTGTCAATACTAGCATCCTTTGCTCAGTTGATAAGGCTTAAAACCAAACTCATCATGGAGTCATAGATTTTTGGAACTTAGAAATTACCTCATGTTTTTCATTTTATTTTTTAAATGAGAACACCCAAGATCAGAGCAATTTCATGACCCGAAGGTTATTCAACTAATTAGTTATTTATTGGGTAGCACAATCACAGGACTAAATCTCAGGTTTCCTGATGACCAGTTCAGTATTTTTCTTCACTATATACACTAATACTAAATATTAATAACAGCTGCCATTGATTAAGCCATTTCCATGTGCTACTGTGCTTGTATATAGATAGATAGATAATCTATATAAATCTCCTATTGGATTTTCAGGGACATTTACTTCTTAAAGTCTTGCACTTAATGTGACAGATATGCTACATGGTGTTTATCTTCTATTACAGCTCAAGAGAACTCTGTCAAAGGTCCAGCTTTCCTAAATCCCAGGCATTCTCAGGAGTGCTACCACTTGACAGTGTTCCATGAACCTATTTTTTTGCCAGTCAGTGACCATTGCCATGGTGCTTGCTACCAACCAAAGACACTGACACACATTTTTAGAAGAAAAGCTCTATTTAGTATTATTCTCTATTTAGTATGATTCTTCAGAATACACTTTCACATGAACAATTTGTCAGTTAAGACATGTAGGTGGGGGCCGGGGATTTAGCTCAGTGGTTCCGGTGCCTGCCTTGGAAGCGCAAGGTCCTGAGTTCAATCCCCAGTACCAAAAAAAAAAAAGAAAACATTCAGGGCCAGGGACTTAGCTCAGTGGTTCCAGCTCCAGCCTTGCAAGCGTACGGTCCCAAGTTCAATCCCAGTCCCCCCCCCCGCCAAAAAAAGACATGTAGGTGGGTATATTTGAAACTCCTTAAGAGATATAATACTCTGCAATTAGTTTCTTACTTTAACAGAATACATAGATGCACCTCTGGCAAGGAGAGATGGCAAGGAATAAAACCTGCCACAGCTCCATAAGTGAGACAATGGGACCAATGGACAAGAAAGAGACACTTATTATTCACAACCTGATAGGTCTCCCACTACCTGAGCAGCTATTATGGATAGTAGCTGCCCTCTTCCTATTGTGCCTTGACCCCTCCCCTGCGTGCTGTCATGCCAAGATGGTGGCTCCCACCAAAGAACAAACCCTTCTTCCCTGCATGCCCCTGTTCCCGCCTAGAGAGTAACCTAATACTCACTCACCTCCTACCATCTAGTGATGTCACCGGCTCCTCCATTCCCTAGTCACTACCTCACTCAACCCCACCTCAGCCCCTACAAACCCCACCCCAGTCCCTATAAAAGACACTCCCTGCCCCAGCCATATTGCTTTTGTCTCTCCTTTGTTCAGAGACAGCCCGGCAGATCTATTCCCCTAATAAAGGCTTGTTGTGGCCTGGTCTGGTCTTGGTCTTCGGCCTTTTACCTGACACAACCCAACAAGTGGCAGGAGTTTCAAGAGGGGAGGGGGAGAATATATTCCCCTTTTACCCAGCCACAGTGAACACCACCACAGGCCCCTACGGCCAGGCAGTGATTGTGCAGCAGCTAAGAAATGCAAGGCTAAAGACTCAGCTTCTTTTGTAGTGAGCAATAAGCAAGCTAGTCCCTCTCCCCTGGGAGGTGAGCAGTTAGTTGTGCCTTAGTCATGTAGTGGTTGCTCGGGCCTGCTTGTGTGCCTACAGAGTAAATGCTAAGGAAACAGCTCAAGCTCAGACTGGGTTACCGGAGATTTAGGGCAAAGACCCTGGCTTTATAGGTCTCAACAGACCAGTTTTGTCCACCCACCCTACAACGCCAATCAAAGAGACAAGCAATGGGGAAGGGCAGAAAAGGAACTTTAATCAGCATGGCCATGATGGGAAACACAGCAAAGACTAAAGACGTTCAAGATCTATCTTCAAGGGGCTGATGGAAGCTTTGAGATTTTATGGAGCAGGAGAAAAGCAAGGCTTGAGGTTTTGCACAGCTGGAGCAGGGTAGATTTTCCAGACCTCATGCCACAAAGTTTGACCTTACTTAAAAAAAAAGACACCATGATACCACATCAGGAAGTTGCAGGAAAAGTACAAATGTACTGGAAAGGGAAAGAGGTAGATTTTGAGAAGAAATCAGTTTTCTTCACTCTCTCCAGTCTATTGGAGCAAAGTGGCTCAACAGGAAGCATTTTATACCACTCCAGTGAAACAGTAACTTTAGAAGTTGTAAAGGTCACAGAAAACTAACTTTCTTTCTTTCTTTCTTTCTTTCTTTCTTTCTTTCTTTCTTTCTTTCTTTCTTTCTTTATCTTTCTTTCTTTTTCTTTCTTCCTTCCTTCCTTCCTTCCTTTCTTCCTCCCCCTCCCCCTCCTCTTCTCCCTCCCCCCTTCCCGCTTTCTCTTCTTTCTCTTCTCTCTCCCTTTCTCCTTTCTTTCTCAGTCTGGCTACGTAGTCCAGGCTAATCTCTGCTTCCTGAGTGCTAGAATTACAGGCATGCACCACCGTGCCCGTCTTGAAAACATCATTTTATGTTTATTTGCACCTTTCTATGCCAATCCTTCCAAGGCACCTTGGCACCTTGGCACCTTCCCAAGTCCCTAGTGTCTCTCCCCACACCTCAATTTTCACTCCTGGGGAGGTCCCCTAAACAATGTTTCACTTCTCAGGCTGGATGGGTGGGTGCTCTTTGGGGATCCCGGGGGGTTCGGAGCCACGCAGGCGCCCGGGCTCCGTTGGCAGGGCTCGGGCTCCCAACGGCCGCGCCTCTGGCAGCTGCTGGCTGAGTGGTTCGAGGTTGCGGAGATCAGGTGAGTGCGCAGCCGGCCGCCTCCTTCCCCGGGACCCTGGCCCACCTCCTGTTGGGGACTGGTGTTCATGTTGTAATCCAGCTCCCCATCTCTGTGAGTGGAAGCCCGGGAACAAACACCCTGCTACACATCTCGGAAACACTGGCCCAGTCCGTGACTTTACCCTATGCTCCCTGTAAAGAACTCAAAAGTAAGCGGCTGGGGTGCCAGTGTCCAATCCCCAGCACCACTTTAAAAAAAGGAACACAGACACACAGACAGACAGACAGACAGACAGACACACACACACACACACACACATTTTCTCCAGACAAAATGCCTATCCCTCCAGACATGTTTTCTGTTTCTTTACCGTCCTTATTGAGCTACAGCCCTAAGGTCGTGTTCCGGAATTCCCCACTCCCCTAGGCTAGCTTTTTGCATCCACAATTCTCACCTTCCACGTAAAAGCTCCCCTCTCCCAACTCTTCCTCAGACCTGACTCCAAGATTTCCCCCGAGGAGTTCCTTTGTCTGCTGGGTCCCTCAGCCCTTTGTTAATTCTCTTTTTATGGACATCGACCTCTCTGTGCTGTACTTGGCTGGCTGTCTCTCCGATTTGATTGTGCATTTTGTTAGGAGGGGCTCCTTACTCCCCCATGTAGCCACGCACACAGAGCAGCCTCAAAAATCGGGATAGGGTTGCAGAAACAGTGCAAGAGGAAAGGGCATGATTGAATTGCCTGCACGTGCTGCGATATTGCAAGGCAGTAGGAGTCCAATGTGCTATTGTTCCTGAAAATGAGTAGGAATGACTTTATAGAAGTTCACTCAACTCCCCAAATTGAGATTAAGAAGATGGCATGGTGGGGAATGAAAGTGACTGCATGTGGAGGAGACAGCTGGGAGAAGGCGAACAGTGTTTGTTCCTCATTCACTTTGTCTTCTTTCAGCCAGCACAATGTAAATGCTTGGAGTAAACTTATAGGGAATTTAAAGTCCTCATCTATAAGTCCTAAGACATATAGAGAAAAATAAAGACACACTCGTAGATTACTGCGTATGATACACGTACAGTACAAGTAAAATATGCACACCATGTTTTTTTAAAAAAAGAATTGTACAGAATGTTATAATACCGAAACACAAAATTCTTTTTTTTTTTTGGTACTGGGGATTGAACTCAGGTCCTTGCACTGGCGAGGCAGGTGGCAGAACCACTGAGCTAAATTCCCGGCCCTACAAAATTCTTATTCTACTTCCTCCAGTCTCTTTCATTTCTAAGTGATTATTGTTAATAATTTACTGTATGTTGTCTCTGGACAGCTTATAATATATTTGTCAAACCTAGGTAGTGATTATAATTTTATGGAGTTGCATAAATGCAAAATACATGTGGATAACTGCATAAAGAAAAGAGGATCAAGAAAGAAAAAGTGAGCCGGGGATTTAGCTCAGTGGTTCCATCACCTGCCCCGCAAGCACAAGGTCCCGAGTTCGATCCCCAGTACAAAAATAAATAAATAAATAAATAAATAAAAAAGAAAGAAAAAGTGCTGCCAGTTAAATCTTCTTGAAGTGTACATTTTAGAAATGATGCAATGCCATATATATGCATATATGGACACTGTTAGAAATTTATATAGTTACTCTCATTATGCAATGTACTACACCTGGCTTTTTAAAAACATGCAACATGTTTTGCAGAGCTTTCCATACTACACATACAGCCCTGCCTCATTCTGTTTATCACTAATGTCTTCATTAAAATTTCATCGAATGGGGCTGGGGATTTAGCTCAGTTATTCCGTTGCCTGCTTCGCAAGTTCAAGGACTCGAGTTTGATCCCCAGTACCAAAAAACAAATTTCATCGAATGGGATAGGACAGTATAATATAGTTACATAATGGGTACCGTATTAAGGTACATCACAATTGCTTCCAAGGTATAGGTTTGTTTTCTTGCTGTTATAACACATATACCATGTATCTCGTGTATAAATATTAAATTATTTTACATTTGCTAAGGTTTTTTCCATTTCAATTGTATAATCTATTAAGTTTCACAATAGTTTTTAAGAATTCTTCTATAGCCAAATGTGATGATGCATGCCTGTAATCTCACCGCTATGGTAGACTGAGGCAGGAGAATTGCAAGTTCAAGGTTAGTCTAGGGACCTTAGCAACTTAGTGAGGCACTGCCTCAAAATAAAAAATGAAGGGGCCGGGGATTTATCTCAGTGGTTCTGCCGCCTGCCTTGCAAGAGCAAGGTCCCAAGTTCGATCCCTGGTACCTAAATAAACAAATAAATAAATAAAAAGGGCTGAGGATGTAGCTCAATGAGAAGGCCCTGTGTTTAATCCCCAGTCCTGGGGGAAAAATTATTCTATATAAATAGTTGTTTATATTTTCTAACTTAAATTTAAGTAGCTGAATTACTCTTTGAAAATGATGATACTTCAGTAAAATTCACTATGTGCTAAGTAAGATTTGACATTTGAAAGCCATGTAGAAAATACATCCTAAATTATTTTATTAGAGGAAAAATTCTACAACTTCTCTAAGCAAAATCTCTTCAAAATGGCAGTGGTCAGGTATATATGTTGACAGTCTTAATATATGATTAACTTTTTTTTTTGGTACCGGGGATCGCAGCAAGCAACAAAACCACTGAGCTAAATCCCCAGCCCCTTGATTAACTTTTAAAAAATCTAAACTATAAAGAATTATCTAGGATCTATTTTTTCCTCAGTTACAATAGTGACTCGTACCTGGTTATCAATTCCGGTGTTCACAGACCACTAACTAAAAAGACTTCATAGGTTCAGAAAATAAAAGCTGATCCTACCCCTAGCTTGAAATAAACAATATTCAGCACAAATTCAACTCTTTACATAGGACACGTATTCTGTAAGAAGTAATCTAGTAAATCCCAGAAATTAAGTGCTGGTGCTTTTCTCTTTCTTTCGAGGAGCCTAAGATAAGAAGACACATACAAATGTGGAAAATATATGTATAGAATATTTGAACATGTTTGTCTGAGTTTAACCATATATTATGTTTAATAGACTACCAGATAAGCAGAGTAACTACCAATGAGCACTTTCAGTATACTTTATTATAAACTCGACCAATTTTTTACTAGATTTCTGAAAACTACTTAGGAATGTTGGAATTAAAGCACCAAGTAGAACTGAACCTATGCCTTATTGTGATAACATTGTCTCTGCTTGTACAAAAATAGCATTTATTATTTTACTTAAACTGATTCTGAATCCTTGATGTTTGTGGACTTTTGGAAGAATGAACATGATATGGCCTAATTCTAAACTTTTTTCCAATTAGATTCTCCTCCTTTGACCTGTTCATAGGTTTTCATAGCTGTGCTCTTTACTTTTGTCTTTAGATTGGTTCTCTCTGCTTCTTATTGTATTATACTCATCCTTCAAGGCCAATTACTGTGCAAATATTAAATATTTTATTTTGTCTACACTTATTTCTTCCTTTTATAAATTCAAGGCCAATTACTGCTCAAATATGAAATATTCTATTTTGTCTATGTTAATTTCTTCTTTTATAAATTCCTTTTTTGGCAGGAATTTGTAATTTAACGCTTTTGATTGATTCTTGTAGATTACCTTATCTCTCAAATAAGCCCATGACGTCTTGAGGACCTGGATCTTGTCCTGCTTTCTATCCCCCAGAGTAAATATCAAGGTACCAGGAATGTAAGAAGCTGTCCAACACTACTGGACTCAACCAGCACATGTATTCACCATTATTCTGAAATTAAATCAACTTTTGCTTTCGTTACTGAAACCAGACAATCATGCCTATCAATATCCTTTGAGGAAAAAATACTCTCTTACCGAGTAAAGTGAATTGTTTTGCAGGATTCAGGAGCAAAGTGATAGGCATTTGATATGACTTCACTAACATGTATCATCATACTTGCTTCTCAGTTAAAGGTTGTATGACCAACTTCTCTAGGCCAGTTCAAGTGGTCAAAATGTAATGTGCACACAACTCCTGGGTGCTGTAGCTCTTTCTTGTGTCCAATAATAACCCAGACACATTTAGTTATTTTCCAAGCAAATTTGCTCATGTGTGAAAAAACATTAGATTGGGGTCAAGCATCAAAGCAAAACCCAGAATTAATAAAAGAGAGGGGAGAGAAGGGAAATTAAAAAAGACAAAAATCCCACTGCGGATAGTTTGAGAATAATGATTCTGGTTCATATACTTTGAGCGTGGTGAACTGGTTAGCTAGCATCTAAATCATAAATTTGTATGGGTATTCGTGTCCTTGGATAGGCTAAGGATATCAAGAAAACAGTTTCCGCTGAGTTCTCTGGAAACCATGGAGAGGGCAATTATGGAACACAGAGACACGCTGTATCTGTGTCCTGTCTGCTGGTGTTCTGTCATAGGAAGCTTCCTCTTAGGCCAGGTTTGCACCAGTGTCTTCCTGTGAATTACTCACCAAGAGAATCTCATTTTGTGACTTCTTGTCTGTGTGAGAATTTATTCTTTTGTTCTCCAAGTATTTACTATATTCTGGTTTCTAGATTTTGGTGGGGGGCTGATATACCAGAGATTGAACTCAGAACCTTGCACTTTTGAGGCAGGCAGTGGCATCGCTGGGCTAAATCCCTGGCTCTCTGGTTTCTAGGTTTTAACCATACCTGAAAAGTTACTTTGATGGAGGCTTCGTGATTGTCCTACAATATGTTTTTTGTTTCTAGCTGACATTTCCTCTCACTCCCCTGAGTGTCCCTTCATTTTCCATGGTTTTGTGCTTGTGATAACTTCTTCACTTCTTCATAATTGAAGCTTTTGTGATTGGATGGGTTGTATTTATATGTTATATGGTAACATTGCTTCAGTATTTCACATTGCTTCAGATTTTCACAATCTCATTTTAGTATGAACTTTGTTCTTGGATTTGTGTTTGACTGCTAAGCTGATGTTTCTGGTTTTATGGGCTTTGATAATGCTCCTCAGTTGAGATGGCTGGACTGTTAGGTGTCTGATTGATGAAGTGTATTCTATCACAGACTTCCTCAAAGCAAGGCATATTTCAAGACCCTGTAGTTCTTTCCTTAGAGTCTTTTGTCTGTATCTTGTCCCTGATCTCCATTCTGGCCTCTGATACAATGGCTCTGAATCTTTTTTCAGCCCTAAAACACCCAAAGACAGGTGCCTTCCTGTCAGTTGCAGTGGTTACTATTGCTGCCGACCAGCTGAGGGTTCTTTTTTCCAATTTGGATAGAAATCTCAAGTTGGCATAAGGCTGCTCACTTGAGGTTAGTAGCTCCTGGCTTTTCAGTGTCAGTGAATCTCGTGCCTTTGTGCCACAGCTGGGCCTTGAGTGCCAGTGCCCTTTAGCCCCTCTTTATACTTCTTGTATTATGGTTCTTAGGGTTGCAGCCTCCAGCGACCACTCCATCAGCTCCACTGCAGCTAGAGGAAAAGATCAGGAGTAGGAAGTAAGATCACTGTAGGAGGAACTGTACTGTTAATCATGGCCCATTGGGGTGAAAGCGACCCTGGGGAACATCAGCAACAAACTCCTGGTGTCTCCTCAATCTTTGTTGTAAAGTTAAAACACAATTTTTTTGAGCGCTCTGCAGAGAGATACCTAGTCATGATCCTTCCATGGCTGTTAGGGGAAAAGGGAAAAAGAAAGGGTCGGGCCTCTTCTGTTTCTAGCTCACTTTTACAAGGCTGGGAGGTGTGTCCGGTAGCTTCTTCAGATAATACCTTAAGGGAGAAGCAGGTGACTGCCCCCTGCCTTGCTTCAAGGGGAAGAATACAAATACAGCACATCCAACTGCTTGTACACTTTTAAAAGAAAACATCTTATAATTGTAGGGAAAGGAGGGAAATCATGAATACAGAAGAAGCCGGCCCACCCGCTGTGGCAAGAGAAGCTCCTGCCTCTGAGGAAGAGACAGCTCCGCCCCCTCCGGAAGAGGCAGAGCCCGGGGAAGAGGCTGTTCCTCTTCCTGTAGGGAGCGCTGTGCCTTCTGTGACCAACTATCGGTCGCTCCTTCCTGATGATGAAGAGGATCCCAAAGCCCAGGAGCCTAGGGTTCGCCCTAGGATTGCACCGCGCCCCGTGGACTCCGTGCTTTCTGAAGTGCTCTCCGAGTCTTCCCGGCGGTCCTCCAAATACCGCCGAAGTATGAGTGGTATTCCAAACCTACAGGAAACTCTGAAAGAGAAACAGGTTTGCTTTTACAAAGATGTTTTTCATGCACAATATTTTTAAGTGAAATATTTTGCCCGTGTTTTCTTCATAATTACAATTTTTTAAAAATGTGGTTTCATTCTTTAGGCAAGATTTAGAGAGGCAAGAGAAAACCGAAAAATGAAAATTGACCCAGGATACAAATATATATTTGAAATTCTAGCAGAGAAACTGGGCCTGGACCTACCAGCTGTTGAAGAATTAATTTTGGATTGTCCATCTGTAAGTTCAAATCTTTCTATAATAATAATAATAATAATTTCTTTTGATGCTGGGAGTTGAACACAGGGCCTCACGAATTCTGAGCACATGCTTGACCAATGGGCTATATCCCAAGTCTCTTCATTATTTTTTAGTTGCACTTTAAGAAGTGCCCGATTTAAGAATTGTCATGAACAACAAAACATTTCAAAAGAGAAGACTGGTGTTTTTATTGACTAAAGTAGCTTTGGTTTATATAATTATAGCCAGTTGAAATGGGTTTAGTCAGCTCTCCTCTTGTGGAGGAAGAGAAGAGTGAGCTACTAAGAGCTGGGCTAAAATTCTAACACTGACTTCAGGAGGCACAGTGGTAGTCGAGCACAGATAGAGTAATATTTTACAACAATATTTATATGAGTCCCATGAAAATGACTTGTATAAAAAACCATAAATATGACGTGGGGCACCGTATAAATATAATAGAAAACAAAGAGGCAGTTACAGATCGGATTACCACATGTCTCAGGATGCTAGGGACAGTTTTGGATTGTATGTACTTTTTTTTTGGTACCAAGGATCAAACTCAGGACCTTGGGCTTGCGAGGCAGGCGGCGGCACCATTGAGCTAAATCCCCGGCCCCTTATATGTACTTATTAACCATGCCTCCTTTTACTCCTAAAACTCTCCCAGATTTGGGTGATAAATTTATATGTTTACCCTAACTACTGTAATAGATAAGACTGTGTCATAGCTTCCTTCCTGATAGCTCTGGTTCTAAATTGATTTTCAATGGGACTACCACTAGTTGTTTGGACTTTTCTCAATTTCAGGCAAAAAACAGGCTAGAATTCTTTTTTCTTTTTTTTTTTTTTTTTGCTACCGGGGATTGAACTCGGGTTCTTGCACTTGCGTAGCAGGCGTTGAAACCACTGAGCTAAATCCCCAGTTCTCAGGCTAGAGTTCTTACAAGACCAGTGAGCCCCATTGGCTAATCCTCTCATCCTGTACACTAGTGAGAGAGTTGGGGTGGAGTGGCGTTGTGGTGAGTTGTCACCACCAGGGGGCGGTATGTTTACATACCACTTTTTACAATGGCTACCTGCTTTTGCAATGGCCACCAAACTTGGGCAAAACTCTGGCTTGCTCAAGGAGCCAGGATTTCATGGATTGGTGCCTAAAAGAGCTTCTCCCTTGCTTGATGCAGTATTGCCTAGTTCTGGACAGTTGGCTGCCCTTCGCTTCTTCTAAGACTTTTATAAAAACGTGTTCTGGCAGTCTCCTGGCATTACGAAGGAGATTGCTCATTTTCCTGCTCTGTTAGTTTGTGGTTGTAACAGTGACATGATTGATGCAGAGACACCAATAGCCTGAAACAATTTTAATGGCCCAGGATAGAGGATGGGTGATATGGACATAAAACAAGAGATGCATAGCAAGCAACTGGAAATAAGGTGTAGTTTCCTAGGTCACTGAAGTTCCCTGCTGAAATGTACCACTGTGGTTAAGACAGGCCTCTGCGGCATGTGTTCTGTGCAGTCATGCAGGCACTTGTGCTTGGTTTAGCAATTGCCTCTTGGTATCTTGAAAAAATTTTTTCCGGGGCCTCATACATGCCAGGGACATGCTCTACCACTGAGCTACACTCCCAGCCCTAATGCGTTGTGATTTAAGAAACTGGATCTATGGGAAAGTATTCCTTTAGCATGAAACTTGACATGCAGTCCAGGGTGAAAGCTTCTCAGTAAAGGCACCATAAAAAGATGGACAACAGAGAGTGTGATGTTTCTTATATTTGCCACCGGATCCATTGACCTTTGTTTCCACCCTGCTCTGTAAGCCAGAAAGCCAAACTCTGGACTCTCTCACCTGGACTCCCTTGCTTTCTGGCTTCCACTTGGTTCTGACACTGAGACGCACCTGCAGATTGGTGTGCAGAAGGGGAGAGAAGGGAGAAAAAGCTGATCGAGACTCACTTGACCATGTTTCTTGCCACAGCTATCTACCCTCATCCCAAACTGCACTTCCTCTTGAGTGGTCCCTCCCCAGAAAGTTCTCAGACTGGTTCTAGTTATACCATTCCTCCCTCCTGCATTCTTTCAGGCCTTGGGATGGTAATGGTTTTCCTTGATTGGTAGTCCTGTCATTGCTGCTAGTGCCACAGCTTTCCTTAATCCTGCTCTGGCCTCTGGAAGTAGCTTCTTAATATATAGTGTCTCAGAACCCCCTTTGTATGTGCTGTGATACCTCTTCTTACCCATCCAGACATTTCTATGACATTGGCATTCATGTTTTTGCCCCTTTCAATATTACCGGTCTCCTTACTCAGTACTTCCCAAGATAATCGCTTTGCTGTCTTACTTGGAAATGTTTTCCAAGGTCAAGGTAGCAGCAATAAGGTTCTGTGAAAAGAGCAAAGATCTGGTAGTCTGAGGCTGGAGTCCAGTCTCAGGCTCTATTCTGTGGTTGGATATTTTTGAGTCCTTCACTTAAATTCTTTTTAGCTTTACTTTTCTCTTCCACGAGGGAGTATTATAATTCTACCTTTCCTAGTTCAAACTTGTAGTGCGGCCCAGATGAACTATTTGTAAAATGTTATATAAGTGAAATTCACTTATGTATTTATTTGAGATGACTTCTAATTGTTGTTGCTCAGGTTGGCCTTGAACATGCAGTTCTCACTTTAGTCTCGTGAGTAACTGGAACTACAGGTGTGCACGGCTAAAATAAGTGAATTTTTAATTTTTGGTCATGATTTTGGCCAATAACATCTGCTTTGCTAGTCTCAGGAGTACAATGCATTAAAAAGCCAGGCTTCAATGCATTTGATATTCTGATGTCTTTTTTTTTAGATTACAGTTGTGTGCACTACTTTTGAGAGTTTTTATGCTTTCAAAGCTAGAGGGTCAGCAAGAAAGTACTGATGGAACGGGGCAAGAATAGCTGTGCTGATAACGTTTGTATCTTTTAGGTTGTAATTATGTGAGAGAGTCAAGTTTATGTGGGATGGAAGAGTAGAAAATTAAGGACCAAAGTTATGCACATCTGAGTGGCTCTGTTTCAACTCTCAGGATAGTGGTTCTCAAATGTCATCTCAGAACCAGCAGCAATATGACCAAGAGCTTTTTAGAAATGCAAATCCTCAAGCCTAGCATTTTGTGTTTTTTAAAAACCCTGTGTGTATGTCCAGGGACTTACCCCCATGGTAGAGTGATTGTGTAATGTGTATGAGGTCCTGGACTCAGTGTTCAGTATTGAAAAAGAACAGCAACAGCAACACCTCTTTGTGATTGTCTTAGAGTCTGAGAACCATTGTTCTAAGGTAAGTGGCTTGGTTACACCTGTGATACCTCCCCCAAGTGATCAGTAAGTGAAGAGAAACTCACTGCCAGAGAGAGAGAGAGAGTTCTGAATGGAATGAGTGAGACAAAGTGAAGTGGGTATACTAACTTTGAATTTCCCGCATGATGTTTGTGGGCTTTTGCTTATGTGACCAATTTGGTTTTCTGCTTACTAAGACATTACACTGACTCCTAAATAATTGAATAAAAATACAGAAGAACAATAAATACAGAAGAATCTCATTATAATAATTTGCTTTTATATTAGTTGGCTATAATATGGGTCAAATTACAATTGCTGAAAGCTTAATTGCTAGAATAATTGGCAAACAAAATAGTAAGGCAAGTTTTCTGTTTGTCCCAGTTAGCTTTTTTTTTTTGTTTTGGTACTGGGGATCGAACTCTGGTCCTTGTGCTTGCACAGCAGGTGGCGAGACCACTGAGCTAAATCTCTGGCCCCCAGTCAGCTTTTAAGAATACTTTCTCTCGGGCTGGGGATTTAGCTCAGTGGTTCTGCCGCCTGCCTCTCAGGCGCAAGGTCCCAAGTTTGATCCCCGGTACCAAAAAAGAATACTTTCTCTTAATAATAATGCCTTATATTTACTTCCAGCTGGATTTAACCAATCTCCTCCTGTGTTATTGTGTGAGGTAGGGTCAAGTGTATGGCTGGCCAAGATCGTACTGTAGGTTCAGAAATAAGAGTCACCAGCAAGGCTCAGTGGCACATGACTATAGTCCCACCTACTCAGGAGGCTGAGGCAGTAAGGTCACTTGAACTCAGGAGTTTGGGGCCAGCCAGGGAAACATCCTGAGACCTTGTCTCTAAAAAGAAAGAAAAAGGAAAATGGAATTGACTTTAATTTCAGGGCAGTATTGGAGTTGGATTAGCTTACATTCTAATCCTGCCTCTGATGTACCTGTCTCTGTGTACCTTCAGTGAAGTCCTCGAGCCTTATTTTCTCATTTCTACAAAATGATGATTACTAAGGTATGTGAAATGCCTAGCACGGGGGTTGGTTCTTTTTCTTGTAATTCCCTACTCATTTTATTGATTATCACTTTCTCTTTTATTTAACAGATGGAACCATTTATCCATTTTTTTGAGAAAGATGGTTGTAAGACTTTGAAATTTTTGTATCAGGAAGGAGATGTGCCTGGCCTTGGTAAGGATGTTTTAGGAATGCACCGTGCTGGTAACTGGTCAATCAAGCTAGAGCACAGCATAATTTTTCTCTTATTCAGACACAATCTTCTATTTTATAAAGAAATTTTTTTTACCATACGCTTATGTGAAAAAAGGTAGAATCTTAAGAACAGCACCTTTTCTGCAAAAATATGTATTTCAGACATTGCTGTAATAAGGAGAAATAGAAATATCGTTATAGAAATCATTGACATCTGTCAGAGAATACACATTTTCATAGCACATCATTGCATTTTCCCTGGAACAGATGGAGCCAGAAGCTGCCTGCTGTGGTCCTGGCTCAGCATCTTGTGTCTGCTCAGCTGTCAGTTAGAAAATATAGCTTTCCTTACTGTTCCTATTATGCTTAAAACAATGAACATGCAACCTGATTGCTAATCCTTTGTTTTGATAACTAGGTGCATGGGCTGCCTTGTTGGTGGTAGAGAACTTAGCCTCTCAGTTCTGGCCTGTCAGCATGTCCCTCCTGTTAGTTCTGTCTCACTTTCCTCATCTGCTGCCCCAGGCTAGGCCTATAGTTCCATTCCAGATCAAAAGCCTGTGATGTCTCCATGATCAGATTCTCTCTCTGAAGTTCACACTACTGATTTCTGCTAAGTAAATCTTTTATTGTCCTGCTGTTTACTGGATTGGGTCTAATTCCCTCCCTCCATCATCCAAAGTTCACTGTAATCTGGACACTCTGTACTTATCTAGTCTGATCTTCTATTTCAAGTATGAATTTGTTTCTTCCTTTAAAATACCCCTTCTACCCCACCACTTTTGTTACTGGGGTTTGAACCCAGGACCTTTGCACTAAGCTACATCCCTGAGCCCTTTTTATATTTTTAAATTTTGAGACAAGGTTTCCATGTTTCACTAAATTGTCTGGACTGGGCTTGAAATTGTGATCTTCCTGCCTCACCTCCCAGAGTGATGGGATTACAGGTGTGTGCCACCACATCCTGCTTAAATTGTTCTCTTCATTGTTTTCTGTCCATATCAGACTCATTTCTATCCTCTTCCTCCTGCTCTTCCAACTCTCAAATTGCCATTATTTTCTCTATTCTTCCTTCAGATTGCCTCATGAATTTTCTTTCTGCAGGGCTTTCCCAGAGTGTTTCAACCCTTACCCATCACAACTGTCCGCATTTAAAGTTCACATTGCAAATACAGCATTCAGCTATGACATTCTGCTTTCCTCTAATTGTTTAGTGTACATGCCATCTGCTCCCCATGTTTGTGGGTTCTGCATCATAAATTCAACTAATGGGGGACAGACTTTTCCTGTTCATCATTCTCTAAATAATTCAGTGTGACAGTTATTTACATAGTGTTTACATTGTATTAGGTATTATAAGTAATGTAGAGCTGATTTAATGAGTGGTTGTAGGTAGGTTATATGCAAATGCTATGCTATTTTATATAAGGGACTTGAGCATCCATGGATTTTAGTATCCTTGGGGGTCCTGGAGTCAGTCCTTCTCAGATTCTGAGAGATAACCCTACATCTCGCTTCTTCAACAAAATATATAATTCATAATTAGTAATTAGGTCTACTCGGTAAATTTTCTGTTTTTCACAGTTCTTCTGGGGAGATTATGGTGTGACCATATTTTTATAACTTGTTAAAAGTGAAAATATTAGCTGAAAATTATATAAAAAATTTATTAAAAATCTACAGTTAGAAGAAAAATACAAACTATCCACAGGCTCGCTTAGTTGAAGAAAGCTCTGTTAACTGCTTGATGAGTATCCCTTTATAATTCTTTTGGTATAGACATGTATTTTATAAAAATGGGGTCAACTCTGCATGTTATTCTACAGTGACTTTTAAAATTTGATAATACTGTCTTCTCCATGTCAATAGATGCATTTCTACAATTAAGTTTTTAACAGTTGCATTGTATTTCCTTAGGCTGACATAAGTAGACTTTTCAAAAGTCATCTCCTGTTACAGTTCAGGTTGTTTACAACTTTTTGCTTATTGGAACAATGTCTTGTACAAATATCATTAAAACTAAATCTATGTAGATTAGGAAGAACTATTAGGAAGAATTCTTAAATAGGGAATAGCTGGGAGAAAAAGTAGGTATTTGTAATCATTATTATCATCCCATAGGAAAGTTTGTTAAATGAATTTGTCACCTTTTTTTGTTTTGGTGCTGTGGATTGAGCCTAGAGCCTTCACACTTAGCTATATCCCCAGCCATTTTAATCTTTATTTATGTTTTTATTTTGAGATAGATTCTTGCTAATTTGCTAAGTTGCATAGGCTGGGCTGGAACTTGTGATCCTTTTGCCTCAGCCTCCCAGAGAGCTGGGATCACCAGTTTGAGCTCATCCTGGGCAATTTAATGACTCTGTCCCAAAATAAAAAATGAAAAAGGGCCGAGGATTTAGCTCAGTGAAAAGGCCTTTAGGTTCAGTCCCCAGTACTGAAAAAAAAAAATGAAATTGTTGACATCTTTTAGTAGACAAAACAATGCATTCCATGATCATGTCAAAGACATCTTAAAGTACAATACCAGACAGTGGTATAACAGCAGCTGTAGTTTATCACATCTGATCAGTTATGTGGTCATATGCTAAATTCTTGACTTTTGCTTTTAGAATGTGGTCGAATTATTCATGGAGCAGGCAAAGGAGCAAAAATGATGAGATTGTACATAGATAATGCTGCCCCAGAGAAACTAAAAGGATTGTGCATATTTTTTGTTCGCTGTCGTAATGATGTTCCTATAAATGCTAAAACTATTCATAAGGTATGCTTAATTTTTTCCCAAATATTTAAGCATTGATGTCTTTTCATAGTTGTCTTTCACTTTACTTTGCTCTCCTTTTCTTTTTTTTTTGCTCTCCTTTTCTATGTATCAGCTTAAATTAGGTTCCAAGAAAATAATATATTCATATATTCAAATAAACTAAGACATTATCTAAATAGAGCTTAGCTATATTTATCTTTTAGCCACTACCTTTTAAAATTCATGAGAATTACATTTCTTCTAGATGGTGTACAAATAATTTTCATTCTTCCATTCACTAGAAACACATGCAATTCTGTTCATACATTTTTTGGGGGGTACTGGAGATCGAACTCAGGACCTTGTGCTTGTGAGGCAGGTGCCAGATCTGTTCATACAATTTTAAGTGTTTGTTATATTACTTAGCCTCTTGTTCCCTCAATATTTTATTTCTTTCATAGTTTTGTAAGCAGGAGTGAAAGTTGACCTGGATCCAGTACATTGGTAATGTAATTCTGGAAAGGCAGGATGGAGAAAGCAAGAATTTTAGTCAGATAGAGTCAAATTTCCCTCTAGCTTCATTGCTGAGTAGCAGTGTGTCCTCTCTGGCATGTTGGTTATCTTTTCTAAGACTTGGGGAAAAAAAGACTTGGGGAAAAAAAGACTTGGGTCATTCTTAGAACATTCTTAAATTGGGAATAATAATACCCACCTTGCAAGATTGTTGTGAGACCTTTAAGTGATAATATAAGTAAATTCTCTTTTGTTTTTTGTTTTTCGAAATGGCATTCAGGTCAGACCTGAACTCACTATGTAGCCCCCCAGGCTGGCCTTGAATTCACGGCAGTCCTCCTGCCTCAGTCTCCTAATGCTGGGATTATAGGCGTGGACCACTATGCCTGACAATTCTTATTATATTACCTGGCATACTGTAGGCTCTCAACAAATACTAGATCCTTAATGTATTAAGACTCTCTAAGATTCTTAGAGAGTCTTAATATATTTTATCGTGGGAACAATAACTGAAATCCAGGCTAATTTACCTTCTTTTCTGTTAATAAGAAAGGACTGCTTGAAGAAAAGTTACTTAGCTTGTGTAGGATTCTAAGTTAGCTGTTATTTTCTCCTACTCCTTGTAGATATTTCATTGCATCTTTTATGGCTGATGAGACCTTTTCTATTAAGTATCCTTCATAGGTAATCTGTCCTTTTTGTTTTTGCTTGTTTTCTTCTTTGTCTTTGAAGTCCTATAGTTTCACCATGATGTCTCTATGTGTGAACATTCCTTCAACCTATCTTCCATTTCACTAATTCTCTCTTCAACTTGTCCATGATTTAATCCTTTTTTTCATAAGTTAGTTTTTGTTTTATTGTAGTTATATGTACATGTAGTTTAAAGGAGGAAGAAATTCTTTAAGCCTAGTTTTTTTTTTTTTTAATAAAAGAAGACAATTTATTTGAAGGTGGAGAAAGGAGGATGAGAGAACAGACATGGCAGAAAGCTACTCTGGAAGAGTAGAGAATATTCAAAAGTGAATAACTCTAAGCCTAGTTTTAAAAAACCTGTCTTCTATTCCACTCTCTAGAAGCAACTATTAAGTTCTTTTTGAAGATTCTTTACCTCCATACTTGAAACAATTTGCTCTGATTGTTCCCTTTTCCCATTTAGATATTGTCTATGGACCTTTCTCTACATGAAGCTTTACTTTTTAAAAAAATCTTCTGTGCCTCCCCTTTATTTTCCCAACGCTCCATCCTTCCAATGTAGTTATATTCTGTTCTCCTCAGCTACATAATTGTTTACATCATCATGACTATGAGACTTGTGGCATACCAGAGGTTCTGAAAGTGGTATTCAAGACTCAGGGGATCTGTTGGGAAAACCAGTTTTCATCATAATGCTAAGATGCTATTTGCCCTTTCTGCCATGTTGATATTTGATTGATGGTACCGAAGCAGTGGTGGGAAAAACTGCTGATATCTTAGCACAGACCAAGGCAATGGTATCAAACTGCTTTAGGAGCCATTGTAGTCTTTGCTGACTGTATTAGTCAGGTTCGCAATGCTAACACAAAGTACCCAAGGCAGCTAACTTATAAAGAAGAGGTTGATTTAATCTCACAGTTTTAGAGGTTAAAGTCCAGGATTGGGCAGCTCCATTGATTTTGGTCTTTGGTGAGGGCACAGGGTGGTAATGGCACAAGCATGTGTTAGAATGGGCAGTCACATCTGGAAACAAAGAGAGGAGAGAGGAGGATGGGTAGTGTCCCACAATCCCTTTTTTTTTTTTTTTTGGTACTGGGGATTGTACTCAGGACCTTGTGTTTGCAAGGCAGGCACAGTCAAAAAGATTCTTATGAAAAAGAAACAGATAATAACACAACTTTCTTTTCAATGAACTAAGATTAGTATAAATGAAACCAATTGGTGTGTATGCTGAAATATTTTTAAAATGATGGAATTTGTAATTTGGGGAAGTATTTGAACTTCTCCCTACTTCCTATTTATCTCTCTTCTATTTTCTTTATTCGTATATATATATACATATATATATATATACACACACATTATATATGTATATATATGAGTAAACATATGTTTTTTCATATAAGAGAAACTATGGGATATTTGAGCTCATGAGTTTTATTTTGCTTAACATTATGTTCTCAAGTTGCATCCATTTACCTATGAATGCCTCAAGTTATCTTTCTTTATGGCAGTGTAGTACTCTATTGTGTATAAATACCACATTTTCCTTTCCGTTCATCTGTTGGTGGTCGTATACACTGTTCTCAAGATCTAGCTATTATAAATTGTGCTCCTGTAAACCTGGGTATGCATGTATTCCTGTAATATGATGATTTTAACTCTTTTTGTGATGATACCTAGAAGGGGGATAGCTGGGCCAAAGAGAATTTCTATAATTACTTTTTTTGAGTGATTTCCATAATGGTATACTAGTTTACATTCTTAGCAATAATGTAGTAGAGTCCCTTTTTCCCCACGTCCTCACCAACATTTGTTAGTATTAGATTTTTTTTTTTGATAGCCATTTTTTCTCGAGTAAGATAGTATCTCAGTTTTAATTTGCTTTTCTCTGATGGCCAGTGATAATGAGCATTTTGTCATGCATTTATTGGTAATTTGTACTTCTTCTGAGAAATGTCTGTTCATTTTAGTTGCCCATTTTGTTTCAAGAGGTCTAGATTTGTTTTTAGTTCTCTATATATTCTTCATGTTAATCCTGTGTCCGTGGAATAGCTGGCAGAAATTGATTTGAATCCTGTAGATTGTTCTTCACTCTACAACTTCTACAACTTCTGGTTGTTTCCTTTGCTGTGCAGAAGCCTTTTAATTTAATATGATCCCATTTGTTGATTCTTATATTTTTTCTTGCGCCATTGAGGCTCTATTCAGAAAGTCCTTGCCTATGAGCTTCAGTGGGCTTTTGATTTTTTTTTGTATTAAATTCTTTTATTGGTACATTGTAGGTATACAACACAATTACATTTCTCATTGGGGGCTTTTGATTTTTGACTGATCATTTTTTCCATCCAAAATTCTGGACGGAGGGCTAGTTTCATTGCTCGTCCCTTGGCCCTGTAGAGTTTCATGGACAGGGCACCTTTTGCCTGAGGACTTCTTTATATGGGAGGCTCAGTTTCATCTTCCTTATCCTGGATAGGGTCCAGGCCATGGGTCCATCCCCAGGCAGAAGTTAAAGCACCCAGGAAAGCATCTCCATGATGAGGTAACATCACAGTTAGAATGGGGCAGAATATAAGCTTATTAATTTTAGAGTTCTGATATTTGTAACCACTTCAATTTTTCTAAAAGTTTATAAAATTTTTTGTCTATTGCAGTGAAAAGTAGCTTATGATGTTCATTTCTTTAATGGAATTAGCATATAAGATAACATTTGACCATCACTCTTTTAGGAAGTACTGTTTACTGTTTTGGATGCATCAAAAGGGCTCTTAAATGGGATCAAGAATATGTTGGCTAATGTATTTCTACCAGCTATTCTTGCAACAAACAATTGGGGTGCTTTAAACCAGTCCAAGCAGGCAGAATCTGAAAAACATATTTTCACTGAAACCATCAGCAGATACCTTTCATTTTTTGATGGTAAGTATAAAATTTAATGTCCAACAAACTAATAAAAATGAGCAAATTAACTGTAAGATATGTTATTAAAAACAATCTTTAGAGAAAAAATTTCCATCTTAAAAGAAGATGTTAATCAAAGTAACTATAAAACCTAGAGATAAGATATGAAATCATGAGATTCCCCTCATTTCCGAGGATCTTGGTAGGAGTAAGATATGTTTTCAAAAATAAATTTTCCATTATAGCAGGAAAAATCTCTTCCTATATTCTTAATGAAAAATATTACCATATTTATAAATACATGCTTTATTATGAACTATTTAAAACAACTATTTTTATTATTTAATATTGCAAAAGATACAATGTTATTTACAAATCAAATCACAATCTAATCAATTAGAATTATATTTCTACAGAGTACAGTCTTTAACATTACAGTTAAATACAGCTTGAAAGTATATAATTGACATTTAACATATTGACATTAAACACTTCTTAATGTCACTTTCCCCTTGTTAGGTGCTAGAATAAGTATTGAGGGAACAGTGATGTTAAAGAAGATAGACAATGTTGATTTTTCTAGACTGCACACTTTTGAAGAAGTGACAGTTGCTGCTGGCAATTCAGAAACTGTTCACCAGCTAGAGGAGGTATTAATGATATGGTACAAGCAGATTGAACAGGTGAGTTCACTCACACGATTTCACCTGCAGCCATAGTTATTGTATTGTGTCCCTAAAAGTGTTTTTTACTTTCTTCCAGAGTTTGTTTTGAAATTCTTTCTATTCTTGGCTCTAGAGCAAAATTATTCTTTGTGGACCACTTAAAATCAGTATTAAGGTATTTCTCACTGTGAGGAGGAAACTATACCAATATGGATTGAGAAATAATGAGGCATCAGGAAGAACTAGCATTTATTCCCCAAAATGTGTTTATTGTCTTTACTCTTCATAAAAGAGAGAGGAAAAGGACACAATGAAGTGCCTCAGTGCTAGACACTAAATAAATACTTGTTGGTTGATCAATGAAATGGCCTGTGTTATCGAAGAGGTTCAGACTAGGGACATTCATATCAATATTACAGTGGCAAATCTGTAGCTCTTTGGTCAAAAAATTTTCTCTGGCAGTAAGAAAAATAATAGTAGGAATGGGATATATGTCAAGATTACGAGAGGCTCCAACTTATACTACAAGTAATGCAGAAAACAAACAAACACATCCAAATATTATGTACAGTAATTTCCCTAAACTGAAAGAGCACTCTAGGAGCTGACTCTTGGATGTGTAGTTCATGAGCATGGGATTGTTCAATTAGAGAAGAAAATCTTCAGTTAAGTAAGGGTTTGGGGAGAAAAAGCAGGAAGTTAGGAAAGCATTCTGGTTTTACCCTTTTTAGAACTATGCCAGAAAATACAGTTGGGGTGATAAAAACTGGAAGACTTTGGAAACCCCATCAAAGCCTAAAGCACTGGCCACAGAATTTGTTCTAGTGTCACTAGGTAATTGAAGCAGGCAGTTAATTGCCCAGCAGGGAACCTCTGCTGTTTCTACTGGGCTGCCAGATGAGATTCAGTGTCTGGTCAGGGCTGGCTTCTTGGTTAATGAACAGCAGTTTCTTGCTATAACTGCACGTGATGGAAGAGGCAAGGTGACCCTCGGGGATCTCATTTATAAGGAAATGAATCTCTTTCATGAGGGCAGAAATCTAATTTCTCTTGAGGTTCCATATCCAAAATACCATCACATTGTGGGGGGCAATACCTATCATTTTATAGCTCTGTGCCCCCCTTAATGTTTTTAAAAAATATTTCCATGTTGGTAGAAATAAATCCAATTCATTTTTTAATTCATTTCACTGCTGTCTGCCTGGTCTATGAAGAAATCACATTATAGACTTTTGGACATTTAGGAGGCGTTTAAATTACATCTACTATCCTCTATTTCAGGAGACAGAGAAGTGTAATCATTCATACCCCCAGAAAGACAATTGATACCACTCTTGCTATTACAAACAACAATAATATGTATTCAGCAATATTTTTGTTTGGGACTTCTTTACACACATTGAGGAATTCCTCAGTGGAATTCCTGGGAGCATTTACATGTAGATCTTTTATTGGATATTACAAAGCTCTTTGAATAGGGATGATATTAATTTATATTGTTTATAGAAGCATATGAGAATTCTCATTTGTTTAAATTTTTGATTACACCTGGAATTGTCAAATTTGTAATTATTGACAATTTATTCGATGTGAAATGCTATCTTTTCTTTTGTGGTATTGGGGGTTGAATCCAGGGTCTTTACACTGAGCTACATTCCCAGTCCTTTTTTTAATGTTTTATTTTGAAACAAGGCTCTCTAAGTTGCTAAGTTGCCTTGGCTGGGCTTGAACTTGAGACCCTTCTGCCTCAGCCCCACAGTGTGCTGGGATTATAGGTGTGCACCACAATGCCTGGCTGTGAAATGGTATCTTGATTTACTCTGCATTGCCCTGAATACTGTTGAAATGAGTCATATTTAAAGGTTCCCTCTCGAAGGGGCTGGGGATTTAGCTAAGTGGTTTCACTGCCTGCTGCGCAAGCAAAAGGACCCGAGTTTGATCCCTGGTACCGAAAAAAAAACGGTTCCTTCTTTATTGAATTTCTTGTTCATATCCTTAGTTTTTTTGATTACTTATTGTTATTTAATTGTTGGAGTTTAAGTATTTTCCAGATGTTAATCCTTTGCTGGTCCCCACTTAGTCATGTCTTTTCATTTGGCAGATGTCTTTAGAAATTTAAAATTTTAGTGTAGTTAAATGTGTTAGTTATAGATGGTAACCCATCCTCAGTTCATCTCCCTCCAATGACTAGAAACTTTTGTGCTTTCTGTATTTTATTTAGGGAAACATTTCCTATTCTAATGTTCTAATTTTTTTGTTTGTTTGTTTTGTTTTGGTACTGGGGATCAAACTCGGGTCCTTGCACTTGCACAGCAGGTGGCAAAACCCCTGAGCTAAATCCCTGGGCCTCCTATTCTAATGTTATGAAGACATTCTCCTTAGTTTTTATTTGAATAGTGAAACAACGCAAAAATTAGTACAATAAAAGAAACAAATTGTTTTTAAATGAATACTCATGTAACCTTTATACAGGTTACAAAATAGAACACTCCTCTCTGTGAAGAGTAAAATTGAGCTTTTTAACATTGAGCAAAAAAAAGAAAAAGAAAAAGAACACTGTTAACACCTTATGGCTGCTTCCGTTTCTCATTTTAAAATCACTTTCCTTCCCCCAGTGGTTATCTTGACAATTACAGTATTTAATTTTATGCTTCTAAAAATAGTTTTACTTCTACTCCTGAATTTTCTTATGGAAGTTTTCCCTGTTTATTTTTGACAGATTTTATAATCTATCTAGAATCCTTGCTTGTGTGTATGTGTGTATGATGTGAAGCAGGAATCCAACTCTTATCTTTTTCATATAGTAGCCAATCATCCTCACTTAATATTTTCTGTTAAATTGTTTAAAATAGTCCATTCTTCCTTAAAAATTTGCAGTATCACCTCCTGTCATATATCAAATTTTTAGGCCTCTTTGTTTATCCCACTGGTATACTTATTTGCTTCTTTTAGTCATACCATGCTGCTTTAGTATTTGTAATTAAAATTTTTTTTTTTTTTACCAAATCAGAAGTTGGTATGTCAAGTCTCTTTTCTGTGTTTTTCTTCAAATTTGCATTGATTATTTCTGGTGAGTTGGTCTTCCATACTTGAAGATCAGTTTGTCAAGTAGTGTGAAAAATTGTTCACATTTTAATTAGAATTTTATTGTTAATTTAGAGAAATTGGCTTCTTTCTATTATTAAAGTCTCCATCCACGAACATGGTATGTCTCTCATTTATTTAGGTCTTCTTTTGTGTGCTTAAAGTCAGTGTTCTTATTTACCCTGAAAGATCTTCCACATTTTTAGTTAGATTAACTAAAGGTATCTTATCATTTAGGGTTGCTACTGCAAATGATATCTTTTTGGGAATTATATTTCAGATTGTTAGATGGCTTATAAAGAAATGTTACTGTTCCATTTCCAATCTGTATACCTTTTATTTACAGTATTTTATCTTGTTCTGGTACCTCCTTTACCAGGTGGAATAGAAGTGGGTGGTAACAGTGCCAAATTTGTCATGGCCTTGGTTTTTGTTTTGTTTTGTCTTTTGTTTTTTGGTACCAGCAATTGAACTCAGGGCCCCTATGCTTGCCAGGGAGGCACTGTGCCACTGAGCTACAACCCGGCCCTGTCATGGCCTTGGATTTAAAGTGATATTTTCTAAAATTTCACTGGCAAGTATGTTTGTTGGAGTTTTTTTGATAGATGTTGCTTATTGAAAAAGTTCCCAGGCTGGGGAAGTAGCTCAGTGATGCTGCACCTGCCTGGCAAGAGCAAGGTCATGAGTTCGATCCCCAGTACCAAGAAAAAAAAGATCCTTTCTTGTCTTCATTTGCTAATCATTTTAAACTATTATTCACTATTGAATATGTTTATGTTTTTAGTTTTCTTTGAAAAGATGCAGTGAGATTTTACCAAAGAAGAACGTACCATTTCTATGTTGTATACATTTTCTTTTTTTTTTTTTTTTTTTTGGTACCGGAGATCAAACTCGGGTCCTTGTGCTTGCTCAGCAGGCGGCGAAACCACTGAGCTAAATCCCTGGCCCTATTTTATACATTCTTATTGTAGGTACTTATTGAGAGTGAGCAGATGAGAAAAGAAGCTGATGATTCTGGTCCACTCACTGAATTAGAACACTGGAAACATATGTCAGCCAAGTTCAACTATATCATCGAACAGATTAAAGGGCCAGCGTGTAAGGCTGTCATTAATGTGCTAAATGTTGCCCACTCCAAACTACTAAAGGTAAAAGTCATTGTATTTTAAAGCTTGGTATATATACTTTAGAACAACTGACTAGAGAATCACCACTATTTTTTTTTTTTTTTGGTACCGGGGATCGAACTCGGGTCCTAGGCTTGCAAGGCAGGCGGCGGAACCACTGAGCTAAATCCCCGGCCCAGAATCACCACTGTTGATGTGCTTCTTTAAAAGCAATTTTTTTTTGAGATATATTCGTTGAATATCTTTATGGGGTACATTATGGTAATTCAGTACACGTGTAATCACCAAATCATGGTAAAGATCATTTCCATCACTTCAAAATTAACAATTTTTATGTATTGGGAATTTTGTACTCTTCATTCTGGCATACACCATAGATTGTTTTAATCAATAATTACCCTGCTGCAGTATAGAAAACCCAGAATTGCTCCTCTCTAACTGTGGTTTGGTGCCCTTTTTTGAACTTTCTGTCCCCTCCTTCCTGCCCTTTCTGTTTCTAGTGATCACAATTCCACTCTGTTCTGCACAATCGAACTGCTTCTGAATATGTCAGAATCATGTATTTAGAAGTGTTAAACTTTGAGTAAACCCTTCTCATATATCATAGTGATTTCCAGCAGATGAAATGAAGATTTATTTTTCATTATTTTCTGCACCAATTTTGACAGTACAACTGTGGGGTGTTAGCCAGAAAAGTCATCATTTTTATCTTTTAAGTTGGTTTGAAATTATAAATCAATACAGATTCATCAAGGTAAGAAACTACATAGAAAGTCAAAAAGCGAAAATGCTTCTCGTCATATAGCTCACCCCTACCTCTTTTCTACCCCCTTCCCTAGAGGTCATCTTTATTTACAGCTTGGCTTGATACTTTTCTGATCCTTTTCTTTTTGTTTGTTTGTTTTTGGTACTGGGGATCAAACTCAGGACCTTGTGCTTGTGCGGCAGGCACCAGAACCACTGAGCTAAATCCCCGCCCCTGATCCTTCTCTTTTTAAAAATCTTTTTCTTAGCTGGATGTTGGGGAGGATGCGTGTAATCCCAGCACTTGAGGGGTTGAGGCAGGAGGATTGCCATAGTTTGAGGCCATCCTGGGCTACATACTGAGTTCAAGGCCAGCCTGAACCATATAGTGAGACCCTGTCTCAAAAAACTGAAAAAAAAATCTTTTTCTTAAAATATATATTTCTGTGTACAAAAATGCACTATATTTTGATAAAAGCTTTAAACACTATACAGTAAAACCTTGTTTGTGAGCATAATTTGTTCCGGAAACATGCTTGTAATACAAAGGACTGGTATATCAAAGCAAATTTCCCCATAAGAAATGAGGGAAACTCAGATGATTTGTTCTACATTTCAAACATATTCATATAAAAATGATTACAATTCTGTAATGTAATATAAAATAGTAAAGAAGATACAAAACATAAATAAAAATAAACAAATTAACCTACACTTACCTTTGAAAACCTTCATGGATGGTATGAGAGAGACAGAGAGAAGAAGGTTACTATGTAGGATGACTTTCACTATCATTAATGGAATCACTGCTGTCTGTTGGCTCACTGGAATTTTTTTTCTTTTTATGCAACCTTAACAAGGAACCCATCCAATGACATTTGCTTTTGCCTCCTTTTGAGAATTTCATGGAAATGGGACGTTGCATTGTCCTTAAACAGTTTCATTGCTTGCACTTCTGCAGGCTTATTTGGGCAGTGCTTTTCTACAAAATTTTGCACTGTTTCCTACATTTTATGCATTTCCCTAATCTCATTTGAAGTGAGGGATTCCTCTGCCTTTTTTTCCTTCTTCTGTACAGACGAGATCTCCTCCATAACCTGTTGCTGTTGGGAGATGATCAACCAGAACCCCGCAAAGAGGGAGAGAGAGAGAGAGGACAGAGAGAGAGAGACAGACAGAGGGACCCAGAGATAGAGGGAGTCTATTGATATTATATGTTTGGCATCATATACTACTCAAATTGCAAGACATCACTTGTTTATCAAATTAAAATTTGTTAGAAATGTTTACTGGTCTTACAGAATACTTGGAGAACAAGTTACTCGTAATCTAAGGTTTCACTGTATATAAAACAGATCTTGGCTGGGGATTTAGCTCAGTGGTTCTGCCGCCTGACTTGCAAGCGCAAGGACCTGAGTTCGATCCCTCGTACCAAAAAAAAACCCAGATCTCTGTTAATCACATGCTTATGTAAAGTAACCCTCCTCCCAGCCACTCTTGTTCCTGACTGGTGAGCAGAAATAACCACAGTATTCACCCCCCTCCAAGCTCCCTTGAACATTTTCTGTGAAATTTATGAGTTTACCAACCACATATGAAATGTCATAATTTTGTTTTGTGGTTCTTATATCTTTTTTTTTTTTTTTGGTACCGGGGATCGAACTCGGGGCCTTGTGCTTGCTCAGCAGGAGGTGAAACCACTGAGCTAAATCCCTGGCTTTGTTTTGTGGTTCTAACTTTTTAATTAAGTAATGTCATGCCATAATATTCTTTAACTCTCCCTCCCACCTTGATAGTGTACGGCGTGGAAAAATTATGCCAGTTAGATCAAGTTGTACAGTTTTCTGAAATGGTAATGTACCAGGTTTTTCTTTCTTCATCATTTTTCTGTTTGTGAATGAATTTTCTCCATTTGTTCCTTCCTTTCTCTTTTCAGTAACTTTAAGATATAACTCATATACTATCTTTTTCACCCACTGGAAGAGTACAATTTGGTAATTTTTTAATATATTCACAGAGCTGTGCAAACATCACCACAACCATTTTGGAACATTTTTGTTACCTCAAAAAGAAACTCTGTAATTTTCATTGATAATCTCCTCATCTCTAACCTCTTGCTCTTGGCCCTGAGTAACTGTTAATGTACATTCTATCTATCCAGAGTTCCCTATTCTGGACATTTCATAGAAATAGAATCACATAATATATGGCCTTTTGTGACTGGCTTCTTTCACTTACCATAGTGCTTTCAAGAGTAATTCTTAGTCCATGTTCTAGAATGTATCAGTATTCCATTCCTTTTCACGGCTGAATACTATTCTGATTTATAGATAATATATTTTATCAGTTTATTATGGACTTTGGATTGTTTCCACTTAATGCTGCTGAGCATTTCATGTGCAACTTTTTGGATGGATATATGTTGCCATTTCTTTTGAAATGTACCTAGGAGTTTCTGAATCAGAGAGCAATTCTATGTTTAACTTTTTTAGGAAGATGATTCCTTTCTATGTATTAGTAAACGTTGTTGCAGTTGAAGTTTCTATACACACACATGCACACAATATTTCTTTAGGGTGGATACTCCACAACTTTTTCAATATTTATTATCAGTTAAATTTTGTTGTCAATCTGACATGTGAAAATGACTTTTTTTGTTTTTCCCTTAATAAAGGTACTCATTTTTACAAGTTTCTTGGCTATTTAGATTTCTTCTATGAAATGTCTTTTTATATATTTTCTCTATGTAAAAAATCCAAGTGCTATTTTATATTGATTTCTAGGATTTAAAAATATATTGTTATTCATCACTTGCTACATATATGTTGGGTGGAAATCTGTTATGGTCTTTCAGTGTGTCTCTGCATATTTTTGCTAGATATGAAAAGAATGCCAAGTCCCGACCTCCTTTACCTGCCCATTTCTCAGGTTTGTGGTTGCAGTGAGCACTCTTGTTTGTTTTGGGTTTTTTTGGTACCAGGAATCAAACTCAGGGCCTTGCCCTTGCCAGGCAGGTGCTCTGCTGCTGAGCTGCATTCCCAGCCCTGCAGTGAGCACTCTTAAGGGTTGAGTTGATGCGTCCCCTTGACAAAGTGTAGACTTGCTACTACTCAACACACAAAGGAGAAATTCCCTTCCGCTGTGTTGAGGGCCCCTGGCCATGTCATATGGCAGATGCCATCTGGACAGGAGCGAGCCAGAGTGACAAGTTTTGCAGGTAAAAGAGGAGGAGGAGGTGCCAGGCTCCCGTGTAACAATCCTCTCTTGCGAATAGTAATCTAGCTCCTCCCACGAGTCAGCCTTAACCCATCTTAAAGATATTATCACCTCTCTTAAAGGCCTCACCACCTCAGTACCATTACACTGAACGAATGAAGCATCAACAAGAGTTTTGGTGGGGACAGGCCACATTCAGAGTATAGCAGATTTCTTGTCAAAGCAAGGAAGAACTTGTTCATAATTAGTTAGCTAAGCAGAGACTGCCTGGTGATCATTTGCAAGAAATTGTTTGTTTCAGGTTGAATTCACTTTGCTAATAAGAATGGTTTCTTGGAATAATGTTCTGTCTTAATAACTTGACCCATTCTTGAAGATGCAGAGCAATGCAATGTCACAGGTAACTAGTAAAGTTAGGTCCAGTTCAAGCTTCCAGACAGGGTATTAATTACAAAGGGAGTATTTCCAGTTTTAGTAAAATCATTTTAAGATATTTTTAAGATATTTAAGATATTTTAAAGACATTTTAAAGATATTTACAGTAACTTAAATACTGTAATAAAAAGACATATTAATCACTCTTACCTATTGTTTTAGTATATGTTTGATTAGGGACAATAGCTTCAATTTCTCCCTCTTTCTTTTTCTTTTTTCCTTCATCCCTCCCTCCCTCCCTCCCTCTCTTCCTTCCTTCTGCAGTATTGGGAATTGAACCCAGGACCTTTGCACTGATCTATAACCCCAACTCTTTTTAAAATTTTAAAATTTTAGGACAGGTTGCTTAGTAACTAGGGTGGGCTTGAATTTGTGATTTCTTCTGCCTCTCTAAGCCTCCCAGTGTGCTAGGATTGCAGGCATGCACCACCACACTGGGCTCACAGCTTGAATTTCATGAATAAACTATACCACTGTGATATATTTAGATTTTTAATGGAATTCTTGTACATATTTTCCCTTAGAATTGGCATGATTTGGATGCAAGAATCACAGATACAGCAAATGAATCAAAAGATAATGTTAAATATTTGTACACACTGGAAAAAGTATGTCAGCCTCTCTATAACTATGACCTAGTAAGTATGCTTTTTAAAAAGTGAAGTTTTAAAAATTAACTTGTATAATTAATTCACTTTAAAATAACTTTAATGTGTGTATATTGGGAGAAGTACACATTGCCAAAAGGTAATTTAAAAGATACATTTTCCTATTGTATATTTTTAATGAATTATTAACTATATTTGCTATTTTAACCCACATTTAAATATATAGCATAATTATAAGCATGGCTTCATTTGTGAATTAAGGGAGAGGAACATATTAACTTATCCATTGCTGTATAACGAATGACCCCAAGACAGAGTGGCTGAAAATAAGGAGCATTCATCATGCCACAGTTTCTGTGCATCAGGAATCCAGGCACTGCATGGCTGATGTTTATAATAACTTAAATATTATACTAAAAAGACTTATTAATCGCTCATGGGTTTAGAGGCTGAAAGTCCAGATTGGGTGGCCTGCTTCAGGGGCTCTCATGAGGTTGCAGAAGGGCTGTTAAGTGGGGCAGTGGTCTCATCATAAAGGGAGGCTGCCTGGGGTGGGTCCGTGCCTTCACTCATTCACGTGGCTCTTGGCAGAGCCCTGTCCCTAGCCACACAGCTCTCTCCATGCTGCAGCTCGCTTCCCCCAGGAAAAGTGATCCCAGAGTGAGCAACGCAGCCTGTCCAGTTTGGAAGCCACCATGTTTTTGGAATCTAAACTCAAAAGTGACACCTCATCCTTTTTGTTGCATTCTCTTGGTTATAAATGAGTCAGTAAGTTTCATCCACACTGCAGAGGGAGGGGATTATACAAGGAGGTGAATACCAGGAGGATGAGCATCACTGGGGCCCATTGGAAGTTGCCTACCATCGTAGATATTTCCCAGTTTATAGAGTAGGAAACCAAAATGCATCCTAGGGTAGAGACTTTGCCAGCATTGCTTAGCCAAGCAGTGATGCAGGAAAGACCCCATCTTCAAGTTTCAAGCATACTTTTTCCATAATATTTCCAGAGAGTTCCTTTAGAGAACGTGTTAACCCACCATTTGTTTTTTTCCCTGAAGTTACAATTCATTTTTAATTTATAAGTCATCAGGCATTTCATAATATTTCATATGAAGTATGAAAATTAAGAAAAATCCCTCATGTCTTGTTTAGATAGAAAGAGGAAATCAAGGAAACTAGTATTTGTTGAGAGATGAGAACAGTGTTTTCCAATAATGACTGGGTGTTGTCTCTTTTGGGAATGACTTTTAGCCAGGAGGGCTGCCCAGAGAGTTTTTTTTTCCCCCAGTACTGAACCCAGGATCTCTGCAGTGAGCTACCTTTCAGCTCTTTTTATTTTTTATTTTAAAGCAGGATCTCACTAAATTGCTGAGTTGCCCAAGTTAAGCTTGAACTCACCATCCTTTTACCTCAGCTTCCAGAGTGCTGGGATGACAGGTGTGTGACACCATGCCTGCTCAGACAGTTGCGTATTTAAAGATGTTCACAAACAACAGAACCCCTGATCGTTGGTTCTAGGCACTGTGCTATGTGATGTAAACATGCTTTCATTCTCTATGCAAAACAACACTCATTTTTTAGAATACGAGACTGAGTTTGAGCATTCCTGTAGGACTAAATTTGGATGTGATTCTCTCTGGCATTAGGGGTCATATTTTTTCCCACATCACTGGGCTGCATCTTCAAGGTATTCTGCAACTTAAGATTATTTTTAGAATAATTTACGTTACTGTCTGACATCTGTATTCAGCATCCCTCATTCTGAGTTTTGGAGAGATAGTCAGATATTCCACATGGCTGGCAGCATTGGCCACAGGGCTTGGTTGACCACACTCCTTGGCTGGTTTCATTCTGGAGGCAGGGAATGGGGAAGAGCCATGACCTATATCACACTGATCTGAAGTTAGAGGGAGGGTTATGGGCACTTCATACCCATCCTAAGAGGGCATCAGGAGCCCAGAAGTTTAATGTTAGAGGGGAGGAAAGCGTATGGGTTGAGCGTCCTGCACTGGCACAGTTCTCATGCCCTGTGGGAACCCATCCACCACCGTGGTTCCACAGAGTACCATGAGGGAGGATAAGAAGACTGTTCAGAAGCAGAATCTTTCAGCTGGCTCCATAAAGACAACAATGGCCTTTATTTAAAACTTACATCATTAGTATTGTTGTTTGCGAAGAATTGTGACTTTCTTCAACTTCACTCTGCTCACTTCTGCTCCTAGTACCAACAGTTGGAGTTCTGTTGGGGACCTTCTTCAAATTTGTTTTACATGAGAACAGTAATATCACGTCTGGGGTGTTGCTGTGTATATGATCAGGAGTAAAGAAAACGAAATTGCACAGTATTGGAGAGATAGGGTTAGTGCTTGGCGCATTCAGTAGTTCAGTTGCTTGATCCTCTGGCTTTACAACCTGAGCAGCTATAATTCATGTGAAAGAAAACTTAAGGCAATCATATGCCACAAGCATCAGGAGTTACTCACAAGAGTTAAAGTTGCAAATGTGAAATGCATGTATACCTAAAGCCTGCTCTAACCACAAGTAGCTCGTGGTGTAAAAATAAGAGATGTGGCACTAGAACAAAGCAAAACATTAACATCTGTCAAATCTGCTGAAGGGTATAGGTGGTCAGTAGACCAGTCTCCATACGGTTCTATATATATAAGGCTTTTTTTTATTGTAAAAAGTAAACTTGGAAGAAAGACATAATGCTTTTTATCGTCAGCAGCTCTGAATTTTAAGGTATACTGATTTCAACTTCTTTACTCAAAAGACTTGTCTAAATTCATATAATTTAAAAATCATTCAGTTTTGGTATTTTTTAATCTTAGTAATTTAAGAAAACTTTGTTCAACTGCTCTAGCCTTATTATTATTTTGTTGTTGCTCAGCTTTTTACAGTCTCTGATGTAGGAAGGTTTCAGGCATTACCTTTTGAAATGACAAATAGTAATAGTAGTGAGTCATATAATTGCTTCCCACTCATACACCCACTATTGCTGTAGTTTCAAAAATTCTTTCCTCCCTCATTTTCTTTATTATCATTAAAAGTAACCATCAATTGCTGTTTAGTTTATAATTCTCATTTTAGCAGAAGAAATGCAAAAGATTTAGCTGGGCAGAGTGATGCTCACCTGTCATGCAGCCACTTGGGAGGTGGAGGCTAGAGGCATCTTGAGCTTGAGGTCAGACTGGGCAACTTAGTGAGACTTTGTCTCCAAAAAATTTTAAAAGGGCTAGGGGTGTATGTAGCTCAGTGATAGAGTTCTTGCTTAGCATGTTTGGGGCTCTGGGCTCATTTCCTATTACTACAAAAAACAAAACAAACAAAAAATTATGAATCGTGCTTCCATTTCTGGTTCATAAATTTTTGTATGTTTCATTTCTGTCATCCTGGGATTATGCTTTTGCATATCTACTATTATGTTTTTCACATATAAAATGTCTGAACACTGTACATGAGTAGGTAAGAACTGAGCTCTCAAGAAGTTGCTATAAATAATGACGTTTAAAATTTGGATGAAAGGCGTTTTCCTGAGGGACCAATTTGATACCCTCCCTAAACTCTCTCCACTGGACTTAGGAGAACTGTGTAGGGTTTACTTGGCAAGGGTATAATTTTATTAGGATCCTTTTGGCCAACTGTAAGAGTATAATAAGGGTGCTGACATATGAGGTCAACTGTAAAGTAATGATGTTGATTTCCATAAGCCACATAGAATTGATTTAATTATTTTATAGCTACCCTTTTGACTGTAAGTAAACTACTTCACCCCTCAAAGTGTCAGTTTCTTCATCTTGAAAAGAAGCAGATTTAACCATTGATCTGTGAAGTAGCTTTCACCTCTAAAATTTTATCTTTAAAGTTTGCAGTTCTGCTTACAAAAAAAATTGCAATGATAGTACAGAATTCTCTTCACCCAGTTTCTTTCATTTTTTTTTTGGTACCAGGGTTTGAACTCGGGTCCTCGTGCTTGCGCAGCAAGTGGTGAAACCATTGATCTAAATCTCCACCCCCATCTTCACTCAGTTTCCCCGGCTAACAAACTCTTACCACCTGGGTTGTTTATCGAAGCAAAATGTTCTTTTTCTCTGTTTCAGGATCCAGTCTAGGATGTCATATTACACCTGGTAAAATTTGACCTTAAGATGAAAATGTTCTAGCATTTTGTGTATATTTAGAGTTCTGAATGTTATGTAAAATATTGGTTATTTAAACCACAAATATGCAGTGGAATTCACTTGATATATTTTTACTTTAGGTGTCCATGGCACATGGAATACAAAATTTGATTAATGCCATCAAAATGATTCATAGTGTGTCAAGGTATTATAATACCTCAGAGAGAATGACCTCATTGTTTATCAAGGTGGGTTCCTAAGGGAAGAAATCACAATGAAGTCCTATAAAAAGCCAATTAATTCTTTCCCTTATGTCCAGGGCAAGGAATTGAGAAGTCTGTATGTTTTCAAAATGCTGGATTTTAATACTTCTCACGGACGAGAAAAGGATGGTGTTCATCAGAGTTGCTCCCAATTCAATGTACAGGATCCCAACTGAGGATGACCTCATAATGTCACTCCTCTTGAAAGTTTTCCAGAACCATTTTAACTTCATAGTAACCTTTTCCAGATCTAGGTTCTGCTCTTCTCTGGTCATCTTCCCCCCTTGGCCCTGCACATCCGACTCTGTGTGCATTCTGTATCTTTGGAATCCTCACATATTCTGCATCAGCCTGCCATCTTGGTCTAGTCTCCCAACCACATCTAAGCAGTGATACAATTTTTCTTCACTATGTTGGGACATGTGAAAGGTATCTTCATGTTGAAGTATGGTAATGAGTCACAGTTGAACTAGGTCAGGGCCTAGTAAGAAGAGGAAAAGATGAGTGGAAACTGTAATTTACTTTGAAATGTATGACCCCAGTGACCTTAACTTAAATATAGTAGATATATGTGACTTTGGGTTTTCTTAGCTTTGACTGGCATATATATTTCTTCGATTTTTTTGTATTCCATATTCTGTAATTCATTTACCTCATAAGTTTACAATTTATCATATTTTCATGCTTGGAATTTAGAAAAAATTTCTGAATTTTATTTCTCTTTTCGCCTATAGTTATTTTGTACCTATCTTTGTTTTAGGTAACAAATCAAATGGTGACAGCATGTAAAGCATATATTACTGATGGAGGACTAAACCATGTTTGGGATCAGGAAACTCCAGTAGTACTAAAAAAAATTCAGGTTTGTAGAAATGTGTTTAAAAGTAAAGTACCATCTGGTCTAATTTTTTTTTACTTTGTTCATTCAGAAAACATATTAACTGAAAAAATTTCATACAGATTAGGATGAGAATATAAAAAATATCATTTATATTACCTACTTTTCTTTATGCACAGTACACCTTTCAGGATAAGAGTTTAATTCTTATTTTTCTCCATAGTTTTGTATTTCAGACTCCTGTTGAGTGTCATTTCATAAATTCTGCCCACTCCCCCCAGTCCAGCCCCTGTTAATATAATTTAATTATTTTCCACCTTTTTTTGGCATTGGCTAGAACTGCTTTACATCCTTACATAGATAGAGTTGTGATTGGCATCTTGATTTTCATCCCCTTCTGGAAGAGAATGTTTCTAAGATTTCCTCCATTTAGTGTGATGCTTTTGTAGATTTTAAGTATATCTTTGATCAGATTTGTTTTAATCCTAAGAATCTTTTTAAAGGTTTTGAATGGGAATTAGAAAATCTTTTTTTTCCCTGCACATATTTGTTGCAGTGTTTATAGAATTTCCTGCTGTACCTTGGATGGGATTCTTAGGTTTTCTAAAATTAAACTGTCCTAACATTCTTGGGATAAACTCAACTTGGTCATGGTATATTTTTAAAAAACACTCTTCAATTCAATCAGGTACACATTTTTTTTGTTTGTTTTGGAAACTGTATTCATAAGGGAGGAAGCCTATAATTTTCCTTTCTTATGCTGCTGTCGTCAGTGTTTTGACACTCAGATGTCAGAATGAGTGAGGGGTGGATGGGTGAGGGAAGTTTTCCTCCTTTCTCTAATTTCTGGAAAAGATCTATAAAATTAAAGTGTTCTGTGTTTTGAAAGCTCAAAAGAAATAGCTCAGGAGAAGACTCCCTCCAGAAGTGGTTATTAGCCATTGATGTGCGGGGCCCCTTGGTCTCTGTAGCCCTTAGGAACACAGCTCCAGCAGGGAGAGTGAGGGGAAAGGACCCTCCATCCATGCCACCTCTCTCCAGCCCCGAACCCAGGTGGAAATGGCCGCACCTGAGAGGGCTGGCACGGCCATCTCCCATGTTCAGACTTCTGAACTGCAGGATAGTACAATGACGAATTGCAGTTAGGGGAGTTTCTCATACTGAAGATGCTGTGTCCCAAGGACTGGAAGAGCCAGGCTTGTAATACAGTTCTTGAACTTGGCCGTGTAAACTAGAAAGCTAAACAGAGACAGATCAAAGCAGTTCCTAAAGCAGTGATTTTGACACATCACAGAAAGCAGCCGCTGAAGCAGTTTAAAAAAAAAAAAGAGGATAATGACTACTTCACTTGCATTTAAAGCTTATGAAATGTTTGATCCCATAGAAAGAGGAGTGTTTATGGTATTGATCCTACATTTTTTTTTTTTTTTTAGTACCGGGGATTGAACTCGGGTCCTTGCGCTTGCACAGCAGGTGGTGAAACCACTGAGCTAAATCCCCGGCCCGATCCTACATTTTTGATAACTCAGTTCCTTCTAAAAGTGAAACAAAGGAAAATTTCTTTGAAGTGTTCTCTCTAGGGTTGAGAGATGGTTAAAAAAAAAATAATGATAAAAAGAGAGAGTACCTAAACTTTGGTGATGTAAATTTATCATTTTATACTTTCAGAATAATTTCATTCTTGGAGAGAATTTTCATGCTTAAAAGCAAAAGTAGGGGTGGAGATTTAGCTCAGTGGTTCCGTCACCTGACTTGCAAGCACAAGGTCCCAAGTTCGATCCCCGTTACCAAAACAAACAAACAAAACAAACAAAATAAACAAACAAAAAAGCAGAAGAAAGGGGCCTGGGCTCAGTGCTCAGTGGTGCTGTTGCCTGCTTTGCATGTGCAAGGTCCTGAGTTTGATTGCCGGTACCAAAAAAAAAAAAGCAGAAGAAAAAATGGAATATGTCATGATAACTGGAAGGGATTGAAAAACAGAGCAGAGCAACAAGGAAAAGAAACAAATAAGAACATTGATTGAGATTGCAGATAGCTGTAAAAAAAATTCAAAGAAAATGCCAAGAAAGAAGCAGAGAAGAAAATAAATGCAGGAGCAAAATGAAAGCACCAGGAGGCAAAGACAAGTGAAATTAGTAGCTAGTTAAGGAGATAGGAGAGGAAGTTAGACAACAAGCATTCTTGGCAACAAAAGAAGATAAACAGAAAAGAGCTATGGAAAGAGAAAGCCAAGAACTTTGAAATTCAAGGGAGACTTGGACTTTATTTAGTTCTCAGACATTGAGAGGAGAGGGTTAAAACAGTGAAAGAAATGGAAAAACTTTCCCCCTCTTTTTTTCTGTAGGTACTGGGCATTGAACCCAGGGCCTTCCCACTGAGTTACATGCCCAGCTCTTCTTTTATTTTTTATTTTGAGAAAGGTCTCACTAATTCTCTTTAAAAAATTCTAGGCTGGACTAGAATTTGTGATTCTCTTGTCTCAGCCTCCCAGAGTTCTGGGATTACAGACATGCACCACCATGCCCAACCTGTATCCTTTTTGATTTCTAATTGATTTACGAATCTCTTTAACTGACTACAGCAGTGGTATAGCTGTAGTTAAATATTAGTCAAAACTTTTGTGAGCTCCTTTTTTCGAATGGTTGGTTGATAAATTAATATTGCAGTCTTCATGTTTTGTATACTTGAATGTAAAGATGGATCCTAGTTGAATAGAGATGTCTTGATAAATAATTTCTGGGCTTTTTGGGAATTGTAATTAGTAATGAAAATATAAAAACAATAGTGTATGTTATACTTGGACATAGGATGAACTAAGGGAAAACCGTGAGGATGAAGAGATGAAAATATGATGTATATTAAAAAAAAAAACTATGGTGGTGTTCATAGGCCTTCAGTGTGAAGGCAGAGAATTTGAACTTTGGCTGACAGCAACAGCCTGTATTTCAGTGGCTGGCATGACCAGGTCTGTGTGAAGGTCTTTGGAAATTTTGACTCCTGAACAAACTTCTTATCACCCTTTCTCCTCTCTTCTTTTAATTCTTTCATAGGACTGCATTTTTCTATTCAAGGAATATCAGACATCTTTTCATAAAACCAGGAAACAGATTTTAGAATCCTCAGGGGAAAAGTCTTTTGAGGTTTCAGAAATGTACATATTTGGAAAATTTGAAGCTTTCTGTAAAAGACTGGAGAAGGTAAGCATTTTACAGTCACAGCACCTCAACCCAAATCACACCCTTTTGCTCATTTCATTCTTTGAGTAGTGCCATTGAAATAACTATTCCAGATCTTTTGTCTCATTACTGATGTGACTTGTCTGATTAAATTACTCACAGGTCACTGAATTTATTACAACATATTTTTCATTCCTAGTTACTGCCTTCTGCCGGGCACACAAAAGCTAACTGCAAACTCTCATCTCTCTCAAGACCTCAGTTCTCCTCTACCTGTGAAACTTGACCTTATAAAATCTTCTGTTCTTGACCATGATATTAGGCTGAGAGAAGGTGTGAGGTGAAATACCCGTGGTACCTGGCAGGCCCAGTAGTTGTGGGATGTCGGGATGTACAGGCATCTCCTCTTTCTGGGCCAGTATGGTGTACACTTAAACACCGTGTGTGGGGTAACTGCTGGGCAGACATGGCTGGAAACTTCTGCAACTTTCATTAAGACAGGCTGAGGAGGGATGACATTTTTTCAGGGGCTAGAGGGAAGCCCATATGGAGTCAGTCTTTGGGAAGTCTGTAAAGGCATCATTAGGCACATCCTCTGGCCCTTTCAACCTCCCTGGATCCTGGTGGTATTTAGAATCCTACTCATCAGTTGTTGGAAATTGGGGGTTGGAGGACATGACATAGGTTGAAGGATATTTCCTAGACATGTTCAAGAGCCAGTTTTTAAATTTTTAGTCTCCTCATCCAGCCAGGACTGGAAAGCATGGGTGATGAAAGATACCAAATTACTAGTGGTGTCCTTCATGCTTACTTCTGTGGGGCTTTTTTTGAACTGTTTTTTTTAACAGTTTAATTTGGATGTAGTTCCCATATCATGCAATTTACTCACTTAAAGTATACAAGTCAATGGCTTGTACTATTTTCATGAAGTTGTGCAACTATTACAACAATCTAATTTTAGAATATTTTCATTCCCACTAGAGGAAACCCCATACTTACTCTTCTCTATTCTACCTGGTTCTAAGCAACCACTAATCTACTTTCTGTCTCTAATAGGTGCGCCTATTTTGGAAATTTGTAAATGGAATCATATGATACTTGGTCTTTTGGCTTCTTCCATTTAGTGTAATGTTTTCGAAGTTCATCCATGTTACACAGCTCTACATTTTATTGGTGAAAAATCTTCATTGTGTGGTTATACCACGTGTTATTTACCCATCAGCAGATGAACAACCTTTGGGTTGTTCCCTCTTTTTGAGGGGGGTCCTGTTGGACTACTCCTGTGAACTCTTACATAGTTGAAAAGGAGAGCAAGATAGAGAAAAGGTGCCAAGGTGCATAAGCCGGAAAAGGGACTACAAACTGGTTATCTGAACTGAAGGGTCATAGTTGCTGAAGAGAGAGCTGATGAAAAAGCCAAGACTGGGACACACCAGCAGGTCATGGTCATGAGTGACTACCACGACTTGCTGTTGGGTTGCTGCATGTGACATGGGGGTCACCACTGGCTAAGTCTTAAAGAGCAAGAGTGGGACCAACCACTGTCTCATCTCAGCCTCATCCAACCCAGGGACAAAACAGAGGAGGTGTGAATGACAGGAATTTTGTCTTAGTCTCTGGCTTTTGAAGCCAGGTGGTAGAGGAAGGGGTAAAGAGCAGACTCTTAGCTGATTAGAGTAACAGGCAGGCTGAGAATCTTGAGTTCCCCCACTTTCTTTTGCTTTATAAAGCAGGCAAGTGGGGTGTATGCGTTAGAAGCAGACCCAGATAGTTCTTGTGTTTATGCAGAGTGTCTAGAACATGCTGCAAATCCCAGCAGACCTCCAGGTTTGGAGACAGTGGCTCTTGCAAGTGTGAGGAAGTAGTAGAGTGAGAACAACAGTTGCTCTGAAAACAATCCTGGGTTTGACATTTGGCAGGGACTTTATGTGAATTCTGTTGACTGAGTAGAAGGACCATAAGTGTTGTCTTCATGGCGCGTGGTATTTAAAAGTCTTCCTGAGAACAGGTTATTGCCTTTCTGGCCAAGCAAGCCTTTCCTGGAGAACTTTGAGCACTGTTGTTTAAAGTAGGAGTAAAAATGAGAGACTCTTAGAGAAAAGTTAAGGAACTGAGTAGACTGTGGAGTATCCTGTTTTTGGTTTTCTTTTCGGCAAGGTAAATGGTGTTGGAACATTGAGATAGAGATAGCCATTTTTGAAATAAAGACCATGGTAGAGGTTTCCCAGGGTTCTTCATGAGTCAGAAGTGAGTGCTGTCACTTTTCAGGCTTCTGGGGCCTGTCCTTTCTTTGAACACTGGGGTCAAAGGGAGAAGACGGTGGATTTGTGCTGATGTTATTATATACCAGAGCTACAGTGAGGGCCAAAAGGAATGGTAGAGCTTTGAACCCAGAGATCCAGTAAGAAGATTCTCAAAAACAAAAACATGAAGTATTCAGTCAAGTATCCCCTCTCATCACCCAAAAGACAAAAACGATTAACTTCTGCAAAATATTGCAGACTCTCAGAATATTATGGAACATCATCTTTCTTAAATAATCAAACAGTATAGTAGAATGACTGGTAGCAGAGATTTTTCTCCTATTTTATCTCTTCTGGTTGGTTTTAACCAAATGATTTTTTTTAAGTCAGTGATTTATTAAGAGCTTAATCTGGTGAAAAGACTAATATTTCACTTTTTAACATAAAATAGCATTTTGCTCTTTAAGATTACAGAAATGATAACTATCGTGCAAACATATTCAACATTGAGCAATTCTACAATTGAAGGAATAGACATTATGGCAATAAAATTCAAAAATATATACCTGAGTGTTAAGAAAAAGCAATATGACATTCTGGATCCAAGAAGGACAGAATTTGACACAGATTTCTTAGATTTTATGACAGAAATCAACAGTTTAGAGGTAAGTAGTTATATATACTTTTACTTAATAATGGTACTACAGTTCAGCACATTATCATGAATACTCACATACAGCAAATGTTCACATATTTAGTATTTTAAATTCCTGATACAAATAGAAAAATAATATTTGTAAATACTTCTTTAAAAATCCACAGAATATTTTCCATCTTTTTAAAAATGAAAAATGAGCATATCCAATGAAAGATGTCAATGAATAATCAGAAGCCTGGAGGGCTGTTAGAGCTATGGTTCATTTTTAATTTACATTAATAGTAGCATTTGATTTTTATTGTGCCAAGGAGCCACCGTCCTTTTTGCAGTCTAAGAGAGAACTGGTTGTCCTTATTCTTTGTCTGAAGTGTGGAGAGATTTGAGAGCAGTTGAGGAAGATGGATCGCTCTCCCTTTGACCTTCCCTTCGACCTTGAACCTTATGCTTGCATCCTCTTTGTAGCTACAGAGCCCCACTGTGAAGAGGCCTCATGTCTGTGTTTCGTAGATTAAGGTGCACCAGAAAGATGAGGAGGAGCACTCAAAATATCCCAGATGAGACCATAGCATATTTATCACCTTTTGGCATTGTGACCTGAGTCACTCCAGCACTGAAAACCACCTGTAACCTTAGTTTGGCTCTAGGGATGGTCTTTTCTTTGCTGCAGAATTTTCTGGAGACAAAGAGAGAAGAATATATTTTATCCATCTTAGTCTGGGTATATAGCTCACTGCTAGGGCCCTTATTTAGCATATGTGAACCCCTGGGTTTGAACCCCAGCACCGAAAAAGAAATCAGATTTTTGTCTCATTTATTTACATTATAAAACTACATTACTTATGATGGCAATATAAATAATAAAGCTGTAAAAAAAATTCTGCTACTCTTAACAGTAACACTATTTTTGGCATCGATTTTCTTTCAGTGCTTGAAAATTAGATTCTTTGATATTAAGATATATTTTAGTTATTAATTTTAGAATTGAGCTAATTAGGTAGGATGGAGTTTGCTCCCAAAATGCATTTTTTTTTTTTTGGTACTGAGGATCGAACTCCGGACTTTGCCCTTGCAAGGCAGGCAGTGGAACCACTGAGTTAAATCCCTGGCCCTCAAAATGCATTTTTTAAAGCTTCATTGTGGTCCTAGATACCACTTTTAGCTTTCAGTAAATGTAGAGGCCATATTAACCTTTTTTTTTTCTTCGTCCTCTTCCTCCTCCTCCTCCTCTTCTTCTTCTTCTTCTTCTTCCTCCTCCTCCTCCTCCTCCTCTTCTTCTTCTTCTCCTTCTTCCTCTCCTCCTCCTTCTTCTTCTCCTCCTTCTCCTTCTTCTCTTCTTCTTTTTTTTTTTTTTTGGTACCGGGGATCCAACCTGGGACCTCGCGCTTGTGAGGCAGGCAGCGGCACCACTGAGCTAAGTCCCCGGCCCCATATTAACCTTTTAATAGAAAATTTGCATAAGGTGTCAGCATTTTAATTTTCCTTCCTTTTCCAGTGTTTGATTCATGGGTGTGATACATACGAGTAATCACAGCAATACAATCTGTGTGCAAAACTAATTGGCCAAGTGATTCCGTTTCCTCTTTTGAGCGCCAGGAGTTGGGAGTTCACTGCCAGGGAAAGTGGAGTCTTGCAAGAGCATTTGCTGTTTCTCACTTCTGAGCAATGGCACAGAGGTCTCTGAGAGCGGCAGTGTGAGAAAATGACACCTGCTGAGCCTCACATGATGGTGTCATTGCACTGCTCCACCATCAGAAATTGTGAATGTCCCAAAGAACAATGGGTGGGGAAGGCCCCTCCCTTCTTTCATAAACTCTGTAACTCAGTAATGTCCACTAATGAGCTTCAAATGCAAACAATATATGTAACTATAATTTTTCTATAGAAAAGAAACAGGTGAAATTAATTTTTAATAATATACTTATTCAGGGCTGGGGATTTAGCTCAGTGGTTTCGTTGCCAGCTGCACAAGCGCAAGGACCTGAGTTCGATCCCTGGTACCAAAAAAAAAAATATATATATATATATACACTTACTCAGCCTTGTCTGTTCAGAATACTGTGATTTTAACATGGTGTTAATATTAAAACCATTGATGAGATATTTTGCATTATCTCTTTTGTACTAAGTATTTGGAATTCAGCATGTATTTTATACTTACAAGCATCTCACTCCTAAGTAGTGACATTTCAAGTGCTCAGTAGCCACATGTGGCTTGTGGCCACCATACTGGACAGTGCATTCTGAGGTGCCTAGATGCTAGATGTATTTGAAACTATTTTGATTCTATAGGAGAGTCATTAATTGTTAAATAAAATGAGTCTTTTCTTTAACACCAAAAATTATTTAAATATTAATATTTTATTTTAGGTACAAATACAGGTATTTATGAACAGTACTTTTGGAAAAATCTTATCTTCTCAGCAGGCTCTTCAGCTGCTTCAAAGGTATTTATAATATGTTAAGCAATGAAGTCTCTAGGTGGGATAACTTTAAGTAGATATTCCTTGTTTAATGACCTACTACCTGGTTAATGACTGTTCAGACTTAAGATCTGCCTCTCAGTGTGGAGAGCCAACAGCTCTATAAACATTAAGGTGGACAACTTGGATTTCCTATGAAAGGGTTAAGTGAAATATTGTAGAGCTTGCTGCCCAGCTCTGAGGAAGTTAGGCGTAGGAGAAAGTGATAAGAACAGCACAAGGACACGGAGCTAGGGAAAAGAAAACACGGGACTGTCTCAAGGCCTGGGGAATTTCCAGATGTGCCTTATGTAAGATGTTTTCTATTCTTGAGTGCTATAAAAGACAGCAGTAAAGTCAATAAAGTAGCTCGGATGCTGGGAGCTCCCCCGACTCTGTCTCTTTGTCTTTCTTTTTCTTCATCCTCACTCCCCCATTCAGGTGTTGTTCAGCAAGTGACGGCGGGCTCTGTCATCTCAGACTTAGGACTCGTCTTTTTTTTGTTTGTGTGTGTGTGTGTGTGTGTGTGTGTGTGTGTATAGTTCTGTACATCTTGTTGATAGAGCCCCAATGTCTTTTTTCATACAGAACACCTGTTTAGACAGTACTGTAGTTTTTGCTGATTGTACTGTACAGTACTGTACTTTTATGTTCTGTTATATATATATACAGTACTGCATGTAAGAGTTCTGCAAACGAGGGCAAAATCATCAAGTTGGAGTTTCCTTTGACTGTTTCTCTGTTCTGATTATTGTGATGTACATATTATATACAATTCCTCATTTAGTGACTAATCAGTTTAACAACTTTGTTGCAGGAATGGAACTCAGTCATTAAAGGGGGAATACCTGTAGCCTATAGTATTTTTGGCATATTCAGTAAGCATGTTGTGCAAATAAACACAGCATTGATGAAAAGACAAATGTCTTCAAAATAAGTATTGTTTCTATAATGTCTGATACCGGGGAAAAATAAAACTGTACGGTTTGGCTGTTTTGGTGCAGAAGGGAGTGATTTGGAGCCCGTTCTTATGGAACCCGTTGATCACATATGATACAGACAGAACATCTGGGCCAAAGGGCCTGAAAAAGTTATCAGTGCTCTCTTTTTATTGGGCTCACTTCTCAGGACTATTTGCTTCCATCTGTTTCTCAGATGATAATAAAACTGATTCATTTGGAGTTAAATTCTCAGGTATAAACAAACTCTTCAAAAGTGATGTTATCTTTGAAATTATTTTTGAAACTTTTTGATATGCAGAAATGTCTCATATCATATGGATGCACATATTTTCTCAAGAGATACATATACACTTCTGAACCACAGGAGATGATTGAACAATTAATTATCACTGTCATTTTTAGCTCTGTGATTGTTTTATGTGTTTAATTTTTGTCTTACACTCCTGGCTAGTAAGCTCCTTTACTACATACTTTATATGTCTTTCTCCCCTCCAAGGTATTTATTAGAGGCAGGAAGATCAGTGGCTCCATGAATGCCATTTCACTGTCAAGGATATTTGAGCATTTCTGATGGTTTTTACAGTTGAGCAGGTGCATGGTTCTGTGATACCTTATTAGTAGTATTTTAGTTTCATTGGTCCCTTGCAGTGACCTGCAGAAGCTCCTTCATTAATGAGCCAGAATTGCACACTCAAAACACAGCTTCTAGCGTTATCAACTATGTGATCAGTGTAACCATGAAGAATTCATGGAAACCGCGAAGATACCAGGAAAGGGCATGTGAGGAAATACGGAAATAGACGCTTTATTGATCTGCTAAAGATCATATCTGGATTGCATCTGTTTTGCAGTCATGATTATTGATGAGCACTTTCTATATCATTGCTGTAGTATAAGATATCCTGGGTTTTCTGAGTAATTTTTATTCCTGCCTTCTCTGACCTGTGAGGAATCCATGTTGCCTGAACCCAGCTGATGTGATGATTTGTTGGTGGCTGCTGTATTTTATTTTATTTATGTATTTATTTATTTTTGGTACCAGGGATCGAACTCGGGTCCTTGCGCTTGCGCAGCAGGCAGTGAAACCACTGAGCTAAATCCCTGGCCCTGCTGTATTTTATTTTAAAGGTTATTGGACAGCAGGTGTTCTTCAGAAAACAAGTCATTTTCATCAAACTATTTTGCCAGCAAGTTACAGAGGCCCTTCTGTTTTTTGTTTTGTTTTTTTTTGTTTTGGTACCGGAGATCGGACTCAGGACCTTGTACTTGTAAAGCAGGTGGCGGAACCATTGAGCTAAATCCCCTGCCCTCGTCAAACTATTTTGATAATATGGTGTCTAATACAGGTATTCCTTGTTTAACGACCTGCCTATTTCACAACTGTTCAGACTGACGACCCACTGCTCAGCCTTAGAACCAGTCTTTTTTTTTTGTACAGTTCTGTACATCTTGTTGATAGAACCTCAGTGTCTTCTTTTTGTACAGTACACCTTGTTTATACAGTGCTGTAATTTTTGCTGATTGTATTGTCCAGTACTGTAGTTTTATGTTTTGTTATACATTGCAGTACTGCATGTAAGAGTTATGCAAGTAAAAGCAAAGTCATCAAGTTGGAGTTTCCTTCAACCATGTCTTTGTTGTGTACATTGTAATGTACATAATACAGTATGTACCATTCTTCATTTAGTGACCAATTCAGTTAACGACTTGGTCGCAGGACCAGAACTTGGTTGTTAAATGAGGAGTTTCTGTATGTAAACGTGAAGTTTTATAAAAGATGTCCTCAGAAATCTCTTCTACATAAACCTTACAACTTATAAACATTAACCTTGGGCTGGGGATTTGTGCTTTGCCTGCCAGGCAAGCACAAGGTCCTGAGTTCGATTCCTAGTACCAGGAAAAAAACCATTAGCCTTTCAATTACTACTAAATAGACTGGTAAATTTTTGAAATGTGTTAATTTTTCATTGCATTTTAAAATAGCACAATAAGAAAATGAAATATCTCACATGCCTTCCCACCATTAGCCATGTATTATGCTTTAGGTTAATGTGATAGTTTTCATCGCAAAGAGAACAAATAATGTTTAGTTCTACATATTGAAAAGATTTGCAAAAGTGAGATTAATAAGAACAGTAGAGTCTAAAATTTCCATCTTTCCTCTAGAGGCCTGTTACATCTTTTTTTTCAAATTTTATTTTGGGTCATATACTTACCATATACAACATGATGTTTTAATATACATAGTTAAATGGTTACTAAAATTATCTCTCTATTCCTAACAGCAGTACTTTTCCCAAAGGTCAGGGAATCCAATTATAGGTTCAAGGGGGAGTAGAGGCCATTTTCTATCAGCTCAGAGAGGGCTCCAGACCCACATCAGGGGGCTCTTGGGAACGCCTCCCTGAGACCCAGTGGATCTGGGTTCGAACTTGAATTTGGCATAGTTCTGCATCTCTATGATTGGCTTATGGCTTGAGAGACCATTGTAAGAGTCAAAGCAGATATGAAATGATTCTGATGAGTCACAGTACTACACAGCAGGTACTATTTTCTTGACAACTTCTCTTTTTGTCTCTGTATCCCTCTTTTACCTATATTGGCTGTTGTGAATGAATTTTATTATCAGAATGTTATAGGTCTCATACTTTGCATCATTTCCTCTCTAGGAGGACATGATAATTGGCTGACAGTCATTATTATGACTATGGTTGTTTGGAATTATGTGAGCATTAATATTGGCAGAGTTACATTTAGTGTACTCTTCTCCACCTTTACTTTTAACTTCATACTCATCTTTTTAATCTCAGTTTAAATATCACTGTAACTTCTATCACAGCTTTCCTGTCACTGGGAAAAGAATGCCTGATGTCTACAATTTAAGGAAGGAGAGGGTCAATTTGCTTCATGGTTGCAGAGGGTTCAGTCTATTGTGGGCTAGCTCCGAGGTAGAAACATCATGGCAGAAGGGTGTGGTGGAGCTAAGCTGCTGAGTTCATGGCAAGAAAACAGTGTCAGAGAGGAAGCGGGGCACAGAGCATAGATAGTACCCAAAGAAGACACACCTCCATGACCTGCCTGCACACACCCAACAGTGTGCTTTACTAATTCCTTGGGCGGCTCCCAAATCCATCAAGTTGATAATCCAGTTTAATTGTCACAATCAATTTCTTGTCTCCTCAGACTCGGCTGGGTTCCCCTGTTACATGCATTTCCAGCTTATTTAAATCATTATTTATGTAACTCTTGACTGATACATGCCTTTCCCATAAGATAACCATAGGTTCCTGGAAGGCTTGGCGTCCATCCCTGTGTATCCTAAGCCTGTGCAGGAGGCCTGGGCTGAGTATTTGTCAAATGAATGAACACTTAGCACTCCAGCAATTCTTAAGTATATTTCTCATTTCCTTTTTAGTTATTCAGCTTCAATTACTTTTAGATTTCAGAAGCTGAACATTCCCTGTCTTCAGTTGGAAATCAACCACACAGTTGAGCGAATTCTCCAGTATTATGTGGCTGAACTTGAAGCTACTAAGAAGGTAAGTGTCATGTTTATAGTACATTAGCGCAAAAGCAAAAAAAAATCAGAATCTTTTTGCTATCACTTGTCTTGTGCCAAGCTTTTGAGAGGGGCCCTGTCCCTGATCATGACCTTTGAGGCTCTGCTCCAAATGTGGGAAGGTGCTGACATGGTATGTCACTGCACAGCCAGATCAACACCTCTTTGCTCTTAAGAGCTATCTTTTTATGTCAATATTCATGTGTATATATAGAAAAGCCCAAGTAAGTTAGTATTTTTACATATAGAAATGTAAGTGCTGGAGAATGTGATGACAGATATAATGTAGCTATCAGCTTCCTCTTTTGAATACCTCCTTGAAATTCAGGGTAAGAGCTGAAAAAAAATCATGTGATAGGAAGTAAATATGAAGAGAGAATTAAGTGTCCTATATGATAAACATTGTTCCTGAGCCTCAGGTTATGGTCTCTGATGTGCATTAACATTTATGGACTGCCTCTTGTGTATACAACATACAAATAATGGTAAAACAACTTACAGAAAAATTTTTTTGCCTTCTCTGTTGTACTGAATTCAAGCATTAACACTGTATTTTTAATTACAGCTTTATCATTCTCAAAAAGATGACCCCCCTCTTGCTCGCAATATGCCCCCTATTGCGGGGAAAATCCTGTGGGTGAGACAGCTCTATCACCGCATAAGTGAGCCCATGGACTATTTCTTTGTAAGCTAAAGATTAAATTTATAATATGTGGATTATGGTGGGTTTGCTACAAAATTATATCACAAACACATTTATTCAATTGCAATTCGTTTACTTGGCAAAGAAAATTTGGCCTGTAAATACACTGGAAAGAGACTAAGTCAATTTGTTCATGTTTAACAAATAAGCCAGTTCAGTGACTATGATTATTTCAGTTCAGTTATCTCAGAGTTGGTGCATCTTATAATATTATGTCTTTTAACAACACAAGACACTTAATAAAGTCTTTTAAAAAAGTTGTTTTGAAAACACAACCAAGTACAGGCCTTGCTCTGAAGCTTACTTCTTTGTGTTGATAGGGCGCTGATGTGTATTTAATGAAAATGAAAATGTAGTGAGCGTATCTCTGTACAAAGAACTGAGCCCCAGAAGATTATAACAGAACCTATTCATTCTTTACATCTTTAAGATTATTAGAGTTCTGAAAGACAGAATAGTCCTAGGCCCTGGTGCTGCTTTGAAGCTGCTGTTTTGTCTTTTCTTTGTTTTAGTTTTGTTTTTAAGAGATAGAGAAGCAGAACAGAGTTGGTTCGCTTGACATTGTGCCTTATGCCTGAGTACAGAACAGAATAAGAACAAGATGGTGGTCCCACAAGTAATTTTATCAGTAGGGCATTATTACATGTTAAGTTTGTGTTTGGCTACCATCATTTATTTCATTGTTCTGAACATTTAAAAGACAAAGAAAAATCCCTGGCTTTAGACAAGCGACCAAGGTGAGGACTCAGTTGCGGTAGTGGCATGGTAGAAATTGCCCTGACATGAATGAATTGAAACCTAAATCTTTCATTTTTTTTTTTTGCTTAAATTCTTTTATTGGTACATTTAAGGTATACAATATGTTTTCATTTATCATTGGGTGCTTGTACCTCTGCATGATGTATCTTGGTTCTTTTTTTTCCCCATTACCTGTGCGCCCTTCTAAATCTTTCATTTCTATACAAAGAAAGTTGGTTTTATTTATATAGATTTTTTATGCTGGAACTTAGGCATGGCCCCTGATATTGACAGCTTAAAGACAAGCAATCAATTGTATCTTGTCCCAAAAAGTTGGGTGGGGGTGGCATGGGACACTAGCCTGCTGGGGCCAGCTGTTGGGTTAGCAGCCTCTGAATCCCTTCTTTCCCTTTCCAGTGTTCCATCTCTGGTGTTAGTGTTTCCCTACTCAGATCTGCAGCTTCTGTAGCTTTCCCTATCTCTGTTTTACTTTGAGGCAAAAATCTAAATTGGTAGCATAACCATGTGATGCCATTTTAGAGTCCATGAAAATAGTCTGCAATCTCTTAAAGTACATTTTTCTATTTTTTTCTTAAAAAACAGAAAAACTCAGAAATTTTGTCAAGTTCAGAAGGTAAAGCTGTCATCCGTCAGTATAACAAAATCTCTTATGTGCTGGTGGAATTTGAGGTGGTCTACCACATGGCCTGGGTCAGAGAGATTTCGCAGCTACAGTATGGTGTGTATAAAACTGTGCCTCAGGGCTTACACCGGGGGCTGGTTATATCCCTTTTACATGATCTTAAGCTGGTTTTAAAATTTAGATTTAGGGATGACATAATGGTTTATTTTTTATAGTTGTTAGTATTCTGATTTTATGAGTAAAAATTGTCATGACCCTAAACTATGACTTTTCCCTGGAAAAAAATAGAATTTAAAGTCAAAATATCTCAATAGATATTGCTCCTTAGATTTATGGAGGTTTTTATACTTAGTTTTTATCATATTGTAGTTTCAAATCTCAGCCCAAATGAGGAGAGAATTACAGCTACTCTCTTTTTCTTCCTCCTTCCCTTGTTGTCTTTTCTTTTTTTCCTGTAACTGAATTTAATTTGTTTGGAGCTGCAGTGATTTAGCAGGGATAGGGTTGACTCTCGGGGGTGGGGTTATGTGGGCAGAATTCAGTGTGAGGCGGGGTGGCCTGAGGGAAGGGAGGCCATCACTGCTGGCCTCATCTGGGATGTGGTTTTCCTGTGGACTCCATTGTTGGTCAGTTCAACTTCCTGCTTTGCCCCATTTTACCTTTAATCTGTTAACCATAACCTCAACCATAAGGTCTTAACCGCGGCCTTGGTGGAACTCGTAAGGCATTCGCTGCTGGAATGCTTTCTCCCTCGCAAGCCAGGATCTCCATTTCAGCAGAGCACAGAGCTGCAGGCACAAAAATCTGTGAGCACGAAATCTGTGGGTGGGTTGCCGAGACAGATGCTGGGAGGGGCTGTTTCTCTTTTTGCTTCTTCTTTTTTTTTTTTTTTTTTGTACCCAAGATCGAACTCGGGTCCTTGCGCTTGCGCAGCAGGCGGCGAGACCACTGAGCTAAATCCCCGGCCCCTCTTTTTGCTTCTTGATTCCAGAACTAATATATTTTAGCGTGTTGAGAAAGGACAGAGCATTGATTCCCTACCTAACTGCATTTTAGAGGACAGCATCCCAAGCCCTGCAAAGTGTTGTCTCCAACTGGCACCATAGTTACACCTTCAATAAAACAGCGTTTTCAGCTGTTTTGGGGTAGTGTGCTGTAAGTGGCAGCTGTGGACTGTGATGAAAGCCTGCAGCATTCTCAAAGGACCATCAAGATAAGCTTAAAACTCACACTATGGAAAAAGGGAAAAGAATTTTTAACATCAAAAGTACTGTTTTGCGTCTTCAGTGCTATGCAGTTTTCTGCTTTTTATTTTTTTGCCCCGCTGGTTTTTCTGGCATCAGTGCCTTTCCTTTTACCTGCGTATATTCAAAAATAAGCTCAATAGACAGAGATCTATTCCATAAAACCCTCTCCTATTCTTTCTGGCAGAAAAGAATCTCTCCCTTCTCCAGAATCCTCAACACGTTTTATGTGTAGCTCCTCCTCATGACATTTGCTGCTTTATATATTTGCTTTATCTCTCCCACACAATTCGAGGATACTCTGTTTCATCTGCTGTCCTTTAAATAATGATCATAACTAACCCTTATCCTGTGCTTGCTGTATGCCAGGTTTGTCTAAACATTTGATGTATACAAATCTCTAACCCTAGTAAACAACCCTATGAGACATTATCATTGCCCTTGTGTTACAGAGGGGGAAAGTGAGGCACTGAGAGATTAGGTGACTTGCCCAAGTTCGTATACTAGTAAATGGCAGAGCCAGAATTCACATTCAGATAGTTTGGCTCCACAGTCTGTTCTCTTAACTCTTACACCATTTGCTTCTAAAAGGGCGAAGATTGGTGCCAGGCATTGGAGTCTCTCTCAATAGCTTTAAAATGTCCAATAAGTAGATATCAAACAATCATTCATTCATATATGTATCTGGGATTACAGCCATGTGCCACCAAGATTTATCAGACGATCTTGATAAATGACACTTACATCAAGTTTTCTGGAGAATTCATTCCACTTGAGAACACCAGTTGACATCTGTTAGGTCCAGCAGCTCATTGCAGTGGGTTGGTGCCCAGGAGAAGTGGTCACACGTACTTCTAACCATATTTTTGAAAGCTCAGACTCTGGGAAATGAATGGCTATGGAAGGCTTCCTGCTGTCCTGTTGATGTGACTATATGTAACTATATAGGAGCTTGAAATAATAATTGGGAGCCTCCTATCAGCCTCCTTTAGTTGGTTGCTTTACAGTTTCTTTTTTAAAAATTGTAGTAGTTTTTTATTGGTACGAGTTTGTGAAACATGATTATACTAATCTCGGGCAACTGGTACATATACATATTGTATCTTTGGCAACTCACATGGAATGAAAGGCTGTCAGTCCTGAAGCAGACTTCCTGGCTGTTGTTACTGGTCTGACCCCATCATGCTGTTGAACTTTTTGTCTTTTTGACAAGCTCAGTACAATCTTAGGAAGACAGATTTCCTTAAATGAATATTCCAAGTTATTTTGGAATTTTCTGGGGAGGACAGATGTTCTCTAACCTAATTCTAAAAAGATTCCAAATTATTTGGACAAGATTCTTAGTTGAATTTCTCATAGTGCCTGCACCTTTAAGACCTCATTTTATGTAGTGAGAAAAAGCTAACTTCAAAGGAATATTGGGACCAATTTACTTTGCTAGAAATTTGAAGTTGCCTCGTTCTGTGAGGTAATGTGAGGCTGGGAAGAGTTTGTGATCATCATGAAATTCTCATGTGAGTAGTGTTGGTTAAAATAGCATGTAATTTGAGCTAACACATCCAAGTCTATAAATGTTTTATTATTATGCATCTAGAAGTAATTTATGTTAGGATAACAGATAATCTAAGGCTACCCAGCAAGAACTGTTTGGGCATGTATTTTTCAATTCCTAATAAGGAGCTTCTCTGAAAATGCATGTTTGTATGGATGATGTTTGAGTGAATTGTAGTACAAAAAGCTCTCTACATTTTAAGAGTTCACACTGCAATGTTGTTTAACAAATATTTCTTACTGTTACCGAGCCTAATTATCAGAAATTCAAGATAGAGATTTAATTCAGATAAATCTTAGAGAAGCCACTTTGAGATCAGGTGGAAGAGAGTTTGAAATCTATGAGGTGTGTTAACTTTGTAGAACTGTCCATCTTCTGACTCTTCCTCAGTGGTTAAGTGATAATCCATAAAAGTAAGAAGACTATCAGTTCTTCATCAAATTTTATCTCTCTGGAACTGTTTGTGTGGCTTTGTAGACACAGCCTCAAAGATCTAAGTTTTGAGTGCTGACTACGTGACAGATACTGTAGCACCGAGGGCATCCCAAACTATTGTTCCACCCTTCAGAAGTTAGTAGTTCAGTGGAGAAGGCACCCATGTAAACAGCTGGAAGCAGAAAGGAAATCCAGGGCAAGTAATGTCAATAATCATTTATTTGTAGCTTTACAAGCCACACTTTTCGTGCGACATCCGGAAACAGGAAAGTTGCTGGTTAATTTTGATCCCAAAATTTTGGAAATTGTGCGGGAAACTAAGTGCATGATAAAGATGAAGTTGGATGTTCCAGAACAGGCCAAGAGATTGCTGAAATTGGAAAGTAAATTGAAAGCAGACAAGCTGTATTTGCAGGTAAGATAGATGATGTTTTCTGATTATCTTCGAAGGAGTTTTTTTCTTTTTTCTGATGCAAGAAAAATATATCCCTGCAGGTGTGCTGACGCTGAGGGAAAATTTGTTACCATGTTGATTCTTGATAGAATTAAAATACTGACTTGCGAACAAAAGATTGGAGAGGGAAAGTAGAAATAGAAAAGATTATCAGACATCAGACTTTTCTTGGTAATGAGTGATGAAATAGTAGCTTTTAAAAGTTCATAATTAAAATTTTATAGATTAAGTACATTAAGTTTTATAGTTATTTAATTTGAGGATACTGATAAGATATAAATTAAGAAAGTGGGATGTCCATAAAATGATAGGAGTAGAAATGATTCTTTCACATTGCAGGGTGAAATGGAGCATTATTTCAATTCAGTTTAAATGAGCAGCCCCTATGATGGCTAGACTGGGGAAACAGGTGTAATGAGACCTTCCTAGTGTGAATCAGAATGTGGCTATTGCTTGAAAGTAAATGAAAGTAAAATATGCCATTTTGACTTTTTTTTTTTTTTTTTTTTGGTACTGGGGATCAAACTCGGGTCCTTGCACTTGTGCAGCAGGCAGTGAAGCCACTAAGCTAAATCCCTGACTCTCCATTTTGACTTTTTACAGGGTCTTCTGCAGTATTACGGTGATTTATGTCAGGAAGTGCCTTCTGTGTTTGTCAATCTGATGACCCCTAAAATGAAACAGGTTAGTGATGCTGGAGGTTTCTATTGATTTCCCTGCTATTTTAAATTAGATTCTAGTTCTATAGATTGTGAATCTTGGGTCCTCCATTTTGACCTAGACCTTTGTCTTCCTAGTTCAACTTTATAGCTCTGGTTTTTTCCTGCAGAATGATTCTTGTCTGGTTGCCTTTGAAAAAACAACTAAATCCAAATCATAAACACTTTCTAAAAATACATGACTGCTTCCTAGGCAGCCAAAGATAAGATGATTTGAAACAAAATGTCATCTTTATTAAGGATAATGATAGGAAACTGTAATTAAAGAAATATATTTGCAGGAAAGAAAAGAAAGTCTTTTCTATAAATGCAAATGCTCTTGTTATAATGGAAGCTGTTATCTTTTCCCTTTTTCTAGGTGGAGGCGGTATTAAGGCAGGGGCTCACGATATTAACATGGTCATCTTTAACTCTAGAAAGCTTCTTTCAAGAAGTTCAGTCAGTTTTGGGCATGTTCAGTCAACTTCTCAAGAAGGTAGAATCAATCAGTTTTTAAAAGTTGTATACATTAATACCGAGGTTATAAGCAATAGTTTGATTATACTTAGAAGCTCTTTAAAGGGCATGACTTTTAACTAAAAGAACATTTGTTAAGTTAAAACATAATGTTTTATGTTTCTTTTACTGATTTGGAGCCTTTTCATCTACTTTGTCTTGTTGTGACCCCTGAATTATCTTGCTTTTAATGAGGGTTCAACTTGGCATTATGGTTTAGAACATGAGATAATCGTAGACTATAAACGATGACAGAGTGATGTACCTAAATATTAATAGCAATGCATCTAATATCAGCTAGAGGAAGCATTAGTCTTTTATTTATTTATTTTTTTGGTACCGGGGATTGAACTCAGGCCCTTCTGCTTACGGGACAGGTGGTGGAACCACTGAGCTAAATCCCCAGCCCCGAGGAAACATTGGTCTTAACTGGAGTCTGTCTGTTGATTTTTGACATGCTTGCTACCTAGACCAGGTATCTTTTCAGATGTGCTAGTTTGTTGTATAGTAGCACTCAGAGGCTTTGGATCTGGATTAACCTAGGTAGGATTCTGTGCTTTTTATTAGCTGTGTGTTTTTCCCTAGATTATTTTATTCCTCTGAGCCTTGGTGTCTTTAGCTATAATGCTAGGGTATTTATGCCTCATTTGCTGAAATAAGCATCAAAAGAGATAACGTGTATGAGATTATGGCACCCACTGATGCTAAAGAAAACTTCAGTTCCATGTCAAGCTTTCTCTCAGCAGATGTGCTCCTAAAAGTGGACCGTGTTTCCCCGAAAATACCGAATAGTTTCTCTGGTGTGAGAAACTGAAAGTGTAAATAAGGACTAAATGTATAATAGGTCATGTGAAATAGGAAGAAAAGGGGCAAAGGGGAAGGAAGTGGGAGGGCTAAGGGAAAGGATAGAAGGGAATGGGATTAATATGAGAAAATGGAAAAATAGGAACAAAATCTTTGTAAATAGGGAGGAATGGAGGGGTTGAAGGGAGGGCTGGGCAAAGGTGAAAAACAAGAACCAAGAGAGACTATGTAAAGGTGCAAATTTCCAATGATGAATGTCATTATATTGTACACCTAAAATGTACCAATGATTAGAATGAATAATGGATAATGCCAAATAGGAAGAAAAGGTCCAAAGGGGTAGGGGTAGTGGGAGGTGCAGGGGAAAGGAAAGAAGGGAAAGGAAAAAATGATGAGAAATGGAAAAAATGGAAATAAAGTCTTTGTAAATAGGGAAGGGTGGAGGGCGTGAAGGGAGGGCTAGGAATGGGGAAAAAATAAGAACCAAGATGCATTATATAAAGGTACAATTCCCAATGAGAAATGTAATTGTGTTGTATACCTACAATGTACCAATAAAAGAATTTAATACAAAAAAAAAAAAAAGACCTAATTAGAGATCAAAAATGCCAGTCCCGGTCAGCCTCTCCTTGCCTTACCTGCCATTACAGAGTGGCCACTGAGCAAGGGAATAGTGAGGTATAATCTTCTGCATGACCCTGGCTGTCACCATGGTAATGGCCAATTTATTAATTATAGCTGAAGTTTATTTTCTGGTTAAGTCTTATTTTCGAGGAAACACAGAATTTTCGCCAAATTATGCTTGACTTAGGATGTCCAGATTTAGTTCTCTAAATTAGTTTATGACTTAAGCATATTTTGGGTAAAAAGTTAGCACTAATGGGGAAAAGAGGTTTTTTCAAAGAATTCTTTTACATTGGCTTTCTTGTGAACAGGTCAGTGACTTATGTGAAATGAGTATTGATACTGTGTTAAAGGAGATAGCCAACACTGTGTTGATTTCCTTGCCTGAAAGTGGTGCTGCCAGAGTAGAAGATATGTTGACCCTCAATGAGGTATGCATTTATTTATTACAATCACAAAAATACTGAGGCATACACTTAAAATGTGAACTGACTATCTAAAAGTAGACGCCTGGGCTGGTAGCATTTTTTTTCTTATTAGGTTGTTTTTTTTTTTGGTACCGGGGATGGAACTCAGGACCTTGCACTTGTGAGGCAGGCGGCAGAACCACTGAGCTAAATCCCTGGCCCTTACTAGGTTTCTTGATATCCTCAGTTCCAAAGACTTACAAGGCTCCAGTGGCTCAAGGCCTCCATTGTACCCTCGATGCTATTTTCCTAATGTTTTCAACCCAGTGCTGGAATTTCCTGGAGCTCCGTTAGTGGTTTCTGGCTGTTCTTCCCCTGTGCATGCTCCTGGAGCCCAGTCGTTTTTCTCATGGTTTTAACTACAGCATATTTCCCCTTTAAGTCTCCCAGGAACCTGGTGATCATCACCTTTTCTCACCTCCTACGTCCAGCCAGTCTTCAGGCTTAGCCAGCTCTTGCCTCTTACTGAGATTTTGCTTAAATTCTCTCTTCTTTTCTATCCCTACTACTCATTGCTTAAATCAGGCCCTTAAAGCTGCTTTTGAGGTTAGTGATTTCCATCGGGATCTAACAGCCCCATCATATCCAGCCACATTGCCCCATATCTGACTGTGAAACCCTTAGATAGCGAGTCCTTTAAACCCTTAGATAGTGAGTCCTTTTCAGGGTGTCACCTTATATTGAAATTGTCTGGATACTGATTTCTCCTCCATTGACTTACATGCACAAAGCCAGGAACTCTGTCTAATCATCTTTGGGGCCCAGCACATAACACACTCTCTCAAAAGTACCCAAGTTGTGTCTTGAACTGAACTATTTTTTTTTCTTTTCTCCTTGCCTTGTGCTTCCACTGCACCTACCCTGTGGGTTGGGTCACCTTGCTGGAGTCCTTTCTGAAACTGCAGAGGATGGCTTCATTCCCAGGGGAGCAGTCTGGCCCATGGGAAACCAGTGCATCTGCTCCTCTTTCTGTAGAAGCATAGCATCCTCCCTCCAGGGCACTCCTTCTTGCCTGCAGGGTTAGGGGAGCTACCAGCCTCCTGCCTCAGGACTTAGGCGTGGGTTAACCCCTCCATCCTCAAATTCTAGAGGGCACCAGTTACCATCTCTAAGCAGTTCTTTTTAAATTTCTACCTTATTGCCACCAAATCTCTACCAAAAAGCAAGCTTCCCCTCTCTGACCTCAAAGTGGGCAATGGGCTGACAGTTGCTTCTCCTGCTACCGTTTAAGAATGGTCTGTTTCATAATGCATAGAACCTTTATTCTGCATGTTTGCAGTACATAATGCTTGCACTCCTTGTGTGGAGATGGTACATGTACATAACACATCTTCATTCCTTTTTCACTCCCTATCCCTTCTCTCCCTCCCATTTCCCTCCTGCTCTTTTTTTTTTTTTTTTTGGTACCGGGGATCGAACTTGGGTCCTTGCACTTGCAAGGCAGGCAGCATCCCTCCTGCTCTTGATCCTCTTCCTAATTGAGAAAGATCTGTCTCCCTACTGCCTATTGTTTTTCTTTTATTTTGCTCTTTAGGATGTTAAAATCATGTATGCTCAGCTTTGGAGCCTTAGCTCCAACCAAGGCAATACTGAATAACCAATTTTGATATTCCATTCTTGGTGTATTCAAAGTTAGAATAATTATACAGTGGTACCTCGGTTCAAGAACTTAATTTGTTTTACCATTTTGGGGAAGATGGCCACATTTGTGTTTATGTGGGGAAGGTGGCTTTGTTTGTGTTTGTCACTGGATGTGGAGTTTGTGAATGGAAGCAAAATTTTGTGGAGTGTTTTTGTTTGAGAACCAAACTGTTTGCATACAGAAGCTTTCATGAATGGAAGTTTTACTGTATCATCCTGGTTGTTGGTTGATTTTATAATTATTGAGAAAGTTTTCATCCTTATAGTCTATTTTGTTAGCTACTAATGTAGGTTACTATTTTTCAGATGTATCTTTCCATTTTGTTATTTTCAAGCTTTTTGGCTTCTATTTTAGAATTTTCTCTCGTAAAGAACATTTAGCTGGATTTTGTTTTTAATCTACTTTGAAAATCTATTTTTTTAAACAGATAACTTTAGTCTATTTACATTTATTGTAATTATCAGTACATTTGTATATGCTTTTACTCTTTATCTTACTTTTTCTTTGTGTTTTCTATTTACTTAGCTGTTTCTCTAAGTTATTTTTTACTCCTTTTCAAATATTTCAGGTCTTTTTATATAGTCCTGTGTTTTAATTCTTTTTATGTAGGCATTTAAAGTATATTTTATATTTTATAGAATAATTCCACTACCTGAAAAAAGTGATGGGTCTAATTCTCCCCTTTCCTTTTTCTGCCAGCTCTGTCTCAGGGGGGCTTGTTTCTTTGTGATTTTTATATTTTTGGGTTGTGAGTGAATGCACATGTGTCCATTTGTGGCAATGCTGGACAGCTTAAGTTAAGAACTTGCCCTTATTATTTATTCCTGTGTAGTACTTAAGAATTTCACAGTAAATTAGCTTCTCAGAGCATAGAATTGCCAAAAGTGCACCTGTAATATAAACTCAAGCCCTGAACTAATGTTGAAGGTTAGTTTGTGATTGTAAATTCCCAAGAAAGAATTTGTTCCTGAACCCCAGAGCCTCAACCAGAGCCTTAACCAGGATAGCTAACTCTCCTTGCTAATCCACATTTCCCTATTGATTTGTCTGGTGTTGTGCGGGGTACAGGAATGAGGTATGAGTGACTTTTAGCCTTTTGTGATGGATGCAAGGCCTTTTTTTTTTTTTTTTTGCCTATGGACAAACATCTCCATAGCAGCTAGTTTCAGCTTATTTTTCATTTTAGGTCATATATGCACAAATATTAAGTGCAATGCTCCACCCTTGTAACTATCTCCAAGATTAAGATACAGAATACTTCCTTCACTCCAGATGAATCCCTTGTGGTCCACCCTAGGCACTACTCCCCAAGTAATCACCTTTTGACTTTGATCTCTGTATATTTATTTTGGCTGTTTTTGAACTTTACATAAATGCAGTGATGCAGCATACATCCTTTGTCTTTCATTTCTTTGGCTTAACATTTTGTCTGTGAGATTCACCTGCATTAATTTTTTTCATTCTCATGGTGGTAGAGTACTTATTATATGAATTTATTACAATTTATCCATGCTGTTGAGGGCATTTGGTTTATAGCTCTGGGTTTTACATAAACATTATTCTTTTTTGTTTTTTGGTACCGGGGATCAAACTCGGGACCTTGTGCTTGTGAGGCAGGTGGCGGAACCACTGAGCTAAATCCCCGGCCCTGAACTTCAGCACTAATCTTGGTGGGTATATGTCCAGAAGTGAGAATGTTGAGTCATAGATTATGAACATATTTAGGGGCAGTAGAGACTCTCTTTTTAGACTTTGTCTACTTGCACTAAGAGCCAGCCAGATTCAGGCATTGCATTTGATTTGCATCTTTCTTAACTTTTAGGAATCATTCCTACCCTGTTCATTTTTTGGCAACAGTTTTTTTTGTGGGTAAAACATACTAATATAAAATTTACCAGTTTAACCATTTTAAGTAAGCAACTTAGTAGCAATAAGTACATATATAACATTGTGTAACCATCACCATTATCTGTTTACAGAACGTTTTCATCATCCCAAACAGAAACTGTCCATATTATACAATAATTCCCCATTCCCCTATTCCTCAGCCACTGGTAACTTCTACTTTCTGATTCTAAGAATTTACCTGCTTTAGGTACCACATATAAGTCAAATAATTTTTCCATCAGTGTTTGGTGCATTTTACTTATCATAATATTTTCAATTTCATTCTGGCTGAGTAACATCCCATTGTATGTATACACACCACATTTTAAAATTCCATTTAACTTTGATGGACATTTGGGTCATTGGCACTTGGTGACTATTGTGAATAGTGCTGCTGTAAACATTGGTGTCTGTAACTGTCTGTCTGAGACCCTGATTTCAGTTGTTTTGAGTATATACACAGAACTGGAATTGCTGGGTTATACTGTAATTCTATATTTAACATTTTGAGGAACAGCCAACCTGTTTTCCAAGAGGGTGGGACCATTTTGCATTCCTGGCAGGAAGGCATGAGGGTTCCACTTTCTATACATCTTCACAAACATTTGTAATTTTCTCATGTTAAGATAGTAGCCATTCTAATGGATGTGAAGGGAAATCTCATTGTGGTTTTGATTTACATTTTCCTAATGACTACTGATGTTGAACAACTTTTCATGTGCTTATTGGCCATTTGTCTATTTTCTTTGCAGAAATGTCTATTTAAGACCTTTCCCATCTTACTTCTTTTAATGCTTTTTATTTTTTGAAGAAATCGAATCATGTGTTCTGCAAAACTTTCTGTGTTCTAGATTTTTCTTGATTGCATTCTGGTAAAATGATTTAGTATGCCTCTATCCACTAAATTTCCTGTAAATTATAATTAGAGCTGGAGGCTTGATTCAGTTCAGGTTGAATTTCTTTTTCTTTTTTCTGGCAAATAGTTCGTAGAGGACCCTGGGTGTTCCCCTTTGAATCACATCAAAAAGGCCATAATACCAGGTGGTTATCCATTTAGAAATATTAAGATTGATCAGTGAGTTCAAGTGTTATCATTGTTCACTTAAAGTTTTAGTAGCTTTTGGCTATTGTTTCCTACAGTCATTATTTTACTGGAGTCTGGTAACTCCAGACTTGATATTCTGATTTTGGCATGTATGGTTAAAGTCTTTCTATAAAGAAGAGATTTCCCTCATTAACTAGTTGGTTACCCTGATATAGCATTTGTTCAACCCTTCAGTTTTCCTTGTACATACTATTTTCAAAATAATGAGTTGGCTCACTACTAGCAACTTCTACGATAATAATTGAGTTTAATTTTTTAAAAAAGGTCATTATGAATATATGGTGTTTTATGGATCTGGAGAATTTTAGTCCCCTGCAGTCATTATTCTTTTGGGTGCTCAAGATTTTCCATCTTTATCCAGTGGAATCCTTCTGGCCTTCTATGTTTTTGATATAATTCCAGTAAATCTTTGAAAACTTCCTTGCTTTCTGTAACTACTGAGTATCTCAGGCTCATTTTCTGCCCCAGATCTCGGGTCCCCAGAGCCTTTGTTCCTTCCAGTGGTACTAGTGAAAATGATATTGGAGTTCATAGTCTGGTGCTAGGAAAGGGACCCGTTTTTAACTTAGTTATTTCTTATATGATTATTTCCACATATTTAGGCAACACAGTGGAATGGAGGGGAGTACTATTTCTTGAGTTGACAAATCTGAGCATTATTTTCTTCCTACTTTCATAAATAGCTCTTTGATTCTATCCTTTACCACTTTTCTCCTTTCTTCTTGATATAGTTACATTATTATTTTCAGATAAATAGTAAGTATACATAGCAACATATTACTGTGCCTATGTAAGTATCAGCCAATACAGAGCTGCATAGTGTATATGCAATACATCTTCTTGTGTACAACATTTTAATCTTTCCTGGTGTTTCAAATTGCCTCTTGTTTTATATTTTCTTTTCAAAACAACTATCATATCAGGCTGTGGATTTAGCTCAGCAGTTCTGTCACCCTGCCTCACAACTGAAAGGTCCTGAGTTCAATCCCCACTACCAAAACCAGAACAGAACAGAACAAAACACAACAAAACAAAAACTATCATATCAGAGTCTCATTCCTTCCTCCCCAAGAGACTTCCTTTCAGAACCCTCTGAATCCCTCTTTCAACCTGGATTGGTTACTCTCCAGCCAACCAATCAGCTGCAAAACTGTTCACCTGGGACTCTTCCTGTTTGCTATGTTCCCTGTATCCCAGCATCCCATGGTTCTATAGGAGCAAGAGCCCTTCAACTGTTGCATTGATCTTTTCTCAGCAATTGAAATTTTCCAGAGATGTGACCATTTTCCTGCCTGGGGGTAATTTCCTGTCTGCCATTTTCTTCTCTCCACTCCTAGACTTTAACTGTATGCACTTCAGGGCAGGCCTTACCTATATACAAAAACAGTACAGAGGAATAGGGAAATTTCTGCATCAGTTTCCTATCTTTTGTCTCACTTATAATGAAATCACCTTCTCAGTATGTACTTGTAACTATTTTGACACTAGTTATTGGGTGGAGGAAGCACACACTACTGGAATTTGCTTTGAATAAATGAGTAAATAAGAACTTTCATACACATAGAAAGTGAAACATCACACAAAAGAAGAAAGTTGAGATGGATTCAGTGTAACTGAGTATGAATGTGGTGTTTGTATCAATGGCATAAGAGAAGAAAGTGTTATTATTAGGTGAGTCTCAATGCTATAAATCAAGGTGCAGGAAGCTCAATTTTGAAGAACACTTTTGCCACTCAATATGTCACAGTCACTTGCCTTGGAGAGATTTAAGATTCTACAAAGCTACCATCTGGTCGGTCATTGTAGCAGACAGAATATGATTTGAAGGGCAGGGCAAGCCAGGTAACACTCCAGGCAGAAATCAGATTTGGAAACATGACATACACGACACTGATTCTTTGGGATGAGGTTAATTCGGGCCAAATGGTGGTTTCAGATCATATTTGTGAAACAGAGATGTAGTTCTGAGCAAGGAGGGAGTGGGAAAGAAATATGCAGCCACTGTTTCCCTTCACGTGTTTAGCACTATGCTGAATAAATTGCTAAAAGGGATGACATGAAGGGATGATGAAGCCAGATCAGAAGAGCTGGTGGGGACAGAGAGGGTCAGAGAATGTCTTTAGGTAGGAGGAGGAACTCTGTTTCCCTTGGACTGAAGACAAATAGAATAGGTGCAGATACAGATAAAGTAGGCAAAAAAGGAAGACGTGGGAGAGAATGTGGGGGATATGGGACCCCTCAAAGCTTGCTGAGGGAGCAATTGGCATGGGAAGTCTCAGGTCCCTTCACAGATGCTTTTTTTGAAGGCGTGAGTTGGCTGCTGCATTCACTCCTCTCTTTTCTAAAATGCATAGGTATTGTTAGCTATGTTCAAAGATGTCTTCAATTATAAGCTGGTTTTCTTTTTTTGAATTTGAATAGCTCTCCTCTTCTTCCTAAAGCCTTTGCTGACTATTAGAAAAAGCCAGAAAGGCAAAGTGCAGGCTTTTCAAACCGGACAAAGCTGGTTTCAAACCCATTTCTTGCCAGCTACTGTGTTTCTGAGCAGATTTCTTATTTTCTCTAAGCCTTAGTTTTCTAATCTGTGAAACAGAGACAATAATATTAATTATCCCCAAAGGATGTGATTTAATTAATTAAATTCATTGATAAACATATAAACTTTTATGAAAGCAGCCATTCTTTTTTTTTCTTTTGGTACCTGGGATGGAACCCAGGACCTTGTGCCTGTGAGGCAGGTGGCAGAACCACTGAGCTAAATCCCCGGCCCACATATAAACTTTTAAACTGATGCCTGGCATACAATCCTATGCTCATTTAAAACCTTTACCTCATTTAAATCTCAAAGTAACACTTTGGATTGTCCTTCTTTAAAACCATATCTCAGTTTTGACTTTGATGGAAATCTTTCCACTCTCGATCTCTACATACGATTGAGTCAGATACAGGTCAGAAATTTGAGATTTTCTTCTATCTCTTCCTTTTCTTTACTTGGGCCTCAGAAGCTGTGCTTTTAGCCATTGGCACTTTTAGATGTGAAGCCACTGGTACCTATCTTATTTATTTATTTTTTTTGTGGTGTCAGGATCAAATGCAGGCACGTGTTCTACAAACTCACTATGCTACCAGGCCCTCTAGTCATTTTCAAGTGAAGTTAATTACAGTTTTTAAATTAAAGTCATATTAACCATTTTCAGTTTTTCAGTATCTCAGAATTAACCATCATTTCTTTATTCAATAGACATACACAAAAGAATGGGCTGATATTATAAACCACAAAAGTAGACACGTGGAAGAAGCTGTCAAAGAACTTACATTAATATTTGAGCAAATTTATGAAGTTAAGAACACTGGAGAAAAAGGAAGACAGTCACCAGGTAATTTCACTAGTTAACCGCTTGAGTTATAAGAGGTACAGATATATATATACTCATATGGGGATCTTCTGCTTAGTGGGTAGCAAAATTCCAGATACCAAGGAGGAGCACAGGGGTTCATTGTAAATCACATGGCTTGCACAAATAGTTTCAGGACCCGTGAGCTCTTTTGTCCTGTAGGAGTTAGTGGGAACCCTTTTGAAATCCAAGTTCTGAAGCCAAACAAAAGTTAGTCTTGCCAGCAGCCCTTTTTATGTTAGCTTTTTGTGGTACAGCACAAGTAAACCCAGCAAGAGTAGAATCTATACTTTTCATGAGTTTGGAAAACTTAACTTGAGTGAGACTGTGTTTGGAGACATTTTCCCCTCCTGGACCCTTCTCTGAGTGGAATAAACAATTTATGCATTCCCACTTAGACCTGTTTTAGGAGCTCAGAGTATAGGTAAATGGGGCCTAGTGGAACAGTGTATTCCTAAGGAAGCAAAGATTATGCCCCTTAATTAAAGAACAGTCTAAAAAGTTTTAGTCCTAACTGCAACTTTTGACGTTGCCAAAGCTCTCATTGTCCTCTTCAGTTTGCTTGACTAGGAATAAGAGAAAAGTCCTCATTTTCACCACTTCTCTTGAGGCAAGCCTGTATGACAAGGTACATGGATTATTTAAAGTGGATGAAATAATTTTAACCCTGTTCTCTGGATTTCAGAGTCTCACTTTTTCCCAAGAAAGCCCAAGATTGTAATAATTTAAGTAAATATGTTTCTCATAAGCTCAAGAGATAAGCTGCTGAATTTGGTTCTTCCTCATCAGGGGCAGGGAAGTTTAGGAAATGATTTTCAACTGGAGAGTGTTTTGCTTTTTGGTTCCTGGATTGTAGGTTAAGAACTTGGGATTTTTAGTTTTGCTCAGTTGTTCTATCTAGATTCTTTGGATAAACTTGAAGGCAAAATTTATATTTTGAAGGTTTGTTTTCAAACTCTAAATAAGAACTAGTAAAGTTAGAAATTTGCAGTTGAAGCTTGCACTTGTCAGTGTTATAAGGAGATGTGTCTGTCAATCAGGAGCCCTGTTTGCCCAAATACCTGCCCTTCCTACCATCCCTACTCAGGGTTTTGTGTGAGGCAGGCCTCTGGCTGGACCAAGTCCATGGTGTTTTGAAGGAGACTGGAGAGATGGCTTTGCCTAATAGAGGTGAGCTTGGGTAGCTAATTACCAACATGTTTGAAGTAGGGCACCTATGGGGGGCTGGCTATTTGGAATGAGAGGCAAATATTCCAGTCAAGAAGAGATCCCATGTAAATGACACTGGAAGAAGAAAAGGACAGAAGGATTGTGCCTAGAACATTGGTTCTCAGTGGGACCAAAGGAGGGAATATTTTGCCTCCCTGGAGACATTTGGCAACATCTAGAGACTTGTTTGGCTGTCACAGTGTCTGCCTGGGGGTTGTTACTGGCTTCCAGTGGATAGGGCCAGGGATGATACTCATTGTCCTGCAGGACACACCTCAGTAACAAAGAACTATCCAGCCCCAAATTATCCAGCAACACCTGGCACTATGTCAGTCGTCAGTAGTGCCCAGGAGAAGCAATGTATGCTAAAATGAGTATGGACAGTGTGTTTTCTTGCTTCTTAGAGATTTTCACTTGCTTTTATCACGAGTATCAAAACCTGTAAAAATATCAGTCCCTTAGGTTAGAAAACTCAACAGGAAAGCAGTTCAGCTAATTTAGAAAGATAATATGTAAAACCCTCATACAATTTTTTATTAATTCTGGATACAAAGATAGAGTATATTGACAGAATGTGTTTCTTAGTAGCATGATGATTCTACTGAGAGAAGTGGTTTAAATTGAATTCAAGGATGACTCCTATATAAATAAATGCAAAATAAAGTAAATATAGAAATTTTAAAGTAAGAGCTTTTTGGTACTGGGGATTGAACTCAGGACCTTGCGCTTGGGAGGCAGGCACCAGAACCACTGAGCTAAATCCCCAGCCCAGTAAAAACATTTTGAAAAGGAGCTTCTTAAGAAGGTTTGGCCATAGAGAATAAACTTAATGCTGAAAATATACATGTTATTTTTTTTTCTGTCTGCAGAACACCAGAAACATGTTGTTTTTGGAAGTGAAACAGAAGATGGCGAAAACAACGATTATGACACTGATGTGGTGAACGTGGGTGATACTAATGATAAAGAAAATGAATTTAAAAAGGTATTTACTGTGGAACAACCTCATACAATTTCACAGAAGTGAGACTTAAGGATTGAAGACAATCCTAGGAGGCGCATCCTTCAGCCAGTTCTGCGGTGAATCTGTGTCTAATTTATAACAACCCAGCACACACAATTTTCGGTTTCACACTGTAGGATCGGGCAGACCTACATCATGCCATTGCATCCTTACAGTTTCTTCCAGTATCATCAACTTCTGATGTGATTCTGTCGGTCTGTTATAGTTTATAATGCATCTCCCTGTCTTGGGAGCAGCTGTGTTTTCTTATATAGTAAATGTGACTTCTGGGATGGTAGCACCAATCCATCTGACTCAGAGTGGAGAACTTTGTCCTCACTTATTGAGCTTAATAGAGTTGTCTATAACACAAGTGCTGATTTTAATTAATTAATCTTTTGGTTTTGATACCAGGGATCAAACTCAGGACCTTGCATTTGCCAGGCAGGCACAGTACCACTGAGCTAAATCCCCGGCCCACACATCCTGATTTTGATTCATTTGGGGCCCAGTGCTGTGTGTGTTAAACCAGCACTATGGACAACCTTTGGGCTCTGCCGTAGAGAAACCCCAGATGGGCAGATTGTGTTGAAATGAGTTGAGAAGGAAGGTTGAGAAAGAGGCATGAGGAGCTCTCTCTTTTTCTGGTCTTCTATCAACTCTAAATGCCATTCCCTCTTTTGCACAAATTCCTGCTTTCTCTTCTCTCTGCCAGTTTTCTTTCTTTTCTTTTTTTTGGGGGGGCGGGTACTGGGGATCGAACCTGGGTCCTTGCGCGTGCGCAGCAGGCGTCGAAACCACTGAGCTAAATCCCCGGCCCTGCCGGTTTTCTTTTAATCCTTCGTACCCACCTTCTTTTCATCCTTTCCTTGTTTTATCTCCTTTTGCATACAGTAATATCGTTTTCGAAATAAACAGGGCACATTTGTTCTCTTTTCACCTTCTTGCCAGTCGATTGGGAAGCACTTTCCTGCGGAGTCTAGATTCCAACCTTAGCCTTAGTGCCTCGAAGCAGGCAGCCGAGCCACCAGGGGGAGCCAGCTGCATCGAGGAAGTGTGCTCGCCTCTCAGCAGGCATTCTGCCATTGCATTCCCTTTCCACACAAGCTGGGTCTACAGCAAGACTGAGCATAATCTGAGCCCCTCTAGTTGGGGTCACCTGGAGTTGCGTCACTGTAACCACCCCTGTCTCAGCTCCATGTGCCACACACTGCCACAATGGGCTCTGATCATCTGACCATGCCAGTGCCTGTGCTTTAGCTGGATAATTCATCCTCTCTGTGCACTCTTGAAAGCTTGATATCCCTCTTTGTGCCTTAACTGTTCTGACTCAACTCAACCTGGATCTTCCCCCAAACCTCAGCAGGGCAGGGTCCACAGCAGTGAGGAACAGTGGCTGGAACTTGGCCCTGGATGTGTGGCTCACTGGGCCTGGGGCCTGGGGCTGTGGCTCACTGGAAGAGCACCTGCCTAGCATGGGCGGCAACACCCTGAGTTCCATGTCTAGTACCACGAAAAGGGGAAAGAAAAGATGTCTGGGTGTCTGCCTGCCACCTCAGGGCCTGTTCTGTGCTCTATGCATTAAGCTTGGAAACTCCTCTCAAAGGAAAGAAGGGTGGGGAGAGAGGGTCAAGCCGTGGTCCAGGGTTAGAAGGTTCATCCTGTACATTTGGGCCTTTTACGTTTTAAAATATGTTTCCCCACCATGCTGAGCTTCTTGAGGATGGAGATTCAGCATCCGCTTGTGCTCAGGTCCCTAAGCATTGAAAAATGCACCACCCTTAAAGTGCTTTGACTTGGGTAGGTTAATTGTTGAATGTTATTTATTTGTAGCCAACTTTTATACCCCAAACAGGTTGTCTGATGATTTATCATGCTGGCATAGGAAATTTGAAGAAATAACGAATTATAGGACATAAATAGACACGCAGTATAGAAGGATATAAAAAAATACAGTTTGGCCCTAGATTTTTTTTTTTTCCTTAGAGTAATTCCTTCCATAAATAACACCTTACTTTTTAAATATAGATTCTAACTGGTTTTAGATCATGGAGAAAGTTAATAATATAGCCTTAAAAAAACTACACCATATTTTTTGGTAGCCTTTTATCATCCCAGACCACAAGAAGGGTGCTAAGGTCAGATTATTATGTTCTTAAATTAACAAATTTTCTGAGGCTTACAAAGTAAATCACACGAGTAATTATAGCAGCAACAGCCTTTTCAAAATGACTAAAACAAATTTTGAGGGTAGTTTCCAAAACTTTATTTAGAAATACAGGAAAATATGTGTTGTCTCCTAATAAAGTTAAATAAATATTCTTTCTGAATTCTATAGACACTGTAAGATGTTTTAGATTTATTTGGTTCTCATAAGTTAAAAAATGATTGCTTTTACATAAATTCTTCCAAACTGTCATCTACTCTCAGATTTTTATTGTCTTTTCACTGTACTCAGAGATTATCTCTAATTTTCTCTTAGAAATGTGTGGTTTTGTTGGTTTTAGTAAGTTAACTTAATTGTTGAATATTAAGCAAACCAGGGTTATTCTGAGTAAATTGTTTTTGAATATGTCCTGATTTGCTAGAATGTTTATGCAAGCACACTTTTTATATATTGTTACCTAAAAAAAAATACAGACAAGTGATTTAGGCTTGTATTTATTTATATAGTGTTCTGGAAACTATAGGTTATTATTTCTCACCTTTCACATGTCACTTCTATAATTGTGTCATTGCTTTGGGAGATGTTAGAGCTTTATTTTTGTGTACCAAATTTAATATGGTTTCTTATTACAGGAATGTAAAGAAGTCTATGGATTTTTCTCTCATCAATTACTAGACAGTCTGCAAAAAGCTACACGATTATCTTTGGACACAATGAAAAAAAGAATATTTGTTGTTAGGCAAGTTGAAAATATGCTAAATTTGTCTGGTAATGCTAACTATAATGAATGATATAATTCTAATCATATCTCTTGATTAGTTTGTCAATTTTAAAAAGTCATAAAATGTAAAACGTAGCACTCATTAAAAGGCTGTCTGAAAACATTTGTGTAATAGTGCAAGAACAGCGAGCAAATGAACAACTGTGCTTCTAGCACCCAGGCCAGGATCAGGAAGACTGCCAGTCCACTGCTGGTCCTCCTACTCCTCTCCTGAGGGTGACCTTGCCCCTGACCTTGGTGTTCATCACTGTCTCACTTCTCCATACAGCTTCCCACTTGCTTCTATTCGTAATATTTGTCTGTGTTTGACCTGTGTTCAATATTATGCTTTTGAGATTGACCTATGTTGATACAGTTTATTTTCACATCTGCACATTTGGAGTATGTGCCATTTATTTATCTGTTTCACCCGTGACGGTCATGTGGGTTGTTTCCAGTTTAAGCTAATCTGATAAAGCCTCTGTGAATGTACCTTTACCTGTCTTCTGCAGCTGCTAAGAGTGGATTTGGGAGTCCTAGGGCATGTGTGTGCCTCATTTGAGCAGGCAGGGTTCAGAACGAGAGTGACCATAGACCTGGATCCTTGCAAACAGTACGTTCAACTAAAAAATTGTTGCTAACACAGAGGTGTGAAGTGCCATCTCTTTGGGGCTTAAACTCATTTTCCTGGTGACTGATGAGCTGAATACATTTTCATGTGCTTATGGGTCATTTGTTCTTTCTCTTCCTTAAAGATTGTGGGTTTCTTTTTTCAGGGAGATTATTTTTTTTTCTATTGGAATGGAATGAACCATAAATATTTCAATGTATTACTTTGTTGATGGTAATAGTGCAAATATCACCTTTCAGTTCTGCCTTGTCTTGTTTACTTTATTAATTTTCATTTTTTCTTTGTGGGATTTAAAATTTTTTCAAATATATCAATCTTTTGTGCAAGATACTCAGATTTATCAGTCGTTTATAAGTGATTTATGATTTTTATGTCTTTTTAAAGAAACTTCTTTCCTATTTCATAATGTCTCTGAAAAGTTTTGTAACTTTGTAAGCTTTTATGTTTAGAAATTTAATCCACGTGGTATTGATTTTTATGCTTAGACAGGAGAAAGCTTTTCCACATAGTTATTAATTACCAAGCAGGAGTTGTTGACAAATCAACATTTGGGGAGAGGGGAGGGGTATTTAAGTTGCATTGAATCTGTAGGTCAATTTGGATAGAATTGACGTCCTTATAAATATTGAGCCCTCTTTCCTAATTACTCTGAACTATATTTATTTTTTTTTGCCATTGTGATTGTGTAATTTTAATTATTTGTGCATCTGTTCTAAAGATGATGTCATCTACGTCATTTAGGGTCCTTGCGCTTGCGCAGCAGGCGGCGAAACCACTGAGCTAAATCCCCGGCTCAAAGTCATTTTATTTATTTATTTATTTATTTATTTATTTATTTATTTATTTATTTATTTATATCGGGGATCGAACTCGGGACCTTGCGCCTGTGAGGCAAGCGGCAGAATCACTGAGCTAAATCCCCTGCCCTCAATGTCATTTTAAATATTTAAATAAATGCTTTTTTCCCTTATCCTTCAGATATTGTATTATTTCTGCCCTGTTAGTTTAGCCATTTCTTTTTTCAAAAATCTTCCTTGGGAAGACAGCCTTCACTTATCTTATTGAACATTCTCCATCTACTTAAGAGTTTTTCATATCTCCATGTGTTTCATTTTATCTGGTGTGAGTTGCTGTTTCAATTTTTGATTTCTTTCTCTCTCTTTCTTGCCCTTAGATTTATGCATGCCTATTGGGATTTTAGTGTGAGGGCTCTCTTTAATCAAGAGGTCTTTTTGATTTTGTGTTTCTTTTCCCTTTTCTCCTACCTAGGATTTTCACTTTCGCCTCCCAGTGACCAATGCAATACTGAGTTCAGAATCAGCCCTCAATTGTGCACAGGTGCTGCCCCCTGGAGAGAGGTTGGGGGTATGGCAGGATCAGCCGGGGAAGAAACAGGAGGTCCAGCTGGTGGCTTATCAGGGAAGCTGTGGATTTGCTTCTTTCTCCCGTGTTCCCCACACGTTCGGGAAAGCAGTAGCTGCAGGCAGGAGGTTGATAGACGGTCTTGCTGTTGTTTTTCCGCTTTCATAATGGAGGGAGCGGGGTCGGGGATTTAGCTCAGTGGTTTCGCCGCCTGCTCTGCAGGCGCAAGGACCCTAGTTCCATCCCCGGTACCACCCCCCCACCCCCCCAAAACATAATGGAGGGAGCATCTTCTTGGTTTTCTGCTTTACGTAGTGAGCTTGGCTGAAGCTCCCGTGTCTCACATGGAGTACTGTCGGTCCCCAAATCCCCAGAGCCACCCTCTCTGCTGTCAGTTGCACCCTTAGAAACCAGAACCCTAACCAGGCCACTCTTGTGTTTCTGGTCCATTCCTGATTCATGAAAACGCTTGTCTTGTACTTGAACATTAGCACATCCTATGTATCAATTCTAGATTATGATGTATTTGGTACAAAGAAGTGTATTTGAAGAATGAACTCACACGCGGCATCGATTTACAAGTTCTCTAGTACTTAAGTAATTTTTGAAAAGGGATACGCAGGGATGATAACTCCAAACTCTCGCTTGTCTAAAATGTCTTTCTGTTATTCTCATACACAGATGTTAGTTTGGTCTTCCCGAATCATAAATCTGTTTTTCTCACATAAGTGCTGTCCTTTTATTTTCAGACTAGAGTTCTGCTAATCTGATTTTCCAATTGTATTTATTTATTTATTTTTTGGTACCGGGTGATCAAACTCGGGTCCTTGTGCTTGCGCAGCAGGCGGCAAAACCACTGAGCTAAATCCCTGGCCCAACAGATCAGTTCTTAAGATTAAAGGAGAACTTTCTTTAATTTACCTATGTAAGATTCAAACACTGGAGTTTGATAGCAAAGTGTCTCTGAGCTGAGTGACCCACTGCGAATTCGTTAGTCTTTCTTTTCCTAGGTTTTTTCATCTATAAAATGGAAATAATAATCACAGGATCTGCCTCATAAAGTTAGTTTGAGGGTGAAATGTGTTAATTCATGGAAAATGTAAAGTGCCTGGCGTACACTAAACATTCAATAAATGTTACTCATCTTTTTATCCATTCTCTTTTTCTTTAAATAATTTCTGTCTCTTTGTATTTTGCACCTGAAATTTTGGAGAATTCCTTAAGCTGACACTCTGGTCTGCTAAAAACATTGCTGAATGATCTAGGTGCTGTTACTGATTCTTTTTAGTTCAGTATTTATGGGAACTCACTCTGGTTCTCAGATTCTCCCTTTGCATTATGTACAGCTCTTCTTGTTCTCTTGATGCACCTCAGCTATCATGGGGAGACTATGGATTAGAATGCTTTTGTTTGCTTGCTTTTAGTTCAAAGAGTTCCTTACAATAACATCTGGAAACCATTGGCCTTGAGTGTCACTTTTGAACTGTGGTTCCCACCCCCAATCCACTTGTACTTATAAGTGGAGGCGTCCTTCACTAATGACAGTACTTCTTGCATTTCCAGAGAAAAAGAGAATGGAACGTTTGCATTTTTTAATATTTTTATTTAGAATAGGGATGGAATTCTGTTATGGCTTTGATTTGAAAAGTCCCCCAAAGCCATAGGCTTGGTTGCAACTGAGGGACTTCGGGAAATGATTGGATCTTAAGGGCTTTAACTTCATCAGTGGTACTGATGAGATCATAATTTTGGGGAGTTATTGGGAGATGGATTATTGAAGGGAGCAGATCATAGGGTCATGACCCGGGGCCTATATCTGGTCCCCAGCGCCTTCTTCTCACTCTCTTGTACTTTCTCCCTGCTTCCTGGCTGCCATGAGGTGTGCAGATTGCCTCCGCCATGCCCTTCCACCATGATGTTTTTGCCTCGCCTAAAAGCAACAGACAGGCCAGCCATAGATTAAATCTCTGAGGCTGTGAGCCAAAATCAATTTTTCCTCCTGTAAGTTGTTATTCTCAGGGATTTTACTTCAGTGATGAAAAGCTGACTAATACAAGGTCAGAAGAGAAGGGAGATGTCCAAACTAATTTGCAGCTCAGGAGGTGGACACATGTAGCTGTGTGTCAGTGGACAGGTGATATTGTTTAAAAAAGCAGTTTTTAGAAAACTTTGACCAGAAACCTCCTGTTTAATCTTGTAGAATGTATATATAAAAAGTTTATGAAGATGTATGTTTTTTGTTGGTGTTATCCTCCATTGTCTCAGGGCTGAAAACAAAGGAAGTCTTTAGTGAACAGTATGAAATGGTTATGAAAGAGAGAAAGAGAGAGAGATTGATTCAGATATTAGAAAAATACATGACAGATTAGTATTTTGCTTCTAAAAATATTAAGTCATTGTGTTCTCTGCAATCTGTGGCTTGATTATAAGTAATGTTTGGTATAATTTGATATTTTGAATACTGTCTTACTTCAGGATTGAAACTTGTAGCGTAGTGTTAGTTGTGAAAATTTTCTAAGCTAAGGCTCAAATGACCATCTTATTACAGCCCTTATGGATGCAGACCATCAGATGATATTATTTCTTTCATAAAAACTGAAGTACATCTTGCAATTCCTAATGTGGTAAGTATTTTTTTTTTGTATTAAATTCTTTTATTGGTACATTGTAGGTATACAACACAATTACATTTCTCATTGGGAATTGGACCTTTATATAATGCATCTTGGTTCTTATTTTTTCCCCATTCCTAGCCTCCCTTCACGCCCTCCACCCTTCCCTATTTACAAAGACTTTATTTCCATTTTTTCCATTTCTCATCATTTTTTCCTTTCCCTTCTTTCCTTCCCCCTGCCCCTCCCACCACCCCTACCCCTTTGGACCTTTTCTTCCTATTTTGCATTATCGATTATTCATTCTAATCATTGGTACATTTTAGGTATACAATATAATGACATTCATCATTGGAAATTTGCACCTTTACATAATCTCTCTTGGTTCTTATTTTTCACCATTGCCCAGCCCTCCATTCAAGCCCTCCATTCCTCACAATTTACAAAGATTTTGTTCCTATTTTTCCATTTTCTTATATTAATCCCATTCCCTTCTATCCTTTCCCCTAGCCCTCCCACTTCCTTCCCCTTTGCCCCTTTTCTTCCTATTTCACATGACCTATTATACATTTAGTCCTTATTTACACTTTCAGTTTCTCACATGAGAGAAACTATTTGGTATTTACACGTGTGTCCTATTTATTTCACTTAAGAGCATCGCCTCGATGTGCATCCACTTAGCTACTAATGTGGTAAGTATTATTGATTACAGTGACATCTTTTTGTTTGTTTGTTCTTTGTTTTTTTATTTTTGGTACCGGGGATCAAACTTGGGACCTTGCGATTGTGAGGCAGGCGGCGGAACCACTGAGCTAAATCCTTGGCCTACAGTGACATCTTGATAATGCACTTAAGAATTATAGTTTTAGAACTGAACTTTGATTTACAGGAAGGTCCTGGTCCCATGTGTTTCTCTTTTCACTTTCCCTGTAGTCTTTAACAAAAGTAAAAATTTTTTAAAAAATATTATTTTTATCTGTTATTAAAATATTGTTTCTGCATAGGTCGTGATGTCTTGAAGGCTGGTGTTGAGTTAGGCATTTCTTCTGCTATCAGTAGTCAAGAGCCCTATAAAACACCTTGCATTTTCTTACTTCAGGTATTAAGTTGTTTACATAAAGTCATCATAAACGGCCAACTCCCCACCCCAGACTCACCACCATCAGGCAACCTACTCAAGAGAGCAGAACAGAAAGAAAGGAGTGAGCCTGCGTCCTGAGCTTGTGCTCTGCTGGGCCTTTCCTTGGCACTGATCCCTCCAACTATCCCAACTACTTCCTGGTGTCTGGACTCCAAACCACACAGGTGGCTGAGATGCCAGGCAGGGATAACTTGTGACCCACCTAACACCACTTTGCCTGGTCTGACTTCTGGAAGGACAGCGTCTGAGCTTACTTGACACATTTGGGAGGACTGAGGTCAAGAGTTTTTGTGGTATAGCTTCCGAAGTTGTTTTGCTTCCCGAGCATCCAACACATAATTTTCTTTTGCATCTAGCCATCCTCATAGGGCCACAAGGACTGTGGTTGACCCTTTGGCCCACCGGAATGGATAAAATGGGAAAACCTCCAGCTGGAGAAGGTCTGCAGCCCTCCCTCTGCACACAACTCTCCCGCTGGCCACCTGAGGCTTTCCCTGCTTGCAGGGTAGTGAGTGGTGAGGATTGGAGGGGTGTGTTGTATGTACTGGCTTCTTCTTCCCACAGGTAATGGTTCCCAGTCTGGATGATATTCAACAAGCCATCAACCGAATGATCCAGTTAACCTTGGAGGTCAGCCGAGGAGTGGCTCACTGGGGACAGCAGCATGCCCACCATACCAAGTCTGTGGTTACCAGTCCCACTGTAACTGACTTCACCCATGGGAGTACAGGAAAACAGCTGAAGAAGGAAGAGAGTAAGACAGTTCAAGCAAATCCCAGAGGAATAGAACCTTAGAATCGTAGCAATTAGTAAATGGCCTTTCTGATTCTTCCCAGGGTTGACGGTGTATGGATTTTTTGTAAAGTATGTTTAGTTGCTAAATATTGCATTAAAAAAAAAAACCTAGTGTTCTCCATCTTTCATCTAAAATATAACATGCAGATATTTCTTTCTAATATTTGGTTGTGAATGAACAAGGACTTTTATTATTGGTCTATTATAGTAATCTTAAAAGTTTAAGTTAAAGGGGCCGGGGATTTAGTTCAGTCGTTCTGGCTCCTGCCTTGTAAGCTCAAGGTCCTGAGTTCAATCCCCAGTACCAAAAAAAAAAAGTTTGAGTTAAAATTTATTTTAGAAGTTAATCTTAAAAGCTAAACCTCGACTAAGTTTACTTTCAACATTGTTTTTGGTCCTAATAACTTTGTTTGAATTTTCATAGCTGTGTTATTGGTAATAGGATCAAATTGCTAACAAATGTCTAAAAAGTGAATAAACCAAAGATTGTTTATCAATACAGTAAAATTCTTCTCAGCAATAAAAATGATTAAACTACTAAGGTATGTCACATTAATTAGTTTATTAATTAAATAAATGAAACACCTTGTCTTTTCTTTAATTTTAATTAAATATAAGACAAAATAAAAGAGCAAAAGGGCTTAGAGAGGACTGTGGAAAACTTAGCACATCAATGAGCTTCTGCTACCAAATTATGCTATTTTGAAAAGAGAAGCTGGGAATCTGGAATTTCACATAAAATCTCACAATTTCAAGTTGTTAAAAACTGGTTTTAAAAAGAAAAATGCTGTATGGGTCAAACAAAACTATCAGTAAGGTCTCTGGGTGATGGGAGAATATTTGAGTGACATGGTCATATTTGTGTTTTGGTGAAAGATGTTTGTAGCAGTGGTTAACAGTTATTGCAAGATTTCCATGTTCCAGATGCTGAGCTGAAGATAAACATAGATTGTCTCATTCCTTTCACATGAGTGTAGCCATAAAGATCAAACAGTTGGCCTAAGGTCATCTGTGTAATGAATGCAGTCTTCCTCCTTTGACCACTATGCTGTTCTGTAAGGTAGCAGTTTCAACTCTGGAAATTCTACTTGAAGGACTTCTTAAATTTAGAGTGGTTTCAATCAATGTCATTTAGTTCTGTCCTCTGGAAAACAGTTCTTCCAAATTAAAAAAAAAAAATCTAGATCTCAAAATTAAATCTGACACAGTAGTTTAATAAGAACAAACAAAAATACCAGGATAATAGCTTTTTATTGCTTGGAATAACTCTTTAATTATCTGGAGGGAGTATCTTTAAGAAAATACATTTTTGAAAAATTTATGAATATTAAAATTGTTAATATTTAACCTTGAATGTTGAAGCTATTTATAATGTGAAAGGATTTGCTTTTAGGATCTTTTTTGGTGTGGTTTGCAGTACAGATTAGTAATGTTTGTTTGGGGGAATTGGTACATGCATATAACATATTTTTATTATTTTTGGTCTCTTTACTTCCCTTTTCCTTACCTCCCCCTGTCCTGCTTCATCTCCCAAAGTCTGACTTCTTGTTGCTTACCATCTCTCCTTTATCTCATTCATTTGTATTTTAGGTGTCTCATATAAGACGAACCATGCAATATTGAACTTTCTGTGTCTGACTTATTTTTCTTAGCATTATGGTCTCAAGTTTCATCCATTTTCTTGCAAATGACATGATTTCATTCTTCTTTATGGGTGAATAATACTCAATTTTGTGCATATGTCATATTTTATTCATCCATTTATCTGTTGATGGGCATCTAGGATGTTTCCAGAGCTTAGCTATTATGAATTTGCTGCTATAAATATGGTTATACTTGTATCACTATAGTGTGATACCTTTAATTCTTTTAGGAATATACCCTCGAGAAGTATATAGCTTGGTCAAATAGAATTTGTATTTTTTTTGCGGAATCTCCAAACTGATTTCCTTAGTATTTGTGCTAGTTTACATTCCCACCAACATTGTAGAGGGGTGTTTTTCCTCCACATCCTCTCCAGCATTTGTTGTTTTTCATGTTCTTGATGACAGCTATTTATTAGGGTAGGACAGAATCTCAGAGTGTTTTGATTTGCATTTCCCTAGTGACTAAAGATGTTGAAGAGTTTTTCATATACTTATTGGCCATTTGCACTTCTTTTCAAAGGGTCTATTCAGTTCATTTGTCCATTTTTTAATTGGGTCATTTTGGGGGGGTTGATTTTTTTGGAATTCTTTATATATTCTAGATATTAGTCCTCTATCAGGAGAGTAGCTGGCAAAATTTTTTCACATTCTGTGAGTGATCCCCTCTGTTGATTGTTTTGTTTTGTGTTTTTTTGCCATGCAGAAACTGTTTTGTTTGATGTAATCCCATTGGTTGATTCCTGATATTATTTTCTGTACTCTGAGAGTTCTTTTCAGGAAGTCCTTGCCTATGCTTATGGCTTTAAGTTACATTATCTTCTAGCAGTTTCAGTATTTCTGTTTTATATCTAAGTGTGTGATCCATTTTGATTTGATTTTAGTAAAAGGTGAGAGATATGGATCAGAAGTTTCAATCTGAGCTTCAAACTCTCAAAAGTTTCAATCTTCTGCTCATGGCTATCCAGTTTTCCCAACACCATTTGTTACAAAGGTTATTTTTCTCCAACATATAATTTTTAACCCCATTGTAAAAAATCAGCAGTAGGTGCATGAGGTTGTTTCTTATTTTCTATTCCATTATGTCTATTTTTGTACCATGTTGTTTTTATTGGTATAGCTTTGTAGAATAACTTGAAATCCATTACCGTGGTGCCTCCAGCTTTGTTCTTTTTCCTCCTGCCCCTGTTCCGCTTCCTCCTCTTTCTCCTTTCTCTTCTGTCTCCTCCTCTTCTTCTTCTTTTTTTTTTTTTCCTTTAGGATTGGTTTGGCTCTTCTGGGTCTTTTCTTGTTACATACACATTTTAAGATTTTTTTCTAGTTCTGTGAAGAATGTTGTTGATATTTTAATAGTTTTAGATTGAATCTATAGATTGCATTTGGTAATATGACCCTTACTTATAACAATATTAATTCTGCTGGTCCTAAAACAGGGAAGTCTGTCAATTTTCTTTTATTTTTTTTAAAAAAATTTTTATTTTGTGATACAGGGTCTTGCTATGTAGTTCATCCTGGCCTTGAGCTCACTATGCAACCCAGATCCTCCTGGCTCAGCCTCCTGAGTGCTGGGATTACAGGCATGTGCCACCATGCCTGGCTGGCTGTCCATTTTCTAATGTCCTCTTCAATTTCTTTCTTCAGAGTCCAGTAATTTTCATTATAGAGGTCGTTCATCTCTTTAGTTAGGTTGATTCCTAAGCATTTAATTTCCTAGTACCATGAATGGAATTGTTTTCTTGAATTTTTTCTTGGTAGGTTCATTATTGGTGTACAGGAATGCTGTTGATTTTTGTGAATTGATTTGGAACTCCACCACTTTGATGAACTTGTCTATCAGATATAGAAATCTTCTGGTGTTTTTTTAAAAAAAATCTTCTATGTAAAGAATCATATCATCTGCAAATAGGAATATTTTAACTTCTTCTTTTCCTATTTTCCCTTTTATTTTCTTTTAGGATCCTTTGAAGAAATTATTCCTGCAAGGAACCTGAAGAACTTTTACCCAGGGGTGGCGGAGCACAAAGACATTTCCAAGCTAGTCCTTCTCCTTTCTTCCTCCATGAATTCTCTCAGAACAGTGGCCCAGGAGGCCCTGCAGGAGTTTCAGAAGTATAAGACTCTCTGGATGGAGGACCGAGATGTGAAAGTGAAGGTGTATTTCCACTACTGGTGCTGTCATTTTAATCATTTACCTGTTGAAAGGGGATTATAAACGTATCAGGAATAATGAGAAGCTCTCGCGGGCAGAGGTCAAGAACCCACAGATGCCAAGCACCTGACATAACCGCTGAGGCTCTGGAAGATTTTATTTAATTCCCTTGAGAAATTGGGTGCTAGTTAGGTGTCAGACACTTTCCAGAGGCCAGGCATTCAAGGATATGTCACACTTACTTAGAGCCAGCTGTATTTTTGGTAAGAGAGTCAAGGAAACTGAAGAACTCTGAGTAACCATGTAGTCTATGAGATTCCATGCCCCAGCCTCTTCTTCCAGGACTACCAGATGGCCCCTCCTTTACTAAGCTGTTGTCCTCACAGCAGGTATAAATGTAAGAGTAGAAATACAAGTAAAAATTTCCAGTGTAAGCATCAGAAATGTAACTTTTATGCTGTTAAAAAATTGAAGGAAATATTGACTGGTTCCTTACAACAGGAATTTTTGGGTCACGATCCCTCTCTGATGGAAATCAGATCAGAAATTCTACACTATGCTACTTTTGAACAGGAAATCGATGAGCTGAAGCCTATAATTGTTGTAGGAGCACTTGAATTGCACACAGGTAATTACAGATATCTATTATGTAGCATCTCTGTGTTTCCACATGGGATTATATTTTATTTAGCAAGAAGCTACTACATTACCTTGGTATAATATTTACATTTTTAAGTAGTTCTAGGCTATCCATATTCTTTATATCCACATATGCATTACATAGGCAGATTCTTCAATTAGCAGTCAAACAACTAAAACTACAGGTGGAATTCTTTTTTAGAAGAGGATGTTATGTATATGAGATAAGAATCAGACCGTTTGAAGTCTCCTGAGTTCATCCATTTGGAATTACCAAAGTATGATGAGATGACCATTTCATATTTGAAATACAGAGACCAGGTTGGCTGTTTGGCATACCATAGCTAGGGGGAGCCATGCTGGTTAGGCATAGTTTTCCCAGAGGGCAGACTACTATCCTAGATAGGGTGTCTGGACAGCACAATCCAAGGATTGTGGATCTAACTAGGTTAAGATTGGCTGTCAAAGGTTGATTACTTTACTCAGGTGGGACTTGATTGGCTGGTGCTCAGAGGTAAATTTGTTAGAGTACAACCTCCCTGATTGGCTGACATTAAGAAGGGAGTGAGAAGGCCTGAGATTTAGCTCAGTGGTTTCGTCGCCTGCTGCGCAAGCGCAAGGACCCAAGTTTGATCCCCAGTACTAAAAAAAAAAAAGAAGGAAGTGAGTTGGACTGTGGTTTGGGTTTAAACTGGTTGTGGTGACTAATTGTTACCATGGTTACAGAATAATCCATCTTGCCCTAAGTTTGTGGGAAAATTTTATTCTCAGGTGAAATTTGAACAACTGTTTTACATGAATTATCTACTTTAAGTAGATTTTCAGATCAATTCTCAAGGAGTCAGCATAACTATGGCTCTTCAGTTTGACAACTTGGGTTTCAGCTCCAACCTCCATTTCCTATGCTGGGATCTGTGATATCTACCTCATGAACTGCTTTTATAGGAGACATTAGCATATAATATCTCTGGCAAATAATTTATGTTCAGGAAATATTATTGTTAGATCTACCATGAAAGGATTTAATTTGAGGAAGAATCTCAAGTATTTGAGGGGAGATTATTTAGCTGGAAATCAGAAACTTTACACTAAGAGCAATAATAATAAGAGCTTCTGGAGAGTTTTGGAAACTATATGATTTTTTAAAAGTTATTTGTCTCTGCACAGTGGTTAGCACTATGATTCTTCATATGAAAAACAGTGGTAGCTTAGTGTTATACTGGGCTAAGGTGCTTATTTTTGGAGAAAAGGAACTAAAACATTGAATAGATGGAGATAGTTACAAAGAGAGGGGAAGGTGGGCTGAATTCTTGAGCCCAAGGAAAAGGAGAAAAGAGGCCTATGATAAGCATTTCATGGGCGCCAGTCAGCAAGCTGGGAGCATGCTTCTTCCTGAGCTACACCTTTCCCTTTGCTCCATAGGCCCCCCAGTTTAGCTGTTGGAAGTTGAGAGGCAGCAACTGTGTTTCAAGCTTGACAGGCTGGGACTGAAGGGACATTGAGAGGAAAGAGGGGAATGGGTAAAGAGTTGGCTAGTTAAAGCTGTTTTGTTTTCAAGAAACAGAAACTCTTTTGAGTGACATTAAGGGGAAAAAGGTGTATGCCAGAATCCAAGGTGCAGCTGGGCCTGCAGAATAGACTAGGATCAGTCACCCTGTAAGAAGCTGAAGAAGTTTTTTCTTTCCACCTCTTACTTCTTTTTCCCTCTGCATGTGACTTTTTCTGCTTCCCAGTACACAGGGCTCTCCCTCCACTTTCATTTCAAACTCCCCAGAAAGCACTCTGATTGGCCCATGGTAGGTCAGAACTGACCTGGGATAGTCAGCCATGGTACAGGGTCAAGTTATACAAGTATTCTAACCATATGGCTGAGATAGAGAGTAGAGTAACAAGAAAACTGAGGTTGTGGTTTGACAGGCAAAACAGATTTCACTCCACTGAGAGGGGTTCCCTAGAGAACATTGAGGAATGAATGAGGGCTGCTAATGAGATGTTTAGAAACAGAGCAAGGTCCACGTAGAATAGTGCTGTCCTGACATTTCTGAAATATCCCCCATCCCAGCTGTAGTGTCTTTTTTGTATACCGGTGAACGTACTCTATGGAGATAGGAATTAAGTCTTCAAAATCTAGTAACTTTATGGTGCATTAATTCATCCTAACCAGGTTTTAGGTGCTCAGAAGCTACATGTGATGGGTGACTGCTGAGTTGGACAGTACAGTTATAGATACCCAGATTACACACACAGTGAATTATTTCAGAGTGCCAATTGGATTCTATTTTCATCTTTTTTGTCTTCATATCAGAGCCAATGAAATTAGCCTTATCAATTGAGGCTAAGGCATGGAAGATGTTACTCTGTCGATACTTGAATGAAGAATACAAAAAGAAAATGTCAGACATGATAGCATTTATCAATGAATACCTGAAAAAGTTATCTAGACCTATTCGTGATTTAGATGATGTCAGATTTGCAGTGGAAGCTCTGACTTGTATTCATGATAATGAAATTCAAATGGACATGACTTTGGGACCAGTTGAAGTAAGAAATGATCCCATTTTTCTTTCTTGAAATGCTTTCTTTTTCTTTTTTTCAGGTAGAAATATATTTAAAAAGTGATTCTGTTAATATGTTTCTTCATCTGTTATGTCATTCTCTCCTTTTAGGAGAATTTTAACAATTATCAACAGTGAGGAAGGTACAGAGGAATATTAATGTTAATATGATACTAGGGTAGACAGTGTTCAGTTTTTTTTTTTTTTTTGGTACCAGGGATCTAACTTGGGTCCTTGCACTTGTGCAGCAGGCGGCGAAACCACTGAGCTAAATCCCCGGCCTGTGTGTTCAGTTTTTGCTATGACACTAACATTTTATGGAAAATAATGGTTGCATACTCTTGTGTCAATCATATGTATTAGTTAAGTTCTCTCAATATCTTTGGTTTTCCTTAGAAACTGTTGATAGGTCTCATTCATGGCCAGTGACACAATAGGCAGTATAATGGGAACAGCCCACTTGGGTGCAATTATAAACTGTTGGAACTTGGATCAACAAAAGATGATTTGGGGAAAGGGTACTTGTACTAGTTTTCTACTGCTGCTATAACAAGTTACCAAAGAGTATACATTTTTTATGGCTTAAAATGATAGGTCTGACCCCTGTTTTCCCCCTGCCCCTCGAGTTTCCAGAGTGGCTATTCCCAGCTTCCTGAGCCCCAAAACTGTACTCCTACATCCTGTTGCCACCTGCCTGCCCTGCTAGGTCACAGTGCACCCAGCACAATAAAACATTAGCTGTTGCTATGTCAGCTGTTGCCATGTAAGCTGTTGCCATGTAGCCATTGCTACTAGGCTAGTCTTGCTTCACCGATCCCATGTTCTCCCACTCCCCTAACCCAGTCCATAAAAACTCAGCTCAATAAACCTGGCTTAGACTCTCTTTTGGAGTTATTCCAGGGAGGTCTCACTCAGAACCTTAAATTCAGGCTGGCTGTGTTCTTTTACACGTTCATCATCATTTACCTAGCATAAAACAAACTTAATGGTTTAACACAACACAAACTTACTGTTTTATAGCTCTAGAGATCAGAGTGTGAAAAAATTTCAGACGACTTGCATGGCTAAAGGCAAGATGTCAGCAGGACTGTGTTACTTCTGGGAAGAATCCATTCCTTGTGTTTTCTGTCTGAAAAAGCTGCCCACATTCCTTGGCTCACTGCCCACTGCCGCCCCCTGCTTATGGCATCAGATCTCTGACGCTCTTCTCTCTCTCTTTCCCTTCTGTGGACTTTTGTGATCACGTTAGACATATCTGTTTAATTTAGGGTCATTGCCTCATCGAAAGCTCCTTCACTTACAGCCGCAAAGTCTCTTTTGTCCCTTTTTGGCAACATATTTAGGGGTGGGTTTTAGGGATCAAGATAAGGACAATATTGGGGATGCATTATTTTGTCTGTCATAAGTATTTTATGACTAATATTATTTATAATATTCAAAATTTCTGACTAACGACAATGATAAATACCATATTCTTAATTTTATTGTTTTTTTAAAAGTTCTCTATAGATAATGTATCCCCATATTACCTGCAGTTTCTGGGAAATTGACATTCCCACAGCCTTTTATACCCTCTGTTAGCGAATGAACTTCCTACCTTTAATAATCTTAGTATTGAATTTTGCATGCTTACCACCAGATTTAATACATTATCATTTTTTCCCTGACTTCAGAAGCTTAATTCTTTAGCGTAGCTTCTTTTGGTGAAGCCAACTGCTGGTCCATCCCTTGAATTGTTTAGGTTTCTTTTCTTTGGATGAATACCCACATCATATATAGCCAACCTCTGTTTTCATAGAGTCAGAAATTATCTTGCAAGACACTAGCACAATATGAAGGAAGAGAGATAGAAAATAACTGCGGAGATATTTTCTGGAATAGTATCTCATAGCATTACCTGCTAACATTGCCACTAGAATCACTTAAGTACTTATTAAATGAAGATTTCAGAGCCTGTGGCCTGGAGTCAATATGTGGAAATCAATGAGAATCTAAAGCTGCCTTCCCTACATCTTTCATTTTGGGAACCACTCATGAAGAACTTGCTGTCTTCTTCCAAACCATAGGAATGTGTTTGGAGAAGGCATCTAAATTGATTAGCCAATAGCTTCCCTTTGCGATGTTTCTGAACTCTACCTCTACTTTGCAGGAAGCCTATGGTATTTTAAACAGATTTGAAGTTGAAGTAACCAAAGAAGAATCAGAAGCAGTTGATACTTTGAGATATTCTTTCAACAAATTACAGAGCAAAGCTGTAAGTACAATTTTAATTATTTTAAGTCACAATTTCCAGGAACATATATTTTATTCTTTTCAAGAGTGTGTATTTTATAACAATTTTATGAGATATAATCCACATACCATAAAGTTTACCATTTTGAAGTATACAATTCAGTGGGGTTTTTTTTAGTATACTCAGAAAATTCTATAGCTACCATCATTATCTAATTTTAGAACATTTTTATCACCCCCAAAAGAAGCTCTGTATTCATTACCAATCACACCCATTCTCTCTCTTACCCCAGCTCTGGCAACCACGAATCTACTTTCTTTTCTGTAGAGTTGCCCTCTCTGGACATTCAGCATAGGTGGAGTCATGCAATATGTGGTTTTTCGTGACTGGTTTCTTTCATTTAACTTAGATTTTCAAGCTTCATCTGCATTGTCCCATAAAATACCAGCATTGAATTTTCTTAATGGCTACTGATTTTAAGCATCTTTTTCATATGGGAACTTCATTGGCCATTTATACATCTTATTTGGAGATATATGAATTTAACTATTTTGCTTATTACTAAATTTGAGTTGTTTTTTGTTTCTGAGTTCTTTTATATTCTGGTATTAGTCTTTTTTGTTTAATTTTTTTAGCATTAAGAATAAAATTCATGGGCTTTGCACTGAACTGTATTCCAGGCCCTTTTCTTACTTTTTTTCTTTTTTTGAAATTCTGAGATAATATCTTACTTAGTTTCCTGGAATGCCTAAACTATGATTTTCCTGCCTCTGTCTCCTGGAGCTACACACGTGTGCATCTATCCTGCACAGATTTTTAATTTTGATGAAGTCCAATTTAGCTGGTTTTTTTTCTTTTGCTGCTTATGTTTTGCCATAGGATCTAGAAAATAGTTGCCTAATCTAGGGTTATAAAGATTCACTTTTATGTTTTCTTGTAAGACTTTTGTAATTTTTGGCCTTTACATTTAGGTCTGATTCATTTTGAGTAAATTTTCATATATGGTGTAAATTAGCAGTGGAACTTTGTGCAAAAGCATGTGTATATGCAGTTATCTCAGCATGCTTTATTGAAAAAACTGTCCTTTCACTAATAAACTGTCTTGACACACTTGTTGAAAATCAATTGAAATGTAAGGGCTTAATTCAGATTCAACTCTATTTTGTTGATCTATGTGTCTATGTTTTTGCCTTGGCTAGTGAAGGTTTAAGCAGAAGCTTTTAAGACCATTTGGAGAGGGTATTTGCAAAAAAAAAAAAAATTTTTTTTTTTAAAACCTAGAGTAATATCACTTCCTTTCAGGGAATTACTCCAACCATTATAGCCACGTGAAGCTACTAGACATTGCCACTCCCCGTGGTTGGCATGGTCCCACAGACTGCATAGGACCCACGCTGGGTCTGTAATAGCAACTTTTTCTGGCTGTAGTGATGATGTGATCTGGATCAGCTAGAGAACTTTTTGCTAACTGCAGTTAGCAAATAACAGAGAAAATGACTTCACCTATTGAGTCACAAACTAGAATAATTTAGTGTCCTGTACCTGCATATGGGTTGTTTATGTATTTTATTATGAGCAAGCGGAGACATTGTTGTTCCCACAGGACATCTGTGAGATAACAAACTTGCTGGAATAGAATCCTTGTTTTATTTTCAATATGTGACTTTTACTCTCATGTGGAATATTTTTTTGTATTCTAGGTTTCTGTACAAGATGAGCTAGTTCAAGTGCAGCCAGTGTTTAAAAGTAACCTACTTGAAGCTGTGGAAGTTTTCTGTGGTGATGTAATGAACTTCGCAGAAGCATATGAGACGGTAATTTACATATTAGCCTACCGTGTACTAAAATGTTCTGTGATACATTAATATGAAATAGAAGTGCTGAACCTTGAAAAATAGGTACATTGCACATAACCAACTGTATTTGCATACTTACAGCTATCAAAGAAGATGGCTGCTCTTTTAAGGATGTTTTATGGAGGAAAATAAAAACAGATCTGACAGTTGAAATGAGCAAACAACATTCCATGAGAGAAAGAGAGGACCTGGTTTTGTCCTTGTCAGAGCCAGAATTGTAATACAGTAATTGGAAGGCTGTAAGAAACTATTAAGTGCCCTACTACTTAGAGCAGTGTGCAGCTGATTTTGCATTTTCAGTAATTCTTAGAGAACTGAAAGGGTCACTGAACATAAATAATAAATGTTATAATGGACCAGTGGCACAGATTATTCAACCCGATATTCTCATAATGTCTAAGTCCTTCAAGTTAAACTCAAAAGTTGGATGTATTTGCCTAAATTATTCTACTTCTATTAATGGTCGCAATGGATCTGACCTCTTAAGATGTTCTAAGCCCTTGGTGTTATAACATTTTTATATGTATTAAACTTATCTCTTTTTAATTGGATTAATCAACATTGATTTGCCTTATCATTCTATTGTTAAAATATAAATTAAAATGGAGACCAGGTCTGAAGAATCTCCGAGCAGACAAAGCCAGCCGGGCAACCTAAGTAGCCTTAACTTGCTTGATTTACAACAAAGCGAAACTAAACCTGAGCTGTTTCTTGCAAATGTCTGTATTAAAGAGAAGCAGAATGTAAGCTCAACCAATTAGAGGTAGCAAACAAGCGTATACAACTAGGGACTTTACAGCAAGACAGACTAAAGAAGGCAACTTTACCACTGTAACCAAATGTTTTCTTTATATTACTTTTGCATTCCCTCTATAAAAACACATCCCTTGCTTTAGTGGAGCCTTGAACTAGGTCTGGTTTAGAGTTGTGCCCAGTTCATGGAACACAGTATGGATGAATAAACTCTAAAATTTTATTGGCCCTCAGTTTACCTTCTTAACACTATTATATTGGGAATTTAGTCTCTTACTTATATATGCATAATATTCATAATAATATAGACCATTAATATCCTTAATGCCCTTCATTTTCTTATGGGGACTAGTCCTTGTTATTTTAATCTGTCACCATCTAAGAAGTTAGTTTATTCTTTTGCTTTTGTGGGGGGACTGTTTTTGGAGGGTTATTTTGCAGGTGTGTACTGGCTCATGGCCGCTAGAGATTGCCTTCTGCCTGTTCCAAGTATCCAACCTGCATGTGTCCCTATTTCCATGTTGGGCTGAGCAGTTGGTACAAGGAGGCTGTTCTCAGAATTCTGTTATTGATTATTCCAACACAGTATTGTCATTTGTAATCATAAATGAAATACAACAGAGCTTTTGTGGTACATACTTCATACAGGATATGCGTTTCTTGCATGTTTAAAATTAGCTGTATAAAGATCCTTTTAAAATTGAATGGGAGCCAGGGTGATAAAAATGTTCTAAAGCTGATTGTGGTCATGGTTGCACAACTCTATGAATATACTAAAAGCCATTGAATTGAACATTTTATGTGGGTGAATTGGATAGTATGTCTCAATAAAGGTGTTATAAAAAATAAGTGGGACTTCAAGTATGAGACAAAATTAGACCATTTAAATGAAATGTAATGCTTATTTATTTAAAAGGAATTACTAGATAGACCCAATGAATGGACAAATACACCTGGCTGAGAATGAAAATGGAGATTATATTATTTTTTGCAGGAAGGACCTATGGTTCCAAATATACCACCCCAAGAAGCTAGCAATAGGCTACAGATATTTCAGGTAAAAATCACTTTTTATTTGGTCGCATTGTCAATGTATTATTTTTAAAGATGATTGTAGGGGGAATCTTACATAGAGGCTTTCATTACTGTATATTCTAATCTGCTAAACGATGTGATTAACTCCTTCTCTGTGTCCCACCAGGCTCTTCTCCACAGAATCTGTCTCTGTATTTTTAAAGAATAAGACCCTGACTACGAATTTAAGTAATAGTGTATTTCAAGCACCTAACATGATATGCAGGGTGAAAAAATATATAGTATAATAAAATACCCAAGATTCTAAGTATTGGCAGATGGTTTCCCTGCCTTCCTTTTGTATCCATTGTTAGTCTTTTCTTTGGTATCCATCACTTTCAACTTCCCAGCCCAGATTGTACATACTCATTGCATTGGGCCAGCCGTTCACTAGCTTTTTCCACACTCGGATTGCAGAGCACATCTCGAGAAAAATCACGCACCCATTTGGACTGATGTTCTAAAAATTCTTGGATTCCTCTGTAAATTAGCTGGTCTGGAGCATCAAGCAGTTTTTTCCTTTTGTTCCTGTTCTTTTTCCCATTTCCTACATTGGTTGAAAAAGAATATTTATGCCCTTTCAGTTCTTTAACCCTCCCCCATTCTCAGCACTTAAAAAATATTCATCAGATGCCTATTGTGTCAGTACAAATTTGATTAAGCAATGGCTTTTACCTGTGGGCCGCTAGAATCTGATAGGGAAACAGCAAGCCAGAGAGACAGTTCCAAAGTCTAGTGCTGAGCGCTATGCTCTAGTTCTGAGGACTCATGTTTATGGAGACTGAAGTACAGGGCTCCCAGCCCACGTGGGGGCTGTTAGAGCAAGTGGAGTTTGCCCAGAAGAGAAGGCATCTACCTAAGCTGCATCTTCAGGGATTAGAGTTAGACAAGGGGAGGAGGAAAAGCCAATCTGGTAGGATTTGCAGCTTGTACAAAGGCCCAGGAGTTAGGAGGGAAGCAGGGAGATTTAGGAAGGTGTTGACCACAGGTAACTGTGGATAAGGGCTGGAGGCCACCGTGCTATTATGTAGAATGCACATATCTTGTTATATAGATGGATCACTTCTGTTTGCGTTTGTGCTTTGAACCCTGTTAATATTTAGCTTTCCAGGGCTGGGGATTTAGCTCAGTGGTTTTGCCGCCTGCTGTGCAAGCGCAAGGACCCGAGTTCGATCCCCGGTACCAAAAAAAAAAAAAGTTTAGCTTTCCAAATCTAAGATTTTCAAATTCCACATCAAAGAAAAAAGATTAAAATGCATGTACTGACTTTGAGGATTTAAAGTGTTAGAATTATTTGAAATGGAGTTGAATGGAATCTTCCATTTTTTAGGCTTTTTATTGCACGTAAAGAAAACAGAATTGAATAGATTATACTAATACTTTGCTCGTTTTTGAACCCTTTAGGAGATAGCCCAGTGTCCAGTAGTGAAGAAGCCTGAATTACAGATTTTTTAAAAGGCAGTTTTCTTACTTTCAGAGGTTTATAGATGTACTTGAATATATAGGTCTTCTGAAGACCTCTTAATTTATTAAAGAAATGATTTTATATAAAATGGGTGCTTTGAGAATGCTTGAAAGTTAACTTTCTTAAGTGATTAATTTAACTGGCAGCTTAGTATAAGTATAAATTTGCCTCACAAATTCTTGTTTCATAGATACTACTAAGTAAATGAAAACTTTATCTCAGATATGATAGATTTTACCTGAATGGGATCTGAATTAGTTGTATTTTAGTGTACTTTAAAAATCTTTGTTATAGGCCAGTTTTGATGACCTGTGGAGGAAATTTGTTACATACTCATCTGGTGAACAACTTTTTGGATTGCCTGTGACTGACTATGAGGTTTTACACAAAACAAGGTAAGTTGCGAAAATGTACATGCAAATAGCTAAATACTGCCCATTAGAAAAATCATGTCACTCCCAGTTCCTTTATTATGCAGAAAAGGATATGGCTTGGAACACCCCTAAATAGTCCTCTTATTCCTGGTATCCTTGACCTATTAGACACAGAGTCTCCATATAGAAAAGAAATACGCTAGGAAAGTGGAAAATGCATTGCAAATATTTTGCAAATGTATGGTCTAACTTATGCTGTACTTTTTCTTTTACTAGTTTTGTTTTATTTTATTTTTTGGGGGGTACCAGGGATCGAACTTGGGACCTTGCACTTGAGAGGCAGGTAGCAGAACCACTGAGCTAAATCCCTGTCCCTCTTTTTACTAGTTTTGAATGGTATCAACAATTGTGCAGAGGTATTACAATTTTTAATAACTCTCCTTAGCACTTAGAGCTGAATTGCTCTTTCTCACTGGGTAGACATAGAATTTCTTGAAATTGATGGCCAAAGGATGCACTTTATTTTGAACAATACACCTAGGATTTAAACAAATATATTTAAATAGAACTTTAAGTATAACTTTCCTCAAAAGCAATATTAAAACAGTGCTATTAGTTTATTAGGGTTTTGACTTGAGAAAAGAACTTTATATTGGTTTCCTTCACTCACAGCATGAAAACTTCATGGTGTAATAGTCATGAAATTTTCTGAAGAGAAAGAAATGTGTCAGTCATTGAGGGCAGATGGTTCATATTCTTTTAAAAAGAGTTTATCACCAGTATTAACCCAATAACCAATTGTGTTAGAATTGCAGATCTCTGATCCCCATTGTTTACTTACTGAATTACAGTCTCTGGGACTGGGTCCTAAGAAACCTGAACTTTACACATTCTCTAGGTAGTTCTTATGCACACTTACTGTCTATGGCCATAACACCCTGAATGCGCCCAATCTCGTCTTGTTCACACTGTGAGAGTCAATGTGCTAACTGTCAACCAAGCAGGGCAAATAATCATCGCAATTTACCTTCTGGACCAATGGACCATTGTTTTTTTTCCAATGGATCATTTTTAATTGATATTTTATTATAAACTTTAAGAAAAACTTAGGTAGAGTAAACCAAGACTTTTACTCAATACAGCTAACTCCTCCTCAGCTGTCCTACGTGAACATGGAGCAGACCCATCTATCTACACTAACTCCACATTTCAAATCCATCTCCAGTGGATCTCTAGCTTAGCATTCCTTCTGATTTTTCTTGCAATTCCATTGTCAAAGTTAAAGACTGTTGAAGACTTACTCATAATTTTGTTGAAGAAAGGGCTGCCATCTTCTTTGTGCTATAAATACACAGGCAGACTGTGTGCAGATGGGAAGGAGGTCTGGGGATGAGGGGAGATGAGAAGGGGAGGAAGGGAAGGAGAAGGGAAAATGATTAAGATGCAATATGTATATTTACCAATTTCCCAAGATGAGTGTAATTATTATGGATTGCAGACACACAATAATAAAAAAGGAAGCAAAAACAGATCTGAATGATCAATTCAATGAAATTTTTCATTTCTGCTTTGTTGATTTCCTTTGACTATACATCTACCATCAACACTTGTCTACTTATAAAATATATCACATAAAACTTACAGAAACATCATAAATACTGAAAAAAACCTATCACTTATCTGTTTCACAAAATGGAATGGTATAATTCTTATTGCAAAATATTGCACGATGAGGCCCTTGCCTCTCTAGAAATATATTGTTCACTGATAAAATACTGCATTTAGCAAAACTCATGTAGGTTATCTGAAGATTCACAATCAGAGATTTCACTGATGAAGTCAACTTCACCCTCCAACAGAGTCTAGAGTGTGGTTTTCTGTCTCTTTTCTGTTTAATATTTGGGAAACATCATTTTATCAATTTTCTCCATTTTGCTGTATCAGGAGGAAAATAAACAATTCTGAATTCTTAGCTGTTTTATTTTATTACAGACAGCTAAGTTAGATAGAAATTATTATACAGTCAGAGAGGGACTGGGCTGTCAAGGAAGTTAGCAGAAAAAATAAAGACATCCCAGTTGTCACCAGAGGAACATCTGAAGAAGACCAGGCCTCAAGATAAAGATGGAACGACCAGGCCGATGTGCCTCTCCGAAGGGGATAAGCAGTAACTTGGAATTATGCTATAATTGGCTTCAGTTGGTCCAGTAAAGTCCAGATAGAGACATTAGTCACCCAGGTGGGTGACCGGATCATCTGGACCCATCCCTTCCCAAAAATGCCTTTGTTCTTTCCACATACCCCTGCTAAGTGACCTGCTTTTCTATTGATCAATATTAGGTAAGAGGCTATACTCGTAGTCTTATTGGTTGATTAGAGTTTGACCCATCTTGTACTCACCTCATGATTTTGTACCCACATCATGATTTAGCTGTATAAAAAATTCTTAGAGGAGTGTCCTTGGTGGCAACCCACTTGGGGTTCCCCGCTGTCTCTCAAGAGCTGTGTCTAAATATATTTTTCCTACTCTTAACCTCCATTGTTCCTTAGAATTCATTCTTTTATTTTGAGGGACATGAACTCAGGGTATCTGACATCTGGCAGGTTGGGAGTTATGTTTTTCCCCTATTATCAATATGAAAGCTAAACAAGCAAAGAACTATAAAAACTGGTGTTGGGGGCAACCCATTTTCTGGTCCCCCTTCTTCCTCTCTTAGACAGAAGCTATCTTTCTCTCAATACATTTTTCCTACTCTTAACAAAACAAAACAAAAACGAAATGGTGCTGCTAGAATTCTGTTTTGAAAGATGATACAGTATCTTTGGAAACACAATAAGAAACCTGCACAATGATGTGATTATAATCCCTAGGCTACTGTGTTTAGTAAATGCCATCATTCTTCTCTTTTGTTATTATTTTAGTCATGATTGGAAATAACCAGTGAGTAATAATGAAATAATTCTTAGTACGGTTAAGAAGCAAATGAGTCAGGAATGGGAAAAATAATCTAACTAGCATTTCACTATGTGTCTTAAATTTATGAAGGGTCTAGATTTTTCCTTTACAAAATAACCCAACAAGTTGTCAGTGTCAGGTCATATGGTATGATTTGGGATATTCAGAAACTATAAACTTGACCTTATTGGTAAAATTTTAACAAAGTCTCTGTGTTGGAAGCTGGTATAGTTGTACATATTTGGTGTCTAAGAGACATTATACACATGATATGTAGAATACTTAATTGAATCAGCTCTACTTATCCAAAATGTAATTTATTTTAAAAATATACATCATGTGATGTCTTTATTTTTCCCCCCAGGAAAGAACTCAACTTGTTGCAGAAACTATATGGATTGTATGATACTGTAATGGGCAGTATTAGTGGTTATTATGAAATACTTTGGGGAGATGTAGATATTGAAAAAATTAACACAGAACTTCAGGAATTTCAAAACAGGTGAGTTTCAGTTAAATTAGCTAACTTTTAAAAAAATTCTTTTATTGGTACATTTTAGATATACAATTCGTTTACATTTATCATTAGATGCTTGTATCTGTGCATGATGTATCTTGGTTCTTATTTTTTCCCCCATTACCTGTGCATCTTTCACCCCCTCCACCCTTCCCTATTTACATAGATTTTGTTTCCATTTTTTTTCTTTTCTCATAATTTTTCCTTTCCCTTCTTTCCTTTCTTCTTCCCCTCCCACCACACCTACCCCTTTGGACCTTTTCCTATTTCAAATGATCAGTTATTCATTTTAATCATTTTGATCCTTATTTACCCTTTCAGTTTCTCGCACTAGAGAAACTATTCGGTATTTACACATGTGTGTCCTATTTATTTCACTTAAGAGTATGGCCTCAGTATGCATCCATTTAGCTATAAATGTCTCTAATTTTTTCATTTTTTATGGCTGAGTAGTACTTTATTTTATAAAAAACCCCACATCTTTTTTATCCAGTTTCCAGTTGATGGGCACTTGGCGTGTTTCCAAGCTTTAGCTATTACAAACTGTGCCGCTATAAACATGGGTGCACATATATCGCTGTGGTATGATTCTTTTAATTCTTTTGGAAGATACCCTAGCTAACTTTTATATAGAGTTTATCTTCTTAGGATCCTATAGTTATTATATAGCTATATGTTTATAATGCCTTTTTCAAAGAAATAAACAGATGGTAAAATTTTTTCTCTTTCTTTCTGGAAGGTGTCGTAAACTTCCCAAAGGACTTAAAGATTGGCAGGCATTTCTGGATCTCAAAAAGAGAATTGATGATTTCAGTGAGTCGTGTCCATTACTGGAAATGATGACCAATAAGGCGATGAAACAGAGACACTGGGATCGAATCTCTGAGTTAACCAAAACCCCATTTGATGTGGAATCTGATTCCTTCTGTCTCAGAAACATCATGGGAGCACCACTCCTTAAAAATAAAGATGATATCGAGGTACCTAAGAGTATAATGCCTTATCAGTGGTCCATTCAAGAATGTTTTTTTCTTTTCTGAGAAGTGTACAAATAGAAATTTTCTTTTCTTTTCTTGATTTTTCTATTCTCTTTCTAATTAACACATAATAATTATACGTGATAATTGGGAACAGTGTGATTCTTCAATACAATCTGTAATGATTAATCTGGGTAATGAGCATTTCCATCTCCTTATCATTTCTTAATGTTTGGAGCCTTCAAGTTCCTCTCTTCTGTCTTCATGAAACATGAGATACTGTGAACCTTGGTCACTGTACTGTACTGCACATTACCACTTATTCCTTGGATTCCCCTGCATTTTGTTGCCTCTTACCCAACCTCTTTCTGTCTCCCCTCCCCTCCCTAGCCTGGAGTAATCACTTCCCTTCCCTGTTACTTTGAAATCAACATCTGTAGTTTCAAAATATGAGTGAGAACACGTGGTATTTGTTTTTCTATGTCTGGCTTATAGAGATTTTGGAAATTTTAGGAGATGTTTTGACTCCTATAGTTTTTAAAATAAGAGGGTTTGAACTTTATTACTTACTCTTTCAAAGTATCTTGTATCAGACATGTTTCTTCTTTCTGGTAAAACACTTGATGGTGAAATAGGAATTGAGATGTGTCATATCCATAAAGTTAATGTGAGTGATAGAAATCTTTTCATAAAAGACGTGTTTGTCATATTGGAATTGTGAGTATAGCTTGGACTCATGAGAATAAGAGAGTCATTGGAATTTTAATTATAATGCGAATCATGTAGATTTTGGAGTATAGGGGCCTGAAATAATACTAGGAAAATGATGGTGACTTGGTAATTATTTCAAGCAGTGATGTGAATATACTCTATTAGAAAAAAGCAGAGCAAACAGATGAGTGGCATACAGTATTCAGCCTAGAAGCCTGGCAGAACTTCTTACCCACTGTCTGTTAAGAATAGATATTTTATCCTGAGTTCAATCCCCGGTACTGGAAAAAAAAAGAACAGACATTTTATGAGACTTGCTCTCTACTGTGAACTCTCAAAATGTGGACTTTTCCTGAATAATTTGGCTTTCACAAAATAATCTTGTATCTCAAGGAGATAATGTGATTATTTGAAATACATTCATTTGGAGTCTTTTACTCTATCCTTCTGTCCCTTAACTGGACTTCAGTTTAAAAACAGTTGTTTTATATAACATTTATTTATTGAATTCTTGGTGAATTTGCCTCAGACTTATTTTTCCAAATTTCTGCTTCTAAGGGTGGCAGGGATTATCTCCATTTTAGCTGAAAATTCCAATTAGAAATGTAATCAAGAAAAAAATGAAGGGGTCAAATTCCATTATCTCATGAATGTGCTACAAGAAAATAATTAGTAGTCAGAGAGTCATAAGGTTCTGGTGTGAACCTGCCACACAAGAGCCTTGGTTTTTCTTGGCTGCAAGATGACTCACTGAACTAAATGACCGCTGAGACTCTTCCAAGCTAAAACATCCTGTGATCTTATGATGCACTTAATTTGTAGTTGAAAATTATGCCTTCTTTGATTTTCCTCCAAAGGACATTTGCATATCTGCCGTTAAGGAAAAGGATATTGAAGCGAAGCTGACTCAAGTGATTGAGAACTGGACCAACCAAAACCTAAGCTTTGCAGCGTTTAAGGGAAAAGGAGAACTTTTGCTGAAAGGAACCGAATCAGGAGAAATTATCACATTAATGGAGGATAGTCTGATGATCTTAGGTTCCTTACTAAGCAACAGGTAATTTTATAATTTGGGGAAGAAGTTTTAATTTGACATTTACAGTATAAAATACTAGGTAAATGCCTACTTTTATAGTTGTGTCATGATACATGATTCTGCCTTGTGTTACTCTGTCTTGTCTGTCCCCATAGGCTCTGCCTATTTTCCCAAATATTCATGACCTCCATCTCTTCTTTAATGGCACCTGTCTCCCTTCCCTATTTTTCTAGATCGGTGCCATTGTAATTACTCCCCCTCCCCCCCGCCCTGCCCACTAGCAGCTTATTCTCTATATCCTGGCTCTGCACTGAGATGATGTCTTCATTTTTCGCTTCTCTTTCTTTTGTACCTCTGATTTGCCATCATGTTCTCTTTGATTCACCCTGTTCAAGCATTTACCCAGTAGCCCAGGAAGAGCAAGCTCGTCATACATGAAAGCAACATACAGCTAGGGGCTTGGCACTTAGCTGTATGTTGCTTGAAAGCAGTCATATCTGTATGGGGGCCATTGTTCCTTGAGAGAGGCAACCTGTTCACCACTGAACCATGGGAGCAGCTAGAAGAGGCCTGGGTCCTCAAGTGCAGCTTCAAGAAGTTGCCATAGGGTGCATCAGATTATGTATTTTGTCAGGTCTTTAGTTTGTATGTTTGCAACCTCTATCCTCCTAGTTGTGCAGCAGTAATTGACTGTTCTTCCCCACATACACCTGGGACGTTTGTTAAACCCTATCATTAATAGAGGTCAGTATGCAGGAGCATGGGAATTCTAATATCCCTTCTCCAGTGGAGACCACTGGTTTATGCATGGCATCCTGCTTGTCCTCTGGCCCCAGGGGCAGCCTTCTGTTTGGATAATGTTTTAATCTCCAAAGCTCTTAGTTTAGGAAGTTCCGAGTTAAATTTATTGAGATAAAGATCCCAGGGCCATCCTCTGCCTTCAGGGAAACTCAATAGTCCTAGCCAGGGTGGCCATAAATTATTCATTGGTTCCTAGACTACAAAGACTCATTGCATATTTTGCCATCTTGACCTCTCCAATGACAACCTCTTGAAGAGGAGGGCTGCAGTGGAGGAATTTTGGATTTAAATCCTTTCTTACTGGAACAAAGCCTGATTAGTGTAATACTTGTTTATTGGACTAGTTAAGATCCTATTAAGAAAGTTAATGTTAAGATTCTGCTAGAAAAAATGTAAGGATATCTTAAAAGTCATCACAGTTTGGGAGATTGTCCTCGTAGACAACTTTGCAGCACCAAGTGGATTTGGAAATCCTGTTCCAGAGGTAACCACGGACTGACCTCATAGCAAGGGAGCCTCATGCATGTCTGGGACAACCACGATGTGGCTTTAGAAGGAGGTTGCATGTTTCCATGGGAGAGACTAGATAGTGCCTGGATTTAGTACTTTCCTGGTGGATGTCAGATTCCATGGGATTTCACGGGCCTTCCTATTAGTTATGGTGGATGTTACCACAAGAAGTTGTATAATGTAGATACCTGGCCAAAGGACAGAAATGAATTATGCTAGATTTTATTTGAGATCTCCCTTTTTCTTTTGTTATCAGGGATCAAACTTAGGACCTTGTGCTTTCGAGGCAGGCGCGGTGCCACTGAGCTAAATCCCCTGCCTGATATCTCCTTTTTTCATGTTGCAAAGTTATACACATCAAAGATGACTCTCTTATTCTCTGTGCAGAACCATTTCTGGCCCTACCTATACAGGTGCTTCAACTCTCTGAAAGGCTTGCCTATGCCATCTTAATCTTCATCTTGATTTTGAAGATCTTTTTGGCATATTTACTGCTTTTTGGCTGGAGACCAATGGCCAGAGAGGCAGTATACATTGGGTATCAGGAAAAGTGCCTGTTACTTCCTTGGAGCAATTTTTGTACAACTCCCTTTGTAACTCCACATATAACATAGGCTCCTGGAGAAGTTATGAGCTGCACTTTGAGCATCAGGCTGTACCCAGAAAAGCTCCGTTGTGTATGTGAGCCCCTTTAGGTCACTCTGTCCTGGATGGAGAAAAGAGGTGAGACCCTAGTCAACAAGTCTTGTCCCACCCAAGAAATGCCACTACACCCCATCCAAACTACTTGCTATGGCCGTAAACTGAAGTCAGCCTCTTGCATTCTCTGCAGGTATTTGAGGTCTTTGACCAGTAGCTGCTTATTACTTCTTTCATGACATCCACACTATTTCTTGTCTTTCTCTGTTGTGCTCAGCCTTATGGATATCTTTTATTCTCATAAACACTCCAGCAAGCCCTGATGATCAGAAAGCAAGAGCCATACTATTTGGGGGTAGCTATCCTGGATCTCCAGCACTACAGAATTGAGTTGCAGTATCTGTGGAATCCACAGTGTATAGGTGGGAAGGGTACACGTGTAAGTGGACAGCCGATCTCAAGATTGACCCTAATTTTGCATAATCTTTTTCCATATGAACCTGGCAGTACCTAACCTTCTTCTCCTAATCTTTAGATATGTTGTATCCCTGTAGAGATGGTCTATTTCTTGGATGAAATCTTTAAGACCTTTCATAAGAGGAAAATTCCTGGATAACGATCTCTTAGATTCAGTAATACCATAGATCAGTAGCAAACTGTCTTATGTGTTCCCCTCACAGGCAGAAAGAAATAGTAAGAGGCAGACAAAAAGAAAAACATTTCATTAGCTGTGTGATACTTATTAGAGACTGTCCTTTTAGAACAAAATTCTCATTCCCAAAGGGATATTTGTGGTTCACTTTGTTAGGCCACTCTGTTTTCTAATCTTCCTTGAAACATAATGTTTTCCGTGTTTACTTTTCAGATACAATGCTCCATTTAAGAAAAACATACAGAATTGGGTATACAAATTGTCCACTTCCTCAGATATAATTGAAGAGTGGCTAGTGGTACAGAACCTTTGGGTTTATCTTGAGGCTGTGTTTGTAGGTGGAGATATTGCCAAACAGCTGCCTCAGGTAAATACAGCTTTTGTAATTACTGATAAGGTGGTTTGGTGTGTGTATCTGCATGTCTCAGTGAAAGCCTTCTCAAATTCAGATGGTCAAGTCTTGACAAACTTGGGGTTGGAAAACTATGGCCCACTCACATGTTTAAAATAAAGCTTTATGGAAACACAGCCACATCCACTCATTTGCATGTCAACTGTGGCTGCTTCTGCACTACAACAGCAGAGCTGAGTAGTTTTAACAGTGACCATAAAGTCTCACAAAGTCTGGCCCTTTACAAAACAAGCAAAAAAGGATTAAAAACAAAGAGAAAAAGGTGTTGACCTCTGAGTGATATAGCATCAAGAAGAAACTCATAATTTCAAACTGAAATATCTTGAGATTGAGTATGGGATATACTTCAACAACAGTACTATTCAATTATCATAGTTCATCTCTTCCAAGAGTTAACTTTATAATGTTTGTCTGGAATAGTATTAAAATTAATCTGTATTCTGTAAACCAAGTGAACTGTAGTTCACTTGTAGTTAAGCCTGCTACTATAAGATCCAAAACATACTGTAGGACAAAGAGACAGCCTTAGAAGACTATAGCTAAACTTTAAAAATAATTCTGTTGGGGTTTTTCAAATGAATGTCAATAACCAACTGATAGTTTTAGACTACGAAGGTAACTTTCCTCTTAGCAAGTTAAGCCTGAAATAAGCTAAAAATTCCTAAATTTCTCTTTCTTCAGACAACATCTCTATAGATTATAAATCAAAGATAAAAGGTGTTGGAAATGGCTGGTTTGTCTTTTTAACACATTTTTTACGATGTAAAACTATTATATTGTTTTTAAATTAGAAAAGAGCATTTTTAAAACAACAGGATTATGCCAATTTCTTGAGGCATTTTTTTTCAAATTAAATGCAAAGCTTTATATCATTTATAGCAAATAGAAAGTTTTTATTTGTAAAAATGTAAATGAAGCTTTGTTTTACTATTTTTTTCTTTTTTTTTCTTCCTGGGGTATTATTGAGCTGTAATTATTCCAAGGACCCTGAGATCAAATTATTTTCATGCTTCTTCAGTTTGCTCATCAAACCAAAAGACCTAGGGTGCTAAAAGACTAGATTTGAACTTTGAGAGCTCTGCAGATTAATCATGTGTCACTTCAAAAATGTATTATATGCAAGGAAACAAACAAATGATAAAACTCAATTGTGATAAAGCATTATTTTAATAAGCAGCTTTATCAAGTTTGGGGTTTTGTTCTTCAGAATTATTGTTCAGATGAAGAAATTTGTTTAAATTATGTTAGCCCGAGATTAATAGCGATTGGGTTGAAGAACTATAAGAAATTCCAAAGTGAAGACTTTGATTTTTCAATTATCCAAATGCTAATCTTTACTGACTGTAGATTTGCTTTTAGGAAGCAAAACGCTTTCAGAATATTGACAAGTCCTGGATAAAAATAATGCAGCGAGCTCATGAGAATCCCAATGTGATCAGCTGCTGTGTTGGAGATGAAACCATGGGACAGCTTTTGCCTCATTTACATGAACAGTTGGAAGTTTGTCAGAAGTCACTTACAGGGTAAGAGTTAAATTTTAGAATCATGTCTCATTTCTTACGGGATGGAGTCTCGTCCCACACAAATCACTCTGTTGGCTCTATTTCTGGTTTTATAATGATGGGTGAAGTGGGAATAGGAATTTATTTTATTCGTTTATTCATTTATTTTTTGTTTTATTTTGTTTTTGGTACTGGAGATTGAACTCGGGTCCTTGTGCTTGCGAGGTAGGCGGTGGAACCACTGAGCTAAATCCCCAGCCCTGTTTATTTTTTTTTTTACTCTTTTTTTATTGATGATACAGATGAAGGGGTTTCATTTTGGCAGATTCATACATGCCCATAACATGCTTTGATCATTTACCCCCTGTCCTGACTTAATTTTGACTTAATCCTAAATTCTGTTCTCGAAACATCCTTGTGTTTTTCTGGGTTTAAACCACGAGGTACCCACTACTTTTGGAAATGTCCCAGGGGGGCTCATGATAAGAAAGATGATGGATGATGGGGTGGCCTTGCTCCCAATCACTTTCTCATTACCCTTTTGTTTTCCTCCGTGCCATCCGTGGGGGAGCCTAGACTTGGGTTCTTTCCAGACACGGGGAAGGTGAGTGGGCAACACCTCCAGGTGTTTGCTATTATCTTATTGGCGAGAATAGCGATTTTGTCCTTGCTAAAAAATTAGTGATTCAGAAAAAAAAATCACTTGGTAACATGCTTTTGACATTATTTGAAGGTATTTGGAGAAGAAGCGATTATTATTTCCAAGATTCTTCTTTGTATCCGATCCAGTTCTCTTGGAGATCCTTGGACAAGCCAGCGATTCCCATACCATCCAGGTATAACCAAGTGTCTAGCTCTCTATGGCTTTTTCCAAAGCACGCATAATCAGGAATCCAAACAAGTTAAAATAAAAGTGAAGATTATCTGGGTGTGGTGGTGCATGTCTGTCATCCCAGTGCTCTGGGAGGCTGAGGCAGGAAGATAACAAGTTTGAGCCTATGCTGGGTAATTTAGCAACTTAGTGAGCCCCTGTCTCAAAATTTAAAAATGAAAGAAAAGGCTAGGAATGTAGCTCAATTTCATACTATGAAGGCCCCGAGTTCAATCCTCAGGAATGCCCTCAATCAATCAATCAATCAATCAATCTTAAACCTGCAAGCAGAAAAAAATGAATATTAAAAATCATATTGATTATTTTCCATGCATTCAGAGCCTGTGACAGTGCAGTGGTATTGATGAGCAGTTGTGTCCCATTGTGCCACTCACTAGCTGTGTGTCCTTGACAAGCTTCTTAATTTTACCATGCCTTGATTTCCTTATTTGTAAAAGCAGGACATTAATGGTCCCCGCATCATTGGATTGTCATGAGGATTATATGAGGTACCATATAGCTTGTGCTTGCTGAATATAATTCACCATTATCAGAATTTTACTCTAGATAGTCTTAGAGCAGAGGGTTGTAGTTTGGAATCCTTTTTTTCCTTCCAGAATGCTTCTCAAATGCCTTTAGCCATTTCCAAGAGCAATACTGCATAAGGAAGAGAAAAATTCTATCAAACTGAGCATGGAGGTATCGAGACCCTCACCTCACAGCTATTTCTGGCTTCGGGACCTGGGACTAGCTATTGTTTTCTCCCTTGTTGCTTTCTAGGGAGTTGTGGAGATAAGAAGAGAGAGAAGGCAGGACTGACCTGTACGTGAGAGGGAAGTGGGTTAGGAGGTGCAGTATGTGTCAGTCTCCATCTGGAGGGAGAAAGGGCACAGTCATTAGACCAGTCTCCTTAGTATAAAAAGGGGCATTTGCATGACTGGGAGAAAACAGGAAAATATTCTGTAGAATCTCTCCTCCCTCCCCTCACCCCAAATCCCCTCTGCGTACTGAAAGTTAGAACCCAGGGCCCTGGCACTGAGCTAAATCCCCTGCCCCTTTTGTTTTTTATTTTGAGGCAGGGTCTGGCTGAATTCCCCAGGTTAGGATTGAATTTGAATCTTCCTCCCTCAGCTTCCCATAGTGCTGGGATTACAGGTGTGCACCACTATGCCCAGTTTCTGTAAGATTTTTAAAAAATCCTTCCATTTTAGTCAAGGGTCAAAGCAGAGTCTGTATTGTTTTGTTTTTAGAGACAAGGAAATCAATTCTTTTATTTTTTTCAAAGATAAAGAATACTGAGGCTTGTAGAAATATCTCAATGCTTTGAGTTTAGTCTCATGCATGATGTTTTGGTTTTGCTTGTTTTTCCTACAGCCACATCTCCCTGCCATATCTGACAACATAAATGAGGTGACATTTCATACAAAAGACTACGATCGTATGATGGCTGTTGTATCGAGAGAAGGAGAAAAAATTGTTGTAATTTACTTTGATTTAAATTTTGTTATTAGAATTTCTTTAAAAATTATGTTGATTTCCAAAGTGTTTGTACTAGTTTATGTACCCACCAACAACATAGGTGGAGGAGAATACAATTCTTGTATGAAAAATAACGGAGGCAGGAAAAAGTAACAGTGGACTCTAATCTTATATCTCTGGGTTTATAGAAACTAGTTTGAATAAACCATTGAACTTTTCTGAGACTAATTTTATTACTTATAAAATGAGAGTTCAGACTAGTTAACAGTATTAGTGATTAGGTGAGTTTACCTATATTTAATCTTGTATAAAATAGAAGACAATTTGCTTTGCCTTGAGGTATTATGATTTGTAAGTTAAGTGTGTGACATATGTAAAAATACCGAATTATCAATTTGCGATACATCTGTGATGTATTTTTTAGTTGGATAATCCCATTATGGCCAAAGGTCCTGTGGAGATCTGGCTTCTGGATTTGTTAAAAGTGCAGATGTCGTCACTGCACAATATCATCAGATCTGCATTCTATCAGATCAGCGATTCCGGGTTTCAGCTGTTACCTTTCCTCAGTCACTTCCCAGCGCAGGTGAGAACACCGTGCTAGCTAATGGGGGATGGGAGCGGTGGCTCTCTTGGGTGGAGGAGGCTGTTGAATCAGTACTTGGGAAGCCTTGGTGTCCCCTCCAGCTCCCCGCCACCTGCTCCGCAGCCTGCACTGTTCTCAACCAACACAACTCATCCAGTGGCCAGAGCTGTGGTGCTGTGCAGCCATCATTAAGGACACACGTGGAGGCTAAGCCACTCTGGGAAAATACAGATATATGTGCATATGTATGTCAATTTCTAGATGAATACCATACAGGGATAGTGAGGACATGGGCATATATAAAGGAGTGAGCATACCCTTTCCTGAAGTGAAATCCTTCTTGCTTTTTTGTTTATTTTCCCCTCAAGTGAGTGAAACTGGCATAACGTGGTAAGGGACGCTTTCTCATGCAACTGACTTTTTAAGGAGAGAGACCGGGAAGAGGCCAGGTTGGAGTTTGTGTCCCCACGATCAGCGCTCTGGTCTTAGGTGTGCACTGCAATGTGTCAAGTAGTACTAAAACCCAATATAGAGCCCAATATAGAAAAACGAAGAACCAGCAGTTTCATTAAATTTTCACCCCAGATGAATGAAAGTGGTGATTCCTAATCTGATCAGAAATAGTGTGATATAAGACAAGAAATATCCAATGAGAATATAGGCATTTTTTACCCAAACTGTGTTTCTTCTGACTGTTCCCTCCAACCTGAACTCCACATCCTGTATTAGTGCACGCCCACTGGAGACAGCTGAAATGATATGAAATTGCTAATTCAAACCACACAAGTACAGATATAGAAAAAAGCCCTTTATTGGACAGAATATTTTAATATTGTAATTTTAATATTGTGTAATATCCTTGACAAACTTTAATATTCTTACCCCCTTTATGATAAAGCTTTGTAAAATACTTGGTAAGCTGAGAAAAGAGCTCCTGAGGTTAACCCAGCATATTTTCCCCCTCCCAGGAAGCTCTAATTTTGAGCCCTATTTCTGAAGTCCGTATTCTGAATAGTACTTTCTGGGGTCTAATTTAGACTGTGGATTTAGCATTGGGAGAAAAGCTGAGAGCAAGTTCAAAGAAGTGGTAAAACTGAACAGAATATAGCAGGAAAGTTGGCTAGTTTTCAATACTTTTTTTTAGCATGTCTTTTGTTTGTTTTTTTTTGTACCGGGGATTGAACTTGGGTCCTTGCGCTTGCGCAGCAGGGGGTGAAACCGCTGAGCTAAATCCCCGGCCCAGGGCATGTCTTTTAAAGTACTTTTTCTGAATAACTGAAATTTGCCTGCTATCAATGTGATTTTAAATTTTTTAAATTTTTGTCTAAAATTATTAAAGATTTCATATATGGTTCATTCTAAAACATAGGTAAAGGATTATGAATACAATGGAAAATTTTTGAAAAATATAAGTGGAAATAAAAATTTCCCATATTTTTGTCACCCTGAAAGAACTGTTAATATTTTAGTATATTCCCTTCTAGAATTTTAATATGCTTATTATAAGGAGTAAATAATATTGGTGAGAATGAACATCCTTTTTTTATTTTAATGAAACATCCTTTCATTTTTTTTTTTTTTTTTTTTTTTGGTACCAGGGATCCAACTTGGGACCCTGCGCTTACAAAGCAGGCGGTGGCACCACTAAGCTAAATCCCTGGGCCCAAACATTCTATCATTTTAACCATTAAGTCTTTTACCTTCTACCATGAAGATAAAAGCATAATTTAAAATTTTCTTGGTGACTCAGGAGAATTATAAAGATTTATTCTTGGATACATACCATTATGCAGTGGTTTGTCGGGGTCCACTGGTCCTATTTTTCTTGAAATCAAACACCCTTGTGCTACTGTGCTTTTGTATTTTTTTCTTATAGCATTTGCCGTCTTGGACCATCTTAGGCTGCTGTCAGGGCCAGGATCGCCTGGTCTTGGGAGATTCTGACATTGCCCATCTTCTCTAGGTCCTTTTGCTCGCTCTCACTCGGTGCTTTTATTTTCCTCCTCCTGCACACTCCACGATTTGTACAGCTCTAGCAGTAAAAATATCAAAGTTCCTCATGAGGCAAGGAGAAAGCATGGTTTGTTCTTGCTTTACTTACTGTTCTCCGGGAAATGTGGAATTCCTTTTTGGGTCCAGTGCTCTTGGGTCTGTTGCTGGATTCTGGGGAAGAACAAAGGCTCTGCAAATGACAACTGATTCAGTGAGGGGGTGAAGTTTGGATCACTTTTACTACTTTCCTAGAGCAGAAATTGCAGGTCTTAGGTGACACCTACCAAGGGTAAGCTTCAACCCTTCTCATTTCCTCTCTCTCTCTTCTGTAGACAGATATTTAGACAGGAAGTTGACATAAAGCCATGAATGTTAGCATGAGAGATCAAGAAAGGAGATAGGCAGTATATTGATTTTAGGAGATGCAAAGGGACCTTTGGAAAATTTTACTGGAGAGAAAGTATACGGTGAAGAATTCATTCATTCCATTTGCTTTTCTTGGAAAGAAAATTCATTGCATGGAGGTATCTTATGGTCTGAGACCCCTTGACAGAAACATTTCTTAAGCATCATACATAACAGGCCACAGTCTGAATGTGTCTCCCAGAGTCCATGTGTTGGGAATGTAATTTCCAGTGCAGCAGTGTTGGAAGGGGAAGCTGAATCAGAGGTGAGTCGGGTGTGGGGCCTGTGGCCTCTGGAGTGGATGAATGTCATCACAGGAGGAGGCTAATTACCATGAAATTAGTCATGAGAGCAAGTTCAGCCCTGTCTGGAGCTAACGTGCACACACTCCTTTGCGGTGCCTTCTGCTGGGAGAAGGTGAGCAACGGGGCACTCCGTTGCTGAACTCCGGGGCTTGAACTTCTCAGGCTCCAGAACTTGGAAGTACATTTCTTTTCTTTATAAATTACCCAGTTTGTGGTATTCTATTATGGCAACATAAAATGGACTAAGACAGATTAAGCTTATAAATAGTAGCCATTATTTTAATTATTTATCTATCGTGTTTCCCCCAAAATAAGACCTAACAGCCTTGAAAATTGGAGATCAAAAATGCCAACCCCAATCAGCCTCTCCTTGCCTTACCTCCCATTACAGAGTGGCCACCAAGCAAGAGAATAGTGAGGTATAATCTTCTGCATGACACTGGCCATCACCATGGTAATGGCCATCACCATGGTAATGACCAGCTGGGACTTATTTTCTGGCTAGGTCTTATTTTTAAGGAAACACGGTATGTACCTTAACATAATTAAATATCAATTTTAGAATGTCAGATGTTTTTCCTCCCTTTTTGGAGTGGAGAAACACATGTCTCTCTTTCAGTTTAAAATGAGCAGAGTCCTGTTTTCTTGCATATGTGACCTCAAAATTTTATTTGAGATATGCTTTAAATATTTGGGAAATTTAAATATTTGTCTGCTGGGTTTGTAGGTTGGGCTTCTAGGAATTCAGATGTTGTGGACACATGATTCAGAAGAGGCTTTACATAATGCAAAAGACGACAGAAAAATCATGCAAATGACCAATCAGAAATTTCTGGATATTCTGAATACTCTCATTAGCCAGACAACGCGTGACCTAACCAAGTTTGATAGAGTGAAATTTGAAACTCTGATTACCATCCACGTGCATCAGAGAGATATTTTCGATGACTTGGTAAAGTATCTTTTTTCCTGTACCAAAATAATTTAAGCCAGGGATTTAGCTCAGTGACACCACACGTGCCACACAGGGTCCTGAGTTCAATCCTCAGTACTGGGGAAAAAAAAAGTGAGTGCACTTGCTTTTGGCCAACACACTTTCTGGGTCCCCTCCTGTCTCTCTCAGGAGCTATCTCTCCCTCGATAAAATTTCCTACTCTTTAAAAAAATAATAATAATTAAGTGTCCTAATTAATAATAAAGTTAAAGATTACACATATTGCTTAACTTAAATAATTCCCATCTACTTGTGTCCTTCATCACAACTGTCTCCTATATCTGTATCAGGTGGGTTTTTTTTTTTTTGGTACCGAGGATCGAACTTGGGACCTTATGCTTGCAAGTTGGGCAGCAAAACCACTAAGCTAAATCCCCGGCCCTGTATCAGGTGTGGCTTAAATAGCTGTATATATATTTGCTTTACGCTGAAGGTCTGGAACCCACTGATATGATATGAATCAACTAACTGTTTCATTGAACATTAACTAGAGGCATGACATAGTTGAGTTGGGATAGCTCATGAGCTGTGATGTACCCCCTGGGAATGGAGAAGTCCAGAATTAGTGGAATTGAACTTCAAAGCACTCTTATGGCTATTTGTCAACTGATAGTATCCAACAGGGGTTGATTTGAGCAAGGTTCTTATGCAGGGTTGGAATAAGAAGGGTGGTATTTGATATTCCTTTTGGAAATAGCACTCTAATCAGTCAGTGGCTTTGGGCTAGGCCAAGTTATCCTATTAGCAGGGATCTTCTATCATGGGAGAGGCCAGGTGGTTTTCATATGCCACCATTTAACAGTCTTTAACTACCATTGCTTTATTGTACCTAATTTATTCATCTTAAAGGCATCTCCTTCCTTCATTAGAGATTCATAACCTGTGTAACTTGGAACATTTTTTTTTTGGTACCGGGGATTGAACTTGGGTCCTTACGCTTGCGAGGCAGGTGGCAGAACCACTGAGCTAAATCCCCGGCCCATGGAACTTTTTTTTAAAGAGAATGTGATCATAGACTAGCCGTTTCACTTTTATCAAAAATTTTGATCAGATAAATGATATTTATTGAAGATTTTACGAAGGATACACAGCCAGTCCATCTATTCTCTTGAAACCTAGATCCCTATTTTCAAAATCTTACATGAGGACCAGTTGCATTAGCATCATGTAGGAGACTGTCAGAAAAGCAGAATCTCCAACTCCTTCCTCACCCAGACCTACTGAATCACAATCTGCATTTTAATAAGATCCCTAGGTGTTTTCACATGTATAGTAATGGTTGAGAAAAACGGCTATAGAATTTGGATTAGTTTGGATCAAACTAATCATCAGAAAGCTGCACATATAGACATACTGCTATGGCCTTCTACAGACTCGCTTTCATTGTATTGCAGTTATTTTTACGCTTTGGTGTTCACCTCAAGAAACACTAGTGTGGAATGCAGTCTTGTACCTGCTATGAGGATATTGTTGAGGATGTTGTCCACACTTCTCTCACTGACTTCTTAAAGGCGAAGTCCCGTGGAAGAAATTTCTTTTAAAACTAAGTGCTGAGCAAAGCTTTCCAAGCAGAATGAATTTTAAAAGAAAAAAACAAAACACTTGGCCATCATAAAAACTATGAAACTTTTCTTTTTGTCTCTTTTTTTGGTACTGGGGATTGAACTGGGGTCCTTGCGCTTGCGCAGCAGGTGGTGAAACCACTGAGCTAAATCCCCGGCCCTTCTTTTTAATCTTAATCACCACTGACTTTATCATGAGTTTGCATCTCAACTAACATAGGATCTTGTAGCCAGTGTAGGTACTCTTTATTTTTCCATGCATAGTGCTCACATTATAATCCATATATACTCAGAACCCAACAGATATATTCTCTTTTCTTTTCCTCTCCTTCTTACCATCATAATGGATTAATAAAAGCAGCTACTTCACTACATCTCCAGGCCTGTGGGTTCTGTGTTAGGAAAAGAAGTCCTTGGAGATGGAGCCAGACTATGTTACCTGAAAGTAGCACTTTTAAAATGATGAATAAAAACTCTTCTTTGTGTGGGAAGCCAGATTCTTTAAGTGGAGGAGGAAGCATGGGCATGAGCAATGCTACAGACAATAATAACAAAAAGTAAGACTATAAATAGCAAGATGTGGGGAGCTGTGGTCAGGTGGAGCGTTGAACATTGTAGAGTTACTTGTACTTGCCAGAGGTCCAGTTTTCAGTGTCTGCTGAATGATCTGGAAATGGACCTACTGGGAAGTCATGAACTACCTTGGGATGCAGTTGTAGTGGGCTGGAGTTCCTAAAAATGCTGACCTGGTTTTTCTTTCTTCTCATGGACCAGGTACCAGAGCTTTCATCCATAGTGGTGGGGCCTTGTACGTCTTGTCTCATACATAGGTACAGTATATGCCAGAGACCAGGCAGGTTGGGTGGCCTGGCCGTACTGCTGGTGTAGGAAGACCTGTATGTGTGTACCATTCATTTCCTGGCTTCCAGACACATAAGGACAATCTACAAAACCTTTCTGAAGGCACCATGAAGCTCCAACTCTCATTCTTTTTTAGAGCTCTAAATATGTTCAGTTGTGTACTGAACTTTTTTCAGTTTCTTAAACATGGGAAATAGGTTCTCTAAATCTTTGCCCTTTATTTCCTTGAGTGATTACTACAATTCAACCAGCTTTTAGTTTAGGTGTTTTTTCCTCCAAGTGCCCCTCTCTGATCTCATGGGCTTGGTTAGTTTCTCTTGCTACATATTTTCATGAACACTGAATTTTTTTGACAGTGCTTTCCATACTGTATTGAAATCACTTGTCCTTGTTTCACTGTTTGTCCTTTGTTCTTTTTCTGTGAGCTCCAGAAGGCAGCAACAGTGTCTGTCTTTGTTCACCCAGCATGCTGTCTTGCACAAAAGGAATCAATGAATATTTGTTTAATGAAGGAGAATCAGTTCATGAATGAGTGAATAAAAATGCTCACATGCTTATGTTTTATGCTATGCAGTTCAGCCTGTAAATTTTGCAAATTTCATGTTTTTAAGGTAAAAATGCATATCAAATCTGCTACAGATTTTGAATGGTTAAAACAGAGCAGATTTTATTTTAAGGAAGATTTGGATCAAACTGTGGTATCTATTACTGATGTTGATTTTATTTACCAAAATGAATTTCTGGGATGCACCGATCGCCTTGTTATCACTCCACTAACTGATAGGTAGGAAACCCAGGTTTTGTTATACTACTTCATAATTAAATTATGTGTTTAAAATTATTTTAAAATTACATTTGAAATATTCAAAGCATCTTGCTGTTGTGTCGGGTTTGTGCTAGCTCATCAAAGTCTGTCTAATGTGAAATAACCATGGCTGTTACTTAAATGAACATATCCGTTAAATTTTTATGAAGTAGACAAAGATAAAAGAATAAAAGCAAACTTGAATGTTCACTGAGTAATTTAATAATGAGTTTTAGATTGAAAGATGGAAAATATTCCAAGAAGCACAAAGGATGTGATTAGAATTGCAAAGGAAAGTACTATGGATATCATCTAATTCAGCCTCCTGGTTTTTCGGATGCAGAAATTGATGCCTAAAGTGAAGTTTCTGAATAATCAGCCAGTGGCAGATCCTCTCACAGTTCTTTCCAGTAATGATACTAAGGAAGAACTGGGTATTTTTCATCTTCATATAACCCACAACACCTAGTTCAATGTGCCATGCACAGAACACACTCAAAATAGTGGAATTGACTTAAATTAATTTTTAGAACATTTAGCTCTGCCATGACTATAAATAGATCTGCTTCCAGATAAAATTATGACACAATCAAGTTTCATCTTCTGCCTTCTCTTGATTTCTCTTGCCTTCCCCTTGTTTGGTCACCTTTTTCATGTGGTCTGCTCAAACTCTAACAGGTCCATTCTGATCACAGTGGACTCTTGCTTGTGCTTTTCTGGAACATGAGTTATCTCATATTCACAAAACCATGTTTGGTTCACACTCACAGATGTTATATCACGCTGGCTCAGGCTTTGGGAATGAACATGGGAGGAGCTCCAGCAGGACCTGCAGGCACTGGCAAAACAGAAACCACAAAAGACATGGGCAGATGTTTGGGAAAATATGTGGTTGTATTCAACTGCTCAGACCAAATGGATTTCAGAGGCCTAGGAAGGATTTTCAAAGGCAAGTGTTAACTATTGTTAAATTATTTTTAATGAATTTGTTCTTTATTGCTGATGAATGCTATTTGCTGATGTAAATCTAAAATGAATTATCTCAGTAATCAACATTAGTACAAGTTGTCCTAAATGATATTGCCATTTTCCTGAATGAAATGTGGCTGGATATTATCAATATCATATGGCTCAATACTATTGCTGGTGTAATAGTCCATGTACTGAATGTGTATTGGATTATGAAAACACAATCAATTTATAACAGACTGAAACAACAGTGGAGGTAAGGACATGATAGCAAGTTGACAACAAAGGTGACTTCCCTTTTTGTATTAAATACCACTTAACTGAAAGATATTTTAAAAAGCACAGCAACACTGGAAAATAAGAAGAGAGATGGCCATCAGCAGTTGGGAAACTTTGGAAAACACATTGGAAGGTAGATAAGTGATTTTAGATGAACAGGAAAAAGAAATCCAAGAGCACATCCATCTTGGAACGCAGTCGTTGGTGATCTTCTGTTTTGTGTCTCCATGCATTCTCTTAGGAATCTCATGCAGACTCAAGCTTTCAATACCATCTGTATGATGACTCTCTAATGTATATCTCTAGATCAGACATCATTCTGAAACTCTGGCTCCCATCTCCACTTAAACGTCTAATAGGTCCAAATTCACGATACCCAAAGTCAAACTCCTGCTCTCCCTCCCCATATCTGCTCATTCCCCAGCCTTCCCTATCTCATTAAGTGCCCACTCCATTCTTCCAGGTGTTCAGACAAAAAACAAAACTTTGACTTATTCATTACTTCTGTCTGTCTTATATTCCCATCTGACCCATCCACAGAAACTATTGATTTTATTTCCCAAATACACCCCGAATTTCACCATCCTGTCCCCACTGCTGTCGTCCTGAGTCAAGTGACCATCATCTTTCAGCTGAGCCATTTCCAAAAGCCTCCTAGCTAGTCTTGTGTCTACACCCTTCCCCACTCTATTCTAGTCTCAAAGCTGCACACAATACTCCTTCTACATATAGATCAGATCATGACATAGTCCTCCCGAAATCAGAATAAAAGTCCTCCTCTTCACTCAGAATAAAAGGCCAAAATCCTTACAATGGTCCAATGCTGTCTTAGATGATCACACTTTCTCCTTCCCACACCTCCTTCACATTGTTCTGACCTCCTAACTCTTTCCCCTCACTGTCTACCACAGCCACATTGATCTTCCTGATGCTGTTCAAACATCTGACACATACTCATTTTTCAGAGCCCTGACATTGGCTGTTTCCCGAGTTCTTCTTCTAGACACATGGCTCACCTGTCAGCAGATATCATACTGCTGAAAATTTGAAAGAATCCTTGAGATGAGGCATAAGCAAGGATTCTCATTATTGTCATTTCTATTCATCATTGCACTCTAGTTTTAGCCAGTGCAGCAGAGAATGGCAACAGAAATACAAAGACTAGAGAGAAATATAAAATTTCATTATTTACATATGATATGCTAGACTATGAAAAGAACTCAACAAAATCTGCAGGAAAATAGAATTTATTAAGCTTGCTAGACCATAAAATCAACACAAAATCAACTTCACTGCACAAAAATTGTTAAAAAATGAAAATAAGAGTATGCTTAGGGCAGGGGTCGATAAGTAGGAGAATGCAGAAGCAGGCCGGGGACACCTGGTATATGATAAAATGATGGTGTTGTACATCTACGATGAAGAGATGGACCTTACAATAAATGGTTCAGGGATAGCAGATGAATATTATTTAATAAAGGAAACTGAATCCTTTCTTCATTCCATACAACAAAGTCAATTCTGGGGGATTAATGCCTAAACATGGAAGGTAAAAGTGTAACAGTATTTTTAGAAGGTGATCATTGTTTTAGAATAAAGTTTAATACAAAAATCACAAACCATGAAGAAAAGATCAATACATTTGCCTACCCTAAGTTAAAAACTTAGGTTCATTAGTGGATACCAAAAAGGCACGAAACCATGCCAGAAATTTAGAAAAAGCTTTGACAATGTATGCTCTCTACAAAGGATTAGTATCCCTAATATATAAATACTGCTCGTGAATCAATGAGCGAAGATGACACAATAGAAAAAGAAAGCTTTGCACAGAGAAAGAAAACCAAACGACCAGCACCCAAACAGTGCATATTATAGTGAAATTCCATTCTGAACTTACTTAGCAGATGAACAAAGATTTAAGTGTCACATTTTTTGACCACTGGCAAGAATGTAGAGCGATAGAAACCCTCATCCACCATTCGTGGGAGTGTCAGGCTTTTTAGAAATCAGTCGCATTACTTTACAAAGCAGACACGCATATTTTAAGCTGTCCACCTCGGGGTATATTATATTCACCAAGGGCACATCTGTGAATGTTCTTAGCTGCATTACCTGCAACAGCAAATAACGGGAAACAACCCCGAGTGTCAGTTATGGTGGTCTCGATGCTTAAATTGCAAACATGTGATTTATATGTGATATATTAAGGAAAGGAAAATATATGAAATTTTGTATCCACAATACTGTATACAGTAAAAATGACAGTAAGAAATGTACCAGAGAGGCAGGGCCAGCAACCTGGGTCAGAGGACAAACCCCGAGCTCTCTCCCAGCCCTTCCTTCAAAGCACCAGAGACAGGCAGGCATCCTGCAAACCGGAGCTTGCATTTGGGAACAGCACATTCAAAAGCCATTATGTAGAGAGAACAGTCTTATGAAATATTTCAAGAACTTAGGGAGATGCATATGGTAAACTGGATTAAAGAAGAAACAAAAGAAAATGGAAAAATAAGTAAAATCAGTAGCTTCAGAGAGATTCAAGAAGGTATCACATTCAGCCAGTTAAAGGAAAACAGGTTGTTATGAGAAAATAACAACTGGAATTCTTGGAAATTGGAGATGTAAATTAAAAGAAAGAAATGCTTCCATTGAAAGATCAAGCCAAGAGAATATATTGCAAAAAGAAGAAGAGATACAGACAGAGTTTAACAGAAAGACTTATCCATATGATGGAAATTCTAAAGGGAGAGAGAAAAAGACTGGGTGGCTAATAATAAAAGAAATAAGAACATTTCATATAGCTGAAGGTAACGTAAGTTTTCATTCTTAGAGAATAGACTGGAGCACTGTTCATGATATCCAGGTCTTTCTTTGTGCTGGGTTTTGTAAAAAATAAATAAAAAATCCCTTTGGCCATTCCTGTTTTCACCTTGCATCCTGACATTTCTGTCTCTTTGCAATTAAAAAAAAAGAGCAGAGAGATCTGACCCAGAAAGGGCACCCCTTATTCTGTTATTTTCCCCAATACTGTGGCTTCTTCCATGTCCACCCCCACTGAAGGTAGAACTTCCAATTTTATCCCCCCTGCAGTATTCCTGAATATAATGATGTCTTTATAAAGAGCCAGATAGGAAACTTTGCATGAATCATGTTTGCAAGCATTTTGGAGCAATAATTGCTGTCAAGAAGGTGCATTATAGAGTAAAACTTTACAGATTAACTGTTTTTCATGCCAGGTCTCTCACAGTCGGGTTCCTGGGGCTGTTTTGATGAGTTTAACAGAATTGAATTGCCTGTATTATCAGTGGCGGCCCAACAAATTTATATTGTCTTGACAGCGAGAAAAGAGAGAAAAAAGCAGTTCATTTTCTCTGATGGTGATTGTGTTGATTTGAACCCAGAATTTGGAATCTTCTTAACAATGGTGAGAACATAGACTTTAAATGCAATTTGATTAGTTCGATTGTTACAAACTGAAAAAAAAAAGGAACCTATCTATTTTTGCGTAAATGACTGACTATCTGGCAGTTAAGGACTTTCTTATTGTATGATTTTTGTTTGTTTTGTCTTTTTCGGTGTGGGAATCAAGCTCAGGGCCTTGTGCATGCTAGGCAAGCACTCTACCACTGAGCTATACCCCAGAACATTGGATTCCTTTTGAATAGTAAAAATAGCCCAGTTTGAAGATGAAATAGTAGTATATTAATACCAATAGCTGTGGTTCATTGAGCTCTTAGATATAAGGCTCTGGGACAACTGTCTTATGCACAACTCAGCATAACTCATGCTACCCCACACTAACAAACAATCTCTAAATCCTAGTTGCTTAAAACCTCAAACATGTCTCCCTCATGCCACATGCCCATTGTGGGCTGGCTGGGTAGGGTTGGAGGGCCAGGGTCTGCTTTATATGTCATTACTGTGGTATGCAGGCTGACAAGGTAGTCACTGTCTCAGTCATTGCTGGTTGCTATGGCAAAAGCAAAAGAGAACATGAAGAGTTGGGCTCTGGCTCAGAGTTTCTTTCCAGAAGTGTCACAAATCACAAGTCTCATTGGCTCCGGGTAACTTTCATGGTCACACCTAACTTCAAGGTGGAGGGAGGTACAGCCCTATCATGGGATCCTAAGGAGGTAAAACCTGAAATATTTGATCATTACCACTAATGACTATCACATGTTCATTAATTCATTCCCTCTGAGGGTATTTTTATAGCTTGTATACCTGAGGCTCGGGGAGACCAATAAACTTGCTGAAGTCACACAGACAGTAAGACAAATTGGTTCCTATGTTTCTAAAATCAAAACCTACCTGCTTAACCACTACACCTAGTTTCCCCTGAAACTAACAGAAAAAAATGACTTAAAATTTTCAGAATAATTGAACAATCTGATACCAAAGAGTCATAACAAATTCAGGTACCATGTGATTAACAGCAGTGCCCTGAGATAAATTATTGTACAGATCAACAGCCAAAGGCAAGAATAAACAGTTTTCACAAATTAGGGAAATTAAGTTAATGTTAAATCAGTTTTAATGTGTTTATATATTATCTACTAAGGTAAATCTCTGAGTTGCAAGATAACAGTAAGTATTCAGTTTTAAAGATCCCAGTGGACAGAGATAAATTATAGGAAGCGAGAACAGAAAAGTTTCTGATAAACTTTGTTGTAAGCAAACATGCAGTAAAGCAATTGGGGAAATAATAATAATCTAGAAGTTATCAGTTATAACAGGAAATAGGATGAAGAAATTTGCTCAGTGTGAAACTACAGTTGAGAAGAATTTAAAAGAAGTTTAACAGTCTCCCTGGATTAAGAATAAAATTATAAATATGAATTAGCTTATTGCATTAAGCTGTGCATTAAAAAATAGTTGTTTAGCATGTAAGGCTTTACTCTATTTAGATCTTTCTGTTTCCACTCTATCATGGTTTCCATCTCCAAGGTCACTTTATGAACCAAGATGCTGCATACAGAAAGTATATCTATTTTGTTCCATCCAGCTGATTTAATCAACTGTAAACTTTGAGGATATTTCACAGTGATGTCTCCCTTGGCAGCTTGCTGTATGGAATTTAATCACACCAGCTGCAAGGCAGGCTGGGAAGTATGGTTTTTAATCTGGGTGGTGATGTACACAGCTGGCAGTTGGGGTTCTGTGACTAAGGAAGAAGAGTATTGAGGGACAATTAGCAATCTCTGTATTTCCAGTACCTAGCAAGGTCTATAGTCTTCACGTAATATTTCAGTAAATGTTCAGGGCCTGATGGACCATTATTTGCCACATATCTTTGACCTCCCAGACTTTCCTTTGGAACTTTTGGATCTGGCCTATTTTCGTTCTAGTGTTAATTGTGAGGAAATTTAGTTTCCTTTCCACCTCTACTGTTGTCCTTTGCAGTACAATATTTTCTTATCATTCTCTTCTCTACTTCCCCTCACTCCTATGGTTCTTATTTATTTTTATTTTATTTTTTTTCTCTTAAATTCTTTTACTGGTACATTTTAGGTATACAGTACATTTACATTTATCATTGCATGTTTGTACCTGTACATGATGTATCTTGGTTCTTATTTTTTTCCCCATTATCTGTGCGTCCTTCACCCCTCCAGCCTTCCCTATTTACATAGACTTCATTTCCATTTTTTTTTCTTTTCTCATAATTTTTCCATTCCATTCTTTCCTTTCCCCATCTCCTCCCACCACCCCTACACCTTTGGACCTTTTCCTATTTCAAATTATCAATTATTCATTATTAATCCTTTTAATCCTTATTTATACTCTCAGTTTCTCACACTAGAGAAGCTATTCGGTATTTATACATGTGTGTCCTATTTATTTCACTTAAGAGTATGGCCTCAATATGCATCCATTTAGCTATAAATGACTCTAGTTTCTTATTCTTTATGGCTGAGTAGTACTCCATTTTATAAAAAACCACATCTTCTTTGTCTGGTTTCCAGTTGATGGGCACTTGGGCTGTTTCCGAGCTTTCGCTATTACAAACTGTGCCGCTATAAACATGAGTGCACATATATCGCTGTGGTATGATTCTTTTAATTCTTTTGGGAAAATACCCAGCAGGGGAATAGCTGGGTCAAATGGGACCTCCAGCCCTAGTTCTTTGAGGTATCTCCATACTGACTTCCATAGTGGTTGCACCAGTCTGCACTCCCACCAATAATGGAGAAGGGTTCCTTTCTCCCCACACCCCCGCCATCACTTGTTATTGGTTGTATGGTTCCTATTTTTGATGGTTCTTTGCCAATGAATTTCACTATGGGTGCAAAGAATAATTGAAGAGATGAACTAAAAATTACCTAGTGGGCTGTTCAAAATAAAATCCTATTTTTCTCCTCTTTAAGTAATATATTTTAGAACTAATTATTCATTTATTCACTCTTCTTTTTTATTTTTTGGTACCAGGGATCGAACTCAGGACCTTATGCTTGCGAGGCAGGCGGCACCACTGAGCTAAATCCCTGGCCCTTTTATTCACTTATTCTATCTTTTGTTTCTTTTCTATTTTTCAAACCAATATACACAGATGCTTAATTGTTGCTATACAAAAGTACATGTGTGGCGTTAATAATACAGTGAAAATGGATATAGAAAAGAAGTTATGTGGACATTATTAAATATGGATTGTCCAGTACACATTTTTGATACAGGAAGGACATTTTATGAATCTAATATTTTTCAATATCACCTAAGAATCTGAATGAGGGGCATGAAATGTATTTGTGCACAGGAAGTGAAAATTTTATCAATACCTAAAAATTAAATATATTTTGACTCTTAGAACCCTGGATACGCTGGACGCCAGGAACTGCCAGAAAATTTAAAAATCCAGTTTAGAACTGTCGCTATGATGGTTCCTGATAGACAGGTATGTGCTAGCATTTACAAGCATAATATAATGTATGTTCTTTACCTTTTTTCATTAAAGTTGCTGAAAAAAAATCTCACCGTATTACTTTTCAGATCATTATGCGAGTTAAACTTGCAAGCTGTGGTTTTCTTGAAAATGTGATATTGGCCCAAAAGTTTTATGTTCTCTACAAACTCTGTGAAGAGCAGCTCACTAAGCAGGTAACTTCATACTATAGAATTTGGTTTTTCGTTGTGCAGTCTTACCTTGATAAATGCCAATCGGTGGATTTTTTTAAAAAATTGACTTTAATATTTAGAGTTTTTTAATTAAATTATCTTTCCCTGCCTTTTCCCCTCATCTTAGGTCCATTATGACTTTGGATTGAGAAATATTCTATCTGTACTGAGAACACTTGGAGCTCAAAAAAGAGCCAGACCGGAAGATAGTGAATTAAGCACTGTCATGAGAGGACTGAGAGATATGAACCTCTCTAAATTGGTATCATTTGAGTTTTTCTTTTCCTGAATTCACTTCTCTTCCAAGTTTTGACCTGGCTTCCGTCTTTGGCTGGCATGTGGTGGTCGGCTCCTGTTGAGCAGTGAGCACTAACAATCACATGGAGAATGAATGTGCATCCAAAAGTCAGAGTACCAGGACCCGAGTTCGATCCCCAGTACCAAAAAAAAAAAAAAATACAGAAGTCAGAGTACCCATCCCCTCCATGACCATCCTGGGCCGGAAGTGCCCTCTCTTAGATCGTGACCAGTAAAACAGGTCCTCAGTGGGCTCCAGCTCAAGTTTCAATCAGGTTCTCTACCATTATTTGTAGTGTAACACAGGTTCTAAACATGGAAATCTGGATTCATAGGGAACCATGAGAATCTTTGCTTTGTCTATGAATAGCTTATCTCAGATATGTTTCTCCCAAAACATCAACACCATTCCTATTTCCCAAAACTATTAAATTTTGCCCTGGAGGAAAAATCAGGAGTCAGAGGTTAGAGTTGGCCAGTGAATGTATTAAAGATGTAGCAAATGAGGAGTTGGAGTCAGTTTATTCATATCTACTACATGTAAGAGACGCAGAACACTGATTCAGTGGAGTTTTCCAGTCAATGTTAGACGAAGTCTTACATGGTCATGGATATTTCCTTTTTTTTTGTGGTACCAGGGTTTGAACCCAAGGGAGCTCTATTACTGAGCTATATCCCCAGCGCTTTCTTGAGTTTCGTTTTGAGACAATGTCTTACTAAGTTGCCAGGTTGGCCTCGAACCTGTGGTTCTCCTGCCTCAACCTTCCAAGTAGCTTGGTTTACAGACATGTGCCACTCACTGCACCTGGCTGGGTATTTCTTAACTTAAATGAAATATTAGTGTCCTGTTCTTGTGAGGTTGGGATTATAAATTGCATACTTGAAGTTTCATTTGAATACCAGTCTGTGAGAAGCAGAACACTCATATGATAAATAATGAAATCAAACTCGGAGAAGGAAGTCGAGGCTGGATGGTAGATGGTGAATGCCAAGAAACTTCAGTGCCATGTAGATTTGGTGGTGGTGTTCTGGACAAAGCACCAGAGCATGCAAGTCAGATTAGGAGAGCAACAAATGATTCTCTGGGCAAGAAGTAGAGAATGCAATACACATCTGGCTAGTTAATAAATGTTTGTTGACTTATTTTAACCCATGTCACCTTAGGTTGATGAAGATGAACCCCTGTTTCTCAGCTTAATCAATGACCTGTTTCCAGGATTACAACTGGATAGTAACACTTACGTGGAACTGCAAGGTGCAGTAGCCAACCAGGTTCAGATAGAAGGTTTGATCAACCACCCACCTTGGAACCTCAAACTTATACAGGTGAGGCAGTTTGGATCTGTTGTCAGCCTAACAATAAATATGAGTGGTTAGCCATCACGTGACCACAGTCTGAATTAGTCTTCCTTGATGTACATGTTGAAACTAAATTAAAAAGGCATATACACATCATTGGAACGAGGGTCCTCAGGAGCAATATGTTTGTCCTGTCTCACAGTAATCAAAGCAGTAATTTAGTCTGGTTATTACTTACACCTGATGAAAAGGTGCAGCAGTAACCAGAATCTCAAGAGTGGTTGGGATGTGACAGGGAAAGACCCAGCTCACTTCCTGTGCCAAGGTGGCAGACTGCCCACAGCTGGGGCTCCTCAGTGTCTTTCTGTCCATCATATTTTATTCTCACAACCATTGCCCTACCCGGCAGACTAAAGAACCCACAGCAGTGCCACAGGATTAAATCTCTGTGAGCTTGATGCTTTGGGAGATATTTTCTGAGGTTTTTGAAAAATAAAGGGTCTCCAACTAGAGAGTATTAAAACTGCATTTGAAAAAAATTGCAACTCTTATTTTGACTTACTGTTGTTCGCTGAGTTATAACATGTGCATGTATAAAGGACATCTCCAGATCTTACAAGGAAATATATGGAGAAAAGTTTTAAGTACTTTTCATCATCATGTATCGGAAGCCATTAAAATTTTGGTGGAACACTTTATACATGGTACAGTACTCTGTGTACTAAGATCCTTATCATCTTGGTGGGTGACTTGAATAGAATCTGGGAGGGATCAGTAATGTTATTCTGGAACAAAATGTGACAGGCAGTGCCTCTGTTGCTTTTGAACTATGGATTACAATAGTAATCCATTTCTACCCAAAATGTTAGAACAACTCTGGTTCTACTTCTGACCAGCGAGGAGACCTTTGACTTATTTTTATGAAGAGGACTGTAGGCGGGATATTTAACAGGTGCTGTCTGTGCCCTTAGCATATTTTCTTTAATCTCTTTTTACCCTTGCCATGTGTCCCCTCCCCAGATGCTCTGTGTGTGTTTGCTTCTAGTAGCAAAAGGACAACTGGAGCCACTTTGTGGGTAGTCACAGGGGGCAGGCTGTGCCTGGAGTTTATTCCCCCTGCTGTCAAGCCATCCTCTCCTTACCGAAGGGCCCATGAGTGATGGAATGGAAAAGTCAAACTCTTCTGCTTCTGCTTCCAGGTGGAACAATCACTGGAGAGTCCTGGCAGGAGTGCTCTTAAGTGTACCCTCTGCCGCTGTCCTCAGTCACACCTTGCTTGGCCTCTTCATATCCCTGTCCCCCTTCTCCAAGCCCCTCTCTGTTTCTTCTGGGAGTACCCCCCTGAATAAATCACTGGCAACCAATCCTCATGCAAGAGGTGCTTCCAGGGAGCTAGAGGCCACCATGTAACTTGGATCTTCACTGTGGTGCCATGAGATGCTGCCTTCCACCACTAAGGGGCAGTATCACCACGCTGGATGCTGAGAAAGTTTGTGGGTGGAAAAATTCTGTTCTATAGCGGCAAACCCAAATCACAAGAAGTAGTAGTGTAAGAGAAGCAAAAGCGAGAACTCTAATTAATGACTGCCCAAAATGTCATTCAAGTCCCACATTGTCATTACTTTATCACTTATGTTATTTTTTAATGTGATACTAATTTGCTACCCATATCCAGTAAAACCAAGAACATTTTTATGTCTTAAATACTGAGCTAGTTACTTTAATGAAGAGCTTCATTAAGGCCTTTAAAATTTCAGCTCTTATGAATGTCAGCCAGAGACTCATAAGATTACATTTTTTCCCCCAATTTATCATTTAATTGAGCAGTTGTATGAGACGTCTCTGGTACGTCATGGCTTGATGACTCTGGGGCCTAGTGGTTCTGGGAAGACAACCGTTACAACAATCCTGACGAAGGCGCTGACAGAATGCGGAAGGCCTCATAGAGAGATGCGAATGAATCCAAAAGCTATTACTGCTCCTCAGATGTTTGGCAGACTGGATACTGCCACCAATGACTGGACAGATGGGATTTTTTCTACTCTGTGGAGAAAAACGTTAAAAGCCAAAAAGGGTAAGCACAACCCCTCCTTTGTGACCATTTCTCTCCCTGCCGGTCTGTCAGTAACACCATCTTTGTTTAACTCTCTGTTTTCATTAATTTGTAGATGAAAGTGGATTTTTCTGTTTTAATTGCTTGCAGGTGAAAACATTTTCCTCATTTTAGATGGCCCTGTGGATGCCATTTGGATCGAGAATTTAAATTCTGTGTTGGACGATAACAAAACACTCACGTTGGCGAATGGAGATCGCATTCCCATGGCCCCTAGTTGTAAGCTTTTGTTCGAGGTCCACAATATTGAGAACGCGTCTCCTGCCACAGTTTCTAGGATGGGCATGGTCTATATCAGCAGCTCTGCACTCAGCTGGAGGGCAATATTACAGGTGGGAATGAGAGATACACAGAAGTGTGTCCAGGGCTTAGCCTTTTGCACTTTCTTAATAAACAGAGATCTGGTTCCTTTATTGTAGGCATGGTTGAAGAGGCGGACAGCCCAGGAAGCCACTGTTTTCCAGGCTCTGTATGATAAGGCATTTGAGGATGCATATACGTTTATGAAACTAAACCTCGCTCCCAAAATGCAGCTCTTAGAATGCAACTACATTGTGCAGGTAAGATTGTGGGTTTTTGGTCCATTCACTACTTAGATTTTTAGGTTTTATTTGGATTCAGTGTTCGGGTCCAGGAATCAAAAATAGAAAATTCATGCAATCCTTAGAAATCTTTGAAAGATATGGCCATGAAGGCTCTGAGAAGATCTTATGATTCATCATCATCCTCTCTTTATGGTTTTCACTTTCCAGAGCGATGTTATCAGGGGAAGTGGAATGATCTTTCCCACTGTCACCTGACCCAGAAAGTGAGTCCAATAACGAGAGTGGACAAAATAAGTAAATAAAGCTAGGGGGTTTATAGAGAAGTACAGTTAGGAGCCTGTGTCAATCTGGAATACTTGGATGGTGATCTTGGCTTTACAAAAATTCTGTGAGGAGTAGCTTGTAGTATTCTCCCCCTCCCCTATACTTCAGTTTCCTATGAGTCATTGGGAAGAAATCAGAATAAATTGCAGATTTTCTTTTTCTGGTACCGGGGATTGAACTCAGGACCTTGTGCTTGCAAGGCAGGCAGCAGCAGCACTGAGCTAAAACCTTGGCCCGAATTGCAGATTTTTAAGGGGTCTCCTATTTCCAGTCTGTTGGTGAGAATTATTCATTCTAGTGCTTTGATTCTCAATGTAAGAGATGTCAGTTAGTGAGGCCAGGTAGGTTAGAAATAACACACAGGGCCCAAATCAATGAATTATTTAGTAATTACTTTTAGATGTATAAGAGAAAGTTTTACCTTGACATAATTTTTTTTTCTTCAATTCTTTTATTGGTACATTGTAGGTATACAACACAATTACATTTCTCATTGGGAATTGTACCTTTACGTGATGCATCTTGCTTCTTATTTTTTCCCCATTCCTAGCCCTCCCTTCACCCCCTCCACCCTTCCCAATTTTGTTTTCTTAAAGGGCCAAACAGTAAATATTTTATTCTTTGGACAACTCTCTATCTCAACTAATTTGAAAAGATCAGGCTAGCTCCAGAGACTTCATTTTAGATTTTAAATTAAATATGGAAATTTCTGCTTCTAGACACAGTTGAGTAATAGAAACTGGATTTAACCTCTTACATTAGAAAGCTGGATAAAAACTCTGCCAAGCAGGTGGCTGCCTCCTCTAGGGCCAGGCTGCTGAGTCCTATAACATATTAATAAGAAATAAAAATCTTTGATTTGGACTGGGTAACCCAACTTTAGAACCAGAAGCTACCTTAGCAAATATCTAGAGTTGGTCTTTTACTTTTCAGATCAGGAAACAGAGTCAGAGGAGCAGCGGGGGGTAGAAACCACACTTCTACATTCCAAATTCTTCCATACCACGCAACTTGTCTAACTCCAGAAGGTTAGGATTAGGGTTAGGCTTAGTTTTAGGCCTAACCTAGGCCTGTCTTCTAAATGTTGTGGCCTGGAGGACAAGGATCAAGCAATGACTTGAGATATATATGTTCTCTTTTCTGTCTCCCTCCTCCTTTTAATTTTATTATTTCAAAAAATATTTTCTGGAAAATTTTTTAATTTAAAATTTTACGTTTTTTAAAAATGTTTCAGTCTCTCAATCTTCTGGAAGGCTTAATCCCCTCCAAAGAGGAAGGGGGTGTTTCATGTGTCAATCATCTCCATAAATTATTTGTCTTCGGCCTAATGTGGAGTATAGGTGCCCTTCTGGAATTGGATAACAGAGAAAAACTTGAGGCCTTTTTACGACGTCATGAGAGCAAGTTAGACTTGCCAGAAATACCCACGGGCACGAATCAAACCATGTATGAGTTTTATGTTACTGATTATGGTAAGAACAGCGAATTATATATATATATATATATATATATTTTTTTTTTGGTATCAGGGATTGAACTCAGGACCTTGTTCTTGTGAGGCAGGCAGCAGCACCAAAATTATGCTTTTTTTTTTAAATGAGAAAAATACAAATTTCCATAAACTCTGCTATGGGGCCATAGTAATTGGAAAACATAATTTTAAACACCATTTTAAAAGAGGCATCTAGGCAAAAGAGAGTAGAATTTTACCTATTAGCTACACCAGGAACTGGTATAGAGACTCCTGACTTTTTCTTTTGGAGTGACCCAAGGAAAATCTATCATAAATAAGTAGCAATCCCTCTTACATCGTCTACTTCTAAAGGCTGAAGGAGGGAAGTGCATGAAAGCACAGAATGTTTGCATGATGCAAAATGTGGAAAGGCACATAACAGGTCAGTCTCACAACTTGCCTGTTGAAAAAGTCAGAATGAGTAGAGAATTAACCCAGCAGGTACAGCCTCCTTTGTGCCTAGCAGACTTGTTGGGGCAGGGCTAGTACTGTCACCTTAGTCCCAGCCTTCCCTGCGTGGCAGACCCAGCTAACCTCTTCTTAAAAGAAGGGCCCTTGAACTTGGTGGTTTTTTTGTGTTGTTGTTGTTTTCTCCATATGGGGGATCTAACTCAGGACCTTGCACTTGTGAGGCAAGCACTGTACCACTGAGCTAAATCCCTGGCCCTTGAACTTGGTGCTTTTATCTTGAGTCCAGGCCCCAATTCTTTTAAGCCCCAGGGAGGAAAAATACATGCTTTCTATGTTTACCTCTGCTTCTTCCTAAAACCTATAAAAGAGCAAAGATTTGTTGTTGTTGTTTTAATGCATAAACTCAAAAGGATAAATAGAACAAGAGAGTAAACAGCTGTAACAAAATTTTGAAAGCAAGAAAGCAGAAAGGTAATGGTAGCTTATTGTGCTGGCAAAGCCAAGTCCTAAACTGGCGGTGGGAAGAGTTGAGAAGTAATTTAGTGTACATCACAGAAACCACAAAAGGCTCAGGAATTGGGATGTGGGGTGGAGGTGGAACTAGAAATTAGAGGTGTAGCTGGGAGTCTGTTTAAGAAAAAAGACCTCCCGGTCCTCTTTCCCAAGTCTGCTGCTATACATACCACACTCTGCATCACACAGGCAAAACACAAGAGTCATGATTTGGGGGGTGCAAAACAGAAGGTTTCCTAGACTTGGGGTGCACATTGAGGGTGAGAGATAATACTGAAAATGGAAAATAAGTGGAAATCTGTGCAGAAAGGGAATGAGGTAAATGAATTTTTCAGCCAACCACTTTTAACCAGAATGACCAATAATTTTACAGCAAGTGATTAAATGCCTCTAAAGGTTTGAGATGACAAAAAGGGACTCCAACTCAGAATGCAAAATAACAACCAAATGAACCCTTAAATATCAATATGAATTCTCGGTATTCAGAGCCAAGCTTCTCCAGAGACTGCCTTCTGAGCATCCCACTGTCCCATCTTGTTCGAAGGATCAAGTTGCTTCCTCTGAGGGTGTCGTCCTTACTCAGAGGCCAGGCTTCAAGTTATCAGGGTGAAGACCCAGAAGCCACAACCCTCCAGTCCTGTGGCACCCACTAATGATGCCCAGTGTTTGCCTTCCGTTGTGCCATCAAAGACAGACATTGGTGGATTTTCTGAGGGCTGCACTGATGTTTCTAGCATTTTCTTCCAAGTAACCAGCATGGATTCTATACGTTTAGATGATGGTGCCTTCTTGATTTTAGTGGCAATGTTCACAAAAGGGTGACAACACTTAGTCACATTCATTCCTCAAGGGGTCCTGATGAAGTTTGCTGACTACAACGTTGCGGGGCTATAGGCATCCCCCTAAATAACTACTTTTGATGAGATTTATTTGCCTGAGCATATGTGCCTATGAAATGAATCAAGATGTTCTATGCTTAGTGGCTGTAATAAAGGCTATAACAGACAACTTCCAGTTATTTCTTCATCAGTGTATCCTTCATCCTTTTATCCTTTTTGGGCATAGACATTAACACTTTTGGAGAGACTTAATTTTATTTATTTATATTTATGTGTTTTTTTGCACTTGCTTTCTGAAGGACTTAGGCTGATTTATTAGGCAGAGTTAGAGTGTAAGAGGAAACAGAGAAAGAACTTCATCTTGAGGAGCCAAAGGGGACACGGCTCTCATGGAGAAGATCAGGCTGGCTCCAGAGGCTTCATTTTAGATTTTAAATTAAATATGGACATGCCTGGTTCCTGGCACAATGAGTAGTAGAAACTAGGTTTAGCCTCTTCTATTGGGAACCTGGACAAAACACACAGTATATGAAACAAATGTTCTTCAAACATTGAACAACAGATAGTGCAGTCCTAAAGTCACTCAGAGAAGTGAAACAAAGCAGTTGTACCAGATCACTGCCTGAAGGTGGCTTCCAGAAGCAGCTCAGGGAGGGGAAATCCACACAGAACTGGCCATCTCCCCAAAGTGAGGAGGCAGGGACTGATTTGGGGGAGGCCAGGTGGCTAGGATTTGTAGAGCAGAACCCCAGAGAAGAAGGATCTGTACAGAGAGGGGTGTCAGAGAACAGCAGAAACGGATAAATCCACAGGTATGGTGAAGATGTCAGTAATTGGGAAAACAGAATTTTTCTAAAGAAAATTTGAACATGATCAACCCATTTCAGCTAGTAGAAAGTTATAAAACAGTCCATCCAGAAAGCAGAATGCACATTCTTTTCAGGAGCACAGAAAATATTTCCCCAGATATTCTGGACGATAGAACATTTCTCAGTAGGAAAGTGTTATAGCACTTTATATCTATATTACAAAAGAAGAAAGGTTTCAGTTAAACCCAAAGTAAGCAGAAGAAAGACATACCAATGACCAAAACAGAAATCAATAAATGGAAAATAGAAAAATAAGAGGGAAAAATCAATGAAATCAAAAGATATTCTTTCAAAAGATCAGTAAAATTAAGAAATCTCTTATTAGAAACATGAGGTTACAAAAGAGAAGATATAAATTATCATTGTCAAGAATGAAAGAAAAAAGAATGAAAGAGAACTTTAAATAAACAGATATAGTGACATGTTTTAGGGAAATATTTTTTAGACGTTTATATGATTCAACTTATTATGAAGCCCTTAATATTTTTGTGTTCTAACATAACTTTCAAAGGATGCATTTTTATTAAGATAAAAATTTTCCTATTGTGTAGGTGATTGGGAGCACTGGAATAAGAAACTTCAGCCATATTTTTATCCAATGGATGGTATTCCAGAATATTCATCAATTTTGGTCCCAAATGTTGACAATATTAGAACAAATTTTTTGATAGACACCATTGCAAAACAACATAAAGTAAGTTTAATAGGTAGATTCTTAGATGATCCCCAGCCACCTCAGAAATGCAACCTTTATTCATACACTATAGATAGAAAAATTAAACTCTACAACACAAGGGCCCAGAGGTAGTATCATTGGAAGGAAACACTTTTGGCAAATGAACCCCAGGACCCAGGGGTCTGTCTCCAACTCAGTGAGCTGTTGACTCTCAGGAAAGTGGGCATCTGCTTTCAAAGAAAGTCTGTTCCACACCCCAGTGGCCATGCACAATACTCAGCCACATTCTCTCCCAGGACTTCTATAACACTGTATGCATTTTATATTTAAATCTTTAATTCCACTAGGATTTATTTTGGTGCAGAAGTAATCTCCAAGTTCAATCAAAAGTTCATTGTAAAAAAAAAAAAGTTCATTGTATTTTAGGTTGCAAGAATACCCAGTAGACCCATAAGACACTGGACACTGAACATCTTATAACACCTTTCAACACAATTGCCGCCCCCCCCCCCCCCCCCGCGTCTTTGCAGGCTGTTTTGCTCACAGGAGAGCAGGGAACTGCAAAAACCGTGATGATTAAGGCCTATTTGAAAAAATACGACCCCGAAGTACAGCTATCCAAAAGTCTAAACTTTTCATCTGCCACAGAACCAATGATGTTTCAGGTAAAACCCATCATGTGCTGTTGTAATCAACATATTACATTTTAAAGTGCAACTTGCAATAAAATGTGTATGCTGTATATATGCCTCAAAAACACTGAGGCTCTGCTTGGCATTCAGTTAGTCAGCTTTCGTATGGCTGAAGTTGGAGCCAAATCCAGATAGCATGCTTTGACCTATTATTGAGGCTGAATTGACTACTGGAGCACATCTATTTTAATATAAATTAAAGACTGACATCCCATCACTTTTTAAACATTTTAACCATATATTATAATAATTATATTTATACTTAATGCATAAGATAATGTTATTCTACTCTGAAAAATTACTCACCTTTATATGAATATGGATCAATGAATAAGACAAACCATTTCCTTTTCCCTAGAGGACCATTGAAAGCTATGTGGATAAGCGGATGGGAAGCACATATGGGCCACCAGGAGGGAGAAAAATGACTGTATTTATTGATGATATTAATATGCCTGTGATTAATGAGTGGGGAGATCAGGTATGACTCAGATATTTCACATAGATGATGCTTAATCGGTGTTTTTCTTTATATCAGTAACCTGCATGTTATTAAGACTGCTGGCAATTCATTTTTTTGACTTCCACCTTCTTGAAAGCTCTCCCTGTTTTCCACAGCTCCCTCATGTGTCTTTGGCTACATGCTTTCGGTGTTTTTTCTGGCTCCCCTCTCACTTCTGCCGTCATCTAGGATGCCCTCCTTATTCTGACCTCTTACTCTGCACCGATTCTCTGAGGACTACCTGATGTTTAAAAAATACTTTATTAACTTTGCCACACACTGAGACCCTGGCTGCAGTCATCTCTCAACCTCCTGTTAGAGGACCTTACCAGTGTCTCCAGGAGTGAGCACCAGGACTGGCCCTGTGCCCTCTTTATCCCTGTTCACCCTTGATACCATTGGAACCTCAGTGGTCATTCTAAGATGAATTCCTGAACAGTCCTGCATGGTACTGCTCTACTCCGGTGCAGGTCCACCCCAGCAGTTCCTAGAAGTGGGGGAGAGTGGGTGGGTGTTTAGATCTTGTCACTCCCATCATCTATAAGCTACAGAGCTCCTGAATTCCACACTCATTTGTCCAGCTAAGAATGTCTAGGTGGATCTCAAATGTAATGTCCCAAATCTGCTCCTCCAGTAGCTTCTTGTCTCAGGAAATGGCATCCCCACCTTGAGTCTGTTAGGAAATCATGTTGGCTCTATCTTCAAACCATATCCAAAATTTGACCTCCGTTGCTACCACCTGGTGCCTGTCACCACGGTCTCTCTTCATGACCATTACAAATGCCTCCCCATTGTCTCTGTTTCCCTTGCTCCTCTCAGACTAATCTCAGATCAGAAACCAGTTAAAACATGAGTCAGATTGTGGCACATTCTTTGTGCAGAATCCTCTGAGACTCATAGAATTTCAGTGCCAGCCTCCTTACCATGACCAGAGACCCCGGCTTCTTTGATCTTCCCTCTGCATAACTCTGCTCCAGCCACATGTACGGATTCTTTCACACACTTGGTACGATGTTTACTCAACATCTCTGCATTTGCTGCTCCCATTGCCTGGAGCACTCTTTCCCTAGATAGCTAAGTGGTTTCTTTTCTCACCTCCCTCAGATGTTGGCTAATATGTCACATGATGTAAAGCTTCCCCTGCTCTCCAAACTCAGTTACCCCTAGAGAACTTCCTATTTCCTTTCTCTGCTTTGTTTTCTTCAAAAGTCTTAAAGTACATCCTTTTATTTACAAGCACATATTGTACGTTTTGTCTCCCACCACAAGAACATAGGCTCCATGAAGACGGAGGGTTTCATCTGTGCTACCAAAGAGACTGGCACAGTCATCACTCATTAAACTTGGTTGAATAAGGAGGACTAACTGAGATGATTGTGTGCCATCCACTTCAACATGCCCAGAAGGACTTGGATACACAGGCATAGAGCTTAGAAGGGAACCTGAAGCTAGAGCTACCGGGTTGAGATTCTTCAGGGCATAGGTTGACATGGCATCCTTTGGAGTAGTGAGAAGCAAAATGGGCAAGTACAGAGCTCAGGGATGGGTGGGTAGAGAGTGGTTTGGAAAGCAATCCAGGGGTCTCAAGATGAGCCTCTGAAATCAAGAAAGGAACAACTTTCAAGAAGGAGGAAGTATTAGAAGCTACAGAGAAGGCGAAATGAGCACACAGACCCCAGGTCAAAACATTCAGGGGCTGGGGGACGTAGCTCAGTGGCATCTCACCTGCCTGGCAAGCGCAAGGTCCTGGGTTCATTTCCCAGTACTGGAAAAAAAATTTCAGGAATATAATACTGAAAGCTTAGGCGGAAACCATCTTACATTCTGACCTAGAGTATTTTGGAGTGTTGAGTATGAACGATCTCTATAGTAGAACTTGTTGTAACCCTAAGTGCTATTGCCATCGTTCCAGATATCTCACAATCATCTATGTAAATTTACTTGGAGATTAGTTTTATCAATGTAGTGAAGGGCACAAGGTCACGCTGTACTGGCACCAGACACATTTAACTTATGGCTTTGAGTTCATGGGCAGCATCCTGTGAGTCAAATTGTCTTGAAGGTGATCATTGACATTCCTTTTAGGAGCTGAATGTTTTTCTGTTCATCTCATCTGTACTGTTTTGTAGGAGCTATAGAGGAGTATGATAGTGATATGTTACTAAAATATTCGTATAAATTTTCAGATAACTAATGAGATTGTGCGGCAGATGATGGAAATGGAAGGCATGTATAGCTTGGATAAGCCTGGAGACTTTACTACTATTGTGGATGTGCAGCTCATAGCAGCAATGATTCATCCCGGAGGAGGTCGGAATGATATTCCCCAACGTTTAAAAAGACAATTCACCGTGTTTAATTGCACATTGCCTTCAAATGCATCAATAGACAAAATTTTTGGTAAGAGTATCCTTGGTATTTACTTTTTTATTGCATTACATAATCGACCTAACTGTGCAAAACTGTAAGAGCCCAAAAGGCCCTGTCAGAATAGGGATTAAGAACTGGGGATGTAGCTCAGCCTTGCCGTGCCTGCTGGGAAATCGCAAGGCCCTGAGTTCGATTCCCAGTACCGGAGAAAAGAAAAAAAAAAAAGAAAACAGGGATTAAATATCTGAAATGGAGAGCTAACCACCAGGAAAGAGAGCCTAATTGGTAAGATGACTCATGTGTATGGCCTATTCTAAGACTGAGAGATATTTAGAAATAGCCTTGCTGAAGGTTGACCTTAGAGGTAAAAGAAGCTTTGTGTTTTGTTTTTCTTTGACATGCTTAATAGGGAAATTTCTGCTAATGAATGCCAGCACATCCACATCCATCACAGATTAACAATAATAATAATATATCAAAATGCAGCACTTTGTCGTGTTAATGAAGGAAAGATATTTGGCACCAAATTTAGGCATACTTAAATTGCACTGTCAAAAATGATACACATACAAAAGAAATGGACCTGTGCATTAGATGGATCTATTAAATTAGATGAACATTAATTTCTTAATACAGCAAATGTTGTAGATCAGCAGGGAAACGGTAGATTTTCAGTAAGTGGTACATTCCAGTGCAGCTATTCCAAATTCTTAGGGAAAAACAATTGAAATTAGAGCTCTCTACTTCACATCAAGCACAAAATCAAATAGAGATGGGATAAGGACTTAAATATGGAAGACGAAGCTGTAATGTATTTGGAAGAAAATATAGGGAAAGATCTGAACGACCACTAAGCAGGAAAAGACTTCTTAAATAAGAGACAGAAAGCACAAAAACAAAGAGAAAAAGTATAAGTTCACTAGATTAAAATTAAGAGCTTTTCTTCATTTAAAAATTTCATTCAAAGGCTAAAAAGGCAAGCCTTAAGGTAGAAGTAAGCAATTTTTAACACATGTCATAATGCAAAATTAGTATTCTGAATACTAAAGAAATCCTGTGAAATGATCAGCAAAAATCAAATAACCCCATATAAAAATGGGCAAAACTCAAGACATTTTACAAAGGGGAAGCTAAAGGGCCAATAAACAAATATATAGATCATAAACATCATAAGGATTTGGGAAAAATACAGATTATAATGCCAAGGAAATGCTATTTTATACCCCCTATATTGACAAAAAATGAGAGAGTCTGACAAAAGTATAGTGAGAGTGTTGAAGCAGCTGAAACTCTCCTCTCCCATTGGTGGGGGTGTAAATTGCCCCAAACAAGCCCTGTGGATAGTGGTTTGGCATTGTTATTGGTAAAGTAGAACATGTGCATGTCCCACCAGTTCCACTGCTAGAAATCTACCAATTTAAAATTTTTTCCAGTATGATTTGTGCATTTGGGGTATAAAGTCCTTTCCTACCCAGACATCACATAGATCTTATCCTGTATCTTCTTCCAAACGTCATATAGTGTTGTCTTCCATGTTTAGGCCCCCAGTTCTTTTGTAGTTGATTTTACGTATGCACTCCAGACGACTTACCCAAGTGTGTTCATAGAACAGTGTGTTTGTTGGCAGCACAATCTTGAAATAACCCACATGCTCATTGCCACTAATGTTGGGTAAGTAGATTGTGGCAAAAGCACAAATTGTAGCATTGTACAGCAGTGAAAATGAATGAATGCAGCTACAGACTTCAATATGGATGAAGCCCAGAAGGACAGTGTTGGCTGGTAAGAAGCAAATCACAGAGAAATGTATAATTCTAGAAAGTGAGGCTCAGAGAAGTGAAATAGCAGCCCAGTCAAGGCCACTTAGCTGGTGCATGGCAGAGCTGAGGCGTTAATCCCTGTTGTCTGATTCTGGGTCCCATGATTCTAACATTTGTCCCACAGGAAGGTGAAAATCTAGAATACATCACTGCAGGAAGCCACAATGCCTTTGGGGCATCTAGCACAACCCATCATGACTTTGGAGGGCAAGTTCATGTTTTCCCAAGGCAGTTCTTCAGTCTGTGTAAATGAACCTGCCCATTTAGTGTGCTCTGTCTGCCCTTCACGAACCTGCTGTGTGTCTCTGAGCAGATAGGTGTATTCACATTCCCCTGAACATACTTGCTCAGAACCGAACATACTCCTCAATGTAAAGTCTCTCTGGAGAGAAGTAAAGCAGATCTCTTCTTGCTGCCTGAATCAAAGGCATCTTGAGGCTTTGAGAATATTCCGTAGCTCTACAGCCCAGTCCTTCCCCAGAGTGATATGCAACTGTCACCGTGCCCGCTGTCCCTGGGCACGGCTACCTGGCTAGGCCAGGCCAGAGTTGACAGACTGCGGCTAGGTCCTCTTTCAGTTCTGCCAGCAACCAATCCACGTGACCTTGGACAGTTTGTTTTCCCTGTCGGGACCTAGTCTCCTTCTCTGTAAGATGAGAAAGTTGTTTCTAAGCCTTTTTCCAGCTTCCAGACTCCCGAGCCAGGCTGCTTGGGTTCACATCTCAGATTCACCTGGATGAATCTGAGACCGTAAAGATATCACTAAGCTTGAGTTAGAACGGGAGTAATAATAATAATAATAATGTCTATCACATATAACTTCTCATGGGGCACCAGGAGGATTAAAGGAGATAATGCATATAATGCGCTCATTACTAAGCTTCCCCGAGCCACTGCCAACTCCTAGTCTTAGCTAATCCCTTGAGAGATAGTCTTAGCATCCCCAGTTGAGTCGATCTTGTAATGATTTATTCACTGGGATAAACATGCACCTTGGTAATCCTTTTGTAAGCCTCTACTTTCAATCTTTGTTATTTTCCAGGACTTATTGGCTGTGGATACTTTGATCCTTGTAGAAAGTTCAAACTTGAAGTATGTGAGATGATTGCGAATTTAGTCACGGCGGGCAGAGTGCTATGGCAGTGGACCAAGGTACAGAATGGATTGTTGTCCATAATTTTTTAAGAAGTCAACTGTTTTTCTGCCCCAGTCTCATGGTGGCTCATTAAGTTATCAAACATCATGCGTAATGGTGTTTTTTGAGAAAAGACAAATTAGGTGCTCAAATAGATTTGACACCTTTTCCTTCCGGAGAGCAAATATTCTAACTGAATGATGCTTTCCATATGTATGAGATATTACTGTAAACCAGACATGACATGAGAGATAAAGGAGAATTTTGCTGAAATGAGAACATTGCTTTTCCACTTGTTACTCTGATTTGTACCTCTTTCCTTGTACGTCTGTCTCCCTCCACCAAACTGTGTCAATCACGCACATGTTTATTGACTTGAGTTAATACATGGATTTCCAGATATTCTCAGCTGACTGAGACTTGAAGTCCTAATTGGGGATGAGGTGTGAATTCACAAATGGATGGAAATGTTCTTAACAAAGTAGGCTGGATTTTTAACACACAAGTCAGAGCCCTAAGTAGAGCTCAGCAAACCTCATCATGTTATTTAAGGCCATTAGGGTAGGTCTGAAATTTAAGGGGTAGGTAGGTCTGTTTGCAAAAAAAAAAAAACGTGTCAAAGGAGATAATTCATAGTTTGCTATGCATTAATTAAGCCAGTTAGACACATCTGGCCAGATGCCTGTGTCCTTGGAAACCGGGCGTGTGCCAAGCTTTCAGATTCCTTGGTTGACTGAGAATTCTGGATGCAGAATGATCCAGATCCCAGAGGAGTTGGGCAATCCTGTGAAATGCAGCCTCCTCCCTGAAGCCTCCTCGAGATCAGTTCTGCTCACTAGGGCCCTGCTCTTTGTTCGCAGAGGGCCTTTGTGCACATGCTGCTTTGTCTCTTTTAAAGAAACTAAGAAATGAGTGCCTGAGATATTTTTCTGTGGTGGGACCCATCGGTTTTCCAGTAGAGCTCTTACTTAATTTAATGTGCATGTCGAGATGGTTTTGTGAAGCACTCTGGCCTTCCAGGTGCCTCCCTGTTAGTTTCCTTTGTTATCCAAAGCTTTCCTGGCTCCACCTGCTCACCTCTCCCTACCTCTTGAGCACACTTTGCAGAAGCCTTCCTTCCCACTGCTCTCAGCAGGTCCCCAAAGACCTCAATCCTGCCAGCTCCAACTTTCTTCTTTTTCTTACTTGACTTTTAAGAGTTTTTGATGTAAAGAATCCCTCTGAGTACTTTCTCCCTTGGGCTTTGGAAGGCCCTCAAACTCTTGATTTTCCTCCTAATTTACTGACTACTTTAGTTTCCCCTCGTTATACTCCTGGTTTGAATGCCGGGCCCACTGCTCTACCTGCATTTTCTCCCTAGATGACCTCACCTTGCTCCAAGTTTTGAACACAGCCTCTGTGTCAGTGACTTCAAACTTCATACAGTCATTCTAGGCCTTGCTGCTTGACTGTAGACTGATTTCTTTTTTGAGGGGGACAAGGTCTCACTATGTAGTTCAGGCTGGTTTTAAACTCACTTAAAGCTGACCTTGAATTCATGGTGCTCCTCCTGCTTCAGCCCCTGAGCGCCAGGATTACAGATGTGCGCCACACCCATCCTCCTGGACTAGACCTATTTCTAACTCGAAGTTAACATGTCCAATAAGAATTCTTAAATGTCCTTAAATATGAGCTTCAGAATTTGGCATCTTAGTTAATAGCAACCCCGCTATCCTGTCACTCCGGCCAAAACCCAGGGCACCATGCTTGATTTATCTGTCTCACTGACCCCCCCATCAGCAAGTCTCAGTGATGTCACCTTCAAAATATACCCCAAAGATGAGCACGGCCATGATGACCATCCTGATGTGTGCTTCTAGTGTCAGTCCTCTGGGCCTTGAGGAACCTCTTACCCAGTCTCCTCGTTTGCTTCTTCCCTTCCTGGACTCTCTTCTCTACATAACCCTAATGTTTTACCCAACCCTAATGTTTAAATATGTTGCCCTTTTCTTTCCAATACTAGAGATCAAACTCTGGGGAGCATTACTACTGAGCTACAACCTTAGCCCTTTTTATTTTGAAACAGGGTCTCACTAAGTCACTCAATTGCCTAGACTAGGCTCAAACTTGAGATCCTCCTGCCTCAGCCTCCCAAGTAGCTGGGATTATAGGAGGGAGCCATCATTCCCAGCTTGGTAGTGTTTCTTAAAACCACCAGTGGGTGCCCGGTGTTACAGTGAACCCATCTGAGCTGAGCCTGTGCACCTCTCTCCTCCTCGTCCCCTGCTCCAGCTGAGCTGCCGTTCTTATGCTCCTGGATCATGCAGGTTTCTCATGTGGCCAGGCCCTTACAATTTGTTTTGCTTATTCTGGTCATTCTTATCTTCAGAGGGACTTTCTTGGACTGTCCTATAAAAAAAGTGCCCAGGTCCCCATACTAGTCATTATCTGTCTCCTGGCCCTACTTTATCTTTTAACTATCACATTTGCATTATTATTCGCCTGTTTTTTTTTATTAATGTTTTTACTTCCTGTTTATCATCAGGCCCCCCTGTGGGAATGGGAGCATCACTGTTGGTAGCAGAAGTAGCTGTCATTGATAGTGGCAGAGGTAGCTGTCTCTTCTTTGTGGCATCTTCCTAAGCGCAGTGGGAAGTGCACAGACAATGAGAAAATGAATGAATCTTTCTCCCCTCCCACCTCCAAAGAAGCTACCTTCTCTGTATCTTTCCTTCAAATCTCCCATCTTCACAAAGGGCTCTGTAAACTTCCTACCTTGTACATCAACTCACCTTTGTATTTCCTTATATGACTTTAAAGCAAGAGCAGATGAGAAAAAGAAAGAAGAAGACAAAAATGAAGGGGAAATAGAAGAGAGAAAAAGAAGGAGGTTAATAGATGAGAATAAGAAGGAAAGGAAGAATTTTTTTAAAAAAATAAAATTCTCTTTAACAAAATTCACCTCCCAATGGTTGCAATCACAGTCATGGTCTTTCAACATGTAGGAAAAAAAATCAGTGTATGTACAACCTTATCCTTTTGAGTATTTGTCTACATAATTATAATATAAATGTACATCTTCTATTTTGGTGGGTAAAATGAACATTTTATCTTGGAGTGGGTCTGAGCAAGGAGGGAAATTGAAAGGGGATGGAGAAGATGACACTTCTCTTCATTTCATCTCCCCATGCTACCTGCTGCTTTTAACTTGCACTGTGAATTAGCCAGTAAAAATTACTCTGCAAACTCAGCAGGGCACTTTCTTCATACATAACTGGGGCTGAGGAAAGCAGGTGCTTTCCTAAACTAATCTTGTGGGGAATTTGCTTTGTGTCACCAGCATGATTATTGTATTTACTTTCAAAAATGATGCCAGTGATACCAATGTTGACCTTCATAAATAGCCCACAAAGCTTTCCACACCTACAGCACTTTAAGTAACCCTTAACGGACATCTCTCTGGGTAAGATTGTGGTACTGTTATAGATTTGCTTTTTTACATTGTAGAAGTTGTAGAAATAGTAAACAGATTAGTGTGGCTGAATACTGTCTTGGTGTTCAGATATAAGAACAGAAAATCATCTATTACAGCTGCATGTCAGCCTTGTCAGTTTATTACAGATATGCGAGTGTATGAAGGGTGGATTGAGTGGGATCTGGACAGTGAAATCCAGGTTATGTTATGGAAATATATTTATGGAAATCCAAACACATCAAGGACCTTAATCAAAGTGATCTATGGGGGATGGTCATTATTGACTTGAGAAGTGAACATTCATTATTCTTACCTGCATGACAGCCAGTTCAAGTTCCATTTTTTGTTATGATGTATTTCCATATGTATTCTAGTTAATAATGGTTAGGAATGACTTTACCCATAATTCATAGAGTTCTTAAGAATTCAGGGGAAAATGTCTTATTTAAAGCCAACTAATGGTAGTGGAACAAGGCATTGGAATGTGCCATCTGGTGCATTATTCTTGAATCTACCCTATTCAAGAGGTTATGGCCTTTTAAATTCTGTTTGTTTTATTTATGATGTATTTTTTCTACCAGTACTGTGACAAAAATATAAACTTAATCTTGATTTATTACTCAGCCTATTTTACTTGAAATAGGAGTTGTGAAATAGACTAGTTCTTAAGCACTTCTACTTTTAATTTTATCTGAAAGCTAATTTTATCTGAGAGCACTATTTTTTTTTTTGTCTCTAGGTGAAGATGCTGCCAACTCCTTCTAAATTTCATTATATCTTCAATCTTCGAGATCTTTCCAGAATTTGGCAAGGAATGTTAACCGTAAAAGCTGAGGAGTGTGACTCGCTCCCTGTCCTCATGTCGCTTTTCAAACATGAATGCAACAGAGTAATTGCAGACAGGTATAAATCACAACAGTTGAAGTTAAATGAATGACTTAAGAAGTTTATACACCTGTCCCTTGACTTACGAACTTAATTCATTCCTGAGGGCTGATTGTAACTCAGGTTGGTCATTTGAGGCTCAGGCTCCTCTACACAGCCTTCAAAGTCTCTCTCCTGTATCAGGCAGATCTCAATGTCCTTAGAGAGACACTGGGCCAGGATTTCTCAGTTAACCCCACACAGGAAAGGATGCTGTCATGTTCTTTCCAGAACTCTTGAATGGTTAAATCAGTATCTGAGACCATCTGGAAGCACAAGCGGCCAACATTTGGGTCATAACTCAATACTCTAGTCAAAAATTAAAACTAAAATTCTGGTCGTAACCCAAGTTGTTCGGTCGTCAGGCTGGTGGTAACATGAAGGTCTACTGTACTTGCAGTAGCATAAAGAGTATTGTGTTAATTTTCTAGGGCTTATGAAAGTACTCTGCCAGTTGGAGGTGCACAACTGTAACCCCAGATACTCAGGAAGCTGAGCCAGGAGGATCACAAGTTCAAGGCCAGCCTGAAGAACTCATGGAGACTTTCTCTCAAAATAAAACATAAAAAGGGCTGGGGATGTAGTTCAGTGATAGAGTGCTTGCCTAGCATGGTTGAGGCCCTGGGTTTGAACCCTAGTATTCTCAAAGGGAAGGAAAAAAAGAATAAAGCTCTGCCAATTTCCTTGAGAAGTACTGTAACAGTACATTTTCTTTTTTTTTTTGGTACCAGGGATCGAACTCGGGTCCTTGCGCTTGCGCAGCAGGCAGCGAAACCACTGAGCTAAATCCCCGGCCCTGACAGTACATTTTCATAAATCACCATATCATCAGAGAGTTGATAAAATTGAACAGTAAAATAGAATTGGATATACTTTATAAAATCGTGAACTCTGTGTAGGTTTTCTTGTGGTGAAATCTGGTTTCACATCAAATTCAGTCACTTTTCTGAACCTCGGTTTCCTCATCAGTAATACATGACTGATAGCGCCAGGCTCACAAAGTTGCAAAGTATGTATGACAAGATGGTGGTACTGGTCAAATGTTAATGCCCTTCCTCCTCCCTGGATGATGTAAGTCTGAAAAGGACCTTCTTGTACTGTGTCCACAAACCCAGAAAGAGGACACTGACCTGTCATTGACTATCGTGCCTACACTCCTGTTGCGAGTGTTAGAGACCGCTGAGCTCCCCTCAGTGATTCATCTGTATGTTCTGTGGGTAGTGACCATCTTGGATGGGGTAATGTTCTTCTCCAAGTGCAGAGCCCTTTGTTTCCCTGTCCAGGGATGAGGAAGGTCCACGGTTGGGTCTGAGAACCGAGACCATGTTCAGTTAGAAAAGATCTTTCATATTTTGCATCCTGACTAGTATATTTTTCTTTCAGATTTATAACTCCTGAAGATGAGCAGTGGTTTAATGTACATCTTATTCGTGCAGTTGAAGAAAATATCAGCCCTGAAGCAGCCTCTTGTATTCTCCCTGAGCCTTATTTTGTGGATTTCCTCCGTGAGATGCCTGAACCAACAGGGGATGAACCCGAGGATACTGCATTTGAAATACCCAAGGTCTATGAATTGGTATGTGTTTTCATCCATTAAGAGTCCTTCAGTTCACTCACTAGATGTTTCTCTCTGCACCCAAGTCCCACTGTGGAATGATGTAACTCCTAAGCTATTAATGTGTTGTGATTCACAGTTATACACCAAGTAAAATGTCTTCTTCAAAGAAATTTGGAAACAATCTCATTGAAGTCAGACATAAAACAAGTTTACCTACCATCCCCACTTTGTTTAATATTGCTTTGAAAGTTTTAGGCAATGCAGCAAAATGACAGAAATAGATATCAGACAGAGGGAAAAACAAAGTTTTGGTAGATCGTATGATTATTTAATTATATAACCCAAAAGAATTTTGACTCAATCTTAACCAATAAGAGTGCAGTAAGATGATCAAATGTTAAATAAACATGGAACTCAATAACTGCTTTCCATACCATGGGGTGGCAAATTACAATCTGTGGGCTGTATCTAGTTCATTGCCTGTTTTTGTTACCCATGTAAGCTAAGAACAGTTTTTATATTTTTAAAAGCTTAAGAAAGAAAATCAAAAGGTGAATAATACTTTGAGACACATGAAAACTATATGGAATTCGAATTTCTTAAATAAATGAAGTTCCTAAATAAAGTTTTACTAGAACACAGTTATTCTCATTTGCTTACTTTTCGCCTGTGGTTGGTTTGGCCCTACAGGGACAGAGAATGGAGGGTCATAAGAGAGGCTGTATGGGCTTCCAAGCCTACAATAGTTACTATCTTACCCTTCACAGATTTCATTCAACGACAACAATTCCTAGATACAACATTTTGGAATTAACATGTTAAAACCTTACTGAACTAAATGAAAATATGTCATTTTTTCCCTAAGTTAGCTTAAGGGTTTAATGAAATAGGAAACAAGATTCCAAGGTTTGTTTTTTTTTTGGATATCCTTTTATTGGTACATTTTAGATGTACAATATAATGACATTCATCATTGGAGATATGCACCTTTACATACTCTCTTGGTTCTTATTTTACCAAGGGTTTTTTTTTTTTTGTACCAGGGATCGAATTCAGGTCCTTGCGCTTGCGCAGCAGGTGGCAAAACCACTGAGCTAAATCCCTGGCCCCATAATTTTTTTTTTTTTGGTACCGGGGATCAAACTTGGCTCCTTGGCGCTTACGCGGCAGCGAAACCACTGAGCTAAATCCCTGGCCCCAAGGATTTTTTTTTTTTTTTAAAACAAAGTCACATGACCTAAGTAATTCTAAAGTGCATTAGAACAAAAAATTAAATGGAAAGGAAGAACTTTTAAAACAAAGTGGCTAAGTTTTTATTTCACAGTAAGAAAGACTGGTGAATTTGGGGCTCTGTAAACAATGTGAGACTTCTGTGCATTTTAAAAAATTCATAGATGGTATTAAAAAGCAGATTAAGAAGTAAAAAAAATGGGCCAGGGATTTAGCTCAGTGGTTTTGCCGCCTGCTGCACAAGGACCCGAGTTCGATCTCCGGTACCAAAAAAAAAAAAAAAAAAAAGAAGTAAAAAAAATATATTTGTCACAGTCCATCACTCAATAGCATGGATAGGAGGAGTTGGTGCTGAGTCTTTTTGAGTGGGGGGGCGGATACTGGGGATGGAACTCGGGACCTTCCACTTTTGAGGCAGGTGGTGGAATCACTGAGCTAAATCAGCCCCTGTGCTGAGTCTTTTGAAAGAAAAGGCCAGAAATAATGTGCTGCTGGAAACCAAATAATGAAGTTAGGTCTTGGTCTTCGGTGTTTGGAAATGAAAATATTTCTAAAAGTATTAATATTAATGTGACAAGTCTCTGGAAAAAATAAAAAGTTTTTAAAAAATAATTTTGAGTGGCTTGACAATTGTGACTGCATCCTATATATTTATCTCTTTCTTTCCACCCATAGGTACCATCATTTGAATTTCTATCTGAAAAGCTTCAATTTTACCAGAGGCAGTTCAATGAAGTCATTAGAGGAACATCTCTTGACCTGGTGTTTTTTAAAGATGCAATGACTCATCTTATTAAGGTTTTAACTGTTGGCTATTTCCTGATATAAATAGATGGTGTTGAAGCTTAGTAAATTTCACAGATAAATTGGAGAGAAAATAAATACACACTATCACATGTCATATAGAAGAGTATACACAGATTGGGTCAGTTCGCTGTCTCGGGAAACAAAGATTGAATAAGAAATCCTTTGTTTGAATCCACTTACACCAGAGAAAGGTTTTCAAGTACAAATTCATGGTTTTTGTGTTCAGAGCTTTTAGCATGTTTAGTCAAAGAGATTTGTTTTCCTGAAGGAAAGCTGAAGAGCCTGGTGAAGAAATGTATCCTCCTGGAATTATATTTTTGCTATATCCTATTTCCCACAAAGGAAAAGATGCTGCTTTACAAAGTTCAACTTCGTGATTGGTGTACAGATTATGGACAAACTGAGGGGGAAGGAATAAGGCAGGTGTATAGGGAGTTATGAAAAAACAAGCTAGTTGGAGGTAGTACCAAAAAGGAGCATGTTTTGATCCAAAGCTTGAGGAGTTACAGAAAGTTGTTTCCTTCTGCCATTGGTTGTTTGAAAGTGAGTTCTTAAGAAGATGGATAGGGAGGTGTGACAAAATGGAATCAAAGTTGGTGAAATTTCAGATGTTCTGAGGTTGTTTCTGCATTCATGCATTCAACAAATAATTATTGAGCACCTACCATGGCCCAAGGTCCTGTTGTAGGTACAAAACCACATAAGTAATTAACATGTTCTAAAAAGGTAATGATAGCATCAGTCCATACCGAGGTGTTATGTCTGTTCTGCCATCTGCAAAACTACCTTTAAAAAAATTTAGTGGTGATAATGGGTTTAATGATCCCCTTCCTAATTGGTGACATTAATGTAAAAGAAAGCTTTTTAGCAGTCTTCAGATGGACTGCAGAAGATTTGGACTACCATGTGAGTCCTATCCTCACTGACAAAATCAGTCATAGAAAAGTAATACAGGGCTGGGGATTTAGCTCAGTGGTTCCGGCACCTGCCTCGCAAGCGCAAGGTCCCGAGTTCGATCCCCAGTACCAAAAAATATATATATATATCGAAAAGTAATACAGAGTGAACCCTGTCTCTCTAAGCCTTTTCTATAAATGTTTCCTTTTCCTCACTGTAAATAGAATTTTGGTACTTTAAAAAATGGCAGAAATAAGACAGGGGCAGCATTCGTTGTAGAAATAGGTGTCTACATGATTCACTGTGTTACTGATGGATAATAAGCACACAATTCTAACCTGTTCTTACATCTTCTGCAAATTAGCATCCAGTGGGTCTAAAAGTAATAAAATTACACACACACAAGCACACAGAAAGAATAGTTATGAAATAGAGCAAAAACGATTTATATTCCATGACGCAATTATAAAGGGACAAAGAAAAATATTTGAGTTGAATAAACCACTGTGAAAAAATTTTTAAATTCCAAGATATATAATTATAAGAAAAATGTCTAATACAATGTAGAAACTTCTGGTCAAACTTTGTACTCTTTAGTACAAGAAAACATAAATATTTACATCCTTTTCTCTGATAGACACTTTTTATTTCAAAACAGATTTCACGAATAATTCGGACTTCGTGTGGAAATGCGTTGCTGGTAGGTGTTGGTGGTTCAGGAAAACAAAGTCTTTCAAGATTGGCATCATTTATAGCTGGATATCAAATATTCCAGATAACATTAACCAGGTAGAATAAAATAAAACGTGATGATATGTTTTTCTTTGGTTAATTTCTCTGGAGTTAAATGTTTATTTTTAAAGAAATACAACAATAAGTTGTATTTCTTTTTAAAGTAAATTTTTATTCAAATATCATATATAAGGGAATGTATGTGTCGTGGGAGTCACAAAGTACAAGTATACCTATCTAAACATCCCACAAGAAGTAAAACACTACTTGTACACCCAAAGCATTATTGTATCATGTGTCAGTTATCACCTTCCTAGGCGTAACCAGATTCTGATTCCTAATCCCATTCATTAATTTTGTTTAGCTTTGAACTTCATGTCAATTCATACAGGATTTTCTTTTTGACGTCTCATTTCTGTTCTAGCACTGTGTGTGAGATTCATCCACGGTGTTATATTTTAACAATGGTTTGTTCATTCTTATTGCTGTATAGTCTTCCACTTTATCACATATTATTACCACCATTTATTCATCTGCTGCACTATTAATAAATACTTGGTCTTTGACAAATAGAGCTTTTATGAATGTTCTGATACATGTCTAAGTATGCTCCTACAAGTAAAATTGCTGAATATAGTATATGCATATACTATATTCAGCTGTAGTGGATCTAAGAAATTTTCCAAAGTGATTGTACCAATTTTCATTTCCACTGACATTTTGAGAGAGTTTCTGTTGCTTTGCATCTTTGCTCATCCTTGTCATTATGGTTTTTTTTTTAATTTTAGCAATTCCAGTGAGTATGCCATGGTATCTCATTGTGGCTTCAGTTTGCTTTTCTGAAATGACTACTAATATCGATCACATTTTTATCTCTCATTGACCATTTAGATAATCTTGCTGATGAAGTATCTGTTTCAGGCATTTGCCCATTTTAAAAAGCTGGATTGTGATTTTTTTCTCTTATTGGTTGTTAAGAATTCTTTGTGTATTTTGGATACAATTTCTTGGTTAGGGTGTGTATTGCAAATATCTTTCCCAAGTTGTTGTCTTGCTGGGTTGGTGAATCTTAACTTTTAGGGAAACCTATCCATTTCCCCCCTTTATGTTTTGTTTTATGCTGTTTAAGAATCTTTGTTCACCCCAAGATCACAAAGATATTCTTCTATGATTTCTTTCACATTTATAAATAAAATTTACTACTTTCACAGTTAGAGCTATAACCTACCTTAGAAATCCATTTTCTTATAAAATCTGAAGAGGGAATTAAGATTATTATCTTTTGTATACATATCCATATAAGCTAGCTGCACTATTGAAAAGATCTCTACCCATGATAGAGAAGCGGGAGTGATCAGGACCTGAAGAGAGGCATGTTGGGACTGTGTCCGTGTACTGTAAAAGTGATACATAACAGTCTAATTAAAAAAAAAATAGCCAAAATGGTTATGTGACTTCATTGGCAGATGGCTTCTAAGACAGGCCTTTTGCTGAGAGGCTTGTTCCAAAAGCATAGGTCACGGCCCTGAGGCACCTGCGTGGCTGCAGCTCGGTGACCCACCCTACGAGTTCCTCTTAGTGAACTCCCCTGTTGGGGACTCTTCTGAAAGGGACACACATATGTTCTCTTTGGGCTGGAGGTTCTTTTGCTGAAGTCTCTTGAGACTTTGTAGTGTAGTGCACCCTGAACAGGGGAGCTGGTGCTCCTAGTTTAAAACCTAGTGTAAAAGAAGCCATTTATGCATTGCAGTGTCCTTACGCTATGTCATTCCCAGTGCCCACAACCTTTACAATACATATCTTCACTTTAGATGATGAAACAACAGCTGAGAAATGTGGGGGAACTTTTCTAAAGCTTCAGCAAGGATGTGAACCCAGATCTTTCTGGTTCCAAGGTCCATAGGTTTTGCATCACACCCTCTGGCTCATGCCAAGCTCCCTGTCACTTGCAGTGTAAGACCTCCTGCGAGTGAGGTTTCCTTGTCATGCTTGTCATCAACATACCGTGAGCACATATGACACTTTAGAAAATGCCTGCTTTAGACCTAGAATAGCTAAAGCAATTCTAAGCAACAGAGACATGGCTGGGGTTATCACAGTCCCCAACTTGAAACTATACTACAAAGCTGCTGTAATAAAATCAGCATGGTACTGACAAAGAACAGACCTGAGGACCAGTGGAACAGATTAGAAGATGCAGAAACAACTCCAGACATGCTCAGCCACCTCATCTTTGACAAAGGAGCCAACCACCATCATTGGAGGAAAGATAGCCTATTTAATAAATGGTGTTGGAAAAACTGGATTTCAACCTGCCAAAGATTAAAACTAGACCCATACCTATCACCATGCACTAAACTAAGATTGAAGTGGATTAAAGATCTAAATATTAAGACAGAAACACTAAACTTGCTGGAAGATAAGTTAGGTGGAACTCTTGAAGACATTGGCATGGGAAAAGACTTCATGAACAAAACCTCAGCAGCATGGGAACTAGCAGAAAGAATCAACAACTGGGATCTCATCTTATTAAAAGGCTTCTGCACTGCAAAAGAAACCACCAACAGAGCTAACAGACAACCTACAATATGGGAAAAAAAATTTAGCAGCTGTACCTCAGACAAAGGACTACTATCTAGAATATATAAAGAACTGAAAAAAATCAGACCCTCCAAATTTGAAGACCCAATTCAAAACTGGGCATCTGAAATGAACAGACATTTCTCAAAGAAGTAAAAGCAGCAAACAAATAATATGAAAAAATGTTCAACATCACTCGTCATTTGAGAGATGCAGATGAAAACAACACTGAGATTCCACCTCACCCCAGAAAGAATGGCTGCTATCAAGAAATCAACCAATAACAAATGCTGGCAGGGGTGTGGGGAGAAAGGAACCCTTCTCCATTGTTGGTGGGAGTGCAGACTGGTGCAACCACTGTGGAAGTTAGTATGGAGATACGTCAAAGAACTAGGACTAGAGGTCCCATTTGACCCAGCTATTCCCCTGCTGGGTATCTTCCCAAAAGAATTAAAAGAATCACACCACAGTGATATATGTGCACCCATGTTCGTGGCGGCACAGTTTGTAATAGCTAAAGCTTGGAAGCAGCCCAAGTGCCCATCAACTGGAAACTGGATAAAGAAAATGTGATTTTTTTAATAAAATGGAGTACTACTCAGCCATAAAGAATGAAAAACTAGTCATTTATAGCTAAATGGATGCATATCGAGGCCATACTCTTAAGTGAAATAAATAGGATACACATGTGTAAATACCGAATAGTTTCTCTAGTGTGAGAAACTGATAGTGTAAACAAGGGTTAAAATGATTAAAATGAATAACTGATAATTTGAAATATGAAAAAAGGTCCAAAGATGAAGGAGTGAAGGGAGGGGAAGGGGAAAGGAAAAAAGGAAAAGGAAAAACTATGAGAAAAGAAAAGAAAAAAAGGAAATGAAATCTGTGTAAATAAGGAATGGGGGAGGGGGTGAAGGGCGCACAAGTAATGGGGAAAAAAATAAGAACCAAGATACATCATGTATAGGTACAAGCACCCAATGATAAATGTAAATGAATAGTATACCTAAAAAGTACCAATAAAAGAACTAAAAAAAAAAGAAAATGCCTGCTTTGTTTTTATATATCACATCCCCACTTACAGCACATACGTCCAGCAGGAAACATAGTTAACAGAGACCAGAATTTTCTCTTTTCATAATCTGTGACCACCTAAATATGTTTCTGTTATTTATACCGAATTGCATAATGCATATTTTTCCGTATCCTTTCTCTGTATCTAACCACTTAGTGAGCTGTGTAAATGACTACTCTATATATTTTATTTTATTTATAATTGTGATTTTTCTCACCAAACCAAACTCATCCAAATTTCAGATCAGATACTAGACCTGAATTCAGCTGGGCAGAAACTCTTGCTGAGAACGCAGGGGTTAAAAGCTCATTTTCCTACTCTCATTACTATTCATGGGTCACTTCTGGTAAATCCTCCTGTTTCTCACTTCTCGAAATAACGACAGCATATTTGAATGGTAACACTTCGTTCTGTAGCACCAATCCCTGTGTTTTCTGGAAGGCACTGTTACTTAATATCAGTTGTAACTGGTGCAGATTATACTGTAACTACCATGGGTTCTTACTGTGATTTGAGGGAAATTATGACTATATATATTTTTCTTTAATTGTAAATTTTCTATCACTTCCCTTTTCAGGTCTTACAATGTGAGTAACCTAATAGAGGACTTAAAATTCTTATACAAAGTTGCTGGTGCTGATGGAAAAGGCATTACCTTCATCTTTACTGACAATGAGATCAAAGATGAGGCATTTTTAGAATACCTTAATAATTTGCTATCTTCAGGAGAGGTAGGTCTCAGGAGCAGAGAGAAACCTCATATTGTAAAAATGTGAATTATATTTGTACAGCAAGGGCAGCAATTCTTCAGAAACAAGGCCTTTTAGCACTCATTCTTGATTTGAGAAATGGGATTTTGTAGATTTTTTTTGGTAGTTTTTGTGAAGTGAATGCTGTCCACTTCCAGATTTTACATATGGTTCCTTACTTGTCTCTTTAATCTTCAATTTTGTCCTACAAATTATTTTAGAAAAAGAAAAGTATCCATGCATCTGTTTACTAATCAGGAATATAGAAAGTTCCATTAGTTGTAAGTGGATGTTGGCATTGCTACTTCTGATACCAGTTGTATCAGCCCTTCTGTAACTACTCACTGTTTGGTACAGTACTTCATTAGAAGGGCTCATGGGACTCAGTAACACTCAGGGCTAAGATTTATTACTGCCACACTGTAAGGATACACAGCTGAAGCAGGAAAGAAAAACACACCGTGAGGAGTTTGGAGGAATCCTTGTGCACGCGTCCTTGGCCCTCTCCAAGGGGGCACACAGAATGTGCCCGCCCTCCAGTATGAAGCACGGGAATGTGTACATTGTGTTTCTGCTCAGGGAAGCCCGTTCAGGACTCAGAGACCAAGAGTTTCATTGGTCACGTAGTCACTCTCTGTCTAGCTATAAGTGCCAAAGTTCTAGACTCCCAGGAGACCTGGTGTTTATCTCTATCATAGTATCTGTGTCCAAGTCTAGGCACAGCGGAACAGCCTTACCCAGTCGTAATGGGGGGAGGCATTCCCAAAGCTAAGTCCCCGGATGCCAGCCAAGGGCCAGCGCTGCCAGCACACCCTGTTCAAGACTAGGCCTCCTGTGGTGACTCTGCCCTGCGAAGTTGTGATGCTGAGGCCAAATGGTTATGTATCTTGGAGCCTAAGTGGCGAAGACTGACTCATCACCACACATTTTAAGTAGTTGTTCAGAATGGTGGAGATGATTTTTCTAGTGATAACTAAGCACAGGGAAAAAAACATAATTTGCTCTTGATTGACTTGCTCAATGGAAAGTTGCATTCCATAATCCCTGGCTAGCCAGGATGTGAGAATGCAAAGGGAAAATATAAAACAAGATGACAGATAGGAGAGGAAAAAAAAAGAGGACCAGGCTTTGGCAGTGAATTGGCTTGGGGAACTCTTAAAATACAGAATCCTTTCTTGTCTGTTGCTCACAGATCTCCAGTTTGTTCGCTCGAGATGAGATGGATGAAATCACCCAGGGACTGACAGCAGTGATGAAGAGGGAACTGCCACGCCACCCTCCTACCTTCGATAATCTCTATGAGTACTTCATTTCTCGATCCAGAAAGAACTTGCATGTGGTTCTCTGCTTCTCTCCAGTGAGTCTTTATTTTTATCTGTGTAAGAGGAGTTAGTTACTTAAATGTTCTTAATATGTCCCTAATGTGCCTCTGTTGAGATATTTGCTCAGAAATTAGTGTTTATTTCATTGAATTAAAGTTAATACTTTCCTACCACCAGTGTCCATCTACCAAAATCTTATTACCAGTGTGAGAACTTAAAGTTATTCATATTATTAGGAATTACTGTAAGCCTACGAATTTTTCATTAATTATCAAAAGACATATAGGATTTGAATTGTAAGGAATTTGATGTTGTGATCTCACCCAGCTAACCTTCAATGTAGACATATCATGTAGAATATCCCTGAGGTAGGATTGAACATCTCTTGTGCACTGTCCTGTCCAGTACAGTAGGCATTAGCCACTTCTGATTATTTAAATTTTGATTAATTAAAAATACAGGAAAGTAATAAGTCACTTCCTCAGGCCCAGTAGCCCCATTTTTAGTGCTCAATTTCCATGTGTGGCTAGTGGCTACCATGCTGAAAATCACATATATAGAACATTTCTGTCATCATAGAGAGTTCTGGATACTTCTATCCGGCCCTAGGGCTCATCTAAGGGCAAGCTGCTTCCTTTTTAGATAATCTCATTGCCAGATCTCTTCTTTCTAATCAATTAAATTTTGTCTGCACCTTATACTCTGCTTCTGACTCCTCTTTGTAAAATGATTCTGATCCTTTCTCCACAGAAAGCTTTTCAGGTATTTGGAGAAAGTTTTTGCAGGCTCCCTAAACTGTTACCTTCTCAAAATAAATATCAGATCCTTCAGATCTTTGCACTTGTTCTAGTATCAGGCTTTCCACTGTCCTGGTCCTCTGTCTACAAAAGAAGTCTCACTTGTCAGTTTCCTTGGAGAAGATAGTTCTGACAGGTGAACCCTGCAGTGTAGACATAGTGCTAGGACAGGGAAATGTGAAAATATGTTACCTTCCTTTAAATGAACACTAAATTTCTATACTGTTACAGCCCAAGAAGTTTTTAAATTTGTAATGTCACACTATTGGCTCAGAATACATTCATTCCTCTCCCTCTCTAGCTGATGGACAATGCCTCTGGGTTTCTCATGCTTTTGGATTTTACTGTCAACAGGTTGGTGAGAAATTCCGTGCCCGATCTTTGAAATTTCCTGGCTTGATATCAGGCTGCACGATAGACTGGTTCAGTCGATGGCCGAAGGAGGCTCTGGTCGCTGTGGCCTCCCATTTCCTTTCGGAGTATAATATCGTCTGCTCTAGTGAAATTAAAAGACAAGTTGTAGAAACAATGGGCCTGTTTCATGACATGGTTTCAGAGAGCTGTGAAAATTATTTCCAAAGGTAAGTGATAGTACATAAGCTCGATAGCTGTTGGACCCCAAGTTCCCTCCAAAGAGGAATTAAGTGAGACATGCAGTAAAAGGCTCTTCTTACTGATTGAAAGTGAAGTCCCAGTTACATTTAGATTTTTCTTGCATTGATTTTCTAGTGATTATATATTGAAAACATGGCAAATAAAAGAGATTTAAAAATTAAGTAGCATCCACACTTAAATACCTCGTTACCCTCTGGGCCTCCAAGTAACAGATGCTTAATGAGTTGCTCTGTTTCATTTGCTTAATTTTGTTTTGAAAATGTCTTAACTAATTCATTATAAACTGTTTAAAATTAGTTTCTTATTCTGATGCATTATTTATTCTGATTAAAGCAGTACATTGTTTTTAAGTTTCTTTATTGCCTTATGTTAAGGGAACATTTAGGTTTCGTATTGGCTTGACTTAGTCTTACCAATTCTTTTATGCCAAGAAATTGTGAAGCAGAATCTTAATTGACTGCAGAAAAACCATTCACTAAGAGCAGAGATGGTGTGTTTGTTATGTGAAAGCTGGTGTCAACAGTTCAGAAATACAGATTTTCTTTTTTTGCCCCTAGAGCGTGAGAGTTGTTTTTTTTTTTTCCCATTAAGTCTATTGGTCCATTTTAGGTATACAATACAGTTACATTCATCATTGGGATCTTGTACCTTTACATGATATATCTTGGTTCTTATTTTTTTCCCCATTCCCCTGCCCTCCCTTCACCCCCTCCACCCTTCCCTATTTACAAAGACTTTATTTCCATTTTTTTTCCTTTTCTCATATTTATTCTTTTCCCTTCTTTCCTTTCCCCTACCCCTCCCACTTCCCCCACTCCTTTAGACCTTTTCTTCCTGTCACACAAGATAAATTATACATTTTTAAAAAATTGCAATATCAAGATTTAGAGGACATTACCTCAGATTTTACAGAATTTAAAAGGATATAGAAAGCATATTACAAAAATCTTTTTTGAAATAAATTTGACAACTTTTATGAAGTACCTTGGAAGACAAATTAATGAAACTGACTCTGGAAGAAATATAAAATTTGAATAGCACCTATTAAAGAAAGTATATTCCTAGCTTGAAAACCTACCTATATGACAACAACAGACTCATATGCATTTAAACTGATAAATTATATCAAACATTTAAAGCAGAAAAAAGAAGGAACACTTCTCCCCTAATTTTAGGAAATCAACATTATGCTAATACTAAAACTGGATAAAGATAATAGAAAAGTATGAATATAAATAAAAGTTGTTCAACAACACAAACTATTAGAAGTCAGATCTGGCAGTATGTAGTAAGTGGTTTTATTATAGGGATGGCAGTGTTGGCTCAGCATTGGAAGATCCACCCCCATAAGTCATCATTTTAACAAAGGAAAGGAAAAAGCCATATGATCCTATCAGTAGTTGCAGAAAAAGTATTGGACTAAATTCTACAGCTGTTTATGGTAAAAGCTATCAGGAGACTAGAAGTAGAACAGAACCTTCTCAACAGATAAAAGACATGACCCCCATACTTCCAGCAAAAACACCTATATGAATGGAAAATATACAATCCTTTCTCCCTAAGGTGGAGAACAAGGGCAGATATGCCTACTCTTCAGCTGTCCATTAAACTTTGAAACATAGGCCCAAACCAAAATAGTCTGGCAATAAAAATAAAAAAATAGCATAGGATTGGCAAGGTAGAAGTAAAATCTTTATATATGTAGATGAAATGATCATCTACAGAGAAAATACTAAGAAATCTCCAGGAGCCCCTAGAACTTGTATTTGAATTTAGCAGGATTAGAAAACACAAGGCATATATAAAAATTCAGATCTATGTACACTTGCTATAAATGAAGAATTGGATATTGAAATTTAAAAGTTATGTAGGAGTAGAAAGGACCCAGAAAAGTAAAAAGAAAAAAAAAATAACAGTGTTGGAAGACATTTATTACCCCATTTTAAGACTTCTTCTAAAGCTACAGTAATCAAGGCAATGTTGGCATAAAGAAAGACATATAGATCAAGGGAATAAAACAGAGAATCTAGAAATAGAACCACACATATATGGTCCACTGATTTTGGAAAGATTATTTAACATTAACATTTTATAGAATATAAATTCAACTCGGGAGCAGAGGAAAAGATAATGTTTTCAACAAATGGTACTAAAACACCTGGTATCCATATGTAAAAGATTAACCTCAACCCTTTATTTCCATATGTAAAAATATCTTGAAAGGATCTATGATCCTAAACATGAAAGATTAAAACTATAAAACTTTAAGAAGAAATTATAAGGGGAAATGTTCATGAATTTAGGATAGGCAAGAATTTCCTAGGATACAAAAACATGATATATAAAAGAAAAAAATTGATAAATGAGATTCCATCAAAATTTAGAACTTTAAAAGACATCATTAAGAAAATGAAAAGTAGTCCTTAACCAGAACATATTTATAATAAATATAACCTATGACTAGAATATATAAAGAACTCTTTATATATTAATAAACAACCCAATTAAAAAGTAGATACAAGAAGATGATAAATAGCCAGTACAGCACAAGGAAAGGTGTGCAACTCTAGAATCAGAAAAATACTAATCAGTACAATAAGAAGATAGTATTATACACTCATTAGGGAGATTAAGTTAAAGGTTTTAATAGAACAAATATCAGCTTAGGTGTGAACCAGTTAGAACTTTCTAATACTGCTAATGTGAATGTATAATGATAAAGCCATTTTGGAAAACAATATAGAAATTTCTTGTATTAGAACCAATAGTCTCTTAAGTTTTTACTTAAGAGAAATGAAAACACATGTTCAGAATAGATTTGTACCTACAGGTTGACTGTCCCTTATCTGAAATTCTTGGGGACCAGAAGTGTTTCAGATTTTGAAATCCATTTGATCTGCAAAAAGGATAGCTACTCCTGCTTTTTTTCAGGTTCTTGTCACATGGAGTATTGTTTTCTACCCTTTAACTTTCAGTCTATGAATTTCTTTTAAAATTAAGCATGTTTCTTGCATGCAGCATATTGTTGGATCTTGCTTCTTGACCCATTCTGCCAGTCTGTGTCTTTTGATTGGTGAGTTGAGACCATTAACACTAATAGTTATAACTGATACGTATTGACTTATCATTGTCATGACTTTTCTTTTTGTTGGATTCTCCCCCTTTGCATTTAATTTCTTGTCATGTCCAATGGATTCATTCTGCTGGGCTTCCTGGGGTTGTGGTCCTCATTGTCTTTTCCTAGGATATTGTCTAAAATTTTTTGGAGTGCTGGTTTGGCATTCATGAAGTTCCTAAGGTTCCCTTTGTCATGAAAGTATCTTATTTCTCCATCAATTTTGAAAGATAATTTTGCAGGGTACATCAGTCTGGGTTGGAGGCTGTTTTCCTTTAAGGCTTGGAATACGTCACTCCGAGTTCTTCTTGCCTTCAGGGTTTGTGTTGAGAAGTCTGCTGTGATTCTGATGGGCTTTCCTTTGTATGTGATTTGTTTCTTTTCTCTAACTGCTTGTAGAATTTTGTTCTTCTGTTGGATATCTGGAATCTTAACTATTATATGCCTGTGTGTAGATTTTTTTTTATCATGGCTAGTTGGAGTCCTATGCCTCCTTTATCTGCATGTTAAGTTCTTTTCCCCTGCTTGGGAAGTTTTCTGCCATCATTTCTATAAACAGTTTTTTTTTTTTTTAAAGTCGTCTGCACTCTCTCCTGTTTCTTCATTGACTCTGATCAGTCTTATGTTATTCTTCTTTGCATCATTTAGCAGCTGCTGGACTGCTTTCTCATGGTCCCTTACTATTTAAAAAATTTTTTTCTTTTCCTGTTCACTAATTGCAATCTTATCTTCTATATCTGAAATTCTGTCCTCAAATGGGGTCACTCTGCTGTGTAAATGGAGTTTTTAATCTCTTAGAAATCTGTTTGGATCTGTTTTATGGATACCATTTGTTTCCTATGTTGGGATTCCATCATATTCCTCAGCTCCTCTATTTTTTTCTATCTGTGTCTGGTGTAGACTTATTAATCATGTCTTGCACTGTGGGTACAATCTCTGCTGTTATTTGAGAAATTATTTCTGATTTTATTTTTTCCAGATCCTCTTTTGTTGCCAGTTTAGGGAGTCCAGGTGGTTGAGTATCAGATTGTTCCATCTTGTTTCCCTTTTGGGGTTGCCTTAGGTGATCTGGAAGTCTGGTTTTGAGGCTTGTTTATGTGTCTTCTCATTTCAGCTGATGCAGCCTGTTGTGCCTTGTTGAGGCAACTTTTTTTTTTTTGGTATATCCTTTTATTGGTACATTTTAGGTGTACAATATAATGACATTCATTATGGAGATATGCACCTTTACATACTCTCCTGGTTCTTATTTTTTCCCCCTTCCCCTGCCCTCCGTTCAACCCCTCCATCCCTCCCTATTTACAAAGACTTTGATTCCATTTTTTCATTTTCTCATATTAATTCCATTCTCTTCTTTCTTTTCCCCTACCCCTCCTATTTCTCCCTCTCCTTTGCCCCCTTTCTTCCTATTTCACATTATCTATTATACCTTTTAGTTCTTATTTACACTTTCAGTTTCTCACACTAGAGAAACTATTTGGTATTTACACATGTGTGTCCTATTTATTTCACTTAAGAGTATCATTGAGGCAACTTTTTGCTCACCCAGTGGGCTTCAATTCTCAGCAAGCCACAGAGCTGCCATTTCTCTGCTGCTCACCAGTACACTAATTCCTGGGTGCAGAAAGGTGGCCTTCTGGATCCCTGAGCTGACCTGTTGTCTGGGCAGGCTTCTGGCTGAGGCCTGTGCACACTTGGGATGATATCTAGGTGTACCATTGGCTAGGGCCCTCATATTGCTGGTGTCTGGGAGGGGCTTTGGCTGTGGGCTGTGCACCCCAGTTCCTGTTGTGTGAGCAAGCTTCTGGCGAGAGTCCTATGCACTTACTGATGGTATTGGGGCAAACCTCTGGTTGTTGCTTGTGTGCCTGTGCTACTCTTTTCCAGGCAGGTCCTTGGCTTGGGCCGGTGTGACCCAGCCTCTGGGGTTGGGGCGGAGCCCTGGCTGGGATTACTTGCAGCTGGGCTGCTCTGGTCCACACTGCTGCTCCCCCAACTGAGATGGTCTGGTGTGCCTTTATTGCAGAGATTTTCTTCACTTTTCTGATGGGCTTTAATTTTCATCAAGGGGCCTCAGAGAGGCCCTCTTTCTGTTGTTCACTTCTACTCTATCTTCTCAAGCTCAGAACAATGTCGTTTATGATCCCTGCAACTCTACAGTGTGGATCTAGGTAATGGCTCAGCACAGCCAGGGTGGGGGACGAGTGTGTGCTGGCTCCGCTGAAGCTCACCTCCTTGGTGCTCTGGGGCAGTGGTATGGCAGCCCGAGAGGCTCACCTTGGTGCTCTGGGGCAGTGGTATGGCGGCCTGAGAGGCTCACCTCCTTGGCCCTCTGGGGCGGTGAGAGTTGTTATGTAAGACTGACAGATGTGAATAAAGGTGGGCTGGCACAGACACTGATTTCACGGTGAGAATAGTCTGCCAACACTGTATGTGAACACCCCAAAATCACAGAGGTGATCATTGTTTTGTTTCTACTTTCAGATACCGCCGAAGAGCACACGTGACTCCCAAATCTTACCTCTCGTTTATAAATGGTTACAAAAACATTTATACTGAAAAGGTGAAATACATTAATGAACAAGCTGAACGTATGAATATTGGTAAGAGGAATGGAATCATGTCTTTTTCAGGGTTTTCTTGATAGTAATCTCAACATTCTGTTGGGTGGATATTATTATGCTTGGAAACAAGATGCTTGATTGTGAGTAGTAGATCATTTTAAGAGATGAGTTGAAAGGTCTTTTGTGCTGTCAAGGAACTCTGGGCAGGAAAAAATGCAAGCATTGTCTTCTAGAACCCTTGCACTCAGCTCTCTTAATTCCAGGTCCTCTATGGTGGCCATGAATCTTTGTAGTCCCTGAGCCATTGCTTGGAGATGGGGGAAAGGCAACTCTTCAGAACTAATTGCAACTGCCTTGATTTGTAAACTTTGCCACGTTAGTGCCTTCTAAATTTCTACCAAAGAAAAAGGCAAAACAGAAAAAAAACAATGGGTTGTTGACTGAAGCAATGGTTTTCTGTAGTGTAAGTAGGAAACATGTATTGGAACAGAGCATGTGTCCAGAAATCATGGGGGCCATATGATCCAAAGCATTTATTTCCTTTCCCCTAAACATAACTTGTTCACATAGTGATCCAGGGGAGAGAAACCTTTTCCTGTGGCTTTTCTCATGACTCCACTTCTGAAAAATTACAGTGAATGTTTAAATTTTTAAAAATGTAATATAGTAAACGACACATTGCCATGAATCCTCAAAATACTCCCTCTTATTTCAAACACACTTATCCCAATGCTCTTGCCACTTTCTGAAGCATCTCTGGAAGTCCTCTTTCCTGTCATCACTTGCATTGTCATGGCTGCCTCCATATCCTGAATCCATTCAAAATATTTGCCTTTAATAGTCATTTTGACTTTGGAGAAGAGCTAGAGTTGCATGATGCCGGATCCGGTGAATAAGGTGGATTGGGGACACACTAATGTTTTTACAATCTTTTCTTTCTGTTGTATGGCACTTGGCAGCTGTATTCATTGTATTTGTTTTTTAATCACACCTTACAAAGACACTTATGGACACTTAGGGCTGCTTCAGAAAGTGGCAACAGCACGATATGAGTGTTGGAAGTGAGTGGGAGTATTTTGAGGAGGATTAATAGCGATGTCTTTTATTGTAATACATCTTTCAAAATTTAAACGTTTATCATATATCTTAATCACTCCTTGTATATGATGCTGTAGTATCAGTGGTGTGCAGTAGCTTATTTGTATTAGTTTATTGGGCATATTTTAGGAATTTTACCATCTGGTTCTTAAGCATAGCCTTTATGAAAAACTAAATAATAGCTGAGCATGGTGGTACACTCCTGTAATTCCAGAACCCTAGGAAGCTGAGGCAGGAGCATCTCAAGCTCAAGTACAGCCTGGGCAAGCAACCTAGTGACTTAACAAGATCCTTTCTCGAAATAAATAAAGGTCTGGGGGTGTCACTCAATGCAAAAGCCCCCCCCATGCACATGCACACACACAAAATCATATGCACTTATAATTAAATAACTTACATTAAAATGAAGGCAATAGATAGTTATCATTGCTTATTTATTTTAATTTGATTTTATTGTTATTAATGTTCTTGGGAAATTTATTTCTATTCTCTGTACAGTGGAAACATGATATAATTCTGTGCTACTGAGACTCTGTCAGCCATGGTGGAAAACATTAAGTGACTGCTTCCCCTCCCCAGAGACCCCCAGATATAAACATCGACCTGCATACCACTGTCTAGAACCCAGCTGCAATATGAGAAATTCAGTTACTCAGTTATTTCACTGCATTACTGAAGATCAGTCAGTTGCACAAGGTCTAGCGATTGTTGTCATTTTTATAGCAAAGAAAACCACAAAAATATTAACAGTTTTTCTATCTCATTTGCCAACTCAACTGCAGGGTGATGCAAAGGCAAAAAAAAAAAAAAAAAAAGATTGCCACAAAGTGTTTACAAAGCCAAGGAGAATCTAAGTTTGCCAAATACATTTTCTGGCCAAACAAATTGTATTCGGCATGACCCAGTGGCCTTCCCTTAAATGTATCTAAATTATATTCTCCCTCATTTTACTTTTAAAAAATTGTGATGTTGAAGATTAAATAGGTGATGTTCTCCTATCAAAGCTATTTTCTTACTCCCTGTTGAATGCTCAGAAATATGGCCAGTATTGTTTTCCCAAGATATGTATGTTTTCAAGGCTTTTGTCCATAATTATCTTTTGTTTGTTGTATTACATATATACTAACTTATAATTAGTAAATATTGATGAAGGGATATACAATATATTTATATTGAGCAAGAGTGTGTATGTGTGCATTTGTAAAGGTCTTGATAAGCTTATGGAGGCAAGTGAATCCATTGCTAAACTCTCTCAAGATCTTGCGATAAAGGAGAAGGAACTGGCTGTAGCTTCTGTAAAAGCAGACAAAGTAAGTTTGCACTTATTCTATCACTGTTGAGGAGGAATAGTTTTCCATATTTAAAAAAACAATATTTTAAAATGTTATTAGAATGAGGACTGCTGGGCACAGTGGTGTACACTTACAATCCCCGCTACTCAGGAGGCTGAGGCAGAAGGATTGCAAGTTTCCAGGCCAGCCTAGACAACTTAGTGGAGATGTTTTCTCAAAATAAAAAGCAAAACTGGGCATGGTGCACACCTGTAAATCCAGCACTCTGGGAGATCAAGGCAAGAGGATCACAAGTTCAACTGCAGCCTGGGAAATTTAGTGATGTAGTGAGATCTTGTCTTAAAATAAAAAATAATACGGGCTGGGGACATAGCTCAGTGCATATGTGCTGGGTTCCATCCCCAGCACTGGGGTAAAAAAATAAGAATGCATAACCTATAGATTAGACCTGATAAGTAGTATTCACAGAGATTTTTGTTTAACCTATACCAAGACATATCTAAACTGTTATCAGTTCTACCTGCTCAAAAACTATTCTTCTCTTGTTCTCTCTGATCTGTTTATAGAACCTCTGCTTGACTATGAGTCCCTCTTAAAGTCCTTCATGATTTAGGTTCCTAGGATGGCTCAAGTCTCAAGTTTGTGTTGAGGAGGGAAAAGGATAAGAGAAAGAGTTTATGTAGTTGGGGGGGAAAAGTACTCTCCTTCATAAGTGATAGGGATGTATGTGTGTTGTTCCTTTGTCCACCACCACTTTCAGTCTGCTTTTGACATCCACTGAGAGAAACCTAAGTTTTGACCCTTAGCCAGTTATGGAAATGAGTGCCATATAGGGGAAGCATAGTCTGAGCATATAGGAAGCACTCAATAAACATTAGCTATTTTTATTATTATCATATTAGACTTAATGTGGTTTCTGACCTTATTCTACTTCCTTGAACTGTCTCAATTTTTAGTTCATAGAGTAAAATGCCATTTTGCTCTTTATTTATAATGCAATTTAAAATTTACATTTATATATTTTATGTATAAATTTTAAAAATTAAATATGTGTTTTTTATATATCCTAAGCCTAAGGAAAGCTTAAAGGTAGAAGACTGCAAGGAACCAGCCAAAGGAATTAGTTTAATAAACCTTAAAATACAGATGGCTTAGATGGGGAATAAACTTGCTCTTATTCATATTTTGTACTATATTGAGTAAATGTTCTCTTACTGCATAAGTCTATAAATTTTACTTGAAAGTTTTCTATTTGCTTTCATGTGTTTCTTTAACTTAACAGGTATTAGCTGAAGTCACAGTAAGCACTCAGGCTTCAGCCAAAGTAAAAAATGAAGAGCAGGAGGTAAAAGACAAAGCCCAAAAAATTGTGGATGAAATTGATAGTGAGAAAGTAAAAGCTGAGACCAAACTTGAGGCTGCTAAACCTGCCCTGGAAGAAGCAGAAGCTGCCCTGAATGTGAGCAGTGTGTTGCTATCCTTCCCAACACAATTCCTAGCAGATACCTTGTTTCATTGCATGAAATCAATTGTGGAATTTCATAATCAAAAACTGAATTGAATTCTTAACCTTCTTGAGATCTGCAGACAAATGTTTCTATTGAGACCTTTTTCTAAGTTTTTAGAGTCCTCACTTCTTATAACCTATTATTTTTATTCCATAACTCAACCTTCCCTGGGAGTTGAGAAATAATACCGGTGAAGAATGTACTAAATTGTAGCATGAAGGATCCAGATTACATAGGGAGCATTCTTGGTTTCTCCAGTATCCCCCCCAGATGGTGTCCTTTCCCTTTTTAAAGTCCTCTTGTGGTTCCCACTGCTCCTAGGAAAATTCCCAATCTGGGCACCCACAGGTGTGAGGCAAGTGTGGGACACTGCCTTGGAGGCAGGCCAGTATGCATTTGCTGCTTATGACCACCACTTCTTAGATATACGATCTGGAGAAAGTTTAGTTAACTTTCTTGGGTCTCCAAAAGGATTGTAATTCCTCATTGATGCTTGAAGGATCCAGGTAAGCATTAAAAGTAAAATTTTAAAAATAGATATATGTAATTTGTGGGGCCCATAGAAAGTGTACAATAAATGCTACTGCTTCTGTTGATGTGATAACCTAGACTTTGTCTACCTCTTGAACTTTAACTCTTTGTCATTCTGTTCTATAGCCACATTATGTTTCAGCCATCAGAAACATCTGTAGGATTCTGGAAGAATCATGATCGGTTATCTTTTAATGTGCTTCCTCTGTGCCAGGAATGCTTTTCCTAACCTTCATTGCCTAATAAAAGTCATTCTCCAAATCTGGGCTCAAACCTCATTGCTTCTAGAAAGTTTTCAGTTCTTCTCCTGGACTTTCCTTTGTTTTCCTATCACCCTATGCTTCTGTCATGGCAGAAATCCTATTTTAGGGTAATTGTATTTTCTTTGCCTTCCTTGGGAGATTATGAAGCCAAGGTTATTTTTGTTTGTTTGTTTTCTGTTATATGGGAGAATGTTTATAGTTGTTAAATTAATGAATAAATCTATGATGATTATTTAATAAAATTTTCAAAATGGTCAGGACATATTCTCTACCCCTTCTCATTCCTTTTATGTATCCTAAAATAATATACAAAAAAGAGAGAGAAATTACTGAACCAAATGAGTCTAAAGACATTTTATAAACTATATTGCCTCCCAGTCTTAATCTAAAGCCAGCTCACAGATAGAAACTTTGAAAAATATTTTTATGAGCCATATGTTATGCTTCTCCTGTATCCTTCTAATTCTTTCCCCTTCCATACATGGGGCAGCCCTCAAAATGAAGACCGAAGGTGAGGTTTCTGATGTTCAGGACTTTGTCTCTTCTCTTAATATCCAGATAATATAGACTCTGTATTTTGAAGGTACAAGTTATTTAAATATTACATACCAGTGGGACTTGTTAGCAGAGGTCTAGCGTGGTGGGCAATCAATGGTAGTGATATTTTAAATTACTTAGTTGAGGGCAATAGGAGATAAAGGAATAAAAACAAATCCTAAAGTACAATGAAAGAATCACTATGTAAAAATCTTAGAATTCAAACCCTGAGATAATGTTAGAAATTGGGGAAAGCATGTTTTACAGTAGTCTGCCTTAATTATTGAAAAGTATTGGACTTCCATATGACTATTAATAGTACTTAACGAAAAATATATTGATTCCTAATTTCAAACACAGACCATCAAACCAAATGATATCGCCACAGTCAGGAAGCTTGCAAAACCACCACATCTTATTATGAGAATCATGGACTGCGTGCTGTTACTATTTCAAAAGAAAATTGACCCTGTTACGATGGATCCGGAGAAACCTTGCTGCAAGCCATCATGGGGAGAGTCCTTAAAGGTAAATAAAGTCTGCCTTGGTAAATCCTATGAGGTATATCAGGTGTCCCAGCCCAGGACACTTGATACAGACCAGACAAAATGGAAGACAATAATAAATCATTGCATATTGTAGACTCTGTTTATCTTTCACTGTACCATCCAGAATGTAAGAAGGGATAGATTTTTTCAAGCTGAATACCGTCTTTTTATGAAATCATTCCAGACCAGTGTCTAGTACTGGCACAGCTTGATGTCAATTCAACCCAGTCTCCAAAGGAGGCCCATATGGTTGGTAGTTTGGACATATTCACCAAATGGGAACTTACAGTTTTTCTTCTTTATTTTTTCACTAGAGAAACCAGGAGACAGTTTGCAGTTTACAGATTTGGATTAACTATTGCAAATAATCTTTTTTTTTTTTTGGCAGACCTGGGGATCAAACTCAAGACCTTGCGCTTGCCAGGCAGGCACATTGCAAATAGTCTTGATTGATAATTCAGAACAAATCAACTATTGCTTCTTTGGAAAAAAAAAATCCAAATTAGAAGCACATGCTACCTCAGGAAGGAAGTATTTCTTTTCTCCCAGGCCTTACAGGTCATGATACTATTTTTCAGTTGATGAGCGCAACAGGATTCCTGTGGAGCCTTCAGCAGTTCCCCAAGGACACAATAAATGAAGAGACAGTTGAGTTACTACAACCATATTTTAATATGGATGACTACAATTTTGAAAGTGCCAAGAAAGTCTGTGGGAATGTGGCTGGTCTGCTGTCTTGGACACTTGCTATGGCAACATTTTATGGCATCAACAGAGAGGTTTTGCCTCTAAAGGTAAGTTTCCCTCCTTCTCCCAGTGAATCAATGTTTAATAAAGGCAATCAGCAGTATTACTGCTTTTAGCAGACAAAGCACAATTTAGACCAATACAAGTAGATGTCCTTGTAACCAAAATTTTTCTCTTATGCCCTCACAAAGTTTCTGTCCTTTTTATATCTGTTACATGGTTTTTTTGGTAATTAGATAAGTAACCAAAACCAACTTGTTAAATAGAAAGTGAATTTATCGGGAACAATAATCAAGACAAAGAAAACTTTCCATTTCCTTAAAGTTTGGAGTTTGGAGACTCAGTTCAATGACTATATTCCCAATAAAACTTACGAAAATTAGGATTAACACCTAGACACATCTTAATTTCAGACACATAAAAAAGACCTAATATATGCAATCTAAGAGGCAAGTGAGCGAACAGAATTTAAAAGGCAGCTTACAAAAGAAATCAGGATATTTTTGACTTTCCACAACCCTAAACACTAGAAGATAATGGAAAAACATAAGCAGAATGTTGAGGAGGAGATTCCTGTGGTCCAAGAAATCATTAAAAGCAATGCTCTTCAATGTGTGTGGGAGCAAACAGACATTCTTAAGGATGTAACTGAGTATTAGTTGGTGCATACACGCATGCGTGCAATGCACACACACACTTCACACCCAGCCAAGCTGTCCTTCATGTCTGAGAGAACAGGAAGATACTCTTAGGAATGCAAAGATTCATAAAATGTACCACATAGATGCACACTATTCCCAGAGTTCACTATTCAACCCCTCCATAAAGCTAAAAGAGTTGTAAGTGGTTGCACTGGCGAATGGGTGGGTGGGCAGGCAGTTACTGTTTTCCTAATCCACCTTAGAGAAGTGGCTGTCTCTTTAAACTCTACATGGGTAACTTTGAGGAAAATAGAAAATAAATTACATATAAAAAAGTTTTAACAAAGGGAAATTGCAGGAAAATACAGCGAATGTACCCCCACAAAAAGATAGCAAGGGGGAAATGCTACTGCGGTATAAATATGTAATTCTTGTTGAACTGTAAGAAAAAAAGCACGTGAGAGCAGTTATCTTTTATGTATAAAAATTATGATCCTTGTTGAGCATGGTGATGCACTCCTGTAATCCCAGCACTTGAAAGGCTGAGGCAGGAGGATCGCAGTGAGTTTGAGGCCAGTCTGGGCTACATAGTGAGACCCTGTCTCAAAAAAAAAAATTGTGATCCTCAGTAGAGACTTAATTATAATAATGCTTTTTGAGGGCCGGGATTTAGCTCAATGGCACTGCAACTGCCTCGCAAAGCATAAGGTCCCGAGTTTGATCCCTGGTACAAAAACATAGTAATAATAATGCTTTTTGATATGAAATAGTATTACATTATGTAAAACATAAGCCTATCAAAGACTTCTGCAGAAGGCTCAGATTTCCTGCTCAGTGCTATGGAGCAAGGCGAGAGGAAAAACTTAAAGACAGAGTTAAAGAGAGAAATGAGGAGCCAGGATGGCCAATGCTGAGCAACAAAGGCCCTGGCCAGCCAAAACTGTTGATATTTGTTGATATTTGTTGGTGACATCATAGTTGATATTTATTGGTGACATCATAGTTAGGTCAAAGTAAAGGGGCTACATGTAGTTGGTAGGGATAGTTGTTGATCAGGCAAGGGTTGTAAAGGAAGAGACAAAGCATTCTTGAATTAGGAACAGAACAGACAAAATATAGGTTGTGCTTAGCAAGTAACCTTGCCCTTCTAGTTAAGAAGGTTATAATTTGGGGAATGGAATTTGGATACGAGTCAGTCTGACCTCGGCTGTGTGTTACATTAAGCCCCATAGCTTCACAGGCCATTTCTCTGGTGTCTACCATGGCCATTGGCAGGGGGCTGATATTGGCCCATGCACCATCTGCAATGCCCCTATGAGTCACATAAGCTTTGGTCAAACTCACTTCTTAAAACATGTCAATTGCGGGATTAACTGTTTACAGCCTGCACTGCTCACAGCCTGCTTTGGGCATAATCAATGGGGCGGTCCCCCACATAATCCATTAGTATCTTAAGTGATATTTAACAAAAAGAATAACATGACTTCAGATTTTGGCACACACTGCCAGTCTGCAACAGATCTGCCTGGCACAGGGCTGACTTTACAGCTGTAGGGTCTGCGTTTGGTTTAATGTTCAATTGTTGCCCTCTTGAAATTCTTAATAATCTTTTAACAAGGGTCCCTGAATTTTCATTGTGCATTGGGCCCTGCAAATTATGGGACAAATCCTGAATGGCCATAAATTAATAACTATATAAACTCTTATTTAATATTATTTGAAAGGTTGAGTAGCTATATTGGACTTTTTTTCAGTATAAACAAATAATATGAAATAATTTCTCTTATCCAAGAAACACTTACAGAAATTGATCGTATTCAAGAAGCCCTTGAATCCCCAAAAGCAGAAATTCCCGGGCCTCATTCTTTGATTGTAAACAATAAAATTAGAGAGTTTACATTTTCAAAAAGCCAGTTGCTTCTATTTAGAAGATGATGAAAGCAAGCTAGTTACCGAAGCTGTTATGATGTGACTGAAATGGTGCTTCCTTGGCCCTTAATGTCATCAAAGAAACTAAACATTCCACGTAAAAGTTAAAGGACATGCTCACCAGCACATGTACACACAAAATTTAAAAAGCAGAATAGAGGTAATAAAAATGACATTAAAAATAGAGAAGAGAAAAGCATTCGAATTAATGAGCAAAGCTAAGAACCGGTGCTTTGCAAAAAATAAACTGTAAAGAAATATGTTCCTAGAAAAGCTAATCAAGAAGAAAATAAACAAAAGCGAATGAGCATAGAAAGATAAATCCATATAACCACAGTCGTGTAGATTTAAATAATTAAAGAGTGCTTTTTGCATAGTTTCATGTAAATACATTAGATCATCTAAATGAAAATTCTCTGGAGAAAAGGGCTAAAATCAAATAAATCAAACATTTGAAAAAGAAACTGAGACCCACGCCCCCAGGAGCTCTGGGCCTAGATTATTGATATTTTAACTTTATAAGAAGCAGATAATCACCATGTTATAGGACTTATAAAAAGATGAAAAGCTGCTGTTACAGTAATTTTATTTTCAAAGAATCCTTACCAAAGAAATAATGCAAAATGTTGATATACCCAGTAGTACTTATCACAGCATTGCTTATAAGAATTCAAAGCAAAGGGAGGGCAAGAATGCATAAAAGTAGGGAAAAGGTTAAGTAAACTATGATATATTCAAAGTGTGGGATATCATGCAGTCATATTACTAATGTTCACGAAAAGAATGTTTAAGGCTGTGGGAAAATGATTATACTATATATTAAGTGAAAAAAATCCAGATGCCACTTACCAACTTATTAACAAAATACTCACACGATTATTTTCAGAGGTCATTTTTAGTCTGCTTTCTATACATTGTGCTATTTTCCATGTTTTCTATATTGAGCATTAATAATTAAAAGAGGAAAAAGTTAATGAAATATCCCCAAGACCTTCTGCCTCCCCAGCTGCAAGCAGTGAAACTGATGAGCTCCAAAGCGCTATCCACTGCAAAAATTGTGTAATTTACGTTGCCATTCACCAAGTAAAATCATGAATGTTTCATGGAGCTAACACAACTCCACGTGAACCACCTCTTCTTCCTTTCCAGGCAAACCTAGCCAAGCAGGAAGGCCGGTTAGCTGTTGCTAATGCAGAATTAGGGAAGGCCCAGGCGCTCCTGGATGAGAAACAGGCTGAGCTAGATAAAGTACAAGCAAAATTTGTTGCAGCAATGAAAGAGAAAATGGTGAGATGCTACGCACATGACTGAAATCATGTCCTGAAACGTCAGCCCAGTGTGTGTTGTATTTAGAAATAAGAGGAATGTTTGTGATGAGAATTCTTACCAGAGTACCCTGATTCGCTGGCTGTGGCTGTTTTGGATCTTTGGCGCTCAAAAATCTCTTCATTTTTAAAGTTCATGAATCTATCAGAGGAATGAAAAGACAGGGTGCATGATCCAGTCCAGGCACTTGCTAACTGTGCAGTCTGGGGCAGTGGTCCAGGCTTTATCTGTAAAACGAGAATTCTAGGAGGACAAGTTGTAAGCAGTATTGTGAGGATAGAAAAGGACTCAGTGCTGGGGGTCGGAGGAGCCTTGATTTGTAGAATTTGCTGATTTCTGTGTGTCATTCCTCCTACCCCTGCCTGCCTGTGTTAAATTACCATGATATCACTGGGTGCAGATGTGACAAAAAAATACATAACACTCACCATTCCATACTATTTCCATCACACAGATGCAGTGGGCATATCCTCGGCAGCATAGACATTATTAAAACGTAAATAATTAGAAAATGATGGATTTTTTATTATGTGTTGCCTTTGCTTTTAATATAATGTAGTTGTAAGTTTTCTAGTGTAATTGTGAATAATGGCTGCATTTAGCGCCAGCTCTGAAAACTGAACAGTTGCCTCTTATGAGCTAGTTCAAACTGACTCTGGTGGGGGATTTTTCTTAAAGGAAATACTTTGTAAACTGTAGCAAATTATTAAACTCAAGGCTTTAAGATGGTTTTTATTGATTTATTGATTGATTTTTAAATTGATTTGATATTTCTTAATTTAAATTAAATGGATTTAAAAAACTGATACATAAAAACATAGACACTACATTTGCATGGGGCATTGGGTGATGTTTTGATACATGTATAGATTCTGTAACGTTTAAATCAGGGCAAACTTATCTGTCTCCTCAAATATTTATCATTTCTTTATTGTTGTCTTGAAAATGCCTGACAGAATTAACATGATTTGAATTCTGTCTTACAAAATTGCTTCTCTTGAAATTTTGTAAGATCAAATTGCTCTTATCGTGAATGATGAGAATTTACTCTGCAAAGTTCTGTCACTCTGTATTATTTTTAGGTTGTATTTATTTCGCAAGTGGGATAATTCCTCCTTGTAGTTTTATGTTGTGATATAATAATGGGTGTTCGATCAAGCATTTTAAAAACTCTGAAATGTTCTTTTCCGAGTGCAGGATCTGCTCAATGATGCCGATATGTGCCGGAAAAAGATGCAGGCAGCTTCCGCGCTCATCGATGGACTGAGTGGAGAAAAAGTCCGATGGACACAGCAGAGTAAAGAGTTCAAAGCTCAGATTAATAGGTATGAATTTTGGTCTCTGTTAGAATCACCCTCCTTCTTAATTAGCCATCACAACAAACCCACCTCTTTGTGACACTAGAGAATATCTAACCAGTTTGTTTCCATGCAGAAGCACTTTTCTCCTTTATTTCCATCTGTCCATCTCTGCATCCTGTCCTCTAAGAATGCTTACAGCTGGACTCACACATGGTCAGTAGAGTAAAGACAATTCCATGAAACGGTTTTAATCTTAGCCGTAGCTTGGTAATGTGGGTTTTCAGTCTGACATCTGATGTTTGGATTTGCCAGACAATTTGGGTTTTCCCTCCAGTTCTCACCTCAGAGTTTGAAAGTGTGGACCACTGGTTGGTTCTAAATGCAAAGGTTTCTTGTGCTGATGTCTACTGAGGCCCCCAGGAAACTTAGAAGGAAAGAAAGAATAGGAAAATAGCAAAGAAGAGGAGGAGGACATGGTTTAACATAAGACTGGTTGTGAGCAGGACCATGGCCTGGGATAGAAGAAGGTACTTTCACAAGGAGCGGGGCTCTGCACCTGTTGGGGTTTGCAGGAAGCCTGCTTTCTTGCTCCCTGGCCCACCCCAAATGTGGTCCCTCTTACCCTGTTGAGTTTGGGACACCTTTCCCATGGTCTTTCCATGCCTGGCGGGAATAGAGAAGGATTTCACCTCGTAACACAACAAAACAAAACTGCACTGTGACCTTTCCAGCTACCTAACGAATAAGCTTAAAATATATTAGGTGATTCACTTTCGGGAGGGCTTGTGTGTTTTTTCTTAACAGACTTGTAGGTGACATTCTGCTGTGCACGGGATTCCTCTCCTATCTTGGTCCTTTCAATCAGATATTTAGGAACTATTTGCTTAAAGATCAGTGGGAGGTAGAGATGAAGGCACGGAGAATTCCTTTCACGGAAAACCTGAATCTTATTTCAATGTTGGTGGATCCTCCAACGGTAAGTTTTATTTTCCTTGCAGTATTTGTATTTTAGCCTCATTTTGTTACTTACTAAGAAGTAGAGGTCCACCTAATTTTTACTTTTTCACTGAATTGAAAATATTGCTTTGCAAATGCTTGAGAGTAGGGGAAAAAGAATTTTCTTTGTGGCATTTCTTTGCATTTTCAGAATCTTGCTTTCAGATTAAAACCATTAACACTGCTATGAACTAAAAGATCACTTGTGAGTTACAGGCTCGCTAACACTGAACTCTTCTTCTTCTTTTTTTTTTTTTTTTTGGTACCAGGGATCGAACTCGGGACCTTGCGCTTGTGAGGCAGGCGCCGGAACCACTGAGCTAAATCCCTGGCCCAACTGACCTCTTCTTAATAACTTCCCAGGGCTTACAGCACTCCTGAGAAGTCACACACTCTTTCAAACTTTTTTTGGAAAATGTAGGCATTACCTAGGCCATAAATGCCGCTACTAACCTTCCTTTTATTATTCACCATCTTTTGTTAGTGTCCAATAGCCTAACACCATAACATGTTTTGCTATTATGTAGTAATAGCATAACCTGCTATACTAATCCTCCTCAATGGGATTTTGTGGCCGCTGTCAATTTTCAGCATAGCTTATAGAGCTCCTATGGTACTAAAATGCTTTCCAGGCAATTTATATTCATGATTGCATTTCTGATTTGCAAATATGCTCTCCAGTTGCTGCTTCCTTAGGGGATGCAATGCTATTAATTTTGTGTTATCTGTATTTACAAGTTAAAAAATAATCTTCAGTTCAAACAATGTGGAACTCATCCTTACAGGGAATAGATTATTCCCATTGGAGATGTGCTGGGCACAGATGAAGCAAGGAGGGCCAGGATGTTCCTTCTTAATTATGGCCCTCGGGAGTCCTGGGGTAATTTTACAAAGGTGGTTACTGATTTTTACTGATCCTGTGGAGGGAGGCTGTAAATTTAAAGGAGATATTCACAGCCACCATCCATCCAATCACCCATACATACCCAGTGTGTGCAGAATCAAAGAGCAGGAAAGAGAAGTATCGAGGGCTTATGTCTTAAGGCTTATCTTCTTTTCTGTTATCCCATTACATTCATGACCTCCTCTAACTCCAAATCAGGTTCAAAATGCCATCAATTTACAATGTGTTCCGTAAGTATGAAAATAGAGCACAAAAAGGTAAACCTAGTCTGGGTTATTAAGAAAAGAATTCATTATAGTTCTTTCTTTCTTTTTTTCTTTTTTTTCAAAAGGGAAGAGGACGAAGAGATGGAGGGAGGGGAGAGGAAAGGAATGGAAGAGAACTCAGATGTGTTGTATACACGTAGAAGCTCCCCTCAATGAATGCAACCATTATGCGCTGTAAAATGTACTCATAAAAATAAAAAACAAAAAATTAAGTTAGTGATATTTGATTCATATTTATAATTTCTTTTTTCTAGATACTAGTTATATAATCTCAAAGGAAAACAATGTCAAAATTAAAATTTTCTTTTTACCTTATGCAACTTTTAATTGCTGATGAAAGCATTCCATTCTCCTTTGAATGGCCATATCCATTTTCTATTGTTCAGATTGGCGAGTGGGGGCTGCAGGGACTGCCAGGAGATGATCTCTCAATTCAGAATGGCATCATTGTGACAAAAGCCACCAGATACCCACTCCTCATAGACCCACAGGCTCAAGGCAAAACTTGGATTAAATCAAAGGAAAAAGAAAATGATTTGCAGGTATGTAGCATTTGGTGCATGGAAAATCATAAAATTTCCTCAGAATTTCAATAGAATCTGTCAGTTGTAAAGTTGTCGTCTGTGTTAGTCAGCTTTCAGCTACTGCAACAAATACCCGAGCTAATCAGCTTATAAAGAGTAAAAGGTTATTTTGGCTCACAGTTTTGAACCTTTCCGTCCATGATTAGTTGACTCCATTGCTTTGGGGCCTGTGTTGAGTCAGCAGATCATGGCGGCAGCATGTGCCACAACTGTTCACCTAGTGGTCAAGATGCAAAAGAAAGGAAGAAGAGGCTGGGGTCCTAGGATCCCTTTCAAGATTATATCTCCAGTACTTTGTGCGTGTGTGTGTGTGTGTGTGTGTGTGTGTTACTCAGAATTGACCCCAGGGAATACTGAGCTATAAGTTTAACCTCCTTCACAAGCTCATTTTATTTTATTAATGAAACTCTGTCTTACAGTTGCCCAGGCTGGCCTGGACCTGTGGAATTACAAGTGTGTACCCCCACACCTGGCTAAGCCCTACTTCTCTCACATTGTGCTTCTCAAGAAAAATCAAGCAAATTGAAGTTGTGACTCTGAGATACTATTTCAAGTTTATAAAGATATTGAAGGTGGTTAAAAATAATCCTAAGTAAACTGACCTGACAAGGAAATCACAACATGTTTCTCCCTTAGGAGACAAAACGAGACATAAGCAAATTTAGGCTTGTTAGAACCATAATTCATTTTGTTTAATGGGCTAAAGCCTTTGCTTAGATTCATTTATCTTATCAACTCACAGTAAGGCTTTTATAGCACCTAATTTGTGTAAAGAAACCTATCAGTCCAGAAAAACAACTTACTTCACATGTGGGATTTTTTATTATTTCCTTTTTAATCAAAACAATAAAAGTAGGCTTATTTAATTGTTCAGTTCCACAGTTTTTTCCATAGTAATTGATGTATATCAATTCTGCTCTCCTAATCTTTCATTGATCTAGTGGATCTTTTTTTTGCCTTCAGATCCACACCTACAAGAGCTTAAAGGCCACAGTTATACTCAGAGGACAGACTGTTAGGAGACAGAGTTAACATGATCCTTTGGGAATCCTCGTAGTTATGCAGGAAGAGGGCTCTTAGGAGAAGTAAGAGTTCAAAGCCAAGTGGCTCATGCAGCTATCAACAGTCTAGTGTGACTGTTTTAACTAATAATAAATATTGATTTAAAAATGAATGTTCCTGCCAGGCATTCTGTGTTCTAATTCCCCAAAACAATGTGAGGATCAATAAAAGGATTTTATAGTCTGTTAGGCTGACTTTATGGAAAGTATCATAGTCTTCCCTGTGTCAATAAAGGACAGAATACCTGGATGGATGGTTGGTTTGTCAATATATCATTCCTGATGTTGTTATGTTTATTTTTTTATCACTTTTGCATTTTAGGAGGATTCTGAGAAGATAAATGATTACCATTACTATGTTTCCCTGAGTGGTATTGCTATATAAATTTCAAGAGATTAACCCTTGACTATGTCTCTTCCATCTGTCAGGAGCAGAGGTCTGGTATCCTGTCCATGGACTGTCACTGGGTTCTCTTTCCAGAGACCCCATTGCATATCTGGGGTTCAGCAAACCTGTGACTCACCAGGTTTTGAATATTAGTTTTTGTTCATTACTTTTATTTTTTATAAATAAGGTATCCTGTATTGCCCTTAAAATTCGTGGTGACCCCTCCAGCAAATCCTTGGTTTCACTCAGAAATGGGCTCACTCTTTGTCAACTCTCGTCTCACCCAAGTTTTTATTTCCAGGTGACAACTCTGAACCATAAATATTTCCGCACACACTTGGAGGACAGCCTGTCCTTGGGCCGACCTATGCTCATTGAAGACATCCGGGAAGAGCTGGATCCAGCTTTGGACAACGTCTTAGAGAAGAATTTCATTAAGTCTGGCACCACTTTCAAGGTGAGTCTTATGAAAGAGGAAGAAAGGAAACAAAGAACAAGGGTGACATCTACTTATCTTTTTGAGCACAGCAGTGAAAGCAATTTCTTTCGGGTAGAAGAGTTTGGTACACTGCAAACAATTCTTTCCAAATTGATCACCCATGTTTCCATTCATTTATTTATTTGGCATAAAAGCTTATTTTATTTCCTTGGTCTCTTCTGCAGTGGTGGCTATTACTTTGTAATATTGTAATATCTTTATAATTTGTTTCTGATTGATAAATAATCATTTTATGTATTTATGGGGTTCAATGTTTTATACACTTCAAAACTCATAATGAGAGTTTTAAAAAATTATTAAATGTACTTCTTAACTGATACATTAAAACATTAAAATTTTACCTATTAATGGGGCACCATGTGGTGTTTTCATACCTTTTAATAAATAGTATATAAAATATATAGGAGAGAGTAATATATTGGTAAGAACAGTCATTTAGTTGAAACTAAGTAACTTATTAAGAGGAAACATTAATACTCCTCCTACTACTAATAAAATATATATTTGAAAAAATTTGTTTTGCAAGGCATACAATATTTTTTAAATAAGAAAACCTGGATTTCCTCACTAGAGAAATTACCATCATAAATACATACACATTTTTGTTTATCTATATATGTCTATGTGTGTATGTCTGTGTGTGTGTGTGTGTCTTTGTGTGTGTGTGTTTGGTTATGGTTATCTAAAATATCCCCCTAAAAGCTTATTTCATCACATGATGAGCTCTCAAAGTGATCATGAGGCTCTAATTTCATCAATGCATTGATCCACTGATTAGATCATAATTTGACTGCATTATTAGGAGGTGATGGAAGGAGGAGTTGGGGTCCGGTTGAAGGGAATAGGTTGTGGGTATGTGACCTTGGGGACTATAGCTGTTATTTGGCCCTTCCTCTCTCTGGCTTTCTTTCTGATCCTCTCTCCTTCCTGGCTGCCACTGTAACAGGCATTAGTGAGACAGGAGTTAGGATTCTATGAGGCAGTAAAGACAATGGCCCCAAAGTGCATTTGGGAAGCCCAAAGTGGAGTCAGCTGAGTCTCAATGCTCCAGGGATCTTACAAGAACATCTGCCAGGTGTCCTTTAGCTATCTGTGACCTCCCCAGAGCATGATCAGGCAGGCCTTTGGGTTGTGAGCCCTGCATGGACACTGCGTGAATTCTGCATAGATTGGGCCCTAAAAAGCATGTAGTCTCCTATAGGGTAGAGATTCTAGGGCCAGGGATGTAGCTCAGCAGCATAGCACCTGCCTGGCAAGTGCGAGGTCCTGAGTTTGATCCCCAGTACCAAAGAAAAGATTCTGTTGCTCATATAATGATGGCCCAAGATCCCTCCTAAATCCCTTAAAAACACTTCTTGGTTATCCTGCTCAGGGCCCCCTCCCAGCTAGCAGGAGCTTTACTTCCTTGCCTTTACATCTTTTACTTTTTTGCCTTTATGTCTTTTAAATAATTTGCTTGCACCTTACCTCCTCCATCCACAGTTTCATTCTTTGTCACCATGGGACATAGCCCTGGTGTTGCAGTAAAATCATGAGGTGAGCAGCTTTACACCACCACACCCTTCTCCCATGATGTGTCTACCTCACTACAGGTCAGCTGCAGACTGAAACCATGAACCAAACTAAGTCTTTCCTCTTTTAAGTTGTATATATCAGGTATTTTGTCACAGCAATTGAAAGCTGGTTAACACACACACACCCCTTTTTTTCAGTACTGGAGATGGAAACCCAGGATCTCATACATGGTAAGCAAGTGCTTTACCACTGAGCTACATCTCCAATTATTTGTTTTGTCTTGTTTTGAGAGTGTCTCACTAAGTTGATCAAGGTTAGCCTTGAATTTGTGATCCTCCTGCCTCAGCCTCCCAGTTAGCTGAGATTACAGGTGTGAGTCCCTGCACTCAGCAAGAAAATAGCAATTTAATAAAGTCTATAGACATTGATTTGTTCATTTCTCTCTTTATTAACTTTCAACCTAAACTCATTGATTTTGCTGGAAGGTATTTGATACTGTTCCCAACTGTTGATGTTAGCGTGAATTGTTTTCAATATAAGCATTTAAAAAACATTGGTGTCATACTCTATCTGTAGGCCTTTTTGGTTCTATTTCTTGATACATGATAGCATTTCTGAAGGAGTTTTATTTCCACTTTGGCCAACTTAATTCAGTTCCCAAATATCAATGAATAAGTAAAGATGCAAGTTTTCTAATTAAACAAAGATTTATTTAGTATGGAACATCTGGTATATACTTCAACCTGCAAGCGTTTACGGGGGAAAAAGGAATAAAACTCAGTCAGTGTACTGAAGAATTAGCCGCGTTCTCCTATGAGATTAGGAAATAGCTTTTCTCTTTTTCAGATAAGAAAGGTAAGGAAAAATTTTAGTGATTTGTTTGACTATAGTGGACTCATCCACAATTTTGAACTGCATTTTAAAAACATCTAACTGACAAAGATTATATATATATATATATATATATATATATTCAAAGTATACAATGTGATGTTTTGTTATACCTATACATTATATAATGATAACCATAGTAAGTTAATATATCTGTCACTGCCTATGCTGTCCCTTTGATATCCAGAATTTGTTCATCTTACAAATGAAATTTTATATTCTTTGACCAGCACCTCCTCTTTTCCACCTCTAGCCCCAGGTAACTACTGTTAGATTCTCTGCTTTAAGAGTCCAACTTTTTAAAATTCCACATATAAATGAGATCATACAGTAGTTGTATCTTTGTATCTGGCTTATTTAACATGTCAGAGTAGTTTATAGAATCTCCTTTCCTGAAGGTCTTTTAAAAGACTGTAGATTCTTATTTGCAACATGAAGGCATGGTGCCTGAGGGTGTGGTAGTGGCTTTAGTAATGTTTTGCATCACACGCAGGATTAGGATTCATTAGAAATTTAAGCCACTTTAAAATGCTGTGATTTCCACCTAGTTGTAGATAACAAAAACCAGTTGTTTTCAATATACTGCAAGTAGCAGTGCTTAAGATAAGTGTTATTTTTCTGGAGAAAATTGGCACTTTTTTCTTTGAAAATTGTATTAACTCTTTCTGTTGTCAAATATTGTCTTAGTTACATCCCTAGTTGCTCAGACAAAATACCTGACATTCACAGTTTGAAGGAGGAAAGGTTCTTTTTGGCTCACAGTTTGTAGAGGGTTCAGTCCATAGTCAGCTGGCTCCAAGGCAGAACTGTAAGGCAGAGGGGCGTGGTGGAGGAGAGTAGAGGAGACTGCTCAGGGAATGTTGTTGAGGAGGAGGAGAGAGCAAAGAGAGGACAGGGAAGATGTAAACCTTCCAGGCTGTCCCCAGTAACCCACCCCCTAACAGCAAATCAGCTACAGACTCATCAGTGCATGAATCCACTGATGATTATCACGTCCCCATGATCCAGTCACCTCCCAGAAGCCCCACCTGTGAGCCCATGAGGCTTTGGGGAGATGTCTAGATATAAACCACAATAAATATGTAAAGGATAGGACTGTGGAAGACTGCAAAGAAAAGCAATATTTCCTATAAACACAGCAAAGTTTCCCAGTAAGACATAATTTCATCAATGCTGTGATGGGGAAAATAGCACCTCCTATGCTACGAACAATTGATGACAGTGATAAATACTAAAAATTTGAAGTCAAATCTTAGATGCATCTGAGTTTTCCTTTGTTCACCATTTGTTCTGGATAAATTTTTCATTTGATTTCCTTGGGATCTTGTCTAAAAACATCTTTTTAGATAGGTCCACAAATGTAAATTATTTAAAAATGAGTAGGCTTTATTATTTAAGATCAATGATTAAAATTTCACAACTCTCCTTCCCAATTCGTTCAAGTTTCATAGCTCTGACCTTTGGTAAATTCTTTCCTAAATTACACCCAAATTCCTGGTTCTGGCTTTTAAGCTGTTTTTAATTTCACATTTAAATTTATATAGGTGAAAGTTGGTGATAAGGAATATGATGTCATGGATACATTTAAACTTTATATCACTACAAAGTTACCAAACCCTGCCTTTACCCCTGAAATCAATGCTAAAACATCAATCATTGATTTCACTGTTACAGTGAAAGGACTTGAGAATCAGTTACTCAGGAGAGTAATCCTAACCGAGAAACAGGTAATCATTTCTGAAGGTAAAGAACTTGTACTGATAATAATGATGACAGTGTTGAAAAACATACTGAGAAATGGCTAAATGGCTAAATATGGGGGAACAATTAAGCAAATCATATTTACCCTTGTTAACATAAGGTAGTGTCAGTTTCTGTGAAGAAATCACTTCTCCAGCTCAACAGAAAAAGGGAGAGAGAGAGAGAAAGAGAGAGAGAGGGAGAACTTTTTACTTGTTTTCAAGCCTTTGGGTATATTTACATACATGTCTACACTCCTGTAGATTATCTTGGGGACACTTGAAAAATTCAGTAAATCAATGATCATACAGAAAAAGAAATTGCCCTGGATAGCTGTTACCACTGTAGCAGTTTCACCTACTACAGTTTAATAATCTAATGCCATAAGAATCCTGAGGGTTCTAATGAAACAAAGAACAATTTAGGATGAGAAATTTTTAAGAGACAGATATAAGATTAAACTAATTTTTAAGGTAGTGCTCAGAAACATTAAATTTTATGCACAGTATATTTGCATAAAGTGATTATGTTTGCATATGTAAAATACATTTGCATAAAACAGAATATTTATATTTGCTTTAATCTAATTTTAGCATCCCACATACAAAGAAAGAGCAAGGTTAGAAATAATAGGAGCAGAGAGGCATAAAATGGGCAAGTGAGAAAAGGAATGACAGAAGAGGATTGCAGGCAGAGGAGGAAGGGGAAGAGATTGAAATAAAGCATGATGAACCCAAATGGGAGACATTCAGAAAGGGAACGAGTGAACCACTAAGTGCAGTCTTCCCTGGTTAAAACATGGGTCACCCTGGGGGCTTGCCCACGAAAGACCGCTGGTCTGGAGAAGTGGAAAGGGTACAGACCCAGCTGTGAGAGTTGTTTGATCCTGATTTCCAACACCCTGGGACTGTGCAGCCCAGTAGGGGATCTGTCTCTCCTGCAGCCAGGCAGAGTGCCCCAGACTCACAGTGTTGTCGTCAGCTGTTGAAAATGTGTCCTCTCCAGTCTCACTGGTGCTGTTGGTTTATTTTGAGATGATTTATCACCGGTCTAGCTCCCACTATGAGGCTGCACTGTCTAAAGGTCCCCAGCGCACCCTGTACCTGCTCTTCTCAAGACCATAGCTTCCTCTTCAACAGAGGCACTAGGATATTCATACCAGCCTTGCTGGGGAACACAAAATGAATACTTAATATGCAGAAGGAGGGCATCTTGACATAAGCCCTCCTCACAGTCCTGATATTGAACCCCCATTTCTACAGCTGAGCAAATAGAGACCAGAGAGAATAAAGGTGTTATCCTGTAATGGCACATGGACTTCCACCCTGCCAGGACTCCTAGATAAACTTTCAGATCATGCTGTAAAAAATGTCCACCATGCCATGACTGTTTCCCATTCATACTGAAAGGGAAGCTACCGTGATTTCATTTTGCCTATGTGTTCCTGTACTGCCACACAGGGGTGATCATTTTAATGACAGTGATTTATTAGCTCATCTCCTGAAAATATAACCATAGTCTTCATCACCCTAGCAAATACTACACCACTGCGAATATGGCAGTCATGCTGGTCTTGGGGACGGGAGGACAAGAGTATTAGGTTCAATCTGTAAGTAGCTAGCTGGGTGGATTGTAGTGGGATGTTACTCATATCTCTGGACTCCCAACTTCTTCAGGTGTAAAATAAAGGAATTCAGCCAAATTCAGTACGTATCAGTAAGTGCTGTCAAGAATACCAAAAAAGAAATAGGACAAGTTCTTGCCTTCTAGATGCACAAACTCTGGAGGAAAATACCATATGATATAAGCCACAGCAGATGTACGTACAGATCAGTGCTGTGTTGTGGCTTTTGATTAGTTGGTTTAGGAAGACTTCTGAAAATGGTAGATTTCTGAAGCAGTTTTTCAAGAAACATTCTTTCACTAAGTAATCTTTTAACTTAATCTAAGTGCACTGGATGATTCTGAAATGAGACCAGAAAAAAAAAAACTGTTACAAATAATGTTACTGAGATCATTTGAATTTAGACTCTGTATTTTAGTAAGAGTAGTACGTCAACTTTAAATTTTCCGGATTTAAATATTGGGCTATGGTTATAAAAGACTGTCCTGGGCCGGGGATTTAGGTCAGTGGTTTTGCCGCCTGCTGCGCAAGCGCAAGGACCTGAGTTCGATTCCCGGTACGAAAAAAAAAACAAGTAAAAGACTGTCCTGGTTCTAAGAATGTTTGCTGCAGTGTTTAGGCATAAAATGTCATGACCTCAGCAAGTGATTCAGCAATAATAATCATAACAATAGCAAGTATTATTTTTAACGATTGTGATAAGGCAGAAAGTTATTGAGTGAATCTGGGTGAGAATTCATTGTACTAGTCTTGCAAACTTTTGAAAATATTTTTCAAAATATAGTTTCTAAATACAGCATTTATATAGGGAAAAAACCCTTTTCCAAAGCCTCCATGTAATCCTTTTGGTAGGAGGTATAAATACAATGGAAAATGAGTGTACACTGGTAACTGTCTGTACCTCTCCGGGGTCTTCCAGGCAGGCCCTAAGCCAAGAGCTCCCATTTGGCCAGTGTTGCCCCTTGACTTCTTGGCCTTAATGCCATCTTGTTTCTGCCATTTTCTCCTGCAAATAAAGTTAGTGTTTCTCATAAAGGCAGAGCTGGAAACAGGCCCAAAAGAATGGGGACATTCTATGAATGAATGCAGGTGGCAAGAAGGCTTGAGGTGATTGGGCAGAATTTTTTTTTTTGGTACGGGGGATCGAACTCGAGTCCTTGCAGTTGCACAGCAGGCGGTGAAACCACTGAGCTAAATCCCCGGCCCTGATTGGGTAAAATTTTAACAGGCCTCTCCATTGATGCCAGTGTAGGTGCCATGGAATTATAATACTAGTGGGCATAGTTTTTTAAATTATTCAGAGAAATGAGAATACAGATAGACTGGAATAATCATACTAATTTCTCTTGCCATTTGAAAGACACTTTGAATTAAACCTTTCAAACTGATAACAAACACTAGGAAGTTAAGTTCACCGTAATCACTGGTAATTACAGTTCCAATGTTATTTTTTGTTTCTTAATGACAGGAGTTAGAGTCTGAGAGGGTTAAACTTTTGGAGGATGTTACTTTTAATAAGCGGAAGATGAAAGAACTTGAAGATAACCTCCTCTATAAATTAAGTGCTACAAAAGGTACTGTTATTAAGAAGTAATCAAATCACAGATTCTGAATAAGGATTTTTTTTATACTCTTTTCGGTATCCTCATGATTATAGGTGTTAGGAAAAAATCAAGTTATCAATGCAACAAAAACAAGCAAACTGATTTCTATGTAGACATTAAGGAAAGACGGCAGAGAATCTGGTTTTTTGAGTTAGCAACTAGAAGCTGAGCATCTGAGAATAACACAGTTTTCTTTCTTTTTTTAAATTTTTACTTAAATTCTTTTATTGGTACATTTTAGGTATACAGCACATTTACATTTCTCATTGGGAACATGTACCTTTACATGATGCATCTTGGTTCTTTTTTTTCCCCCCCATTAACTTTATCGGTACATTTTAGGTATAAAATACAGTTACATTCATCGTTGGGATTTTGTACCATTACATGAGTCTCTTGGTTCTTATTTTTTTCCCCTTCCCTTGCCCTCCCTTCACCCCCTCCACCCTTCCCTCTTTGGAAAGACCTTGTTTCCATTTTTTCCTCTTCTCATATTTTTTCCTTTCCCTTTTTTCCCTTCCCTTACCCCTCCCACTTCCCCTGCTCTTTTAGACCTTTTCTTCCTGAATAACACAGTTTTCTTGATATAATCGCTCTCTCCTGAAAAAAATAAGGGCTTCCCAATAGAGAGAGCGAGATAACTCATAATAAACTAATTTGCTTGCCCAAAGGAAACTAATGTGCTTAATCTAATTTTTTTTTTTTAGATGGACTCTTTCATCTAGCATTTAAATGCAGCTGCTACCACAGGTTATGACATGTGTAATTCGTGTCAGAGGAGCTCGGCCACCAGGGCGCAGCTCATCTCCATGTGACTTGACTTGCCGCTTAGAAACAGGGTCTCTCACAGAACACAGTGCTTTGAGGAGGTCCTTTCTCTGCAGTGTAGTAAAAGAAACTTCTGTCCAAGAAAGTCAGATCAACAAACATTAAATTGCTCGGTAGTAGGTGAATTACAGCTCCCTAAATTTAATAACGAAGACTTTCCTATGTTGCATTAATCCCTGGATTTGAAAGAAAAAACAAACCAACCCTTCACTTCCCAGCACTATATCCTTAAAATGACCTCAGTGAAAAGTCTTTGTCTGACTGACCCTGCTCTTGCTGGTGACGTCACCTGTGCTCTGGTCCAGCAACTTCTCTCACACATTCTAAGTGTGAGCGAGCAGAGCTGAGGTCTCTTTGTCCAGCCAAGAGCACCTCAAGGCCTCTGTGCCGTGAGGCTGACCCAGGCTGGACTTCCATGTTAGTCAGAGGATGCTCAGCGGAGCGGATGCTCAGCAGAGCAGCTGCTCTGGGCTGCCCCAGGACAAACCAGAACATGGTTGTGTGTAGCATGGTGACCATGGGCGCAGCACATCCGAAGTGTCTTCCCGTATCTTAACAACTGAATTTATTGTCATAAACATGTGTTGTTTCTATTAAAGGTAGTGAGAGAAAAACTAAAATAAAATCAGGGTTTCTCTTCCTGGGAAGACAACTTTCACTGTCCGCCAGGATACTCTGATTCGAGATGTGGTGGGGCCAGGGTTCTCTGTAGCAAGGATTCTGCAGCTCAGGCGGTGGGAGGAAGAGGGTCCCACCCAACTGCCAGTTTGCCAGCTTTGTGTGTGATGTTTGGATCACTTCACACCCATGGCAAGTGGGATGGACAAGCGAGGGACAATTTTTGTTTTGGTGGTACTGAGGGTTGAACCCAGGGCCTTTGCACTAAGCTATAACTCCAGCCCTTTTAAAAATTTTTTTGAGATAGGGTCTTGCTAAATCACTAAGTTACCCAGACTGGGCTCAAATTTGAAATTCTCCTACCTCAGCCTCCCAGAATGCTGGGATTATAGGTGTGCATCACTGTGCCCAGCTGGGGACACTTTGAGGGAGCCACCAAGATGATATGGAGGTAAAAGTGTGTTACATAGGAACAACTAACATCACTGGAGATGTGATCATTGCCTTCAGACATCTGAAGAACAAATGGTCTTTTGCCAGCCAGAGTGGAAGGCAGTCCTTCTGCAGGAATATTTAGAATTCAGGCAGTGGGTAGACCAGAAGCTTTCTGGTGTCAAGATTCTACTCTCCTAGTGCCCTGTGGACAATGGAGAAGTCAAGTTGAAAGTTGACAGCACCATTTCAGAAGCGACTGTCCCATCTGGCTGTGCGACTGTCCCACCTTGTGTCCACCATTTTCTGTGTTGACTTCCAGGTTCCTTAGTCGATGACGAGTCTCTCATTGGTGTCCTCCGCATCACCAAGCAGACAGCAGCTGAGGTGAGTGAAAAGCTGCATGTGGCCGCAGAAACGGAGATCAAGATCAACACGGCTCAGGAGGAGTTCCGGCCGGCAGCCACCCGAGGGAGCATCCTCTACTTCCTCATCACGGAGATGAGCATGGTCAACATCATGTACCAGACGTCGCTGGCGCAGTTCCTGAAGCTCTTCAACCAGTCCATGGCCAGGTGGCACCTCACTGCCTTTACCCTGGGGACTCTGGAGCTGTGACTTGCAACTTTTGTGTCTATTTCTATTCTTGCAGAAATTATTGTTGGTTTATTTTTATACTTCTCAAATTTTTAAAATGTATTGCAGATCTGAAAAGTCTCCACTACCTCAAAAGAGAATTATGAATATCATCGAGTACCTGACGTACGAAGTTTTTACATACTCTGTCAGAGGCCTATACGAAAACCACAAATTCCTTTTTGTGCTCCTGATGACTTTAAAGATTGATCTTCAGAGAGGGACAGTTAAGCACAGAGAGTTTCAGGCTCTCATTAAAGGTAAAGTGTTTGGAATATGGATGTGTAGAGGATCTTGCTTCTGACATGATCTTTCATATACTCCAAGCCCATTTCTGTGATCCATTAGGGGAATTGGGTCCTGATGAAAGTCATATTCTTCTCATGCCTTTTTTTTCGGATGCCCATTAATTTTTCTCTGGTTACTTAAGATTCTGGTCTGTGCTAACCCTGTGATTTTTAGCTACATATTTGATTTGTTTATTGTTGCTCATGCTTAGGAGTCCCGGTTGCCAAAGTGGCAAAAAGTGGGGCTGGTCATACTCTTAAGTGAAATAAATAGGACACACATGTAAATACTGAATAGTTTCCCTGGTGTGAGAAACTAAAGTGTAAATAAGGATCAAAATGTATAATGGAAATAGGATAATGTGAAATAGGAAGAAAAGGTCTAAACGGGTAGGGGAAGTTGGAAGGGTAGGGGAAAGGAAAAAACATGAGAAAAGGAAAAAATGGAAAACAAAGGCTTTATAAATAGAGAGGGGTGGAGGGGTTGAAAGGAGGGCAGGAGAATGGGGAAAAAATAAGAACCAAGATACATTATGTAAAGGTACAAGTTCCAATGATGAATGTAACTGTATTGTGTACCTAAAATGTACCAGTAAACTTAATGAAGAAAAAAAAGTGGGTCTGGTGATGAAATTTCTATAGCAAGAAAAAAAAGCAGTTCCTTCAACAAGGGAGCATCATGATTTTGAAGATTGAAAAGGACATACTTGTATTTCATATTTTAAGTTTACTGTATTTATTGCTTTCCTATTTAAGGAGATAAAAGAGTAGTATTTTAACTTCAGTTCAGTTGCATAAATATTAATTGAGCACATACTATGTAAACCTACCATGCTAGTGATGGAAATGCAATGATAAACCAGCCATTGCTTTAGGAGAAAAAATAGCCTCTTCAGTGGGGATAAAGGTATTTTAAAAATAGCTCCAAGCTAGGCAGAAGAACCTAAGTGTTTGAAGTGAGCTAAGAAACAAAGTGTTTAATCTTAAAGGAGGGAGAGATTACATGGTAAAATCAATCAAAGCTTCTGGGGAAATATACCTCTGCTGGTTTAAGTGATGAACCTGGGATTATTTGGTATATGATAAATGTGTTCCAATCATTTTTGTGTGGTGTTTTGCTTTTCATATATAATTTAACGCACTATTCTCTGGCTAGTCACACAGTCCTCAAAAAGAAAGTGGCCTTTGAATTGAACCCTGATGGAGACGTTGAGATGGGGAGATTACTCCACGCTGAAGTGGAACAGCACGGAGAAAACGACACGGGTGGAGTGTAAGGAAGTTGTAGGGAACAGGCTGGTTTTGTGGAGATGAAAGGTGGATCTTTGTCCCTTCCGCCTTGTGAGGACACAGTGGGAGGAGCCCATCTGGGACCTGTTCTGTGGGGGCTCACCAGAAGCTGCATCTGCTAGAGTCCTCCTGATCTTGGGCTTCCCGGCCATCAGAACTGTGTGAAAGGAATTTCTGTTGTTTTGAAACCACCAGTCTATGATATTCTGTCACATTTGTGACCCCATTTCATAAAACTGGAGAGTTGGGGAAAACCAGATTGTACAGGGCTGGGGAAGCCAGTGAGAGGAGTTTGGATTTAATTTAGTTGGCAACAGGGAGCCATCAAATGTTTTATGAGCAGGGATGTGGCATAAACAGAGCGGTGCTTTAGGAATATTGATTTGGATTTATATGAGAGGTTGATTGACAAGTGTAATCAGCTCAGCAGTGAAAGTTGTTTTGAAGAAAACTGGTTTATTGTATAGTTTGTTTAGTTTTGAACTGGCTTACATTTTGACTGTTATTTTTAAGAGATGGTATGACTCGCCTTTCAGTGCTTTTTACGAAGTTAACAAATATGACTCTTAGACCACAGATTCTTTTATTTATCATTGTGAACTCTATACTTACGAGGGAAAAAGTTACTTATCACAGCAGCAATGTTTGATTTCCTGAGAGTTGCAGGCCTTATGTATCAATTACCCCCCTGTTTGCTGCATTATTTGTAAGGTGCCTTTAACTTTCTTCTTCCACTGAGAATGTCAGAGCACTTTAAAAAGTGAAATGGATACCAGGGACAATCCGGCATTATAGAACTACTGAGATACCTGTTTTCTCTGTCTGGTTACTTTAGAAAGATACTATCTTGCTTTAGTCATGACCCCATGGTCTATTTAGTCATGACTAAATAGACACCTTGAGGGTTTTCTCATGCCTTCCAGTGGGGATTGGATCTGGGCCTTCGGAAGGGTGGAGGAGGGAGCAGATGAATTACATCAGAGTAACTGCTAATGATTACATACCACTTACCTTAGGCCAAGACTGTTCTGAGATTTTTACAAAAGTTGAATTATCTAATCCTCACAGCAGCTAATCTGGTAGATGTTTACCCATTGAATCTACAAGAAAACCAAGAGAGTTGATGTTTCTTCTCCAAGTTTATGCAGCTAGTAAGTGGCCGAGAACAGGACATCTGGGGGACTTGGATGGCTGGTTAGCTTAGGTACATAGCGTGTTTGAAAACACCAAGGCCGTTTAGCTGTCTTCTCCTGCAGTCTGCAGTGATTGCTTCTGCAGCCTCTTGCACCGGGTTGCAGAGAGCAGGGCAGTGAGAAGGTTCCCAGGATGTTCTGAAGATATTGTGGCCTTCAGAGCCGCTGACACGAAAGTTCTTTCCAGGGGAGCAAAGGGGTCTACATGAAAAAGTACCTCAGTTCATACCCTTTTCCAGGAAGATGCTAGATGGGGGAGCAGAGATCTGTACTCCTCACCTCAGCTTTTATTGCTCAGGGGTTTATTGTAAAGTGGAAGAGTTTGATGAGCTCTTAAGGAGGACCATAAAAAAATCTACAAGTTCAAGAATCATTGTTTTGCATACATCTGAATTAAACAACAGTGGAGCTGGAGTTATGATTCAACATTACTAAAGACATTGTAAATATAATCTTGTGTTTCTTTGGAATATGGCCACCTTGAGTATGTTCATTTGACTTGTAATTTGCTTCAAAATATGACCTAAGTCAAAAACACATTCTCCACTAACCTACAAGCTCCACAAGAGCAGGCCTATGTTTGGTTTTTCCTATGTATCCCCAGTGCCTGGATCATGTGGCTGAGTGAAAAGTGCCCAATAAACATTTGTAGAATAAATGAATGAATAAATGATTTGAAAACCAGTCACCTCTTAAAATCTCTAAGATGCATGATATCCCTACCTTCTCACTCCCCCTGTTTGTCCCTCTTTCTCTCCTTTCCTCTCTCCACCCCTGTTTATTTAACCATCTATTTAACTTTGTAAGAAATAGTATTGAATATCAAACTTCTGGGAGGGCTAATGACTAAGAAATGATTATAGAGCCGGGGATTTAGCTCAGTGGTTTCGCCGCCTGCTGCGCATCGTAAGGACCTGAGTTCAATTCCTGGTACCAAAAACAAAGAAATGATTATAAAAATCACACGTGGAAAGATCAACCTATTCATTGCTGCAAAATTTGTAAATTTCAGGTTTCTAAAAAAAATTCTTTTTAAAGTAAACACAACGACCTGAGAAAAATTCTTTGCAGGGAAAAATGACAAAGGGCTACTGTCAGATTTTACAAGATGGTCTAAATTAGTAAATAAAACACTAAGGCAGAAGGAAATGTACCCCCAAAAGATAACCGCATTTTCTATAATATGATTATTTTCCAATTTTTCCATGTTTTATGTAATACGGTTATGTCACTTTTATTATTTGGAAAATAAATGTCTGAAACTGAAGTACAGGCTGACCTGATTCATGCCTTGTGATGATGATTTTCCCCAGGGGGTGCAGCTCTGGACCTGAAAGCCTGCCCTCCCAAACCGTTCCGCTGGATCCTCGACATGACCTGGCTGAATCTGGTAGAGCTGAGTAAACTTCCGCAATTTGCAGAAATCATGAACCAGGTAACAGAGTGCTGCTTCAAAGAACAAACCTGTAAACCCAAGCACACCCTGAACATTTTAACTGAAGCCTCTTGGCAAGGATGCCTTCCCCACAAGAAGTCTAGACAGTATTGTGGGTCTAAGGCGCCATGGCTGTCTAGCGGACATTGGACAGATAGACCTCAGAGGTAACATTTTCCCGGGTACAGGGAATTTCTTTCCTCCTCTGCGGTGGGCAGGGGATGTTTTCATGTGCCTACGGGGCTTGTGATCCAAATCTGACGTACTGAATGGGGCCTTTCGTTGTAGCATAATGTTGTTTTTAATTTTTACTTCTGCCTCTTGCTAAGTAATTTGCCCCCATTTGAACTGGAGACAGAAAGAGGAGATTAAAGTCCCTTTTTAAACACATCAGACATTTTAGTGGTGAAAATATAAAATGGTGAAAGTATTGAAATTCTAGTTCTTTCATATTAGAAGATGTAAATTGGTTATTGCAGATTTGTTATTGAGTCAACTGTCAGTGGAAAACAATTTTGCAACTCACGATGTTGTTGTTTTTCACTTGGGTCTCTTGGTTACAACTACCTGATACGGATGGTGCCTGTAGCATCCCAGTGTCCAGTGCTGATGCTCATCTCTTTTGTGTGGTTGCTGGGGGCTGGCATATTAGATTACAGGTTGGCAGAGCCACAAGCTGTGGGCACTGATTCTCACCCAGGGACCCGCACTGGCTGGGACTGTTCAGTGGTATTTTGAAATCTTGCACGGACTTTTTCTATACAGTCACGGTGGGGTTAGAGCGAACTGGTTGAGGTCCCTGAGTTCCTCGAGTGGTGGACAGCAAGCCTTCCTTCACATATAGCCCAGGAGGAGTCTCCTGAGTCCAAACAAACTCTTGGGGAAAAATTGTCTGGGTTCCCTGGGGACAAAATAAGGGACATGCTTGTGTTCCTGAGAAGGAAGGAAGGAAGGAAGGAGGAAAGAAAGAGAGAAAGAGAGAAAGAGAGAGAAATGGAGAGAGAAAGAGAGAAAGAAAAAAGAAAGAGAAAGAAAGAAGAGAAGTAAATTTAAAACCAGCGCCCTCTGCTGGTGGGCTCTATTGTGAGAATATATTATTGTCTGCCTCTGCCGATTAATATGTTAGGATGTGGTGTGGAATCTGGTAGCTATCACTACTTACTATGGAATACGTATTTTGCTATAACCCTTCGAGAGAAGTATTATTTTTGTTTGTTTGTTTTGAGATAGGGTCTCACTATGTAGTTCAGGCTGGCCTTGAACTCACTATATGTCACAGGGTGGCCTCCTGCTTCAGCCTCCCAAGTGGTAGGATTATAGGCATGCGCCACCACACCCAGCCAAGAGAAATATTATTGACCCAGATTTATAGATGAGAAAAACTGAGCTTTCAAGAGGTTTGGTTCTTACCCAAGCCACACAACCAGTAAGTGGCAAAGCTGTAGCTAGACCTCATGTTCTTCCCATACCGATTGAGTTACTTCCCTCCTACTACTTTTATACCACTGGTATCCCAGAAGTTGGGGAGAGACCATTCCTAGGAAGCCTGCAAGAGTTGAGTAGGACCTGCTATCACATGGCCATTGGTTTTCTGGCCTGTATGTGACAGGGAAGGGAGAGAGTAGAAGATCAATCTCCAAGCTAAGTGGGTTTCAAGAACTGAAGCAAAAATAACCTTAAGCAGCAGCTGCTCTGGCTATGGCATCCCAGGCCGAGCTGTTTAAAATCTGGAAATGGTTTCTGCCCACAGGTAAGGGCCCGGCAAAGAAATAGGCGGAGGAGGTAGATAGCAAGGGGCTGGGTGTCGTCACATTGCCCATCATAGGTGCCGCCCGGCCACTCTCCAAAGCACTCTTGTTTTTGAGTCAAAATTAGCAGGTGGAAGGCTAGTGGGCTGAGAATAGTCGCCTGATTTCTTCTTCTCCAGCAGGGGGCGCAGTATATAGGCACGAGGGCAATAGGGTCAGGCTGGCCCCATGCAGGCCTTCCAAGCAGCAGGCAGATAGATTCTTTGAGGGCATCTACCCAGGAAGAGGGGCTGAATCTTTGGGAGAAAGACAACACTTGTGAAAGATTTCAGAAATCCCCCTCCATCTTCTAGTGCCCCAGGGACAAAGCTAAAGCAACTGATTGCAGAGTAACTGTTCCGTAACATTTGCACCCTGTCTGTATCCTATATGATGAATTGCTCACACAGTGTGTGACTTTGGGCAATTTTCAATCTCCCCATGCCACGGTAACAAGTGAATAACAGAAGTAAGAGTGCAATCCATAGGCAACATGGGCATTTGCTGTTTAACTGTAATGCTACCATGGGTTTTTAAAAAGTGCTCACAAGCACAGCCTGTGTGTTGAGGAGGAGCAGCAACAGGCTCACTGCTCTATGGTTTCTGTAGTTAGTCCTGACAGCACTAGGGCTGCAGGGAGCACCTTGGAATACCTCTGAAAACTTGAGCTCCTCTCCATCCTCCCAAAAGAATAGATATTTGAGACCACCTCTTGGAGGGACTTGTGCCCCTCTTAGATTTAAGGACTCACAGTGTGTGTGGGGAGGGAACACTGGAAAATAAGTTTCAATTTTGTCATCTATTCCTCTTTCTAAGTAGAAATCAACATTCAGAGGTTTGGCTCTCAGAATGGTGGCTGTCAGTGGCTTTCAACTGAAGGTAATTTTGTGCCACCTGGGTGGCAGGGGCATTTGGCAACGACCGGAGGCGTTTTTAGTGATTATGACTTAGGGGAGAGATGCTATTGGCATCTAGTGGATTAGAGTCCTGAAATGTTGCTAAATATCCTGTGAGGCCCAGGACAGCCACACACAACAAAGAATTATCCAGCCCCAAATATTAAGTAACAACAAGATAGAGAAACCTTATCTCTATTTCTTCCTGTCCAAGCATTTCGTGTAATTGATACATGATCCTAATTTATCAGTGAATAATAGTAGAAAAGCTCTGGAATAGTTGTACTGCATCCACAATAGTCCAGTCATTCATTCTGAAGAAAACTATAACCTGTGTGGTTTTGCGTGAAAAGTATATGCCTATAAAATAAAGACCCTTTAAGCTCGTTCAGAATGGCCAGTACATTCCCATCACATGTGATCCACTTATTGATTTGTTTCTCATAGATATCACGCAATGAGAAGGGGTGGAAAAGCTGGTTTGACAAAGATGCTCCAGAGGAGGAAGTTATTCCTGATGGATATAATGATTCCCTGGATACTTGGCGGAAGCTTTTACTTATCAGGTGAGAATAGGTATTATCAGATCCGGAAGCATCACTCGACATATCTTTATGTTACCGGGTGAGTTAATTTCACTGCATCCCCATAAAACTGCAATTTTATAAGTCATGTGTGTGCTTCCACACTGTGGTTTTAGGAAAGGAAGTCTTGCCAAGCAAAAATATATTGGTAATGGTGGCAGAGAATGCTGCATTTTGACAATGTATTAATGACAGTGCTTCTAGCAAAAAAAAGAAAACATGAAAAATATGCTTCTATTATTCACTTTGTTCATTTGCTGTTGAGTGAATCACCCATTGTTGAATTTACTTTTAAAAAATAGAATTCACAAAATTTTATGGCAACTAGTTGATAGATTCAGTTTCATTTGAGGGGGGAAAACCAAGAATATTGCACTGAAATGTATAAATACTGCTCTAGTTATTGAAAATGAAAGCAAAGTTTGAAATGAATGTTGAGGAAGAATATTCACCCCCCCTCACTTTTCACATTTTCTCAATATCTCATAGCTTGGAGGTGTTCTGAATTGGAAAAATCAGCATTTGTGCGTGTGTGTGCATGTGTGTGTGTGTGTGTGTGTGTGTGTTTATGCATACTTGATTGATGGGTAAGGTGGAATGGTGGAGTTAAGGGAAATGAGACACCCAAGAGAATAAAAGATGTAGGGTTATTTTGGAGTAGTTTGTGTCTTTCTTAATGTTCTGTACCTGATCTTAGAAAAAGTTGTTCCCTTTGGGAGTGATCCAAACAAATGTGTCTTTTATCTATCATTTTAAAATTGGAGCTATGTTAAATGAATAGTGTAATCTGCTAGAAAATAAGAATCTGTAGAGCTTACCTGAGATGTATCAAGGATCAAGTGACATTCACTTCATATCTGCGTGTAGAACCTACTATGCTGTGCAGTACACAAACGGAATGACATATATGCTGGCCGATCAGCTTACCCTTGACAACTTTTGAAGTCTGTAGTGCTCCAGAGTGTGTGGCAGGCAGGTTGGGCCCCACTGTGCAAGGGAGCTGGCAGAGAACACTGTGTTGTTACCAGCTCTGCCCTACTCTTTGCCAGTGCCTGGCACCAAAACCACATGATTAAATTTATGCTCATCCAGGGATAGGAAACCTTGCCATCCCTCTTACACAGACCTGTGTATAGGAGAATTAGCCCATTGTCCTTCTGCGAATTAAATACGAGTTCTGTATGTGCTCAGAATTAGATAGAATAAAAAATGAACATGCTGAGTTTATTTCCTCTAACCTGTATTCATTTCTAGGTCTTGGTGCCCAGACCGTACTGTTTTTCAGGCAAGAAAGTATATCGCAGATTCTTTGGAGGAGAAGTACACAGAACCAGTTATCTTAAATCTGGAGAAAACTTGGGAAGAAAGTGATACACGAACACCTCTGATTTGTTTCCTGTCCATGGGATCTGATCCTACTATTCAAATCGATGCGTTGGCCAAGAAACTGAAGCTAGGTATGATTAGCAACTATGAAATGTAACCAAACTTCCACATTTTTGCACTAAAGTTTGCCTTTCATAACTTTATAACGGAGTTGTAAAGGATGTCTATAAAATTTAGAAAAAATATTATGCTTCTTTTATCCCTTCCCCTTAAAGTACAGATCCAATACAGGTATTTGAGCAGAGAGGAACACACTCACTTGTATACTAGGATTTTTTTTCTTTTTTATATTGTAAGCAGATACCACACAGATAGACTGTGTGGATACCAGATTAGCGAGAAGGGACATTTAGGAGCAAAATTCTATGCTTTTCCATATCTACATAAAATCACATCAAAGTATATTTGTCACTAATTGAAAAACTGTAGCATTGTTGTAATGCATAGTAACTAGGGATTTATTCATATCTTCGTTCAGTAACCAGGTAGTACAGGCCACCTGCTAGATTAAAAGCATACAAGCATGAATGCAACAGGTAGGAAAGACAAACATGCAAATATGTACTTGAAGACAAGGTGAAAAGTGCCGGGACAATTTTGTAGCAATGGCTCCAGAGTTTCACAGCAATGGCTATGGCGTTTCATAACAGTCTGGTCATAGAATTCATAGCTATTCAGATTGCCTGGGAAAGGATCATTCTGTTGATATTTTGAAAAACATAGTTAAAAGATTTATAATTTAAAAAAAAAATTTCCAGGTGGAGGAGCGGAAAACAAAATTATCCCAGAGAAAGGAAGAGCAGGACAAGGAGTTATAAACATTAGAAGCGGTGGTAGCACCAGCTAAGCCAGTGGAGCTAAAGGACAGAGAGGGACACCTCAGCTTGATGGGCTCGAGTCACCCCATAGGACGCGCTGTTTCTCCTCTCCTCATACCTGGGACACCTGAATGCTGTTGACTTTAACTTTCCAGATCTTCTGGGTTCTGATCTCTGTATCTGTACTCAGAGACCTCATTCATTCAGGCCTTTATAAAGATTATAAAAGTAGTTGAGTATGAGTCACTAAACCTGTGCTATAAAATAAAACTTACACTGAATTTATTAGATAATCTATCCATTGATCCAGACATGCCCAAGTATTAGGCACCTGTCCTGCCTTCAGTCTTTAGCTTGTAGTAACATATTCTGCAGTCACTCTCTCTTTTCTCATCTTGACCTTGGTCTGTTCATCATCAGCACACTGTTCTATGTTCTACATGCTTTCAGATGGTTACTTTCTTCTACCTGAACACCAGTACCCAGTGCAAACAGCTTCCGTGTTCTACTGGCAGTTACTTATTAATCATCTTTAGCTTTTTCCACTCTGGGATTTATTGTAGCCCTCCAGCTGAGTTGGTCTAAGAGTGGTGTCTCCTTCTAGCCTCATAGTTTTCACATAGGTGCTTCTATGCACCACTTCTGTCTGCTGATGTGTGCCTTTTTTCTCCCTTGATACAAATCATCCTTTTCCATATGGCAGAACTCATAGCCCTGGTGATTGGCTGGCTTCCCTACCAACAAGCTCAGCGTAATCAGCATTCTCAGAAAATTCCTTTAACATCCAAGTGTTCCAAGTCCAAATATACAGGGAAGACACCCATTGGCTTAGCTTTGATCATGTGTTCCTTTATGGACCAATCAATGAAATGTTACTGTGGTTATAAATTCATAGCAGAAATCACATAGAGGTGGGGTGGGGTCATTTCTTAGAAAGGGTACAGTGTTGGGCCGGGGATTTAACTGAGTGGTTTTGCTGCCTGCCTCTCAAGCGCAAGGTCCCAAGTTAGATCCCTGGTACAAAAAAAAAAAAAAGAACTTCTCCAGAAAGAAAGAAAGGGTACAGTGATTGAAAGAAAAGAGTGTTATATTAGTTCTGATTTCAGATACAGTAAGTCCCTGACTTAATGAGTAAGTGCCATTCCAGGAGAACATCTGTAAGTTGGAATCATTTGTAAGTCTGACAAAGTGACAGAAATATACAATGTAAGGCATAAAAAAGCCAAATATGAGGTCCATTGGTAAGGGTGAAATTTCACAACTTGAGTGTTCATAAGTCGGGGACTTACTGTAGTAACTTAAAACAATGCTGTTGTCTCAGACGATGGTTTAAGAACAGAATTAAGAAATTCATGGTCTCCTTTAGAAGAAATCAAAACCCTGACAGCAAACAATAAGAAATCAGACCTGTTCTATCACCTTCTGTGTTGTTATTCTACTTTGCTTGGCAATTTGATGATTTCCATTTCTTGCTACTACTTTAGTTTTTCTAGCAACAGTTCAAGCTTCTGTTGGTTACTTCATTAGGAGACTGAAACAAAGTAGATTTGATTTTTATACTGAAGGACTCAATAAATCTTGTAAACAACTCTATTGACATATCATTTTTAGGTAGAAGACCTCCTGCTGTTTGCTGCTTTGGCTTAGAAGCCTCAAAGATAGCTGTGAAATTTAAACTGCTATGCAGACTGACTAGCATATTAATCTAGTATCAACTATTAATATTTCATTTGGAAAACTGGGTAATAGATGATCATAGAACACTCAGAATGAATGAGACTGGAAATCCTGGAGACCCAACTACCTTACTTAGCAGCTGAGGGAACCAAGACATGGAAAAGAGGTCCCAGAGCTAGCTGGTGACAGATTTGATTCAGGACTTAGCTCTGGCTTCTGAACCCCACTACATTGGTCTCAGTAGCTTTTGACTTTTGTTTCCTCTCACTGATTTTTCTGGATGATTTAATCAGTGGCTGACAGGAAGTTGAGGGTGGGACAGAATCAAATAAATTTTTGCAGGAAAAGAAAGGGAAAACTTGTGGTTATGCACGTTCTCTAGTGCTAGCCAAGCTCTGCAGTGAGAAACTCGGAGTAGCAAAGTTCTGCTCAGAAGTCCTGGGTACCTGGGTCCTTGGGTGAGGGGAGAAAGCAAGAGGGTCCAGCTAAGAGCTCTGCAAGGAGCTGGGAGAGGGAGGACTGGGTCTCAGAGGAGGAGTCTAAAAGCAAATGATAGATAGCAAACAAATAAATAGAACCCCCAAGTACACAAATTAGGAGAGAAAAATTAGCACAGCGTGTGCAGATGAAACATTTTAAATAGTGAGAGAATGGAATTGTAATAAATGAGATCTCATCTGGTTGACAAATCTGTAGAAAAATACAGATTTACAAAATTTTATCAGAAAAGGTAGAAAGCCCAGAATAAACCAGCAATCAAAGCGAGAAAAATTAAACAGTTTTAATTTTGTTTAAAAGTATTACTTCAGCAAAGCCCCTGGTCTTGGGTGGCTTTTGGGTAAAAACTTCCAAAGACTTTCACACCCTGTGTTCTCTTCTAGAATATAGAAGAAAGAGATATATTTTCCTCTTTCTTAGCATTAATTATCCTGACAATCAAATACTGACCAAGGTAGTAATTGCGTAAGAGAAAGACACCCACAGGCTGATTCTACTGATCAATAGAAATATAAAATCTTAACTAAATTCCAAGTAAGAAAATTTCAATGGGTCATTTAAGTGATAACATACAAATAATACGTTTTGATGAGGTAAAAATACACAGGTGAATATAAGGAAGGTGCAGTAGTGAGAAATCTCATCGGGGCTGGGATGTAGCTCAGTGGTAGAGCACTTGCCTAGCATACCAGAGGCCTGACTCCCATCCCCAGCATCACAAAACAAAGAAAAATGGAAACAAAAACTCATCCATAATCAGTGAAAGATTTTCCCTTACGCTATTGTATATTATTTGATAGATGCTTAAAAAGCATTTATAAAAATTCAACATTTAAATTTGATTTTTTAAATGTAGGAAAAAATATTAAAATGGTAATAAACATGCAGTGCAAGTCTCAATTGTACTTGTTGGGGAATGGCTATAGACACACCTACCCATTAGAGTTGGGTGTAAGATAAAGATGTCTGCCACCGCCTCTGTTATTTAGCATTGTGCAAGATATAGTTAGTGTATTGTAAGAATCATAAATAAAAGATATAACTATTGGAATGGAGGAACAGAAGTCATCATTACTCTCAGACAATGTAATTGTCTAACTAAAAAACACAAATGAATCAACTGAAAAACGATTAGACTTAATAGGATAGTTCAGTAAGGTGCCTGGTCACAAAATAAATATATAAAAAAATCAATGGTGCTTTCTTGTAAAATAAAATGTAAAAATCCCATTAACTATAGCAATAAAAATGAAGCAGAAATAATTTTTAAATGCCTATTTGAAGAAAACTATAAAACTTTCTAACTGATATAAAAGTTAGCTCAAATAAATGGAGAGGTATACCACATTCCTGATATAAAGGTTCAATATTGTAAAGATGTCAATATTCTCTAGATTAATCTATAAATTGAATGCAAATCTAATTGAAGTTCAAACAGCATTTTTTCCTCCTAATTGGATAGTAGAGAGATCTTAGATCATCTAGATCTATAAATGAATGAGAATAGCCAATAAGGCTTGTAAAGAAAAAAGAATAATGGGGATCCAGTACTGCCAAAAATTTTAAAACTTTATCATAAGAGAGTTTAATCAGTGTATAACTGGCTTCATAGAAAAACAAATCGTGGAATGAAATGAAAGGCCTGATAGTAGACTGATAAATATATCATATATATAGCTCAGCCTATGATAAGAGTCACATTTCAAATCTGTGGAGAGAAAAGGGATTAGTCAGTAAACAGTGTGGAAACAGCAGGTTAGTGTTAGAAAAGGGTAATAGCTTTACTTCACATTAAACTCCAGAGTAAGTTCTAGGTTGATTAGGATATTAAGTGCTTTGGATTATGCTATAAAAGAAAAAAAGAATATATATGTAATTAATGATAGAGTATTGAATGGCTAAGATTTCCCTAATACCAAAGTCCAAAACTAGAGCGATGATACAGATCACATGATTAGATAAGGTTTTTAAACTTCTGTAATTCAAAAAAAAAACTTCTGTAATTCAAAGCACCATAAATAAAGTTAAAATACAAATGAAGACAAGAGTGTGGGCTGGGAATGATACCATCCCATTTC